AGTCCGAATACAGTGCCGTCAAGTATGGAATGTAATAGTTTAAATAGACAGGTGGGCTGTTAAGAAGCAAAGTTACTTCAACAAAAGTCCATCAACATTTCGTTTGCATCTGCCAAAGAACCGGCAAATCAGTATCTGGACGCGAGAAGTGTTGATAAATACTTTCCTCAAATTGTTGAGTATCACTCACTGAATACTTCAATTGTTGTATGGCGAAAGAAATGAGTAATGTGGTCGCCTAAAGTGTAAGTGTCTGCTCGAGAATGCATGTGGTACGTATCTTTGAAACCACAAATGTCTTTCTTCTCTTGGATCGTTCCTAACTCTACTCCCATTGTTTTAAATGAGAACAGGTGAGTCAAGTCTCATCGTGTCCAAATGGCAAAGATACAACCAACTGGCAGAATCTTAAGTTCGGAGGGGCAATGGTGTTTATCTACGCAGCAACCATTCCTTTCGTGATTTTACTATTTCTCACGCTGCCCTCCTTCCAGCTGGACTCGGATTGAAAAAAAGGAATAGATGCAGACTCCATGGCAAGGCAAGGCAAGGCAAGGCAAGGCGAGACAAGAAGAACAAGCACGATGGCATCATCGCGATATTTGGCACTTTCTTATTCCAAATAATGGCGGGCAGCCAATGGGAGGGTGCATTTTATTAAAGTAAAACGTACTACGGAGTAGGCAGGCAATGGGTTAAGATAAGAATGGTAATGGACATGTAGGTAGGTAGGGATGATGTACCCCTCATTTGGAATTGATCCTTGAATCGATTTAGTAATATCTTGTCGTATTATGGACAGCCTAGACCTCCCCGTGTAGAAATAGATGCAGGCAGTAATAAATACTACATTGGAATGTTGTACGTGAGCATTAACTGGCAGAAAGAGGTTTTATGTTCTATCTGCAAGTTTCCATTTCTTTAACCAATGTCTTTCTTCCTGCATTTGCTACATCTAGTTACACCCGCTTCTAGATTACGGAGTACTGGCTGTACCGTCCCGCAATTAGTAGGAAATACTGTGAAGTACAGTGTGTACAACACCAAGACATCCCCCTCACTTGGATCCTGGTCCTCAAGGCCGGGTGCAGGAGGATATTGGTGTGACGATGCAAGGTCGTTTCCCGTAGTATTTCCTCGCTTACGCAAACATTCTATTGGATCGGATGCTCTCTGTTCAGCAGCTACCCCCTCAAATGCTTGCTTACCTGCCTATCTGCTACAGCTGCCTTGTACCTTGTCTGCTGATTTGTGAGTAGCCAGTGACTTGGCTATATCATGTGATCCAGTATAGCCCAGGACAGGGATGAACATAAGCAAGCGCCTCGAAAAGGAATTGAACATCCGAAACAACACTTCAGCCCATGCTATTGGGGGCCGCATTTGCCGGATCAAGGATGGAGCGGGAGATCCTCCGGTCTGTTCTTCATCATTTAATTGTTGGATGGGAGGGCGAGTTGACTGAGGGTTTATATATAGTATCGAGTAGGAGCTGTGCGTATGGCTCTGCCTCGACTGCTTCTGAATCTGAGGATGAGGTGGGCTATACCCGGCAGGTTTAGACTTGGTCTTGGTCTTGGGCTTAGCTAAGATCTCGACAACTTGCCCTGGCCTACCGTCGGAAAATATACGATCGGATCGGTGGAGACGTGTGTGATCTTTCGCTGTCCAGGCCTTCCACAGCTTTGGGGGTATACGGTTCTACATGATCGTAAATCCGCCGGGCGGACCGAGGAATGTGGGGTATGTGACTGGGTGGAAAAAACAGCAAGCAATCACAAGAGCCAAGGTAGTAGATGTTGGGGGTGTGGCGTTTCGGTGGATATAGTGGAAGTAAACCGCGTAAGCCGCATTTTTGTGTTCCGACTTCCGACTTTCAATAATGTCTCGTGGATAACTAGTGACACCAAGGGAGCAGGTGGTACCGGATGTCGCCAGCGATGGTCAAGCAAGGGGAGACGAGACGAGAGAGCAGGAATGTTACTACTCCGTATCTGCAGTCCCCCGCAATGGGGAGGGAAACCCTCCGTTCTGCCGCCCGTTGCCGCCCCGGCGTATCTCCTTCCCGAAAGCAAAAAAGAAAAATAGGGAAAAGGGTCGAGATAAATAAGAACTGGCCGTCTTGCTTTCTTTCTTCCCCGCCTCCCTTCAATCGTTCTTATTGATAGCCACCAGCACAGACAAAACATGAGTGCTACCACTACGATTACCGCGCCGCCCCGCATCACCGCGGAAAACGTTGCCACGCTTTTCCCGGATGTCGATACCTCGCTGGCTCGCGAGGTCTTCCCCGCCGCCAGTGGGAACTCGGTGCGGGAGGGCGGCGAATTGGCGGGATACGACGAGGAGCAGGTCCGGCTGATGGAGGAGGTGTGCATCGTGCTGGATGACGATGACAAGCCGATTGGGAGCGCCAGTAAGAAGACATGTATGTTTCCATCTTCTCTTGAATTGTTGAGTTGTTGAAGATTGGCGGATTCACGGTCGGCCATTTGTATTTCTTCCCTTCGCTGACCATAGATGTGCTACAGGCCACCTGATGCCCAACATCGACAAGGGCCTCCTTCACCGCGCCTTCTCCGTCTTCCTGTTCGACTCCAACAAGCGCCTGCTGCTCCAGCAGCGCGCCTCCGAGAAGATCACCTTCCCCGACATGTGGACGAATACCTGCTGCTCCCACCCCTTGGGAATTCCCGGCGAGACCGGCGCCCAGCTGGACGCCGCCGTGCTGGGCGTGAAGCGCGCAGCGCAGCGCAAGCTGGAACAGGAGCTAGGAATCAAGCCTGAGCAGGTGCCGTTATACAAGTTCGAGTTCTTCACAAGGATCCATTACAAGGCCCCGAGCGATGGAAAGTGGGGAGAGCATGAGAGTACGTGACTCATAATCTTAGGATGCGGGATTTTGGACCCCTGGCTAACTAGGCGTACTCTAGTCGATTATATCCTCTTCATCCAGGCCGACGTCGATCTGAACGAGAACCCCAACGAGGTCCGCGACACGAAGTATGTCTCGGCCGATGAACTGAAGGCCATGTTCGAGCAGCCCGGCCTGAAGTTCACGCCTTGGTTCAAGCTTATCTGCAACTCGATGCTGTTCGAGTGGTGGAGCCACCTGGGCACTGCCGCGTTGGACAAGTACAAGGGCGAGACGGAGATTCGCCGGATGTGAAATCGTACAATACGGACCCATTCGCTATGAATCTGTTGTGGAACGGTGGACGACCGCAGTCCATCGCAATTGCTGACTGTTTATTTCTTGTTCTATTTTCGGAGTATACCATGACAAGCCTGTTGAATATTTAATTTTATTACCTTCACCTTGAAGCTGAATTGAACAAATTGCATTATTATGTCACACGCTATCTCCTGATTCGTATATTCACCTTATAGGATATATGTACACCCACAAGTCTCAGAGCTAGGATTGGTCCGAGGACTTTGCATCGGTCACCAGAAACAGTATACAGCTGCCCAGGATCACCACGCCCACCACCGTAAAAGTCATCTGCGTCTTCCACCCGCTCTGCACCAACGCCGCCCGCCGACTATACTTCATCACCGTTTTTATGTAGTTTGCAAACCCGTTCACTAGGGCCGCGATGCTCAACACCCAGAAGATGATGCCCAGCGGTAAAGCCATGCGTCGTTCGAGACCTGTCGGTTGGCCGTGGAAGTGGAACGAGATGATGATGGCCAGGGACACCACGCCCAGGTACATAGAGAGCCGGAGCCAGGAGAGGAAGGTTCGTTCGTTGGCGCAGTGGTCGCGGGCGTCGGAAGTGGCGTTTTCGAAAAGTAGGGCGCCGAAGATGGGTCGGGTGAGGAAAATGTGTTGGTTGTCTTCGAGATGGCTTTCCCCGGTTTCCCGTTAGTTGGGCTCTGTGAGTGAGAGCGTTTGTAGTACTCACTCATTTACCATGACAGGTTTTGAGTTCGTCATGTTGATGAGGGGGTTGTAAGGTGGGCGCTGCGAGGACGATGCCTCGGGTCCTTCTTGGACGTCTGCCATGTTGGCGGAGTGTCGACGACGATGGGGGAAGGATAGTTGTGATTCTGACGTTTCATCAACAACAGGGGGGCATGTTGCTTCTTCAGACGAGCGACAAGCAGCCCCGGGACTCGTCGTCCTCTTCGTAGGCCGCTGGTGTCGAGGAAAGAAAAGGCCGGCGTGGATGGAGCATCCGATGACTGGCCCACGTGACGGGTCTATGCTCGTTCGGGAATGATGTCATGTGTCTTGAGTCCCCCTCCCGTTGAGTGCATCGCGTTGCTCTTCTTGTGAAGTCTTCCATCATGCTTGGAACCCCGGTTCTTTGCGGAGTGGACACCGCAAGTCATGAACTGACAGATCTTGATCGGCAACCTCCACCCGAAGCAAGAATGTCTTTGGAACCCACGGCTGCGCCCTTTGACGGTGGGGTTGCCAATTGCGGGGCGGCTGGGAGCGGCTGGCTGCTGTTATTTGATCTTCATTATTGAAGAGCTATCCTCGTAGGGAATGGTCATGTTTACACCGACCATTTCCTCGCTGACTACCCTTGCGTGCTCCATGCCTGCAACTGGTGCTCCGACAGCAGTAGCAAGGATGCGCGGTATAACGCCAGTATAGACAATCATGAGTCACTGACCAATGCGCGCAGTGGATCCCGCTCTTTGTAGGGTTTAATCTCTGGGAGGCAAAATTCTGTCGATTGTCTCCGAAGTCCGAACGAAACTAACCTAAGCTAAATACTAAAAGCTAGTTCCGTCCCCGCTTCGCGCCTTGCAGTCTGCTTACTTTTTTTTTTCTTTCTTCCTTTCCGTCTTTCCGTCTCGCTCGCTCGCTCGCCCTTTCTCTCTCTTGCGAGTCAAGAACTCTGAGGCTTCTCATTCTCTCGTACTCCGTCTCATCCAAGAGTCATGCGGGGGTTTAGTGGCGGACTAAACCATAACTAAATCCAATTAGATTCTCAGTTGATTGATTCATTGACTCACTTCATTTTTACTCATTTATAGCCATCATGGCCGGTGCCAAGAATGCGCGTTCGCTCAGCGCAGCAGAACAGCAGACCATCCAGGGACAATTCCGGTCCAGTTCCCCCCTCGCAGAGACGGCGATTGCTCGGGACTTGGAGAGTTATGCGGACGACGAAAGCTCCGCGCTAACTACTGACGACGATGCGTCCGAGACGTCTACGATCCGCGCGATGAACAGCCACACCGGCACGAACCCCCATTCCCTAGCTGGCTCGTACCAGCGGCCGAGCTTCTTTACCACCGTATCCCATGCGACGGTTGTGCCCCACCGCGCGGAGCATGAAGGGTTGACGCGGAGGGAGCGCGAGCAGGCCATTGAGGACGAGCGGAATCTTCTTAGCGATAACAATGTCGTGGGATCTGCTGGACCGAGGAAGGAACGGCGGAGCCAGGATTCCGGGGCGAGGCCGGTGGAAACCACGTCTTTACTGGGCCCTCGACGCGCAAGCTCGCATTCGAATGCTGAGGATGCTGATGAGATTGATCGCAAGTGGGAGGAGGCAGTGATGGCCGGGTTGATTCACACGACGTGGAAGCGGGAAGCACAGGTCATTGGGAAGAATGCCGCGCCGTTAATGGTTACCTTTCTCTTGCAGTACTCTTTGACGGTGGCTAGTATCTTCACGCTGGGTCATCTGGGCAAAAAGGAACTGGGCGCGGTCAGTCTGGCCAGTATGACAGCGAATATCACCGGATATGCGGTCTACCAGGGCCTCGCGACCAGTTTGGATACGCTGTGCGCTCAGGCCTACGGGTCTGGCCGGAAGAAACTGGTGGGTCTGCAGATGCAGAAGATGGTCTTTTTCCTCTGGATCATATCTGTACCGATCGTCGTTTTGTGGTTCTTTGGAGACCGAGTCCTTCTTCGGATTGTGCCGGAAAAAGAAGTTGCGCAGCTGGCCGGCCTGTATTTGAAAGTGGTTGCACTGGGCGCTCCGGGATATGCCTGCTTTGAGAGTGGGAAGCGTTACGTGCAAGCGCAGGGCCTGTTTTCTGCATCCCTGTACGTTTTACTTATCTGTGCGCCTGTCAATGCGTTCATGAACTGGCTGTTTGTTTGGGTACGTACCACTGGCTTTGATAGCTCTATCTACCGATCTGTCAAGCTAACAAACACTAGAAATTCAACTGGGGATTTGTTGGTGCTCCGATTGCAGTGGCCATCACGGATAACCTCATGCCTCTTTTCCTATTCCTTTACGTATATTTTGTCGCCGGTGGCGAGTGCTGGAACGGATTTACTTACAGAGCCTTCCGCAACTGGGGCCCAATGGTCCGACTTGCTCTGCCTGGTTTGCTTATGGTCGAGGCCGAATGTCTTGCCTTTGAAATCCTGACGCTGGGGTCTTCGTACCTCGGCACAACTCCCCTGGCAGCGCAGTCGGTCTTGTCTACGATCTCCAGCATTACCTTCCAGATTCCTTTCCCTCTCTCGATTTCCGGTAGCACGCGGGTCGCGAACTTGATCGGAGCGACCCTGGTCGACGCCGCTAAAACATCCGCCAAAGTGACTATGGTCGGTGCTGTGATCGTCGGTCTGCTCAACATGCTCTTCCTGTCTTCCCTGCGCGACTACATCCCTCGACTCTTCACATCGGACGAAGAAGTTGTCGAACTCGTTGCGCAAGTCCTTCCCCTTTGCGCCGCATTCCAACTTTTCGACGCTCTAGCCGCCAACTGCAACGGTATCCTCCGAGGAATCGGCCGGCAGGAAATCGGCGGCTATGTCCAGCTCTTCTGCTACTATGCCATCGCCATGCCAATCAGCTTCGGCACCACTTTCGCTCTCGGCTGGGGCCTGTTCGGTCTGTGGTCTGGCGTCGCTCTCGCTCTTCTCCTGGTGTCGATAATCGAAGCGGTGTTCCTCCGCCAGACGAACTGGGACCGGTCCGTCGAGGACGCATTGGAACGAAATGCTGCGACGTAGACTCCACCCCCTCTTTCTTGTAATTGCGTGCACATATATATATGATCGACGTGTAACAGTTTTGGTTGGCTTTTGTGACTTCATTGCATGTTCGTACCATGAGAATGTACAAAAGTTTCCTTTGGGGATACCCTTTACGTGGTCATGATTATGTATAATGTTCTGTTTGTGTGTTGACTTCAATTGTTTCTTGGTTTTAACTCTGTGGTTTGAAACTCGCGTGTGACTAGAATGAACATATTACTACTACCATATTTTTTTGGTATTCCCATATCATACCTAGTTAGTCTGCAGAAGAATACATAGCCTCAAACTCGGAATAAGCATTAATACACTAACTTCATGACCTTGCAATTCCTGTTTCATAGACTTAAAAAAGAAGTTGCTCTTAAAAAAATACATATAAATCAACCATGAATAAATCTTTTATCCCCAACCACATGAATAACGAAAAGCCTCGCAACCATAGTAAACATACTCAACTCCACGAGAGGCAGAAAACAAACGACGAAGAAACAGTGAAACTAGTAATCCAACAGGGCCCAAGTCTGCTCATCCACCGTCGGAAAGATCATACCCGCCGTCAACAGCTCGTCTCCGGCGCGCGACACATCGGGCAACGGCAGACCCAACTTCGCCGCGATCATCTGGACGTGCAAGCCTTCGTTATTCTGCGGCTCCGTCTTCAGGAGATTGTAGACGCGCTTTGCGGCGGGCGTCATAGAAGGCAAAGCCCGGTTCCCAGCCGCTCCGTAATCATCGACGCCGCCCATCGAGGCATCACCTCCGGCCCCAACCGCATTACCGCCAGCGCCGCCAGCGCCAGCACCACCCGGGGGACCCCTCGTGAAAAACAAATGCACCGCGGCAGCCTCCAGCAGATGGAAATGCAACTCATTGATATCCGTCACAGGACGAACAGAATGCGCGCCCACAAACCGCTTATTCCCGAACGCCTTCAATTTGCCGAAGATCTTCGCGTAGCCGTTTAACTCGACCTGATCCTTTCCAGGCTTGCCGGGTCCCTTGGCGCCGTCGTCCGTGTCCATGTTATCGGCTGTCGTAGAGTCGATCCACTGCTTCGCTTCGATCTCGCCGGTGCCGTCGTCGATCTTGTATGTGACGTTTGTGCTCTGCGAGCTGATATTGCGGACTTGTCCGATGAAGCAGAGGCTTGAGACGTCGGCGCCGTCGATCTGATAGTTCGCTTCTGGGTAGGGCTGCGAGGCGTCGAGTGCTTGTTTGACGGTGATAGGGCGGAGGGTGGTGTTGTTGAAGTCGCCCTGCGGAGGGAAAAGAGAGAGATGTTAGTAGAGGGGGGTGACGGTGGGTGGGATAATGAGGTCTTTGGTACCTTTCCACCCGCTGGGCTGTTCGCTTCGCCGGGCATGAAGCCGCCGCCGCCGCCGCCGGAGCCGTATTGCGAGTTTCCGTAGCTGTTGTAGTTATCTGGATGAAGGGTGCAGATATTAGCGATGAGGTGCGCGAGAAACTGGAATATTTGCCAGAATGCTGAGGAGGTAGAAGAGGGAAGAGGTAATTACCCATATTAGTTTATCAAAGAGTAGGCAGCTCTGTGTGTGTGCGTGCTGGTAAATCCGGGACAGTGAGTGCAGAACTGTGAAAAAGAAGGCGACAAGCAGTGAACATCAATCATTATCCATTTTACCGCTTCGGGACGTGTTGGACGCGTCGCGGGGGACCTGTATGTTTGCCTTGTTTGCATCCCTGAGTCGGGAGCTCGGGCTCGAATTGATCCGTTATTCTTCACCGCCTTGGGAACTTTTTTTTTTCTCTGTCAAAAAAAAGTTCGAGGCCAAGCCGACGAGGAGGAAAACAATAACTTCCAGATCAGTTCGATTTTTCGACTGATTATCAATACCTCAACATGCCTGCTCGTGCTCGACGAGCGGCCTCTCCGGCGATGTCGGAGAACGAATTCGACATCACGAATGCCCTGTTTCAGAATGATAGCGATTCCGACAACGAGCAACAGTCTGCGAAAGCCTCCAAGCGGCCGAAGCCCGCCCCGGCACAGGACCTGGATTTTCTCGGAGGAGCAGGAGCTGCCGGCGACGATGACGATGATAACGACGAGGCGTTTATCGCGGAGAAGCAGGCATCTGCGAACCGGAAGGGATCGAATCTCAAGGGTCGCACGGTGAAGAAGGGTGGTGGATTCCAAGCCATGGGATTGAATGCGAATCTACTGAAGGCGATCACTCGGAAGGGTTTCTCGGTGCCTACGCCGATTCAGCGAAAGACCATCCCCGTGATCATGGACGACCAAGACGTTGTCGGTATGGCTCGAACGGGATCCGGAAAGACCGCTGCGTTCGTGATTCCGATGATCGAGAAGTTGAAGGCGCACAGCACCATGATCGGATCGCGAGGATTGATTATGTCGCCGTCCCGTGAATTGGCGTTGCAGACGCTGAAGGTCGTCAAGGAGCTGAGCAAGGGCACGGATCTGAAGTGTGTTCTTCTGGTTGGTGGTGATAGTTTGGAGGAACAGTTCGGAATGATGGCCGGCAACCCGGATATTGTGATCGCGACTCCCGGACGTTTCTTGCATTTGAAGGTGGAGATGAATCTCGACTTGTCCAGTATCCGATACGTGGTGTTCGATGAGGCCGATCGACTCTTCGAGATGGGTTTTGCCGCGCAGTTGACCGAAATTTTGCACGGTCTGCCTCACAATCGTCAAACGCTACTGTTCTCCGCTACGTTGCCCAAGTCGCTGGTAGAATTCGCCCGGGCCGGCTTGCAGGAACCTACTCTGATTCGTTTGGATACCGAGAGCAAGATCTCTCCTGATCTTCAGAATGTTTTCTTCTCCGTGAAGTCCGCGGATAAGGAAGGATCTTTGCTTTACATCCTTCATGATGTTATTCAGATGCCCGTGGGTCCCACTGGGGTGCGTGAGAGGGTCTACGACGAGACGCTCGACCCGAAGAGCCCGAATTTCAAGAAGCGAAAACGCCCAGACTTTGGAAAAAAGAACATCTACAAAGAATCCCCGACAAAGCACTCGACCATCATCTTCGCGGCGACAAAACATCATGTGGACTTCTTGTACGGCCTTCTGCGCGAGTCTGGATTCGCCACATCCTACGCCTACGGCTCCCTCGACCAGACTGCCCGGAAGATCCAGGTGGAGAACTTCCGCAGGGGTGTCTCCAACATCCTGGTTGTGACCGATGTCGCAGCCCGTGGTATCGATATTCCTATTCTTGCCAACGTCATCAACTACGATTTCCCCTCCCAGCCTAAGATCTTTGTCCATCGTGTTGGTCGAACGGCTCGTGCCGGGCAGAAGGGATGGAGTTACAGTCTTGTTCGCGACTCCGACGCGCCTTATTTGCTCGACCTGCAGCTCTTCCTCGGAAGACGGTTGGTGGTTGGCCGCGAACAGGGCGACCAGGTCAACTTCGCCGAGGACGTGGTGGTCGGCAGCATTCCCCGAGACGGTCTGTCGCAGCGCTGCGAGTGGGTCACCAGAGTTTTGGATGACGATGCGGACGTCGCAGCGCAGCGGCTGGTGGCCACCAAGGGAGAGAAACTTTACATGCGGACTCGTAACGCCGCCTCGCTCGAAAGTGCCAAGCGAGCGAAGCAGGTTGTGAACTCCGAGGGCTGGTCCCATCTCCATCCCCTCTTCAACGAACCGGAAAACAACATGGAGGTGGAGCGCGAAAAGATGCTGGCGGTCATCGGAGGGTTCCGACCGCAGGAAACGATCTTCGAGGCGAACAGCCGACGCAACGGAAAGCACGAGAGCGAGGAAGCCATCGATACGATCAAGCGAGTCCGCGCGACGCTCGACTCGAAGAAAAAGAACAAATCGCAGGCCGATGGACAGTCGGAGTTTGTGGAAGAGGCAGCAACGACGGGTGCCGACGACGGTGAACAGGCTGGTGGTGCTGCTGGTGACAACGAAAATGACGAAGACGAAGGCCAGGGCCCGGCTGACAACATGTCGCTGGCTGACGAGTCCGATCTCGAAGTGACATTCTCGTCCTATTCGCAACCCAACAAAGCGAAGGACACGACGGCCTCCTTCCAAAACCCGGAATTTTTCATGTCCTACATGCCCAACACCACCAACTTGGCCGAAGATCGCGCCTACGGTGTACACACCGGCACCAACGTCAACTTCACGCAGGCCTCCCGCGGTGCGACCATGGACCTGCTCGGCGATGAAGGTGGCAAGAATTTCGCCGAACCTCGCACGCAGGTGCGCTGGGACAAGCGACACAAGAAGTACGTGTCACGGCAAAACGACGAGGACGGATCCAAGGGCGCGCACCTGGTTCGCGGCGAGAGTGGCGCCAAAATCGCGGCCAGTTTCCGCAGCGGCCGATTCGACGCCTGGAAGAAGGGCAAGCGACTCGGCCGCATGCCGCGGGTGGGTGAGGCAGAGGTCTCCGGCATGGGCGCCGACCTGCACAACCAGATGCACGGCAAACGCTTCAAGCACAAGAAGGAGCAGGCTCCCAAGCGGGCGGATCCTCTGCGTGCGGATTACGGCAGGATGAAGAAGAAGGGCGACGCTGCGCGGGAGCGCCATCTCTCGAAGGCTGGTGGTGCGGCGTCCAGCGGTAAGAGCGAGATCAGGAACACCGATGACATCCGGTTAGCGCGAAAGCAGAAGCAGAAGCGCAGGGAGAAGAATGCTCGCCCAACGAAGAAGAGAAACTAGACAGGCTGGTGTACAATTGTCTCTGTTGATGGGATGAGAGACCTCCAGGGTTTAATGTATATATTGATACCATTCTGTTTTACGAGAGCCGAGCAAATAGATGCTCTGTGGAAATATCTTCAAAAGTTCAACACTGCCCCGAGATGATGCTATCTTGACACCTCTATGTAAATCCTGTCTAAACAAAATCATACCAGAAAACATAAACATCAACAAATAAACAACACTTTTTTCTCCAAGAGCCGCCAGCCAACCAACCAAGCAGCCAAGAACCAGAACCAACCGGTACATTTCCAGACCGCCATAAGCAAGACAAGAAAAGAAAATAAACAAAAAAAGAAAACTTCCACTCCCAAGCCAACAACAGTCACCACAGACACACACACAGACAGGCAGATCCAGAACCCATAATTCAAAATAAAATAATAATCATAACAATAAGGCTCCATACGTATGCGCGCATGCATGCATACATGACATCGACATCGCTACCCAATCCAATTCTCCGCCACAACGGAGATCAACTAACTAACTCACCTTACATGGACATGGGTCGTGAATGGGTGGCTAGAAAGGAAGAAAGGCCAGAGAGATCCACCTCCACCTCCATCTCCACCGCCAAAGTAAGAATCTGGGACGCATCGGATTCAATAAAAGACATGTCACATTGCCGCATCACATCATATCACATTCACGTCCTGTTTGGGGTTAGTTAGTGGGATTAGTTAGTCCCCTAGGAATTGGGGAGGGAATATACTGTATACTAGAAACAGTGTAGGTAGGGTAATAGGTATGTATGTGGTGGTGGAATTGATTCTGGGGGCTTCTACTCGGTAGTGGAAGTAAGGAAGCCAATTCACCATCACCGTAACAAAGCAGGTTCTTCTTTCATATCAAAAGCAAAATGTCTAGATACTACGCTATGGGATAATACCTCCAACTAAGACTCTATAAAAAGCTACTCAATTAAGTACCCAGAAGAGTAAACTCACCTGCAGGTTCTTGGCTCCGAAACAGCCCGAGAGACTATTGGATGTGCGGACAGGAAAAATGTGACGTGGTGTGGATTTTGTCGTCAGTTTGCTTGGTACACAACTAGTTAGCAGTTGTAGGTTAGTCTTATCACGTACAGCATGTACAATGTATGTATGTACCTATGTATGTGCATTCTGACTGATTTACTATGTTTGGTAGGCTTGATGGCTGGGTAAGCTGCGCTGTGCGTATCTATTACATGCCTTAGTTATATTTTAGCTGGGCTGGGTTAAGGTGTTGATGTTGACGATGGGATTCAAGTGCTGGGAATTGGAAGAGTGTCTGGGTTAATTTAGTGGGAACAGGTACTTAGGTATTTATTTTGAAGTACGGAGTCGTGTGTGTGTGGTGAAAGGGTAGTCCTATGCCGATATACTGTCGCCCTAATCACAAACTAGAGCTATATGTAGATTATAGACGGACAAGAAATCTACCTCATCCTCAACCCATTCAACTTAAAGACAAAATTAGGATTAGGTTGCATTAAGTCGGAAAGGACCGGGATCGACGACATGGATTTTGACTTAGCATACTGCGAGCGTGTGGGTGCGTTGGAACCTATGAGTTGCTAACTACATGCTGACATACGTCTAAAGTTAACTGCCGAGCACAATGTTAACCCTTTCCAGCTGTCCTGTCCAGTTCAAATAGCCCGCCTGTAGTAAACATGCTTCAAGGAGTATGTCGCCGTAGACTTCAAGTTAAGTCTACAGACAGGTCGTACTAAGTATGGTAGGACAGCAGGGGGCATGCTCCACAGCTGCGAATACAACAAACATCCCGTTAAGAAGTTTATTAATTCTGGTGTATGGAGTACAGTATGTAAATGGTGGAAGCGAGTGACTACACTACTGTAAGTGACTTGATAGCTGACCACTACTGCTCTCTTGGCGCTTTTGATCCATTCCCCTCTTCCCCTACGGAGGATATACCTACCTCCCCTATGTTAGCAGGTACCTACATATACGACAGACAGCGTGATCATGCTAGCTATTAAGTGCTAGCACTAGCCAGAGTAATAGTCTTGCCGTAGGTAACTGGGCTAGATAGTCCTATTCTTTTGAATATGGATGACCTGAATGGGCCCATAGAGAATCAGCATGAACGGAGTAACTCGCTACGGAGAGAAACGAATATCTCCCCCGGGAAGAAACCGTCACAACATTTTTTATCCAATTCGCTTCGGGAGAATATAGGACATATCTCGTCAATTATTGAGTAACCCCCTTCCATCCGAGGGTCCGGGTATAGTTCCGCGACGAAAGGGGGGTTTTCTTTCGTTATTTTCCCATTGCGGTCCGATCCGAGGGAATTATTGATTTTATTTATATCTTCCTTGTAATTCTTTCTATCTCCACGGCAGAATATCCGACTTCTGAGTCGAGAGTCGCGAAGCAAATGAAAACGATAGAAGAGAGAAGAACAAAAAGGTCTCTCATAATAGGCATTATGACGAGAAGGTCTTTATTGCCGACTTGCAGAAACCTTGATACTGGTCACATCCTCACCGACACTCCGGCGAACTCACTTCATCTCAACCTCAACGTCAACCCCGCAACCCCGAAGAATAGAAGGGTTCCAACGCAGATGACGGATCATTAATTCATCCCTTGATGGTGGGCGGAGTTAAACGGTTCTTTCTCTTTTTTTTTTTTTTTTTTTTTTTTCAGATTTCTAGATAATCCGGCCATTTGTCCAAGGATCACTAACCGCCTACGCCGACATACATTGCACTGTACATACAGGTCGAGCAAGCGGTCGATCTGGTTCGCTCTCAAGGCCGCGTCGGCCGAGTCCCATGAACCCAGTCTTTTACTTTATGGAATTAACTTGATTGAGTTATTTTTCCTTCCCCCCTCTTGCGATTTCGACGCGCCACCCTCGCGTAAGCAGTCGTGGTAAGCAGGCAGAAAGACAAGCCAGTCAGTCCTTGCTCTGACCTTCCGAATGCATGGGAAACTATTGATAGAGGGTCCGCTTGGCCCTATGGTCGCTGCAACTGCAAGAACCAGCATTTCCCAACTTTCTGGGCCGTCACGAGGAAGACCCGAAGACCGACGATGTACGATCAATACTCAATATGCACCGTAGATAGGCGACAGGTCGGATGTCCAGAGTCTAGATCGAGAAGGGTAGGTGGTAGAAAATGCAAGGGAAAAAAATCATTGATGGGTGGTGACTAGGGCGTTTTGACTCTGCGCGATCTTCCCTGTTTTCTTTCCTTTTCTTTTCTTCTTTACTCGTTATTGCCATATTCCCCACCCGATAGACAAGTATCCTTCCCCTCCGAGGAGAAAAAAAGTCTGGGTCAGGATCATCGGATATCCATGTCAGCGCATTCGAGGATCGTGCGATTTTCATCGTCCGCTGGCGACCGGGGGGATTCCATGACCATTGGTCGTTTTCTTCCGATTTGGTCGTCATGCGAGATGAACGGACAGGAAATGGCCTCTTCGTTCTGGTATCTGGCGCCGGCGGAATCTCCTATCAGAGCGTGCGCCCAATCGTTCTGATCCTTTGATCCTCGTCTATCCCGGCTTACGTGGAATGCCACCTTGATCGGTGGATGTTGAGTTTGGGCAGTCGCGACGCAAGACCAATGTGCTGGAGGGTGCAGGTCTGGAAAATTAGTAGCTTATGATGTCTGGACAGACTTAGCAAAGTTCCTCGTGATGGCTTTGTGCTTGCGAGACTTGTCGTTTTTTCTTCTTCTGTTCCTGCACAGTTTGAAAGAAAGACGTAGAGTAAATTTGCAAAACAGTCTCAAGAAACCAGACAAGGAGATGTAATTACCGAGTTTCCAATAAGCTTTGGGCCATATGAGTTGGCTATACAGAAATTTTCAACAATAAAAATATACATAATGAAAAATGAAGCACTGGAGGTGTCATATGGTCGTTGGCAGTTTCTCACCGGAGACAAGTATTCCGAGTATTCAAAGGCCAAGAAACAATAGTTCTTTACCATAGTAGACAAGAGAGAGAAGGAGATATCCAGTAGAATAGGGGCAGAAAGGGGAAGGAAGGGGAAGAAGACACGGGAGGGACATACCACGATAGACATCGTCTGCCGACTTCCTGACTCGTTATGGATGGTCAGTCCCCAATTTCACATGCGTCCGACGACTTCTCCTGTCTTGCCTGTCCGCACCGCTGTACTCCGTATACATCACAGGGACCTTCAGGGTCATAGTCGGGAGGACCCTTTCGGAAGATTATCTCGTGTCGCCCACGCAATTGGGACGTACCGCGTCAAGTGCCACGGGAAAAGCGGGTGTGTTAGGAAATGGGGGTGATACTTTCTCATTCCGCCATGGCCGGCGAATTTCCTGATGCCTCCCGGAGTCTAATCATTTTTTTTTCTTATTCTCTTTTTGTTTGTTTCCGGCCTCACCCGTCGAGGAGAATATTGACAATCAGGGGAATTTGACGGGAAAAAGCACAGACTGCAGACCGGCCAGGATCAGGGCTAGAAGTGACGGAGGGGAGACAGAGGAATTGTCCGCCGGGATTCAAGTCGGCTGCAAAATGGCATGATCGAGGAAATTAAAACCAGTCGACAAGGAAATCAATAGTCTATAGTCCAAACTCCATAGTGAGGATGAAACTGATAGTCGGCTTGAGCCTCGCCGGGAGGTGACAAATACCCTCGCCCAATTAATTCTCTCTGCTCCACCGGGTTCTGGCCCGGGCACGGGACCGCTAATCCCCTTGGAGGCTAGCGCGGATCAACCGGGATCACGGGGCCGCCGGTTCGCGTCGTCCGCCTTTTCGTGTCTCGTTCTTCAGCTTCTCCTCCATGTCTCTTCGGGTGACACCGCAGCCCATGTTATGTTGACTGACTGTCCTCAGGTGGTATGGTCTCACCCTGCACGCATCTCATTTTTTCTTCCTCTATCCTTCAATTCCTATCTGCATTCGACATCATCAGTCCCTGACTCAGGGTCTTGGCCTTTTCCTGGGCGGGAAAAAGGAGCCCAGAGACGGAGCTAAAGGGCTTTCTGGACCCAGTGGCTCGAACTATTGGCCCTCGTCGGCCCCTAAAAGGCAGATCGTGCTGATGTCTTCCGCTCCGGCCTGCATGAACCGCTTACTTTGGCTTAGGACTAGAAGTAAGAACAAACCATCCTCTCTCTTTCTTCCTGCCTTTCTCTCCTTTTAGGGCCCGACAAAGACCAAAGTAGATCATCTGGCCCCTTGCTGCTGCTGCTGTCCCCGCGTTCCACATTTTCTCGGGCTCTCCAATTTCTTTTTCCTTATGCTTTTTCCCACGTTGAAGGCCGAGAAACTGACTACGACGCGACAATTACGGGTTTGTCGCGATTTGTTCATTTGTTAATGGCTGTCTTGTCTTGATTCTCGGTTATCCCTTTTTATTTTCCATTCGTCTCGTTTCTTTTTGACCGTATCTTCCAGTACCTCTACTTTCAATCTTTTTTTTTTTTTTCCTGCCTTACAGTTGATCCCCCGCATCACAGCGTTCATCTCGTAGAACTGACTCCAAAGGGACTGGCGATACAACTCAGAGACAAACCAGAACCGAAAGAATAATAAGCAAAGAGTGTGGACAGCTCAGAGAATTCCCCAACGTGACTCAAGTTTGAATCTCCCCCTTTCAGTCCAAATTCACGACTCGGCCGGTTTGTACCGACCGGGTGAAAACAATTCATGTGGGATCTTCAAATGGGAAATTGGCACCCGAAAAGAACAAAACAAAGAATTCCCGAGAAAAAAAAAAAAAGATCTACTACTCCCACCGTTCCAGGTCATGCATTTACATCACTTAAAAAACCGTTGTTAATCCGCCGTCAATTGGTCCCTCCACTTTCCCATGCTGAACAGAGCTGGTGGGCCTGTCGCCCTCTTATCAGACGGGCCATTACTCTGTGCCAGCGGATGGATGAATGGCCCCTGGAGATTGTTCACAAATTGTCCGGGGCTCAGGTGACCACCAGCCTAGACTGATGTTTGTTCCACTGGTCAGGGCGCTGCTTGCTGCAGCCACATCTTGATCGAAAAATAATAATCTCTCCCTCACTTCAACCGGACATTAAGGACATGTGTCGAGGTGTCTCAAAGGCTTGACTGTCTTACCATGCAAAGTCGGTCGGGACCTCACGTATTTCACGACACAAGTCGTATGCCCAGGCCACCACTTGCCGGCCTGGTCTACGTAGCGCGTGCGGTAGAATCATCATCGTTTATGATGGCGACTATGGAGAATATGAGGCCATGATGATTGACACTGATCGTCTCTAACGGTCAGCTCAATAGATCTCTTCACGTCTCTATATTTTAAAGTTAAACATACGATCACGCGAGTTAGCTGAGCTGCAAGTGCAATCCTACATGGACTATCGTCGTCTGTTTCCTTTTCTGTGCAAGGGAACGGGAGAAAAACAAAATTATTACCACGTCAAAGAGAAAAAGAAAAAGACAGAGCGAGGAAAAAATGGCCTGACGGAACAGGCTGGATGATCTCTCAAAGACCATGCGTCGCCTATCTTCGAAGTACCGACGTCTTCCTAGGTCGGATCCCTCCTCCCCCCAGTCTAGACGGCATGCGATGCAGGTGGAACATAATCAGACACGCCAATGAACGGACTGGCAGGCGACAGCAAAGTACATTTTGAACACTGCCCAGCCGGGTGGGTCGGTCCATCGACTCCAGAGCCACTGCGGAGAATTGTTGTCTCTCATTCCAATGCTCGGGGCTATTGGGGCTGGCGTCATCTGTCAAGCACAGTTTCCCGTAAACCCCCTCCTTTCACCACGATGCTGTCCGGCTAGTCCAATTGACAAATAATGTTTGCGACAGGCAGATCATAACATCATAGGTGTCTCGTGCGTCTAGGGGACCGGTTCGTCGCCATTGTGGCTTCAGAGAAGGAATTCGGATCTCCTGTGGATCAGTAGAACGAACAGGTTCTGTCAGATGAACCAGTCTCCTACCACCACTTTTTACAGTAAAACGACGCTGCCTTCAGGAGCTATTTTCAGTAATCGCTACCAGGTCGACGATAAAACCCAGAGATAAAACCGGAGAAAAACAGAAACAGAAAAAAAGAAGAAAAGGAAGAAAGGGAGAAGACAACAAACGACGAGACAAGAGAAAAAAAGAAAGGAATCAAATGATTCATTGGATCCTATTGTGCCCAATTATGGAGCAAGAAAATGACAATGGCGGAGAAATGAATGGCATGAAGAGGATTCGCCGTCTCATGAGTAATGGGGCTTTTTTCTTTTCTTTTTCCGTTTTTTTTTTCTTCATCTCCATTTCCCCTTTCCCCTTGAATTGATGTTGGTTCTCATATTCCAATTGATCTTTGTGAATTTCTATGCTCGCTTGAACCGACATCCGACCGAGATAATCAGCCAAACGAAGGCAAGTGTCGACGAAGGGCCCTGACCAAAACCAGAGTGAGACGATCCAGGGTTGTCTGGATTTGGGAAGCTCCGCCCAATCCATTGGATTGACAAGCTTAAAATCCTGGCCTGCAAAAGCCCCCAACATCGACACCATTCGGTAGTGCCAGCTGACTATTGGCAATGGGATGCAGCGGGGCGGGCGCCGACGTCGATCCGTCGCTCCCTCGCCTTGCTTGCTCAGCTTAGACCTTTTTGGATTTTATTTTTTTGGTTTTACTATTATTCTCTTCTTGTCTTGGTATACGACTGTCTGGCCCTTTTTTTTCTTTTCTTTTCCTTTCTTTTCTTAGTCTTACCCCTCTCTTAACCCCTTTCGGACGGTGTCACTGACAGCAATGGCCATTCCTTCTCCCCCATTCTAATGCAAGCCACGGCTACTCCGTCTCCAGCATGGGCAGGAAGAGACAAATGGGAGATGTTCGTGCAGAGTAACAAGAAACAAAAAATTAAAACAGGAAAAAAAAAGCAGCAAAACGCAGAAAATTCTCCCCAAGTCAAACACAACCCAAAAGGACAGACATGTCTTAAGATTGAGCTCATTGGACTGGATCCCCCGGAGGATTGGAACTATTTCGCTCTTCCGATGGAAAATAACTCCCCTAAACCAAGCCAGACATACTCGACACCTCTCCGGAGGGAGGGAATTAAAAAAAAAGAAGAAAAAAAAATTAAAAAATAAAATAAAATGAGATCTACCATGATGGAGATCCAAGTCTATCGGCTGCTAGTCTCGCTGGCACTGGCCACCATTTATCCACCTTGGGTTTCCATTCCTTTTGCCGACCTGCTGAAGCCTATAAGCCTTGTTCATGGGGCCTGCAGGTAAAAATAAAAATAAGAAAAGGACCAGGATCCTTACGACCCTCCCCTCGTTTGAAGGTGATGTTCAAAGAAACTTGATCGCTTGACTTTTAGTGGCATCACTTTGATTGACGAGGGTTTCTTCTTTGGACTTGAAAATATCCCTGACCGTTACGTAGAGAACTAGCTTCCTATCCAGAAGGAACGAACGACGACGCTAGATCTGGGGGGGAGATCAGTATTTTCCCTTCCTCTCTCTATTTCTTTCCTTTCTTTTTTCTTTTTCTGTGGTGTGCAGGGGAAAAAATAATTGATTGAATATTATTTGGGAGGATTTTAATTCCCCCTTCTGACGTTTTTTCTCTCCGCTGGGCGCAACAGGCCAGTGTGATCCCGCCGGAATTTTACGCCTCACTTTCTACTTCTTCTATACTTCACCGTTTCTTCCCTCTGCCGTCTTATATCCGATACGAACCAACCAAACCAGAAATTCTTGGGACACATTCAAGACACTGGCAGAGGTGACGTTACCAGTTTCGAACAGGTAAGGTGCAAATTGGTCCCTGCGTGTATTTTTCTTTGTCTTTTCCCTGTCTTTTCGTATTTCTTTTCTTTTTCTTTTTCTTTTTTACCCTGTCAATTAATTAATTAATTTGTCTCCCCTTCCTTCTGCGCTTGTTCTTCTGGCTCCATTGATCGCCCACCATGCTGCAATAAATCATCCCAGGATGGAGACCATCGAAGCCATGGAAAAAACTGCCGTCACGATCTGGGAAGTCGTTGCTGATCATCACATCCTATTTTATGACTCCTCCAATGGTGACCGAGTACTGACTCGATTATAAGCTCCTGGTGGTCCCTAAAAACAGCCTGCCAAAGCGTGGACTTGTCAGTGATGACGGGCGATTGAGTCGGACACCTACACCTCGCACTTTACACGCACACACCGACTTCGCAGGTTTTAGAAGGGAAAAAGGGACATTTATTGCTTGGGCCTGCCAGATATGCTCCCGCTTTCAATATTCCACCCATTTCGTCCTCCCTTCCTGTGAACTCGTGTCCGTTCGTCGTCCCCGTAGACCCAGGGACCCCTATCATCACCAGATGCAATCATTAGTGCTTCCCCCTTCATCCTTCATCGCCACGGAATTTGGACATCCCAGATTCGATCCGGTACCGGACCGGCTTCCCTTGAATCTGTCCCGATCAACAAATGCTCGACGCTGCACTCCGCGGGACCTTCCTCTCCCTCGCTCTATGTCCGACTCGGTCCCGGCAGAGGACCCGCTGGACACTTCTGCAAACGTCCGACGATTTGGTCATCCGGAGCTTCCCCAGCCAGTGACGACTGTGGCCTCTTCGTCGGCGTCGTCAACCGCAGCCACGATACCAGCCGGAGCAGCGCCGGGCTCCCTTCTCATCTCCGGATCGCCCGCCACCACGGCGACCGTTCACGAGTCGCCCTTGCATCGCGTGGCCCCCGCTCAGGGTGACGACTTCTCGCGACCAGTCTTTGGCCTCGCTGATACCTTTTCGGCGTCGCGGTTACCACCGACACTGGGAAGTCAGGTCCCGCCGCCACCTCCTTCCGCACCGACCTATTCGCAGACGACCTTCGGGCCCTCATCGTCTCCGGCAACGGGCGCTCGTGGAATACCCCAGAAGCCTACGAGACGGACTAAGGCCCACGTTGCGTCGGCATGCGTGAACTGCAAGAAGAAGCATTTGGGTTGCGATCCGGCTCGACCTTGTCGAAGATGTGTCTTGTCGGGAAAAGAAGTAAGTCTTTTCGGGTCTTGGAGTCAATGGTTTCGACCGTTTATGCTGTCATGTTACGGTGTCAAGAAACGACCCATAAGGCAAATATGACAGGTAGCTAATCTTATTTCATGCAGGCCACTTGCGTTGACGTGACGCACAAGAAGCGAGGGAGGCCCCCCTTGAAAGCCGAAGAGGCTTCCCTTCGATCGTATCCAGCCCAAGTGGACAGTGGAGCGACGCCGGGGGGACTTCACGGACACCAGTCGAGACGCGCCATGCATCGAGCCACATCTTCCCGAGAAATTCGACCGATGACAGACCTGCAAATCCCCAGCGGACCACCCGGTGTGATGGGACTCCGAGCAGCGCCCATGCCGCCGCACAAGTGGCCGCCTTCAGTGTATCCCTCGAACCTCGACCCAGCCCTAACGATGCAAAGAAACATCGGCCACAGGCGATTTTCCTCATCCGGCTCGGTTCAATCCATCACGTCAGCCTCGCCCCCGGGTTTCATCCCCATCCCGGGTGCATACAACCCTGCGCTCGGGCAAGGCCGCATGCCCGTCGGGGTGGCAAGACCACTTTCATCGTACGGAAACCAGGCGTTCCATCCAGCCGCGTCACCTCCGCAATATCAGCAAGCTTACGGCCATCCGGTGTCTTCACCCTATGCCGACAGTGCGAGAATGGCAAATCGGATGGCAATGGGCGAGCCGCCCATGCGAGACCCCCGGGAATCCTATCTCGAATCGCCCGTTCGACTGCCTCCGATTTACCCTCCGACGATGGCTAGCCCGAGCTCCGGGTCTCAGCAACCCCACCGATCGAGTGATCCCTATTCGACGGGATGGTCTCCGCGGGCTCGCGACGAAGGCTTCGAGCCTCGACAACCTATGGCAGGCCATGGATTTCTAGATCCGATTTCGCCCGCCAGTCAGATGCGCCAGGCAATGTCCGAGGTGAGCTATGGCGAAACCGTCCCGCGAGCCTTGAGCGCCGTCGATCCTGCCGTTCAGCGTCATTCCTTGCAGCTGTCCTCTGGACGAGTCCGTGACGAAGAGCCAACGACTGAAGCTGATGCAGGTGAATCACGGCCGACGAAGAGGCGGAAAATGGCCCTAGACGATATGGTGAATGGCTAAAAAAAAAAAAACGCAACTAAAAAAAAAAGATCAATAAACAAGAAAACGGAAAGAGAAATAGAAAAGCCAAACTAACCTACGCAATCTTATCCTGACGACGACGACCGGAAACTTGCGCCTCCACTCTCTTGTTTTCGCCAACCCTCCTTACATCTCTCTCTCTCTCTCTCTCTCTTCGATTTCTGAAACGGCCAGAAACCCACCAATCCTTGATATTGTAGCCGGCTCTACAACGGTTAATGATCATAATGTATATTCTCCTTTGTTTCTGCGACAGTGATATTGACAAAAGCGTTTGTGCTATTAGCATTGGCAATTGGTCCTACTGTTTACATTAATGCCTGTCTCATATTCCCATTCCTCGCATGGCTCACACGGATTGTTCTTTCTTTCTTTCTTTCATTTGTGATTTAGTAATATCCCTAGTCATCTACCTACTACTCCCTATGTACAGATTTCGCCAAATAATTAGGACCGATCATGCTCATGTTCATGTTTTGTATCCTTCTATCCTTCCTGCTGGAACTGGAGTACTGCACTTCTTCCATCTATTCTCGTTTCTTTTCACTTCTTTTTCATTTGTTTGGAGATACTTTCTTTTGTTTGGAAACCGTTTTTACATCATTACATATTTTATCATGTCATATCAGTTCAGATAATATCATATCACTGCATATTATATAATATCTTGCATGAGCATCGGTCGTTCGGAATTATTGTTCTTTTTTCCCCTCATTCCTTTTGTTTTCTCGTTGCATGGTCTTGTTTTTGTGGAGCAAATTGATTGATTGATTTAGGGGATGTCTGACAATGTCTTCATCTTGTTGATCTTTCTTTCTTTCTGAAATTTATTGTTATGGTGCATTCGGTATTCAGTGACTCGTCTTACGTGGTGGTTGGTTTATTTCTTCAAGGGCCAGATACCTTGTAGAATAGTTAGAGCTGAGGATTGATTCTATTACTAGGATAGATGTCAGTCTATCCTGCATCTGTTGTTTATTAGGGATGAGGTGTGTTACATTGCATTGCATTGCATTGAAGCATTAGGATACTTGGTTCTTCTTTGTTGTTGATGTTTCTTCGTTTGTCAGAGATGGCGTTCACTGTTGGGTTCATTTCTGTGGGAGTTTTGGTTTTGTTTATTACTTGACATTGTTAAGTCGTTATGAAAGTTAGTTGTTCATTTATCTAGTGCTTACTGCATAGACTTTTTTAGGTTCTACGTGGGGAGTTAGCTGTAGCTTTATGCTCATACATATTTAAATGCACGAGTGCATACGTAATTGTGCAATTATGTGATGAAGGAAAATAGTACTCGACGATATGTTATTAACCTAGAAAATCCCAGGATGTTTCCATTATTGAATCTTTCTGCCGTTGCTCACTATGTAATTAATTCTTCATTGATTGACTTTTTAGGTCCGATGGCCTGAGATTCTGCGTTTTGCGACCCCTGGGACGGGGAGGTGACTTTCTTTGATGTCTGTGACAATGCCCCGACTGCGGGCGACCTCGACGAAGTAACGGGCAGCGGGAAAAAGGACTTCCAAGAGGGCTTGTTCATGTACCCATCCATACTACCCGATTCGGAGCAAACTATGGTCTGTCGATACATCCGTGAATGCATTCTACGCATGGGCCTCCGCAGTGGCGTTTTTCACTGTGAGACACGCGTCCGAGACTCCTCTATGCACTACGTCCAGGACAGCTAGAGCCGCATTATCGACTTGGCGCCAAATCCAGCTACCGCCGGTCGACAGCCCAGCGTATTCCTTCTGGAAATAAACCCCCGAGCGCCGGGTTACATCGGTTTGTATGCTTCTAGCTGGACCTATGGCGTGGACCTATGGGCGCTGTACATGCTTCACTGCGTTGGAGACGAGGCCCGATTTCGCGCTCTCTCTACACCCTTCACCAACGGTGCGCAGCACGACAGTGCTGTTCTACTCATCATGCCAGAGAAACGAGGTATACTACGGCTCCAAGATCCAATGCTGAGACTACAACACGAACAGCCTCATTTGGCTGCTGCCGTGCCTCTTTGCCTAAACTACTTCCAGGTGGGACAGGAAGTGACGCCACCGGACAAAACGGAGAACGTGTCCGGATGACTGATGTAGTCCGTCCGTGCTTGATAACCGGGGGTTAGTTGCTTATCTGCAAACCGGACTCGTCGTGGAAGGTTTCCATAAGACCTATGCTGTAGTTCATCAGATCGTCGACGGTACTGACACCGCCCAGCGCCGAATCCATAATGGTGCCCCCAGTGACAGGAGGTTGCGGCAGTGGATAGTGTGAGCTATCGTCCAAGGCGGCATATGGGCTTGCCAGGCCTAAGGCAACCGAGGTGCACATGGGATCGACTGTGATATTTTCCATTCCTAGAGGCGTGTAAACCTTCTCCTTGAGATATTGGGCGTATGTTTTGCCGCTGACACGCTCGATGACTTCACCAGCCAGGGCATAGCCCCAGTTGCTGTAGGCCCATGAAGCACGAAACTGGCCAGTGTTGGGGAGAGCGTTATAATATGGTAGAATATCTTTCTTAAGAAGCAGGGTTGCTTCTGCCCCTTGCCACCAGTAGTTTGACCGGCCGAGTCCCGAGCGATGGCTCAAGAGATCAACAATGGTAAGACTCTCGGTCACGGTGGCAGATGTCGTCTGCAGCTCGGGGATAATTCTCTTGATCGGCGTATCCCATTCCATCTTGCCGTCTGCAACAAGCACACTGATCGCGGCTGCGGTGAAGGTTTTGGCCATGGTTCCGATGGGAAACCGGGTGCTTCCCGTGGCCACCTTCTTGGTCTCGAGATCCGCGAAGCCGAAACTCGTGCAATAAATGGGCTCACAATGGTTAGATACTGCAAGTGATATTCCTTGAGCGCCGGCGACCTTGAAAATACCTTTGATCATGGGCCCAAGCGCCTTGAGCCGCTGTTGAATGGCAGCCGTATCATCTGGTGACCTGGTCATGTTGTCGCGGAGTCAAGCCGACGGGCACCGACTGGCTTAGCGGGGAGAAGGACATATCGGCCTCGATCATTTATAACCAAGTCCCACACGTTGTCATGCACAGTGAATGTGCGAATCCGATGTCCGAGAAAGAGGAGACAGTCTCGGGCGTCGGAGATCGGGGTCGGCGATCGGAGTTGGCGTAAACCGTTATCAATCTGTGGCGTCTGTCAAGCCCCTTTATCAATCAGCACGCCTTACTCTTTTTGGTCCTTGACTGTGGCGTTGGGAACCGTGAATCCTAGGTAACAAAGGATAGTAATGTGTAACTCCGCTTGGACAGTTCCGATAAAAAGTCTTACCTTTGACTTCCGTGACCCCTCACTCCTTGACCTACCTCTTCATCTCACTTCACCTCACTTCACTCAATCAACAACCATGGACAATAAGAACAAACCTATCACCCCGCAGGACTAGGACAACAAGGATAACACAGAGAACGTCACTCATACTGTGGACGTCGAAAAAAGAGACTTGTAGCAAGGTAACAATCACAACGAGAACACTTCTGGAAATACAGAGGTTGGTTAGGATGTGGCGTTTCTCGTCACCTTCGGCCCTAGCGAAGTAGAAGATCCCTTGAATTGGTCCAGAAAGCTGAAATGGGGGGTCACTGCGGCGGTTTCTGATACGGGCTTTGTGCGCATCATGATCTCAACGGTATATCCAATCTCACAAACACAAACTAAAGACATATTGTGCTGATGAACTCTCGGTAGATGATGGCACCTGCAATCAACACCATAGCAGAAGAGCTACAGATGTCTATCACCGAGTCGACCATGGCCCTGTCGGTCTACGTTTTGGCGACGGCCTTTGGACCGCTGATTATCGGTCCTCTCTCAGAGATCTATGGTAGAAAGTCAATCTTCCACCTGACTAATGTTTGGTTCCTGGTGTGGAATCTCGTCTGCGGCTTCGCCCACTCAAAGGGTCTGCTTATCTCCGCTCGTTTGCTAGCGGGGTTCGGCGCCAGTGCAGTATACAGTCTGTGATACGGTGTGCTTGCGGATGTGTGGGCTGCCGAGCAGAGAGGACGCTCTCTGGGTTTGTACCTGCTCGTTCCACTTAGAGGGTCGGCCCGATCGTGGGCGGATTCATCGTTAGATATTCTACCTGGCGATGGATGTTCTGGGCGACAGCCATTCTCCAGGTCGTTCTTGAGTTATCCTCATCACTTTTATTCAACGAGAGCTACGCGCCACTCCTTCTTCTTCGTCGCCTAGCCGCGAAGCTGCGGAAGTACACGGGCGATCACCGCTACCATGCCGAAATCGAGAGGCGCGAACCAGGCCGTTCGCCGTTTTGGAAGCTGTGACGCAGCCTGTCTCGTCCTCTCAGTCTCCTAGCATTCCATCCAATAATTCAGATGCAAGCCATTTTGGAGGGCATTAACTATGGCCTGCTTTACTTCGCCCTCACGACTTTCTCGTCCCTTCACGTATCAGCGTATGGCTAATCTGTTGAAATATCTGGTCTACGTTACATTGCCATCTGCATTGGCACTATCTCGGGCTCTCAGCTCTGCGTCCCGCTTATAGACTATGCCTATAAGCGCATGACAAGTAGCACCGGTGAAGCCCGTGTTCCCGAGCTCCGCATCCCGCTTCTGCTCTCTGGTGTTATATTCATGCCCATCGGCTTCCTCATTTACGGTTGGGCTGCGCAATACCGTCTTTTCTGGCTTGTCGTCGATATCGGGGCTACTTTCTTGTCTCTCGGCATGCAGATCTTCGATACCACACTGCATGCATATGTTATGGATGCCTTTCCCGAGCACGTTAGTTCCACATCTGCTGCGACTCAGGTGTTCCGAAGCCTGCTGGCATTTGCATTTCCTCTGTTCTCTGACCATCTTTACAACTCGCTGGGGTATGGTTGGGGGAATAGCTTGTTGGCGTTTCTCTCGTTTGGTATCGCGTTGCCGGCAACGGGTATTCTTTGGCGTTTTGGTGCCAGGCTTAGAGGTAGACGGCAGTCGAGCTATTAAGAGAAATCAGGGCATGGGTTGCACTTCCCGAGGAATGGCGCTCCAGAAGAAATCTTAGCCTCCGCGAGCTAGATTCTTTGTCACTTTGGCTAAAGATATACGGGTCCACAATACGAAGAGAGTCTTATAGTTGCACATATTTACCTGACTGGGCAGGCTGCGGGGCATCGTCATTAAATTACTCCGACTTTGCGTTGTTGTAACTAGTAATGAGCTTCGTCACTTTCAATCGACTTTAAGTACTGCATTCTACAGGCCTCTGAGCATAAGAGAGATTTTTCATCAATGAGTGGTCTGCACAGAGTCCTCCACAAGTCCTGATGTCATGTCTTGGTGAGTACCATTACCTATTATCTGCTGCACAGCTTCGTATGCCTGGTGAATCTGCATTATATAGCATGCGAAATGGGTGTCGGAGAACGCGAAGCCTATACTTTTCTGTTCCTGTGCTAGGCACATCTTGCTGAACAGAGCCATGATACTGTCCGTGATTTGTTTCTTCAAAGCAGGTCTTTTAGTATCATCACTGCGTAGCTCGACATAGCAGCTGGCAACATAGAAGAGCCATAAGGGCTGGACATCGGCTCCCAGGCTAAGGACGTGTTGTTCAATCATACGCAGCGTAGATTTGACAAGCTTGGTCCGAGCGTCCAGGCATATAAGGAGCGAAGTGATGCCTGCTTGGGTTTAAGAATATGTTTTCCCGATAGTCTGTTTGGATGATGACAAACTACCGTAGTTTATTGCCCCTTCATCGAGGAGACACAAACATAAGCCTGCCCGTAGAAATCTCGATTTTCTTAGAGCGATTAAACTGAATCCTTCGTGTTCAATAAGCTCATGTATCTTGATAATTGGGCTAGCTGACCGTATGCAGATAAATCGTTGGAACTCTGTGTCTTCGAATTCATAGATGGTCGTGCCTTTCGGAATAACGAACGGGAGGTGAAGTAGAATCAGCAACTCATGCAGGTATAGATCCAAGACTGATCGATATATTGGGCCTTGTTTACGCCTCGAGACCTCCGGTGTATGGTCCGCCCAGTTCGGTATACTATCAATTTCCTCGAATATTTGTCCCCGTAGATGTCTGATTTGGCATTGATCCACTGGATTGTGATTCTGGAGGGTATTCACGAACTCATTGATCTTGTAGCGAAGAGGTCGTATTCTGTGCGCAATCATTGCAAATGAGCTATCTGTAAGCTGGTCTTCCGGCCGATCAGGGGGCTCCAATTCGGTGCCCGAACTGTAATCATCGTGATTGTATCCTTTCGGCTGCCCAATATTGGTGAACAGATGAGAGGCCATTGATTGGACGCCACGTTCGATACACGCCGCGATATCCAGGTCGGAAACGGCGGACCATACCTTCCGGCGTAGCTCTCGCTCATAGACAGACGCGGTGATTCCAAAAAGCTTCCAATCCTGGTGAAGTCCATTCGAAATAGCATCAGCAAGAAGGGTTTGAGAAGATGTGTAATGGTCGTCGCGATCAATGTCATTGATTGTCTTGGAGAGCAGGACCAAGCATCGCAGTTGGAATGCTTCGACCGTCGTGCTTTTTGCTGCGTGGTGGCCTTGCCATACGTCGGCGGCGTGCAACCATTCGGCAGCTTCCTTCCCAGCAGTAGAACTGTCTCCGTCAAACGAGAGCGGATCGTCCGCCAAGAGACACCTTGAGCACGATATGACAGCGAGGATGATTGCGTTGAACCAAACCCAGCCCCTATGTGTCCCATCCCAATAGGCTTGGTACTCGTGCCAGAAGGAGGGAACATGGAAAATGTCATGAATCCCTGTAAAATGGTTGAAGTAGGACTCCAACAGGCAACGGCAGCGCGCTTAAGTTGGGAGAGCTCTTTTAATGACTTCTCCAACCACATCCTTCGCGTATGCGGGTAGAGGCTGCTCTGCTCCGCATTAGGCGTGTATGAGAACCATTTCGGAGCCCCAAGTATGTGATGGTCCTCCGCAGCTTGTTTCATAAATCTGCAGAAATCCTGGAAGCAGGTTATTATGCTCGTCGAGTGGCTGGGACCTCGGAATTGGCCATTGAAACTCTTCTTTTGGCCCGACAAGGGTTGCCCTTGCTTCCGCGATTGAGACGAGTCGATGGGGCTCTCGTTAGTATTTACCGCTTTGGTAGGGGGGCTATCAGAGTCCATGTAAAGCTGAAACTGTAGCCAAGGGCTTTCCTGGAAGTTGTTGTCGATGAGCGAGGGGTCGAAGTTCTCGAGTGCTGGGGTCAGCAACTGGCTCGCAGGAATATTCGGAGACCAGGTCTGAATCTGGTCAACACAAGCCATGTCGGTGTCCGTACCCATTGAAAAATGAGATTGTACTTGCAAAGTTCAGGGTTACCAACAGCAATACACCGCGAACAAATGGGATACTCTCGTCCACATTTTAGTTTCCAGCGCTTGCACTCAAAGCACAAAAGCACAAGGCGTCTCCGCTTGATTCTCGGCTCGGACATGGCGAAGCGTCCTTGCTAAAACGGCCTTTGACGGCGAATGGATTTCGGTCAAATCAAGGATTATATCAAGTCGCGGCACGTCGGGACAAGAAGCAAATGCAGGACTATCTTGTCATAGCCTGAGAATAGCGGGTGCGCTTCCACCAATAAGACCTGTTAATTTCTGATCTTTAGGTAAATACGGTCGGTTTAACTACCTGCTGGTCTACTAAAAAGACCAGAATTCCAATCTACCAGATTGGAACGCACAATGCCCTATATAACGGTTCAGGTCAGGTCGTAACTCAACGGATCAGGTGGCGGAGGCTGTCTGATACGGCTCCCTTATGCCATATCGTCCTTGCCTTTGCACCTACAGAGTTTCATCATATTCCGACAAAAATCCTGCTGTCTTTAGACTATGTTTTGTACACTATTAAGTAACGAGAATCATTGCCACACCCCATTCTGCATCTGTGTCACGATAAGCTGAAGTGCGGAGTAGGGTGCGCCAGTTGTTTGTTACAAGTGGCATTTTGCGTTCCATCCTCTAAAGGTTGGGTTTGAATGACCTCGGGATCCGTGCGCACACAGCTATGGTACACAGTATGCACCAAGACCTTTGGGGGCATTGGTAGTACTAACAGTCACAGATGTTAGTGAATCTGGTACAGGTTATTGTTACTCACAATAGAACGTGTATGCACATCCTGATTCAACTGGACGCGTTGTGCTGTCTGTGGATGAGGGGTTTTCCTTGAACATTCAATTGCGCTCTGTTCGACCACAGCAAGGTCAACCTTTCTAATTCCATCAGTAAAGAGGAAATCGGCAATGATATTGCGCCTATGATTTGGAAGGAGTTTGAAGGAAGCCATCCCACTGTGCTCTGAAAGGTGATCATGTCTATGTGCAGATACCAGAGGGGTTAGGGCGTGAAAGATGTGAGTAGTCGTGAACAGAGAGAGAAGGGCTGTAGAGAAGCTAAGTCGGCTCACGACGCCCGTTGATGAGACAGATGGGACAGATGGGACAGACGAGAGTGAGGATATGTCTGTATTCTTTAAGTACGAACGAAGTGAAGGCGAAGGCGAATCGGAGGAGGAGGGAAAAGAAAATGAGGATAATACTACCACGGATCAGTCTATCTCACACTAAGTTCCACCCAAAGTAAACCACCACGGAGCTAGTCAATCCATGTTTGATGGTCCGCGGGAAGACACCTAGGGTCACAAGCAACTTAGTGAGATCTTCTGTACCTGGAAATGCCGCCATGTGAAGGGAGGTACAGCGGTAGCTGTTGCCTAGAGAGATGTCTGCTCCGGCAGAGATGAGCTCCTGACCCTTGTCAGGTTGGAGGTATGCGTCGGTCACAGTGACGTCTACATTGATAAGGTCCGCGCCATTGCCGTTATCATCTCTATTGTGATAGGGCTTCCCGACCCATTCTCTGATCATGCTATTTTGGTAGGCCTTTCTCCAGAGATCAGGAACAGCCGCAGGGATGACCTGGGGTGGGTTATTGACCTCTGCTTGAATCGTCATTGAACCGTCATCGATCTAGCTGTGTTTTTTATTGGCGTGAACTTTGTTTTGGAGACCGATGTGTTGAGAGCGCGGGGTCGTCTATCCATTTATACGAGGTGCCACTTGGCAGGCATCTCATTTATGTGCTGCCCGAGGGGCACCATCGTGTGGGTTGTCCATAGCGGCCTTTTTTCTGACTGGACTGGGGTTTCCTGAGCGATCTCAGGGATCTGGCCAATTGGTCGAGTAATCACAGCAGCTTAACAGCGGGACGTGCATTTTGAGAGGGTTCTGACGTGGCTGCGGCTGGTACTCAACGAACGGACAAAGATATCTACTACTATGGTCGTGGATTGGTCTAAAATGTCAAGCGAAATGTGCGAAATGTAATCAAATACTGCCAGTTTAAATGTATGTTGAGTTGGAAAAAGAAAGAGCGGGGCGGCTGTACTTGCTTGCGTCCTGTTTTGCAGGCAAAGATGAAACAAATTATGATAGTTTCTAAAATGAATTCGCAAGACTCAAGGTAAAAGCGTGACTCAAGGCCGGAGAATGCTCCTAAACCCTCTGAATTCTTTGACATGGAAGGAGGCTGGTAGCCTGTTCCCCTTGAAAGTCACTTTCTTGAAATGCCGTGATTTTGACGTATTCTAAGAGAGGTAGGATGCGCGACGCAAAGTCACCGTGGACATGGTCCACAGACTTGTGATACTCGCGTTGTTCGATCGAATCGAATTCAAAAATAAGTAAATGGGTGCAGTTCTGCGTAGTAATTTTGAGTTAGCCAAGATAGTAGGAGAAGGCAATCGATTATGTTTAGAAGCCATACAGATGCTGCTGCAGGGCTGCACTCGGATCCCGTGCGTATACTTTTGATATAGAGGTTCTGCGACGAATCTCTGAATTTCTGTGGAAGGGTCAAGAATTCTTGCTGAAGTTATGACCATGATATGTAGACTGAATTAGTAGCTATCCAACAACCACCGGTAGCACTGGTCACTCACCACCTGCTGGGTAGCTGCAGCGATCTCCTGCTTGGACGAGATGTAGAACGGGCATCTGAGGAGGCATGGTACTTGACGAAACATCTGTGAATATTCTCCGGAGTAGGTTGGGCGTTGCTGGACGAATATCTCCGAGTGGATCGTAGTTACGTGGATCGGTGGAACAATCGTCCTGTCTCGGCGACATTCCTAGCCGTGAGGAATGTCAGTCTTGTCTGCACTCGAATTTTCCACCAGAATCTCAGCCAAGCTATTAATAAGACTTTGTCCGTATAAATATTAGAACTGACAGGGGTAGAACCTCAATCTAGCATACACCATCTGAACCTTTCATCTACCTATTACCCGTCACCATGAGCGTTGCCCCGAATCGCACTGTCACCATCATCGGCGTGGGCTCGACCATGTCCCGGTCGCTGGCTCTTTGGCTCGCAAGCGTGGGCTGGAACATTGCCCTCGTATCTCGCTCTGAGGGCAGCCTATCCAAGATCGCCGACGAAGTCAAAGCCGCCCAAACAAGCACCGACGCTAAAGTGATCTACCGTACCGCCGATGCTGGTAACTCCGAAAGCCTCACAGCCGCCTTGGACTGGTGCGCCCAACAATTTGGTGGCACGCTGGACGTCCTGAACTACAACGCCGCCCACGTTGCCGAGTCGCACATCACCGAAGTCACCCCGGAGATGCTGGAGCTCGACTTCCGGGTCTCCGCGATTGGCACGCTTGTTGCAGGCCAGTGGTTCATGCGCAACGCCAACACTGACCGCGTCACCAAGGGCGAGTGGCCACTCTTCCTGGTCACCGGCGGCACGCTTGACAAGGAGCCGCAGATCTTCTTTTCTTCCCTGTGTGCTGCCAAAGCGGCGTCGCAAACACTCAGTCGCCTTTTTGCGCAGGCGCTCCCTCAGGCTTCCAAGGTTGTGGTCGGCATGCCGCTGATCAAAGCAACCATTGCCGACCCCAAAAGTGGTGGCTATACCGAGGGTTATCATCCGGATACTATCATCCAGACGGTGTTCAAGCCCTTCTTTGAAGACCGTGAGAAACTGCAGGATGGAGTGGAAAACTGGACGGTGGAACGGGTTATTTGAGGGAACAGGGGTTGTCTGCAATTTGTACGGAGATGTGCAGGAATAGTTTTGACGACCTACTCTGTACCTACCTGGTATTTTGGCGTGTGCTTACTGCGGGTTTCATACGATTCACAATCAAATTGAGAAGTGAATAATACCGAGTCATTAGGACGAATAAAATTCCGAGGTCATACTGAGGATGATTAACCAATGAATTATCAGTAGTTTGTTAAGTATGGGTCGTTTATGTTCACCTCCTGGTCGAACGTTATCATAAACATACAACAGTGTATGTACTAAGCTAGCAACTGGATGAGTTGAGCCGATCTCTGCATCGAAGATCCACTATTGCCATCAACCGTGAACCGTCTCTAATAAGGATCCATACTAAGCGGTGGATGGATCTCCGATTTAGCCCCCAAAGTCGGATACGTACCTAACCCCTTGGCCGTGGCCTGCACCCCATGCATAATCAAATCCAGAATCATGCTCAGCTAGAAGTGTTTCCTGCATCTACCACCCCTAAGAAACAGTCTCCTTCATAAAATGCCGTGGACGACATCCGAGGACGCGCCAAACATCTTCACTCGGCCTCTTGGCCCCAACGAGTTGTTCATCAAATTGGTCAGTGATCCTGGCCATTCCCTCGGCCGTGAACACTGGGCTGTCAATTTTACTGCCACTATCAATCCTCACGGGGCCTTCGCAGCCTTGCCTTAGCTGGGTCGTCCGACCTTCTATCAAGCCTCATCCGATACAACTGGCCGCATCTGCGCTTCCAGCACCCCAGTCTGGCCGCCCATCCGGACAACTCCAACTCCAACGTCGTCTACACCGTCCCCACCTCGGCCGATGTTCTTCGAGAATGGACTTCTCAGACCTTCGTCGTCGTCGGTGACGCCAAATCCGCTGACGAGGTCATCTCTACCATTGCACCGGCTCCAGAGGCCCGGTTGTACTATGTTCTTCAATCGAGCGAGCTTCTCCTGCACTCGGCACACTGGCACATGGATGGAGTTGGCGGTCTTCTCCTGCTAGGCCAGCTCGTTGACCTGATGGCCTCGCATGCCGACATCCTCCTCTCTAGCAAACTGCCAGACCCGTTCCGATTTTATGTTTGCCCTCGCTGGATCTGGCCCGCATGCATGGGTTCCCCATGTACATACCGGCATGGAGGTTCTTCGCCGTCCTCAGGCTCTCAATGTTCTCACTGCCAACGAGGGTCCTCCAAGCCACTTTATCTGCTGGCACAATGAGTACGCCGTGTCCCCCATACATCCCCACTATCTTGCTCTCTTCTGCAAAATCCCTCCTGGTGTCGGCGGCGAGATCTCTGTCACGGACTCGATCGCACTGTACGATCGCTTGAGGAAGGATGCTCCCAGCTTCGTTGAGGGCTGCAGCAAGAAGGGTCTCGTATATCAAAATTCCCCATAATGCAGAGCAAGTCGGCGGCATTGTCGGTGGTAACGGTCTGTATAAGGACTCGGTTTTCGGCCCTAGGGATAACGAGAAAATGCCCCAGACCGAGGAGGGCAAGCGAGCCATGGTTGAGCGGAAGATCCTTGATCTAGCCCACCACGGTGGCTGGCACGAGGATATTAACCAATTCCATGAAGCTTTGCCTGTTTGGCCGCGCCGCGGTTTTGACTGGACCTGGCAGGATAATGGGGACCTCGAGGTGGTTCATCGTGTGGCTGGCACTCGGCAGCATCCTACCTTGGGCCAGCCTGCTATCTTCAACGTAACCATATATCAATCCAGACGGCCATGCGGTTTTAAAATACTAAAAGACGACAACAGGCTCTGTCTACTCGTTACATCAACGCTGTAGCTAACGACACCTTCAGTCCCCCCTTCACTTTCAAAGGACAGGACGGGACACAGGGTATTTCAATTCCACCCCATGTAAGTCCGGTTTCAGCCTTGAACATCCAATAGAAGAGCTCCTGACACAAGAACTTGTAGTTTTCCGGCATCCAGACTAATGATCCCATTCCCCGAGAGTGGTTGCAAAAGATGGACGAATGGCAGCATGAGCTGGAGTCCAGTATTACCTGGAAAACAGGCGACGTTCTTCTAATTGACGTGATTAATTCATGCTTCATTGGTCAGGCCTATTAAATCCAATCTCAATTGAATTTTATAGAACTTCGCTGCGCAGCACGCCCGCTGGGCTTGGGAGGGAGATCGGAAGATCATGGCCAGCTTTTGGGACCAACCTGGCCTAGTCGGCTTGCCCATAAATCAGTAAATACTAGACATACTATAATTTAGTTTTCTCGGAGTCGTTTTTGGAATGGAATTGGTCGTTCTTGAACGTTCAAGTTTTCTTTTCATCTATTCAAAGAGAAGCTAGCAAGTCCACTTGAGAAATAATCACCGTACCCTCGTGAGCGACTTCGTTTCTTATTACTGTGTCGGTAATTTTAAGGGTCTGCCCAAACGTATTAATGTGACTAGGCCTGAAGCATCTTGCCACAACGGTGGTTATGAGGGACAAGTGCGGGCTAGCTCCCTCTTATGAGTCCTCACTGATTTCAGGGTAGGTACAATAGATATGACGTAAAATATTATTTGATATAGTGTTCCATCGGCCGATTTATTTACAACCAACGCAGTATCAGAACTCGTGCTAGGCTTTAGCTACGGTCAGCCCAATTTTGACGCCGTTGCGGCTTTCCGTAAGATTCCGGTCAAGCTCAATATACTCCAACACCGGGTCCCGGTTCTCAATGTCCTCAAACTCTTTGGTAAGCCGTATAAAGATATAGGCTGACTGAAGATACACTTGATGGTATGCGGGACAAATCCTCCGGCCACCACCAAAAGGCACAAATTCCGGAGGTGTAGTCATATAGTTCCACCTATAACAATTTCACCCCCAGACCGACTTGATATGGTTGCAACTCCAACAGAAGACAGTAATCTGATCGCCTTTCTTCATGAACAACGAGGATTTCCCATCGGGACCCCCGCCACTAGGCAGTATTGTATCTTTGAATGCAGTTCGTGTGATTGTTGCACTTGGCCCCGTCGAGCGGATTGTCTAGAAGAATGTACCTATTCGGTTTGCTTTCGTCGGCGTCAGAAGGCTGGTTGAGCACGCGCCGCACTTCTTGGTCGACGAACGTGTGCACCCAGGCCACATCCCTGGTATACCTTCGGTCTAACGAGCATCTGAAGGCAAGTAGCCCTGCTTTGCGTCGCTTCAGAGACCCAGCGCTGGCGTAGTTGAAGGCCTCGATCAAGTTGCCGTTGCTATACGGCGTTTCCGGCAGCAAAGAGTCTGTGGATTTGCCGAAGATGAACTCTGCGGACGCATCGAAGTTCATTTTCTTTAGCAAGGGCTGAACATCTATCGTATTACTATCACGTGGTATTTGCGCAATAAGACGATCAACGTGTCTCTTCAACATGGTTGTAGATCGGACTTCTGCCTTTGAGAATAGCGAATTAATCATGTTTCTAGAGAACTTCCAGCGAGGTCCATCGGAGGAGAATATGCCCGGACCGAGGAGGTCTTTGCGGTGGAAGCCCCCTGCCCTACCAAGCGTATTCATATCAGCGTGGAAAACTGCTCGAGCGTTGGTGATGTCGATTGGATTGATGAGCCGCTGACCAGCCAGCGTCTCCTCCCGTGTGTGCCCCAGCCGGTTGAACCAGTAGTCGTAATGGGCCGTGAGATGCCCCTCGTCGCTTGAAATTTGTCGCTCCCGCACCAGGTCAAGGCTGATCCAGCCTTTATGTGGGTAGCTCGGAGGCTTCTGGCAGCCGTGATTGATCTGGGCTGAGTGAAATGCAATTCTCTCACGGATTTTACTATAGAGAATACCAGCCAGCCCTGAGAGAGATAATATAACGAGGGCGTGGAAGGCGAGACTGGTATAGGGATTCAATGTCTGAAGTGGTCCCCATGGTTCGGCGAGAACAGTGGCACCGTTAGATATGATGACAGATAATGAACGCATCACGAGCAAAGGGAAATGCACCGAGAGGCAGAACAGCTCCTCGATGCCAAGAGGTTGCAATCCTTGTCTATTTATAACTTCTGTTGTTTGAATATCACGGATAGCAAGACAGCTACCTACTAGCAGCTGACTTCGACGACTCGGGAATGTGTATCGATTTGTTATTGCACTCTTGGGATCCTTACGTGTAACTACAGTGGACGGTACATTAGAGGCAAGGAGAAAATAAAAACCCCAGTATCTCCGTCATTGAGATTGATTCACGGCCGACAGACCTGCAGCCAAGATCTGAACACCGTGGCTCATAATTATCCGAGTCCGAGCCGACGATTCATTCTAACCCTACGCTACCAATAGACGATATTATCGCAGAACATCATCATTCGGCTGGTTAGCGCTAGATCTATGTGAGACCGCCTCACGCCAGCTCGAGGTCCAGCATTAAGGCTATATAAATACCATTGCTGATTCGTAATAATCGTTATGTCGGAATTTGTATCATATTAACAAGAAAATAAGAGAAAATTAGAGAAAATAGAAGAGCTACAAGAAAAGCCACATGCCCACCCTCTTCACTTTCGCCCAAACGCCCTTCTCCTCGCCCTTCATCGACGCAAGAAGCTTCTCCCGTCGTGAGGTAGGCTGATGAGATTCGTATTCATGGTTCGTGATAGGATCAACGCCGTCTTCATGAACCACGTTATACCGATCTGTCAGGAGATCCATCTCGTCGAGACGGACGAATTTCGTGCGCTTCACTAGTTTCCAGACGAGGAACATGACGATCATAATAGGGATCTCGACGTAGAAGGAGACGAAATCAACAGGTTTGAAATGTGGGCTAAAGCACTTCCAGCCCTGGACGAGAATCAAGACGATGTTGAGACATATGGCGATAATAGGCCCGACGGGATAAGTCCAGTTCTTGTAGGGGAGAAGATGCTCGAGGCCTTGGCGACGGATGGCGGAGCGGAAGCGTAGAGACGCGATACCGATGCAGGTCCAGGATAGTTGGTTGGAGACGCCAACGATGCTGCGTATTAGGTTAGCTAGGTGGCTCGAACCAACAGGGGAATACAGGCGGGCGTAAATACTTTTGCAGCCATGACCAGAGCTGACCCGCGCCGATGTAGCTGGCTCCGAAGCAGAGTCCACTAATGACTGAGGTAGCTAGGACAGCAATCCAAGGCACCTGGAAGCGGTTCAGGTGGCCGAAGAACTTAGGAGCGTAGCCATCAACCGCGAGAGTGTAGAGTAGTCGAGACCCGGCAAACAAGGCATGATTCGCTGCGGAGATAACACTGGTCATGAGCACGGCGTTGATGAAGCTTCCGGCCACGGCACTGCCAGCCTGGGTGAAGACAATGGTGAAGGGGCTGGTAGCGGTGTCGCCCTCGGACAGGTTTGGGTAGTTGTAGGGCACGTTGAGGCCAATGATGATAATGGAAATGATATAGAATAGAATGATTCGCCAGAAGACGTTGCGAACCACCTTGGGCATGTTCTTATCGGGGTCCTTGGTTTCACCGGCGGTAACAGCGATCGACTCGGTGCCGCCACTGGCATACTGTTAGTAAAGATACAGATATCGAGGTTTCAGGGGAACCGTACAAAGCAAAGGAAGCTGTGACAAAGACCGATGCAAACCCTCCGATTCCATCGACGAACGGCGCGTCTCCGGTATAAAAGTACTTATCACCAATATATCGATGCTCCCTATTTGCTCCACAGTTGACCGCAATGCCGAGTATGATAAATATCTGAACAGTCAGCTTTCCGCTCCAGAATCCCCATTCGTGATATCAGGGTACCCACAATGATCGTAATGACTTTCAAGAGACTGAGCCAATACTCGATCTATCCGCGAGCCCCAAGTTAGCAAAGAAACCTTCACCAGAAAGCCCAGCCAGGATAACCCTACCTCTCCATAAACCTTCACAGACAGCACATTCAACGCAATGACTATAACCAGGAAGATCAGACTGATCGCCCATCCGGGGAAATTATCCGTCCAGAACTCCAGCAACAGCTGCAGAGCAATCACATCAGACGCCGTCGAGACCGCATCATTAAACCAATAGTTCCAAGTCAAAGCGAAGCCTAACGCATCGTCGACGAATCGACTAGAAGCAAACAGAGATACCGTCAGCGCCACAAAACGACTCATCAACACTCTCGCGTAGCACCAAAACCACTAGGTGTGACTCACCCAGCAAACGTACAAAACGACCCAGCAACCGGAATAAACGCAGCCATTTCCCCGAGACTCAGCATCGTCACGAATACGATTCCGCCGCAAATCGCGTACGCGATCAGCATAGAGGCTGGGCCACCGGTCGCCAGCGCCTTCCCCGTACCCAGGAACAGACCCGTACCGATTGTGCCGCCGATGGCGATCATCTGAACCTGACGCGCGGACAGATTCCGGGCAAGCTTGTCGGCATTGACGGGTGGGGCTCGGACATCGTGATCGTATGGACCTGTCGAGAGGCCGGGATGTTTCGATTCTCCTTGGTTATGCGACTGTGCTGCCGGCTGCTTCTCAATATCGTGGGTGGCCATTTTGAATCGGGTTGATATAAAATGATATATAATTCAACGAGCCACAGTCTACAGCGATGTGGCCCGAGAGAGTAACCACGTCGCACAGAACCCTGCGCAACACATGGTGTCAGGAAGGTAAGGAAGAGGGAGCGCAGAGAAAAAAAAGAACCGGCTCACCTGCTGAGAGATCAGTGATAGGGCTACCGGATTGGGAAAAACCCCGTGGGATCCCCACACGTGATTGACACCTGACGCCGGAAAAAAAAAAAAAAAAAATTCCAGAAAAATGGGGCAGTGATTCCGGTTCTCCAGCAGCTACAGAAACAGATGAAAGTCCGATGCAGGACAGAAAACCCCTTAAAAACGAGCATCTTGTGAGCATCAGAGGCAAACCGAAAAATCCCTGCATGTTAGCGCCATGACGTGATCGAAAAACGTTACGTACAGCGAACTCGGCAAACCCCAGCGAACCGATCAAAGTTCGCGCCATGAGATCCCTTCATCACGTCTGAGTCCCACTTGCCGTCGGAAGCTTCGATGTGCCAAATCCCCGGGCGTCGCTTGTTCGTCTTGGCAGGCAGGATGGGGTCTGGCCCGTGGTTCGAGGTAACGGTAGCGGTGGCTGGTGTGTAGTTTAATGGTTTATAAATCAACCTGTGGCATGGCATGCTCTGCTGTTGCCTATTTAGGGAAATCGTGCCTTATTTCAGATGATCATATCATACTACCTATCACTACTCCCTAAGGGACTACACGGTTTGAGTATAGTGCACGGAGACCTCCGTAGACAAGCATACTTTTAGTTCACAACACTATATACATAATTCCAGACGAAAGAGTCCGAAATCCAAACCATACATGCTTTGTAGGTATACTCTCCGCTAGTAATAAACGAACAAACAGCCCAGAACATAGCCACGTAAAAGGAAACAAGAAAAAGGCAGATTCCACCGTAAGAGAAACACTCTACCCCAACAATCCAGTAGCCAACGACTCCAGATCTTCCAGGGTCTGGATCGGTTCGGGTCCCTTGGGCGCGGCGGGTCGCTTGTCCCTCGTGTAGCGGGATGCCACATCGTTGTTGCTGTCGGGTTCTTGCACGCGAACCTTCTTGCTGGGACGCGGCGCTGCCTCTTCCGGCTCTGATTGCGAATAGTCGCCTCCGTCGTAGTCGTCGCCGCCCTCGAAGGGAACCAGTTGCGCCTCTCGTTCCTCGGCCTCTTCCTCGGCCAGCAATTCCCGCTCGCGCTGCTTGCGTTTTTCCTTCTTCTCGCGACGCTTCTGCTTGTCGACGGCCTTGTCCTCCAGATCGGCCTGTCGCGTGCGCTGCGTCTCCTCGGCCAGGAACAGCGCCTGTTGATCTTTGGCGTCGCCGCGCGCCTTGAACTGGTCCTCGTCTTCCATCTCGTACAGCTCGTGGGCGTTGCCCTCGTCGTCGTAGACCAGCTTCGTGCCCTTGCCCTTGAACTTGAGCAGCTTCTTCTTCGATTTGAGCAGTTTCTCCCGTCGTTTCGAGTCCACGACCAGTGGGTCGCGGCCGTCGAGCTGGACGGTCTTGAGATCTTTCTTGTCGGACTTCTCGCCCTCCTCCTGGTCGTCATCACTACTACCCACATCCAGACCCTCGTCACCGGCAGTAAAGCGCCGTTTGACCGACAGGAAATCGTCTTCGTCGTCGCTCTCGCCGGCAGCGCCCTTGTTCGCGCTGGGGTCGACCAAAGTGCCGTCATCGTTGATAAGTTTCGAGTAATGATCCGCCAGGACGTCCTGGTTCTGTCGCTCGAACATCCGATCGTATCTGGTGCGCACACGAGGCTCCTCCTTCTTCTTCGCCGTTTTATCTTCATCGACGTCTTCATCGCCGGATCCGTCATCGCTGGACGCGTACGCCGACGCGCGAGGTGCGTTCTTGCGTTCTTTCGTGTCGTCTCCCTTGATGAATTTGATTCGAGGCGCTCCCGGAAGACCCATGCTGTGGGCCAGATCCTCCAGCTTCAGCTCCTTGATGTTGAAGATCTCCTTGTCCTTCTGAACGTAGACCGATTTGACGTAGGAGATGAATGCCTTCTGGCCTAGATACTTCAGCTCGGGGTCCTTGAAACACATGTTCTGCAGCTGGCTCTTGACACTCTGCTGCTTATTCGCTTTGATGTTGATCCGCTCGACGTTCACCTTCTTCTGCTCCAGACGCTGCAACATGCCCTTCTCCTCGCTAGGGTCAAGGAACAAGACCGCACGGCCATCCCGCTCGTAACGCGCCGTTCGCCCGACTCGGTGAATATACGTGTCGGCATCTTCAGGACAATCCAACTGGATGACCCAGTCAACGGCCGGGAAATCCAAACCACGCGCAGCAATATCCGTCGAGAAAAGCACGGCCTCCTTCGCCTGGGAGAACTTGGTCGTGATATCGAGCCGGCCGCCCTGCTTCTGTCGACCGTGGAGATGCATCAAGGGGATACCAGGTTGCATGTGTCGGAAGGACTCGTAGACAAATCGCACTTGTTTCCCGGACGACAGGAACACAATTGTCTTGGATTTCAGGTTACTCCGGATGAAACTCCACAGCACGTCCAGCTTCTGCGGCAGCGGAGTCACCACGTAGTGTTGTTGAAGCGTCGCGGGGGTCGCAGAAGACGCCGCCTGATGCACGGCCACGTACTCAGGGTCCTGCAAACTCAAACGCGCCAGATCCGAAACCTTCTTCGTCTGCGTGGCACTGAACAGAAGCGTCTGGCGCTGCTGGGGAAGATGACCCACGATCGCATCCACCGTCTTCTGGAATCCCATGTCCATGATCCGGTCCGCCTCGTCCATCACCAGCATCTGCAAGTTATTGGTATCGAACAGAGCCGTCTGATCCAAGTGCTGCAGCATCCGGCCGGGCGTGCAGACCAGAATGTTCATCCTCCCCAGTCTCTCCTGTTCCTCGCGCAGACTCTTTCCACCGATCACCAGGCCGGCCGAAAAATTGTGATAGCGGCCGACCTTGCGGAGAACTTCGAAAATCTGGATCGCTAGTTCACGAGTCGGCGAGAGGATCAGCGCCCCAAGTCCGTCGTATTCGGCCCATTGTTTGCGATACAGGTTCTCGAGCACCGGGACCAGGAAGGCCAGTGTCTTGCCGCTTCCCGTTTTCGCGGCGCCCAGAATATCCCGACCCTTCAGCGCATGGCTGATCGCGCGAGACTGGATATCAGTCAGAGTCTTGTAGTGCGAGGACGAAAGTCCGGAGGTGGTCGGTTCGGACAGAGGGAGGTCGGAGAAAGATTTGTAGGATTCCTTGAGGTCGAGATCTTCGACTCGCTGGACCAGTGTCGATAAATCCTCTTCTGCGCGCTTCCGCTTCAGAGACTGAGGTTTGTTAGATGATTTCCCCTTTCCATGACGGGGACCATTATTCGAAGGCATGATGAGCCTTAGGCTTGGAAATGTTAAAGAAAGCCTGGTGAACCTGGACTCGATAATGGTTGTTTGTCCGTCTACAATTCAACTGCTTTTTTTTTCTTTTCCTTTTTTTCTGCGGAGGCCAAAGACGCCGGGCGGTGAAGCAACTTTTTTTCGTACCTGCTGAGTCAGCGCCCGATAAGATCGCAATTCTTATCATCTGCGAACGGCCGAAGACCGTTTGTCCTCGTTTCGGTTTCCCTTTTCCTGGTGTTTATTTTCTAGCTCAAACACCATGTCCTCCGACGAGCAAGATGCCCTGGACGCGCTAGAAAGAGAGGCGTCGGATTTCACCAAGGCATGTCAATCTTCTAATCTTCCTCAGAGGGAGAGAGAGGCAAGAGAGAGCACACGACCAGCTAACCTAACTAACACCTACCACAGGACGCGGAAATCGATCGCATCCGAAATGCATTCTCATTAGATGCGTGAGTCTCCCCGATTCGAAGAAACCTCGGGTTCGGTTGGATAAAATCTAACCGGGTCTATCTCTACGATGAACAGCTACGCCGTACTCGACCTGCAACCAGGAGTCCCCGACTCCGACATCAAAATCCAATATCGCAAGAAATCCCTCCTGATCCATCCGGATAAGACGAAAAACCCGGCCGCCCCGGACGCCTTCGACCGCTTAAAGAAAGCCCACACGCAGTTGCTTGACGAGAAGGCCCGCACGTACCTGGATGAATGTATCGCGGACGCGCGCCGGCTCTTGATTCGCGAACACAAGTACAATTTGGACTCGCCGGAGCTGAAGACCGAAGAGTTCAAAAAGGAATGGCGGCAGAAGACGGTGCAGGTGCTCTTGGAGGAGGAGGCGCGGCGGCGACGACAGAATAAGGCGCGGCTGCAGGAGGAAGGACGGGAGAGGCGCAAGGAAGAGGAGGAAATTGAGGAACGGAAGCGGAAACGAGACCAGGATAAGGCATGGGAAGACACTCGCGACGAGCGAATCGGCAGCTGGCGGGATTGGCAAAAGGGCCATAAGAAAGGGGACGGGGAGAAGAAGAAGAAGAAGAAATTGAAGGTGCTCGGATGATTTCATTGAATCTTTGCATTGCTGTTCTTTTGTGTTATTTGTGTGCACTATTACCGGTCAATCTAGCACCGCAATGAGAACTATAGATCCTAATCCAAGCAGGAAGAAGTGTTGATGCCTTTATTCCCCAGGAATCAGGCAGCCAGTGCGGCCAGAAGGGCAGATAAGAAGGCGGTCAGCAGGCGATGCGGGGCGCGGGGGGCCGATGGTTTCCATTCGATTCCGGCTTCATTTCGGAAAGACTCCTAGAACGTTCGCCTCGGTCTGCTGGCTGCCATTAGCGTCTCGCCCGGTGTGCTCGTCCGGTGTTCATCGCTTCGGCTGATTCTTCCCTCTGACCAACACCCTTTCTTCCTTCTTCTGTCCTCTCAACCCACCAGGTCCTCTCCGACTTCCTACAGATAAGGACACAGACACCCATCCTACTACTATGACCGACACCTCCCTCTCACATGCAAATGGCGCTGCACCACCTGCTCCTGCGAAGACCATGAATCCCCCCACCACCGCAGTAGCCTCGCAGAAACCGCAGCAAGAGTCACTATCACCCTTCAATACTCCAGTATCCACTTCAACCACGACCTCAACACCCTCGCCGTCAGCATCAGCATCGTCCACGTCCACCACACCTCCCACCTCGACCACAACGCCCAACAACCCACCTCTCTCCGCCGTCATCGCCCAATGTCATCACCGCGTGCACTCATTCCTCGAAGAATCGCATCCCGAGGACTCCCTCCTCGCCGCCGTGCAGCGCCAAACCCGCACCTCCCTCGACGTGGTCGTCTCCGCGCTGACCCGCTATAACCCCCTCACCGAACTCTCCCTCTCCTACAACGGCGGCAAAGACTGTCTCGTGCTTTTGATCCTCTTCCTTGCTGGTCTTCACCCCCACCTAACAGCGGACAACAAGAACCACGACAACAGCGGCGAGAGTGGCGATCGTGAAGTCCTAACCTCGATCCCCTCAATCTACGCCCTCCCACCAGACCCGTTCCCAGCCGTCGAAGACTTCGTCCAATGGTCCTCTCGCGCCTACCACCTCTCGATCGTAAAATACACCACCCATCCCCCGCACGCCACCCTCCGCTCCAGCTTCCAAGACTATCTGGCCCGGAATCCCCTCATCAAGGCAATCTTCGTGGGCACGCGACGCACGGATCCGCATGGCGCGAAGCTGACGCATTTCGATCGTACGGATAGCGGATGGCCGGATTTCGTGCGCGTGCATCCGGTGATCGATTGGCATTATGCGGAGATTTGGGCATTTATTCGTCATTTGGATTTGAAGTATTGTCCGTTGTATGATCAGGGGTATACCAGTTTGGGGGGTACGGGGGATACGCATCCGAATCCGATGTTGCGCGTTGATGCGAAGAAGGAGGAGGATCAGCAAGGTAGTGCTGGTCAGTATCGGCCGGCTTACGAATTGACGGAAGATCTAGAAGAACGGCTTGGACGCCAATAAAAGCCTCTGCGCGAGCTCAGCGGGTCTCTCGCGGCCATCCTTCACACGTGTGATCACTGTGATCCCCTTGCCCATTGTCCGTTCGCTACGAAGGCTCCAAAGCTTACGCCCCTCTCCGCCAAAGCACAGCGGCGATGACTTGATTATAGAACTTTGTATAGCTCAGGCTCCACTGGAATGGGTTTAGATTCACGAGTTATTAACGTCTGTTGACATTCTCGCTATGATGTTATTAGAAACCCAGTCTGTCTCCTGCGGAGGGTGAACATGAACGAGATATGAACATGCTGTTTAGACAGATACAGAAAATTGCCATCTTTCCTTCAAAGTTCTGCCCACTTCCATTCCACCTCTTTTCTTTTTTTTGTAAATTCGTCAATTTTCTCGTTTTTTTCCTTTTCATTTGCGGGTTGTGTGCGAGTGCTCAATTTTGGGTTGATCTGCACTGTAACTGGTGCTGCGCTGTGATCGAATAAATCGGGAAACAAATAGAACGATGCATGCATATGCGAGAACGGAGACTTGCGTCGGACAACAAAAATGATCGAAAAGATAACTGAAAAACAAAGTATCAAAATGCAGTGCAGTCCTTTCTTGACCAATTTGATGTAACAAATGCCATAACGAAATATTTCAGAAAGAAGCTGCCTGTCAAAAAGAGACAGAACAGGATCGAGATGGGATAAATTAGCAATGACGTGGGAACTGCTATGCAAATACTCCAACGAAAGCCAGAAACAAGGACAAATAATTAACGATGCACTAAACGACGGAACGAGGGGAGTGGACAACAATCTCTCGGCGAGAAGAAATGGGAGACAAGGATTCGGCTTTGACGTTCTCCTTTTGAGAACAGCTCGAACCCGCACGACGACCAATGCGCGGGGTGAACGGCAGACTGGACTTGGATGGACCAGCAGCGTTATTCATCCAATTGTTGCGGCCAACTGACATTCTTCCGCGGTGAAAGGGCGTGCTCTCCAAATTGCCCGGGCTGTTCCTAGAAGACAGGGAGTTGAAGCGCATATTGTTGACGGGGTTCTTCACTAAAGGATATCTATTCCAGTTGTCAGTTCCGTCTCCCGGGGTAGCCGAGCCGGATTTCCTGTATACATACGACGGGGAGATGGATGTTGCAGGAGTCCAGGTAGCACCTACTCCGACAGGAGACACGTAGCTGTTCTGAGAGGTTGGACTCAAGTGCGATATAGCCTGCTGCAGACGGTTCACGGACGGCGACGGAGTGGAGCCCTGGACAACTTCAACGGAGTAGTTATACTCACCAGCACGATATGCGCGACGCTCATTGCTCTGCTGCTTGAGCAGCTTCTGAGCCTTGGTGTCAGCGAAGCGAAGAAGCAGTTTGACGCCATCGGGCGCAACATTGTTGTGGTACTCCAAGAGGACCTTCTCGGCGATCTCGCGAGTCTCAAACCTACGGGGCCATATGAACAGTGTCAGTAAGATAGGAAGCATGAGCACGAGCGGCATCTAAACTACTGACCTCGCAAAGCCGACTTCCTTGCTGACTCCTGTTTTTTCATCGCGGCTGATTTTCTCCGAGACAACACGGAAGGGTTCGAAATGATGACGAAGATCCTATTGAGAAGAGGCACAAATCAGTCATAATAAGGGGCAGCAAAGGAGGAAGAGAGCTTACAGCCTCGGTCCATTCAATGGGAAGGTTGGTGCAGTAGATGTTAGTCGAGGTCTTGTCTTCAAGATCCTTGAGGCGCGAATTGCGAGATTTCTACACACCAAGTTAGTCGAGCTGCAGTCGGCAAAGGTATGACAGAGCCCACCTGAGCAAAGCTGGCCTGGTAGCCCAGGTAATAGAATCCACGGATGCAATTCTCACAGGACTCAAAGTTGAAGTACTGGACAAATCCAAATCTGGGAAATGGATCAGTAGAGCTCAAAAAGCAGACAATGTCGGTTGACCACTTACCCTTTGCACAGGCTCGTATCCAAGTCTATAATCGCCTTGCAGCGATCGATCTTTCCAAACCGCGATGCGTATGCGTGCAAGATCTCATCAGTTGTCTCTGGAAGGAATCCACGAATGTAGACATTGGTGATGCCTTCGCGATTCTCAAGACATTTGGCCAGAGTCAACTCGGAAGCGTTGGTCCACATTGCGGGCACGGCGCGTGGAATGGCTGGCTCCTGCTGAGTCAAACACTCAAGGTCCTGCAGGATGTATCCATTGGATGACTTCATCATCTGGTACGGAACACAGGCTGCAGCCATCTGGGGCGGCTGGTTGAAAAAGCCCTGGGCAGCTGGGTTCTCCGAACTATGGTTGGTGCCGGCAGTGTAATATTCAGACTGGTTGCTATTCTCGACCGACGAGTTAGCTGCCATCTTATTCTCTTCAGAACCAGGCCACTGAGCTCGCTTGGGTCCCGCAACATCCTGCATGTCGCAATTCATGATGTATGGGAAAGGGTAGCCCTGCATCGGCGCCGGCACCATCGGATACGACGGGTTCATGTTCGGGTACATGGTGGTGGGCATGTACGGTATGTGTCCGAGCTGCTCAGGGCCAGCAACGGGAGACGAGGTGAATGAGGGAACAGGGCCCATGCCGTTGAACATCGGTGCATTGGGCATGAGGACCAACTGACTGTTGTACGCAGCACGCTGAGCGCCGGACATGTCCATTCCTGGAGGCATGGCGACCGGTATGTGATTCTTGGCCGGATTGAACTTTCCACCGGGGCGCTGGCCCGGGAAGCTCAGCGGACCATAAAGCGGAGTTAGGGCTGGGCCAACACTCTCACTGCCAGACGACATCTGTGGAAAGCCGTTCACGAACGAGGCCTGGCCACCCTCATGAGAATACTGTCCGGACTGACCAGACTGGGCCTGGCTGGAATCAGATGCAGAGATCTGCTGGGCCTGGTGATTCATGATGATGATGGTCACCGATCGTGACAGTAAATGGAATCGCTATTCTGAATGTTAGCAATGCTCCTGTCTCCGAGAAAGGAAACCAAAAAGAAAGAGTCCTCCGATCAGTGTTCAACACCAGCCCCTCGAATGAAGATACATGAAACGCGCAATCGATTCACAAGACGAGCAAGAAACACTGTTTCCTAGAATAAGAAGACTTACCAACGATTAAAGAAGGACTCGATGTCGCAGGGAAGAGCTGACAGACAGCGTTTAGCCCAAGGCTGCGACACCAGTAGCAACACCGATTCAACTTACTTGGTCCCAGACTCTCTAGGAGACTGGGATACGAGGAAAGTTCGATGGACAGAAACGAGTGAAATTAAGAGAATTGATGAGGATGAGAGGCTATCTAAGGGGGATGGAATGAAGTGGATGAGGGGGTAAAGGACGAAGATGGGGATGGGGGAGGTGAGGAGACAGGAGAAGAAAGAGAAACGAACACGAAAAGAAAGAGGAAACGGGGGGCAGGGACCGAAAGGGAATTAGCCAAAACAACACGGGCATTGGGAAGGAGCCCGCTTCACTGTTGAAGGAAGGGAAGAACGACATCGTCGGCCGTTCAGTGGTCTAGAAGGGAAGGAATGGGTGTTTAGGGCCTGAGGCCGGCGAGGTCTCGGCATCGCATCGTCTTGCATCTTCTCGCATCGCCAGTGCCAGTATGCCGAAGGTCACAGGGAATCACCCCCAAAGGAAAGTTTGTGAAAAATATCTTTGTTGGAGTTGAAGCAACCTCATATTTTAACAGTAAGTACGACCCATGAGAGCTGGCCTATAACTGCAATGATGTGTATATGTGCAGGGGTCATTTTGCACCTTTGACGGCATGCCTTCTGATTGTCATGGATGCCGAGAAGTTCCATTGTCAATTTCCTAGCCTCTTTCAGCCGATTGCGAATCCAAGCCAAATGGAACTGAAACTCACGGAAACAGCAAACATCACCCATAAACCCGGAAGAAGCGTGAAAGGAAGTTATGAAGAAGCAGAGAACGCCGAAACAATATTCATTCCAACCTTGACCTCGTCTCATTGCTCGGACTGGCCCTGCAACCACTTATATACCACAGAAAAATCTTTACCTCGGTGCTCCTCTTCCACGGCAGTGTACACGCTATGAGCCTTGTCTCCAAGTGCGAGCGGAGAACCGGACTCTTTAGCAGCGGCAAGAGCCAATCGAAGATCTTTGTTCATCAAACTGATGCCGAACCCCCCTTCATAATCGCGCGAAGCAGGGGCAGTTTCCACGACGCCCGGGACAGGGTTGTTGACCTCCATTGGCCAGCATCGGCCGGTGGATGTGTTGACCAAATCCGCAAGGGCCTTGGGTTCAAGACCCCAGCGCATGCCGAGATTCATTGCTTCGGCAGTCGCAATGTTGTTGATTGCCAGGATGTAATTGTTGGCAAGCTTCGCAGAGACACCGGTCCCCGGCGGCCCCATGTGCCACGCTTTCTTCCCCATGAGAAGCAGGATCGACTTCACCCGCTCTACTAGCTCTCCCGATTGCGACGAAGCGCCGAACATAAATGAGAGTGCGCCTGCGCGGGCTCCCACTACTCCGCCAGACATCGGGGCGTCGATAAAACGACCTTGGCGTGTCGTATGAATGGCATTGGCCAGCTCCTTGGACGAGGCCGGATCTATTGTGGACGTATCAATGAACAAGCGTTCTTGTTCCAGGGCGGGAAGCTCGCCGTTTTTGAGAACGCAATAGAAGACATTCTTCACATGTTCTGGCTCCGGGAGACTGGTTATCATCACTGTCTGCAGGAGAAGCAGTCAGCATTAGAATCGGAAAACCCTTGTCCCAGATCAATCAATCCTTTCCCGCCGCAGGTGCCGACCAAGGGGTTAAACCATCAGGATGAAGATCACCACCCGGCGATGGTCAAGCATGAGACAAAGTTTATGCAGATCATTTTCTCGAGCGGTGGGAGACCTCTTCTAGCCGACTTACCGACTGCTCCGCAACCTCCCTCGCGTTTTGGGCCACCACGACTTTGAGGGCATCATCCCCAGCGCCGCTGCTCCGGGCAGTCTCGCGAGTTTCTTGGACGAACTTTTTGGTGGCATCCTCGTTGACATCCCGGATTACGAGGGTATCCGTTGCAGGGATCTTCGCGCGTAGGTTCTTTGCCATGGCATAACCTACAGAATTGATCATGTTAACAGCTTGAAGACCACAATCTCTTCACTGAGTGTTTTGGCATACCCATTTGTCCTAGGCCGATAAACCCCCACGTAGCATCTCGTCGTATCGATATCGAAAACGCCCTCGAGGCCGAGCGCACCGGATGCGCAGGATATGATTTCGAAACAGTCGCCCTCCGCAGCGGGAGGGCCATAGCACGCGCGAGGCTCATCTCGACGAACTTTGTGAAGTTGGAACGGTCGCGATGCGAAACAATATCGATGTATACTATACGCTAGCTGATGGTCGCAATCGAGATCAAGGGAGGGCAGCCGCGAGCATGACAAGGAAGGGGCTAACTAGTGATCAGATAGTTGAAAATGTAGCAATGATAGACCGACCACTTGGTAGTGGGTGGACATCTTCCATTCGTTAAGTAATATGATTCTCAGGCGACCCGAGGAAACCAGCAGGTTAACCGTCGCTATCCGAGGATTTCCATTTGCGCCTAATGGACGATCACTCTCCATGCGGGGGAATCCACATCCGGAATGGCTGCGGAGCGCGGACAACCGGGGTCGATTATCTAATGTCTTGAGCTGTCGGCCTCCTGGGCTGTATCACTGGTCTAGCCCGACGAAATCTGAAAGAAAACATGGCATGATTCATCTCGTTGGTCCAGCTAGCCTGCATCTTCAATGAAATTGTATCCAAATGGCCCTGATCAACTGTGTCGGTTGGTCTTGGCGCAGTGCTGATCGGCTCTGGCTTGGATATATACTTCGAGCGTCATCCTCTGCAATGCAAGATAGAACAACCAACGACAATGTATCTTAACATATGAAATAGAACCTTGAATACGAGAGAGAAAGTTAGTAAAAGGTATAGCTGTCAATATGTAAATCATTCCCCTTCCCACCATCACACCAAATCCTAAACATCGCCTCAAATCAAGTACCCAAATCCGAGTTAAACCAACTAACAAATAATCCCAACCGTACCAGTTCGCTTGAGAACTGGCCATCACACAGTACAGCACACAGGTCCTCTAATACATATCTCATGCAATGATTCCATACCCACCAATTAATGCACTGCCGAACAGTCCATCGGCCTACCCGAACAAGAAATTGAGCTGTACTATGCACAGGTGCAGAAGCTGCATGAGCAGCCGGGCTCTACCTCTCTAGGTAGTTGGTTGGATGTGTATGATAACTAGAGGGACCAAGTGACTATTTTGGTCTACGCGTCGTACAACGTTCAGCAATGTTCTATGTATCCTCTGTTTCGGATTGGGGTCCGCCTTCAGTCCTTAGCTTTCAGACACAACGCTGTGTATAGCTATGTACCGAGGAAGTTTCACAATATGTATGTGTTTTGACCGAATACGAGCTGGTGTTCGAAATACAGGAGCAAAGATAATCCGAAGGGGAAAGGAGAGTTAAATTCAAGGATTGCCTATAGTACTGTTTGCAGTCGTACTCAATGGAAACGCCAATATTTGAATTGTAGCTCTTATCATTTTTTGACATTTGTCATAATCTATCCTGTCCCTATCGCATCTCAGTGTGCTCGACCATGTAAAGGTCCCCAAAAAGAAAGGAAAAAAAAAAAGAAGTAGGCATACACAAGCCACGCCAAAGGGGAAGAAATAATTAAGCAAAAGGCGAAGTATATATGCAAATATCATCTAGGCATGATGGGAGTGAGAAGGAAGGAAGAAGAGGAGAAAAAAAGTCGTAGCGTCTGAAATAGTGCCGCAGATAGGTGGTTTCATGACCAGACATCCTCCTGGTAGCTGCCGCTGCTGCGCATGTGTTTCACCATCTCCTCGCCCTTCTCGGCAGGGAGACCACGCTGCTTGGCAATGATTTGTCCAAGCACGAGGTTGACTTCACGGGCCATGTTGGCAGCGTCACCGCAAACATAGAAGGTGGCCTTCTGCTTCAGCAGGTCACTAACCAGCTCGGCATGCTCACGCAGCCTGTGCTGGACGTAGACTTTTTCAGCCGATTCACGAGAGAAGGCAGTAATAACCTTGAGCGTGTCGCCAAGCTGCTCCTCAAAAGTCTATAAAGGCACATCGTTAGCGGTGATATCACTATGAACGGAAAAGGGGTCGAATCCATACCTTCCATTCATCCTTGTACAGGAAATCTTCGTCGGATTTACGACAGCCGAAGAAAAGCACGGTAGGTCCGACCTTCTCGCCCTTCGCGGCCAAGGCAGCACGTTCCTGGACAAAACCACGGAAGGGAGCAACGCCGGTACCAGGTCCAACCATGATCACGGGTCGCGAGGGATCCGAAGGCAATTTGAAGTTCGAGTGACGGACGTGAACGGGAACATGGATGCCATCGTACTTGTTGCGGGGTCCAGTGATAGAGTAAGTCAAGCCATGGGGGTCAGGGGAAGGTTCGCCATTTTGCTTTTCCTTGAGCGCGAGCAGATAGTTCGTGGTCACACCCTTGACGATGTGCTCCTCACCAGGCAGGCGAACCGACTCGACAACGGCGGTAATGCTAATCTTATCCTTCTGAACCAGGGAAGACGAGGAGATCGAGTAGTACCGGGGCTGAAGCTTGGTGATACCTTCGATAAGCAGAGAGAACGGGACGGCGGCGAAAGGCTTGGACGTGATGCTCTGGAGAGCCTGAGCGATGTTGAAGCATCGGTTGGTGATCTTCTCGTGGAAATAGTCCTTGTCGCCACCCAGGCGAACGATCTCCGCCTTGGACGCTTCATCGGGGGCGAAGGCAGCGAGAGTCGAGACAAATTGACGGGAAACAGGGGCACAGACTTCCAGATAGTAGCGAACTGCGGCGTCATAGGTCGTAGGGGTCGGAATCGGAACCTTGGCGGTAACATCAATACCCTTGATGTTGATGACGGAGTGGCGCTTTCCTTCGAGACCAAAAGCCTGCAGGAACCGATCGACCTCGGAACCGGCGTTGGTGGGCCAAACAGCGATGTGGTCACCAGTCTGGTAAGTGAGGTTGCTACCAGCGATGCTGATTTCCATGTGCAGACAGTTGCGGTCCTTGACGTTAAACAGTTCACGAGATTCGGCGATGGGAGCGATGAACGGGTTGTGCGCAGAGTACGGGCCCTTGGGTTCACCTTGGAGATGGCCTTGAGTTGGCTCACCGAGGTACACGTTCTCATCTTCGGGGCTCAGGAGGTCATTCTCGGTGACATTGAAGACCGGCTCGTAGACCGCATCGCGCTCTTGCAGGTTCATCGCCTCAGACAGGGCAGTCCACATAGGTTCCTTCCAGGCCAGGAAATCCTCTTCCATTGTACCAGCGCCGTCGTCGCCCTCACCGGCAGAACCAATGCGTTGAGCACCGAACTTCGAGAGAGCGGTGTCCACATTACGAACCATAGCGTTGTAGTGCTCATACGTGTTGTTACCCAGACCAAACGTGACGTACTTGAGAGAAGACAGAGGCTTATCGTCGGCGGTGGCGCCGCTCTCGAAAGCAGCATCGTCGCCCGTGACGAACTGGTAGAATTCAACCGCATTATCCGTGGGTTCACCCTCGCCATAAGTGGCCAGAACGAAGAAAACGACCTTGTCCTCGGGGAACTTTTCCAGGTTCTCGTAGTCATAGTCCTCCAGATCGGCCACCATGGTCTTGAGACCGAATCGCTGGGAGCCTTCCTTGGCCAGTCTGGACGCGTAGTCCTCAGCGGTACCGGTTTGCGAGCCGTAGAAAATCACACAGTTTTTGCCAGTTTCATCCATCTTCTCGACAATATCGCGAGTCTTGCCGGCCTTGGCGCCTCCATTCATCGCCGGACCGGCCGAGGCGTAAGGGTCTTTGGCGACGGCCCAGTAAGTGCCCTTGGTGAAGTAGGCCACGCTACCCACCAAGAGCGCCACCAAGACGACCAAATCGAGGGTATCGAGTTGCGCCATGACGAGGACGCTTAGCGATAAAGAGCCACGAGGGACTGAATTGCAGGTTCAATGGCGGACTGATTGCGAGACGGGAGGAGAAGAGAAGGAGGGTCGGAGACGGACGGGAGGGGGAAACGTGACTCCCAGCTTCACCGAGATGGACGATCAATAACAAAAAGGGAGTAGGATGAAGAGGAAAGATAAGAGGTCAAGGAAGGACACCGAGGTCGGTGCTCTTCCCGAACGAAAGTAAAAATGAAGAGCAAGAAGAATGAGAAGACGAAGGGGGAAAAAGAAAGAAGAAGTGGTCGTGGTGTGATCACAGAAGGAAGAAGCCGAAGAAGAGAAGAACAAGAATAATTAATTACTTTGGCTCAAGCAGACCGCATTCTTTGGGGGGCCGGAAACCGGAGAGTCGGAAGGCAGGAAAGTGAGTGGGTATACGGCGCCTCTACAGGTGATTGAGGCAGCGTGGCCTTTCTTTTCTCTGTGGTTGCCGCCGGAAGTGGGCGTGGCCGTAAGCTCAGGCGGGGTGGCAGCAAGCGGTGGAGCCGAGGGCTGCTCAGGATGGAAGGTTGAATCGAATAGTAATGTTCTTATGACACAGTAGTCTGTCTGCTCAACTGCAGGTCGCAAGCCCAAATCTTAATCCGTTTTGATTGAAATCGTTCCCTCTCCCTTCTTATATGTCAAGTCTACTCCGGCATCAGTGTGGGGTATCCCAAACGTCTTGAGAATAGAGGAAGCGTCGGAAACAAAGTTCGGCCCTCGTTGGACACTAAAAGAACGAGAAACTGGAGGTGGCGGAGAGTGAAGGCAGGCAAATGAGGGCGATTTCTGGGGCGTTGCAGATGGCGGATCTCCCGAATGCCCTGCCGAACAGCGTTTCTAGCCGAGTTCCGCATGGCTATGGGTGATGCCCCTGACTTCCAAGATTCTGTCTCTATCTACCTACGGTGTACTCTAGTCACCTATGCTCTATGCCCTATGTGATCTCCTTCCATTTCCTTCGGTGGGAAGAGGTTCCTTTTCCGAGGGGAGTTCCGCCAATTATGGTCCCTACTCTACCTGTTGACGTCTCGTGATGACTGGCATCCTGGCCGGAGATCGCACGGAGGGCGGACGACGGATTTGATTCCGCACAACGGTGGTCGGCATAGACATAGAACAGTATCTAATTGTCCATCGAGTTGGGACGAGGTGTCTTGTGCTCGCGGACTTATACCGTGCTGGAATTAGACCGATACCACAGTTATGGAGGACTATTGTAGGTATCCTCGTAGTCAATCGGTCAATCATGACTTGGAGATAACCTCGGACTGGTCCAGTACTCTTGTCCCGCCAGCCAAGGAGGACCGTTTGCCAGAGTGGAAACCCAGGAATCTCTCAAGCGCGGTGGAGGTGTTCGAGTGTGTTCGAATCCTCCTGCGTTGGACAGAACTAAATCGTGTGCGATGACTCCGCAGTCGGAGTGTCATGTCATCACGACCATCCCGTATCTCGTGAGACATGAACCCCCAAGCCAAACCTAGGAGCTGAGGTGAGATCAGGAAGTGCATGTGAAATTCGCCGATTGATTCCGTGGTTGCGTAGTGCGTCCACCGTATGCCACCCTTCCCGGAGTGACCTGGAAGTCTTTCCCCATGAGACTGGCAACATCCTGACCGTTATTGGCATGAGGCATCGGTTTAAGCACTCTCGAGGCTACAATCGAGGCTTGGCATTTTCTCAACAATGAAACGGCCCTTGCATGGTATGACGATGGGAATGTTGGAGAAAGAGCCTTGCATCCCGTCGATTTCACCGACACACGCGACTTAGATTTCTGTTTCCCGTTGAAGATTTGCGCGACCGTGGGTAGGTCTTCCGGCTAACTTTGTTGGCGTTCTGGAGAAGATGCCCAAAATGGTATGAACCGTGAACCCACTTGGTGTTCGACTATGATGTTATCCAATGCCACTGGGACTCGAGACGTGGTTCTTCTAGAAGCATGCTGGAATAGAAGCCAATCCGTAGAAATGGAAGATAGGGCAGACGTTGAGTTTTCATGAATCTATAATAGAACTAAATAATTCCACAAGACGAAGAAAAAAGAAAACGAGCGTAAAAATGCGAGCTGAATAAGATGTGAGTAAACTGGGCCCAACCATCGACTTTCTGCCGTAAGAGAGGATGCCCCGTGCTCGCCGGTCGCGAATGAAACAACTGCGCCTAACAAAGCTCACTCTGATACAAACAACCCGTTCACGGCACCCTTTTTCTACCACCTTTGCAGCTTTGAGGCTGTCGGGCAACAATGTGCTGCTCAAAATTCTTGTGCACTTCATTTGTTGCAATTCCCAGCAAGCAATGAGCTTGGGTTGAACAGGTAGAATTAAAAAAACGAGGACGAGAAATCCGCCGGTACAATAGTAAGTCGCTCAAAGGGCCGTTTGCTCTGACGGTCCGATCTTTTCCCACCACTTCTGATGACATGCATCGCCATTTTAAATCCTACGATGACTCCTGAACCTTAAGCAAGGATAACCCAACTCTAATACTATGCACCTTTAGTGGCTTCACATCCATCGATCAAAGCTGGCCCCGTCCAGCCAACGACAATGCCCCTCATCCCTGACGAGTCCGGCCCTGTGTCGCACCATGTCTTCGCATCCCCACCAGAGCGCTTGGTGACGAGGAGCACGCCTTCGTCCACCGTCCATAGTCGGGAAACCTCCGCCGTCAGAGGAAGACCGGCCGATCCCTTCGCGCTAGCCCCCTCGTCCCTACAGCCTCAGAACAATCGTCGCGGTCATTCGCATTCAAAAAGCCCCGAAACGTCGAGTGGTCGTCCCGGTGCTGCCGCATACGATGCCCCCTTGGAACGGCGACCCTCCAACTCGTACGGCCATCATCGCCAGACCTCGATAGTTCATGGAATCCAACACTCCCGCAATCCCAGTTTCGCCGCCTCCACCTCCACAAGTCCTCTCAGTCCCGAACTCATTGCGTCCCTCGGGCGTGGCGGTGGTGTAGAGCCGGATAGCGCCGCGGCTGCGCGGCACGACCAGACAGATATGCACGCGAGTTATCAAAGTCCCGGAGGAAACGCCTCGAGCCATTCCTTAACAGGCACGCTGAGCACCATCGAGGATCGGGACACGGATGAGGTCGGCAGCCAGAGCCCTGCGAATACAGTCCATCGAAGAATGAACTCGAATGGCAAGCCTTGGAGGGAACGCTCTCATAGTCGATCGCATTCAAAACACCACTTTGAATCAAAAACCGTGGGGGAATATGCCTTGCATCATCTGTTCAATTCTGTAAGCGCACCACCGGATCAAGATCCTCGGTACGTCGGCTAATAACGAAATCAGTTTGTCGGACAAGCGGACAATAAGATAAACCAGGCCATCATGAAGCTTGGGGAGTCAGACGCACCAGTTGAGCAAGTCTGTGGGCCGGGAGCCGATACAAACTTTGATCAATTGATTTCTGCCCTGGGACACATCGCGCGCCAGAAGCCAAAGCCACTGATTGACACCATCATGTTCTGGCGGAAGGCTAAGGGAGACACCGCGATCCTGGCCAAACAGGTGGCGAATCAAGTAAGTTCTGTATCTTCTGCCTGTCAGGCGCTCATGACACTAACGGCATTCACTCCTGCTAGTCGAAGAATAATCCTTCGGAGAATGGGTTACTGATTCGCCGCAACACCGAACCGCCGCATGTAATAGTGGAATCGCAGACCGATCCCTCAGCTTCCAATAACAGCTTCCTCTCGCGACCCGACGATGTCGTTTTGGCGGAGCGACGCGCAACCGTATCGGTGTACCTTGTATGCAGGGTGCTGATCGAGATTTTCAACCAGAGCAGTCTTGCCCTCATCACACTTGAGATGGCCGATCGCCTGGAGGACATTGTATTTAGCCAACTCAAGACCGTTGATCGCGACCAGATCACGGCGTCTCCGCTCCGCATGGCCAATTGGAGAATCTATTCCCAGCTACTTGGAATTATGAGTGAGACGAACTTCACGAGTGTAACGACTCGGTTTATTGCCGAGCTTGACAAATACCAGAAGGACGAAACATTGCGAGGCCCATCCAAGGAGGGCGACGCGAAAGCCGAGCTTTTGGTCTCGGGAATGAGGCACCTCCGCATCAGAACGCAGCCCGATTCCTGGCCCAAGTCGTGCGATTTTATGCGATCGTTGGCGCGCTTGTTCGTCAACGCCCATGGACAGCGATTAAAACAGGCATACTGCTACATTTTTGAGAAGCTTCTCCTTACGGTAGCTGCAAACCCAAGCTGTGATCTATCTTTACCCCGATGGAAGGAGTTTCTGGACTTGGTCCAGTCCCGATTGAATCAAATGCTCATGAAGCCTCGGCATTGGGCAGCGGCTTTCCCTCTGCATGTTCTCCTTCTCTGTGTCTCGTCAAAGGAAACCTTTTCGTCGCAATGGCTATCAGTCATTATGAGCCTTCCGCCGCGATTGAAGGATCGTCCAACTAGAGGCCCTGCTCTCCAGGCTATGTGTCGCTTATTATGGACCTACTTTTTCCGCTATTCAGATTCGCCGAATGTAATGCTTCGAAATATTCACGAGGTCGCCAGAATAGCATTACCTCCAGGGAAAAGGACGTACTTGAGTACGGAGCCAGCGGTGGCAGATCCTTTAATACAGTTGGTACGCATGATCGGATTCAAGCATCCGGACGTGTGCTTCCGCAGTATTATCTTTCCAATGATCAACTCGGATCTGTTCCTCTCCGGAAAGGAACTGAAAATTGAACAAATGGAACCCGAGAAGATGGTCATTGGAATTAGGGCATTCCTGGCGATAGTTACCGATCTGGAGACTTGTGACCAGCTGTGTCCACCTTTCCCAACTGGGTCGATTCCCAACCCTTTCACAGACATTTCCGCGTCAACGAATTCGCAATGGCCACAGTTTCTCACGGATCCCCGCCCGCCGAACTCATCAGAAAGCCGGGATGACACCACCCGCCCGGTAAACACTTCAAGGCTGAGTGACAACGTAAAGGCCTACTACATTCGCTTCTGTGAGACCTTGGGGAAAATCACTCTTCTGTGTGACAACACTTTTGGTGGGCAGGCGGCTTTGGACGAGAAGTTCGGCGGCACGACTCCCAAAACCCCGATTTCAGAGGCTTTCAGCTTTGGAAGACGTGATGACCATTTGAATACCCTCGACCAAAAGCAGGGCTTCTACGATCTCCTCCACGTTGCCGTCCAGGCTCTTCCGCGGTGCTTGTCCGATCATATTCCGTTCAACTCCCTAATCAATTTACTTTGCACGGGAACAGCACACATTCAGTCCAACATTGCTTCCTCATCTGCAGAATCCTTGAAGGTTATTGCACGGCAATCGCACGCCCAACAGGTTACTATCGGCTTTGCTAGGTTCATCTTCAATTTTGATGCTAGGTATTCCACTATGTCGGATGAGGGTATGCTTGGGCCGGGCCATATCGAGTCGACATTAAAGCTTTACGTGGAACTTTTGAGGATCTGGATCGAAGAAATCAAGCAAAAGACTAGGTGTGCTACCTCTGATTCAGGAGACAAGACCGTATCCGGAAGTCGTGCTCTCCAGCTGGACCTTTCGTCTGTCCTTGCGCATGTTGAGGAGATCGAGTCTCATGGTCTTTTCTTCTTGTGTTCCCAATCAAGACGGGTCCGGGCTTTCGCTATTACTGTACTTCGCTTGATCACGGAATTCGACAGTGCGCTCGGCAAGGAAAATACAAGAATGATTAGAATCCTCGAGGCTGACTCTCAGCAAATTCTGGACGTGAACGATGAACAACTCACGGTAGCTGAGAGGAGTCGCATTCAAAAGGGAAAACGCAGGAGTGCATCGCACAACACTCTCATCGAGCTGTGCAGCAGTGAGGTTTCCTATGATTCAACTTTGTGGTCAAAGGTGTTTCCAAACATCATTCGAATCAGCTTCGAGACTTGTCCCTTTGCTGTCACGCTAGGCAGAGAGATTGTCTGCGCGAGACTTGTCCAGATGCATAAGACGATAACGTCTCTCGCAGAGAGCTCACACCCTCCCTACTACGCTCCGATGGATGCCAGTCAAACCCGCCCACTCGGCAGGAACAACATGACGGCGGAGATTCTGATCGAACAGTGGAAACTGTACCTCGTCATGGCATGTACGACACTCAACAGTGTCGGTGCACAATCCCAGAGTCAGCTAGCAAATGCTCAACATACACGAAAGTCATCTAAGGGCTCCTCTCAACAGTCTCATGATAAGATCAGTTCCGCGAGAAGCCTCTTCGCCTTCGTGATACCGTCATTATCGGCAGAACGAGCTTCAATTCGCAATGCCATTGTGATAGCCTTGGGATCTATCAACAAAAACCTTTACCGCACGCTGCTCGAGTCGCTCCAATACGCCGTGACAACCTGCAACGAGGAGGCCAAGTTGCGGATGAGCACTCACTACAGATCCCCAAGCAGCCCGAGACGCAACCGAAAGACGGACCGGCTGCGAACGGAGGTGACGCATGTGTACAAACTCACGTCTCACTTTCTGCAGGAACCAGAGGTATTCAACGACGACTGGATCGTCAACAACCTTGTCACGTATGCAAAAGACTTGCGGATCTTCTTGAGCGATGCCGAAGTTCAGAATGATTGGGAATTCCAACGACTGCGATTTCATTACTGTGGACTGATGGAAGAACTGTTCGAGGGCGTCAACCGTACAAAGGACCCCTCGCGCTGGATACCCTTTGAGTCTAGAAAATCCGCATTCTCCTTGATGGAGGATTGGTGTGGCTATTCCCCGAATCAATCTCAAATCTCCCAGAGAGAAGAGAATATGCGCAAATTTGCTATCTCACACCAACATGAGACTGGCGAAATGCGGAATACCGCTGCTGCCATGGAGATAGAGAAGAAGAACCTTCGTGCGGCAGCTCTCAGTGCCATGGCATCGTTATGCGTAAGTAGCGCACGCATTTTGTTCCTTTCTTTCTGCATCCCACACTCCCTTGTACCTGGCTAATATTACAACAGGCGGGCCCTATCAGTATCACTACGGAAAGTGGCGCAGTTCTTCAGTTCGACGTGGGACGTATGCTCTCATGGGTGGACATTATCTTCAACACTATCAGTGATAAGTGGCATGCGATTGGAAGGCGAGCGCTCAAAAACTTGATTATCCACAACAAAGAACACTCGTATCTCTTAGAACGATCCATCGAGATGTGCTACATCACCGAGCGACCCAAGGCCTTGGAGAGCTACTTTGAGGTAGTAACCGAGGTGCTTATTGAGCACACCGACTATCCACTTGGATTTTGGCGAATCTTAGGGGCAGTTCTTGTCACGCTTGGCAGTCCGAAACGGGAGATCAGAATGAAATCCGCCAAACTCCTGCGCATTCTAGAAGAGCGGCAGCAGAAGAACTCCAGGCTCCAGGATTTTGATATCAGTATCTCCGACAAAACCACGGCTGTTTACAAGCTGGCCCAGTTCGAGACGTCCAAGCGCCTGGCAAAGCAGCATTTCGACCTCGCTTTTACCCTCTTTTCCGAGTTTTCCTTGCATTTCAAGAACCTGCGCCCCGACAGTCAGCGAAACATGGTAGCTGCCATTCTTCCCTGGGTCCAAACCATGGAACTGCAGGTGGACCCTAACGGGGGTCCAACAGTCAAATCTTACATGCTTTTGGCCAACCTTTTCGAGATCACCATCCGATGCAGTACCATTCTTCCCAACGAAGTCCAGGCCCTCTGGCAGGCCTTGGCGACGGGCCCTCACGGTGGAAATGTCCAATTGGTGCTTGACTTCATCATTAGTCTCTGCTTGGAGCGCAAGGAGCAGAACTTTGTGGAATACGCAAAGCAAGTGGTGGTGTTTCTCTCAGGAACTCCTGCCGGGTCTAAGGTCATCGAGTTCTTTTTGATGCAGGTCGTCCCTAAGAACATGGTGCAAGAACGAAAGGATATTACGCCAGCGCCCCCAGATATCAAGAGTCTTCCTTACGTCGCAGACCTAGCGACCGTGCTCCCGGTGGGCAACAAGCAGGCAGGACTTTCTCTCGGTCAAGTTGCACTGATCTTTCTTGTAGATCTGATGGTTGCCCCCGTCACTCTTCCTTTGGATGATGTTGTCAAATTGCTGCACGTCGTTCTCATCCTCTGGGATCATTATACGCTTACTGTTCAGGAGCAGGCGCGAGAAATGTTAGTGCATCTCATCCATGAGCTGATTGCTGCCAAAATCGAAGACGATTCCCCTACCGACACCCGACAGTCGCTTGAGGACTTTGTCGAATCCATCCGAAAAAGTGATCCGAAGGTTGTTTGGGAATACGAAGACAACAGTGACAGTGAAGGGGACGACGGGAGCCGTGTGCCTTCTTCAATGTCTAGCGTTACCCGCACCGTTGTCAAGTTTTTCAGTCTGTCGTACGAGGGCATCAACGACCTTTGGGCAAAGGAGGCTCTAAACTGGGCCACCTCATGTCCTGTGCGACACCTGGCCTGCCGTTCGTTCCAAGTGTTCCGCTGCATATCCTTGTCTCTCGATTCTAGGATGCTTGCGGACATGCTGGCAAGGCTGTCCAACACCATTGCTGACGAAGAGGCCGATTATCGTACCTTCTCCATGGAAATTCTTACGACGCTCAAGATTATCATTAGCTCTCTGGCTCCTCCGGATCTGTTGCGATACCCTCAGTTATTCTGGACCACGTGTGCCTGTCTTAACACCATTCACGAAACCGAGTTCATTGAAAGTATCGGTATGCTGGAGAAGTTCATGGACCGTGTCGACATGAGTGATCCCCTAGTAGTGTCTGAGCTCATTAAGGGCCAGCCTCCTAAATGGGAGGGAGGATTTGATGGCCTCCAAAACTTGGTCTACAAAGGATTGAAATCGTCGGAATCGCTCAATAAAACACTCGACGTCTTACACCGTTTGAGTGGTCTGCCAAACAACGAACTCATCGGTGATGGCAATCGACTGCTGTTTACGGTGCTGGCAAATTTGTCCCATTTTCTCCATCAATTTGACCCAGTCACTGCGGACGGGCCTAAGGATGATCCAAAGACCCTTGCCCGAGCGACCTTGCTGGCGCGTATCGCCGAAGGCGAGGGGTGCCCCCGGCTTGCAGCTTCGCTGCTTGGATTTGCCAACGGACAGTACAAGGCGGAAAACGATTTTCTGAGCCACATCGTGACCGAGATTCGCTCGTATTATTTCCCTGATCAAGATGTCCAAAGTCTTATCTTCTTGATGGGCTTGCTCACGAACACAACCGACTGGTTCCGAACGAAGGTCATGAAGATACTCTGTATGCTCATTCCCGAGATTGACATGCGGCGCAGCGAAGTGACCTGCCACGGGCCCGACTTGATATCTCCTCTTCTGCGGCTACTTCAAACTGAGCTCTGTCCCCAGGCCCTGCAAGTTATGGACCATATCATGACGGTTTCGGGCAACCCGATGGAACGGCATCATATTCGAATGAGCATGGCCTCGTCGTCATCGTCGCGGGCCATCCGTAAGGAGTACGAACGGATACAAAGTCTGTACGGGATACCAGAGCCGACTGGCTGGTCCATTCCGATGCCGGCTACTCAGTCGACTACCACAAGACACAATGTGCATGCCGTATTTTACACCTGTGCTGACGTGGACCGCATGGAAGCACAGGAGACAGTCAACACCGAAGTGGAATTCCATGCAGACGAATATAATGACTCATTCTTCCCTTTGCGAGCCGACACCATGAAGTCAATCGACACGCAGACTGATGGCAACATGGGAGACATTGTCCAGAAACTAGACAGCTTGGACGATTTCTTCGACGAGACCGAGCCGATCATGCCACCATTGGACAACTTACCCGATTCAACCCTACGAGGCTTCACGGGCACCTACGCCGACACTACAGCCAACCTCTACGACCAGCAAACAGCTCCCATCTTGCGGAAATCACTTGCGCGCACCGCATCCACTTCGTCGTTCCATAACGGTCTCGCCGAGTCCCGACCTCCAAATATGCGGTTCGATAGTGCACCTGCCCAGTCGGCCACCTCAACACCCCAGTCCCACCCGATTCCTCGGCCAGTATCTCACACGCGTTCCGTTACCTCTCCTGTCAACCATCTATTCTCTCCCACCTCTTCCAATGTACAGTTTTCTACTCCGCCAATCGGATTCAGTGACTCCGCCTTTCTATCTGACGACGAAGTGGACGATGGAGTGTATGACATTGATGAACGCTTGTTAAACCATAAATCATCGGTGCCTCACCCGATGACCCAAGCGCGCAGTGTAACTGACGGATCTTCTTCCATTGAATCCATGCTACGCAGCGGCATGAGACGACTCACTGGTGGCTCAAGCACGAACCGAGACAAGGAGCGACAGCGTGATCTGGTTCGATCTCAACAGCGGACAATTGCCCAAACGGCGAGCTCTCCACGCGTGCCCAAAGTACCACAGGAGTATCTTTCAGGACCAACCAGTAACCCTGCATCCCCGGGTCAGTGACCTGATGTATGGAACTAACTGCCATCTGTATCTATATACTTGTCCTTCTTTTCCCTTTCTTCCCTTACCTCCGTCTCGATCCTTCTCTACGTCCATCTCCTTTCTTCTCATCTTCGATTTGCCTTCTCTCATTCGACCTTTCTTTCACTTTCACCTCTCCCTTCTATCTTCTTCCTCAAACGATTGCATTATAGCCTTCCTACGAGCTCCCGGCATGATGTTTACATTTACATTGACCTGATATTAACATGAATGGACATGGATAAAGACATAGTAAAGGATATGGATAAGGAGGAGTTCAAGACCCTGTGTTGATTTCTTTTCTCATGTTGGTTTATACATACATACTGTCAGGGACTTGAGGTTGCTGGATCACATAACTCAGTCTTATACACATAATATCAAACTTTATAACTTTTTAGAACGTTGTCTTTTCACGCATTCCCTAATTCATTAGATAGATAGATCTATGCACTCTCAAAGTGTCATATAAAACAAAGTAGTTTAAATTTCAGGCAGTCTTCTCCATTTTCCTTGGAGTACAAGATGTCTTTCCTCCATGAGGTTCTCAATTCCAATGCACATCTCGCGGCCAGAAAGATGAAAATCTCCATTTTGCTTACACCGGGATCTTTCGCAAAATATACATCCGATCATCTACAAGTTCACCACCCCAGTATTATTCCGACCCCCAGAACACAAAATAATATCAAGTACGGACTCCTCAGTCCATTCATGTATTGAATATGTATAAATAAGAAAATGAGGAGAGAAAAAGCCGCTGTCTGTCTATGTACATACGAGCCGCCTGACGACAACCAACCCGCTGGTTAGTTACTTGCCCTAGGCTCTAGGCCCTCCACCACCGGCATTTCTCTTCGCTTCTTTCAACGCTTCTTCTACCAACCATATACTAACATCTTGCACATCTTTGCCCTCACGCCAGCTCCCAAGGACGACGCCGTGGTCAGCGAGAAGCTCATGGGCGCGTTCCCAGCGTCGGCGCCACGTTTCCTCGCGGCGGCTGGGCAATGGTCCGACTGCGGAACTGGGATAGGCGAGACCGGACTGCGAGTCAGAGTCTTGGCTGTCACTGCTGTTTCTTAGATTTGAGTTGGAAGTGGTGGTTTGGAGGAGGTTGGATGGCGAAGGGGCCCAGGGGAGACGGTCAGACGCATACTGCAATGCTGTCGAGGCAGCAGTTGCAGCAGCAGCTGGATACGATTGCGGTGGTTTTTGAGGCGGAGGCGGAGGTCGGGGAGAACTTGTTCGTGTAGAATCAATGCTTGGGGCGGTTGTAGTTGCACCGGTGTTGCTTCGACGAGGCGGGGGTGGAGGTGGCGCTTGCTTCGTACGGGAGGGCCTTTGGTCGTTCGTGTCTTGGGAAACGAATGAACTGTTGTCGCTGCTTGGCTTGGGACGAGTGGGTAAGGAAGTGGTGGAGCTCGTCTCTGATAGTCCCTGCCCTGCTTGGGGGTTACGCCGTGCTGGCAAAGGTGGCACTGGTTTTCTTTTGATGGCGTCCTGCGACAAGGAAGTCGAGCTGCCATTCTCTAATTCGGAGGTGGTCGCAACTGTGCGCAGAGAAGATGGCTTGGATGGCTTTGCGGGTGGTGTTCGCGCAGTAGGGGGCTTCAGCGCCTCGTCTGACGGATTCCTTAGCTCATCTTCGTCTCGGAGGTCGATCAAGTCGGCATTATCTAGCTGTTTGGCGTCCGAGGAGGAATCGGGGGATCCTTGTGCTCGACGAGGTGGTAGTGTAGGTCGTCTCGCAATGGCATCAGAATCATCATGGAGGTGAGGAGTGCTGCGGCTTCGCGACACAGCGTTGTCCAAATGTTCGACCGACTTCTCAAAGAATCTTTTACGATCTGGTGTCGTGATATCGCGGATGAAGACCCCAAGAATGCGCCCAGGGTTGGCTAGTGCAATGTCGGTATAAACTTCAAGATCGGCCTCGCCACTATCACCAACCAAAATGAATTTGCGCTCGGGGAAATCTCGCAAAATTTGCTCCAGGGGCCCTCTTTTCCGTTCGGCAGTGGGCTCGAATATTCCCTGTAACATACCACTGTACTGCTTCAGGTGGACAGAGCCAGGGGGCAGTCCAACTAATTTGAAATATCGGTCAAGCAACGGATACAGCTGCCACGGTGCGTTGGACACGTAGTGGACTTCCACGCCCATTTTAGCCAGCTTGTTGTACCAATCAGCCACACCGTGGATGGTCAAACCGGCAAGCTCGCGGACAAACGTGTTACGAAAGATTTCTTTGGCGCCGCTCGCAATGGCCGAATGCTTGATCGTGTCATCGACATCGCTGATCAAGCTGACCCCCGCCGGTTCGATGATCTGGACCTCCTTCACGGCGGACAGCTCCTCCGAAGCCAGCACACGAACATGGGTCGGCACAAAAGGCAGCGCAGCACGAAGCATGAAGTGGCCGGACTCATCGGTCATAATGCTCCTGGACTGACTCTTCCCATCGTTGAAAAAGAAGACGGTGACAGGCATCTGCGTCACAGGATTTGTCAGAAACGGACGCAGTCTCTCCATAAGATGAGCGTTGGCAACCGAAAGTTCATCCTTGTTCATGGGTGTAGATTCCAGGGACGTCGACGTCGATGTCTTCTGCAGCGGCCGTCCCGGTAGTGTGCCATCGTCCAAGCCCGTATCCGTCCTCCCTTCAGCCTTCCTGATAATCGATTGAGCTTCCGTGTCGACAATCTCATCTTCCCTACCCCCATGAGTCCCCATAGCCGCAGCAGTATTCGGTTCTTCAGCCTCATTCGAAGGGTTATTCGGAGCCGGGACACCACTGAGTTTCCGAGCGAGCGCAATCATCAAGCGATGTTTTCGAGTCATCGGCCCGCGATGAGGCGCGTACACCCAGCCGCGCACATCGACAGCGACAATTGCATTCTCATCCTCGATCACCTCCCAGTCCGCCAGCCCGCGCTCCCCTTCCTCCGAGCCCCCACGGTATTCATCAATGGTCGAAGTCGAATCCCGACGTCGCCTCGAGTGGTCCCTTGAATGATGCAGCCCCTTAACCAGCCGACGCGCATAACTCGGGAATATCACCATCTCCTCATCGCCGGACCGCGCGATCTCGACATCGGGAAACGCCCCGGGCGTATTGAAGTAATCCTCATCGTAATCGCGCAGGCCGTTCCGCTGTTGTGTCCATTGCGCAGCGTACGACTGGCGCAACTCATTCGCCGCTTTCAGATACTCGAAGACCTTCTTGCGGCGGCCACCGGGCGCGGAGGACGACGACGGCAAGTACTGCGACATAGGGGCCCCTCTCTTCAGCGTATTATTCCTGCGTCGATCGACCGACGGCACCACCCCGCCACTGCCACTCCTGGGATTATTGACCTGGCCCAACCGCGACGATGGCGACTGCAATTCCGTCCCTCGGAGTCGGCTCCGTGTTGCCGTCAAGAGTCCGACGATTCCCCGTCGCCCGGGTGCACGTCTCTGGGCGAGTTTGGCCTGTCGATTGACGATCGCTCGGTAGACTCGTGCCTGGGCGCGTTGGCGGAGGGCGGGGATGGTCTCGTAGCGAAACCCCCAAAGGCGCGACTGGGCGCGGCGGCTCGCGTGGGGGCCGAAAAGCACACGGAGGAAAAGGGCGAATTTCCCCTGGCGATTGCGTCGAGGCTGATCGAGGGAATTGGTGGGGAGAGGGAAAGGTCGACCGGGGAGGGAGCGTCTGATGGAGGAGGGAGTCGGCAGAGGCAGGCGCCAGCGATTGCGGGCTGGCGGTTTGGGAGCCAGGATCGATCGTTTCAGCCTTATAGGCGATGGGATGCAGGTTCGCTTTAAGTTAGTGTTGAATCAGGAGGGAGTCTAAAATAGTCGTGGCTTTAAAATTGGATGCCGCGGGTTTAATGTGTTCGCGGTGTACTGTGGGCTTGGGGGGATTGTTAAACGAGAGTGACTGTCATCAAGGGGTTAGAAGGCCAGAATGACAGTTTAGTGCTGGTCAGTAAGCAGGATTTCAATTAGTGCAAGATAGAAAGTATCAGGCTGTTTCATGCCTGCTGCGAATGTTTGCGAGTGACGTTATCCTGAGGACACGAGATTCAGCGGCCGGTCGCTGCCAAGTGGGGGCGCCTGAGGCAACACTAATTTAATGACAGAGCAATACAGAAACAAGATTTGGTCAACATTGACTCCATTTGTTTTTTATCTGATTATATACATTGCTATTATGATTACAGGTAGACTCATCAAAGCTTCCAAGGCCCAGAATAAGTGCATAATGTTACACGTGCAGGAAACCACACGGTTGACAGCCACTGAATGAATAGACAAACAAGCGGCGATGATGCGCCCAAGTCTAGCTCCATGCCTATAATATCACCAATGTACAGGAGGATGAGCGGTCATTAGAAGGTGACATGCAAGAGCACCTACGCCGACCCACTATCCTCAGCATAGTTAACCTGCTTCACGCGGGTACTTCGTCGATTGCTAGTAGTCCGCGACCGAGAAAGCTTGGGCGTCTCAGGGGGCACCTCCTCTTCTGAAGCAGAGGAAGGAGTTGGCTCAGCAGAAGCTTTACGCTTTCTGGTTGTCGACTTCTTTGCACTGGAAGTACGCGGGGCCCGCGCGGGCTTTTTAGAATCGGGTGTTGCCAAAGTGCTACCGTTATCAGCCTCTCCACTCTGCTGGGCAGGCTCCACAGCATTGCCATTGGTCTTTTTGGATGCGCGCGGTTTGGCCGGACTCTGAGCTGCTTTGGTCTGGATGACTTTCTTTGGTCGGAGCCATTCCTCCATACCGGGAGGCCAATAAACCCTGCCGTCAGGACCTCCCATACCAATCTCTTCGTCGGGAACAGTTTTTAGGGGTGGGACGAGGCCATCGAGGTCGACAAACGCACCCTCCTTCTTAGACTGACGTGGGGGCTTGTAAGGCTTATTCTCGTCGGTCCTGACATAAGGTATCAAATCATTAGAAAGCCCGTGACCGGGGAGTTTATATATGCGCATCAGCTCCAAGACGGCCTGCTCTTTGTCTTTGGCCTCGATCATCAAATCCATAGTAGGATCGCAGGGCGGGAGAGCGGTAACGCGATCACGATGCTTCCGGCGTTCACGATTCGTAATGGCAGACGAGGTCGGTTCAGAGTAGTGCATCTTTTGCGTGATGTTCTTCCGAGTCCAGGTGGCCTTGATCCTGTCGAAAAGCTGCATGATGTCTAACGTGCCACCCCGCAGCTGGGTCGAATCGAAGATGATGTTGTGGTGATGGAAGTCCAGGACAAGCGGGATGTTGAGCTCCTCACAAATGGGCAGCAGGTCGTGCACCGACCAACTAACATCATCATTCTCCAGGACCAGCCTATTCTTGATGTCTTGTGACAGACCTTGATAGTTCTGTCGGAAACGATCAAGGGTGGCTTCCTTGTCGCCAAAAACGCCACCCATGTGAAGAATCATAACCGCATCTCGGTCTTGTTGAGGGGGCAAACGGAGAAGCTGCAACATCTCCGAGTGATACTCCAGATCTCGGATGGAGCTTTCGACAACATCCTCTCTCGGGGTGCCCAATTGCGTGAACTGGCCGGGATGTACACTCACACGATGGCCTAGTTCTGCGATAACGCGGCCGGCATCGCCGAGCGCTTCAGCGGCGAATGGAGCCAACTTATACCCATATTCTTTATGGCTGGCAAAAGGGAACATCTCGCTGCTCAGCCGCATGAACTTGATGCCATACCGGTCATTCCAACGCAAGATCTTGACAACATCACGCGCATTGGCAAGTCCCAAGGACTCAACGAAAGCCTGACCGTGCGCAACATCGGGAGGCTGAGAGCGATCCGGGCGATTCTTAGTAGGATGAAGAGGCTGGGAGGGGTCTGAGAGCGGATGTCGGTTTTCCAAGATAGACGCAATGCGACAAGTGCGGGAGCAGAAAACCGGTGGGTTTGAATACCGCAGGTACGTATTCAAACAGGCCTGTTGACCATCAGCTACGTACGGGCCAGCAATTCCGGGAGATTACACACATAGCCCAATCGGCCTTTCCAAGGGAGAGGCAGATAGCTGCTATTCACCGGTGGAGGTCGCGTTAAGGCCTCTCGGAGCTCTTCCGCTTCAACGGGCACATTGTCGTCCGACTCTGGGTCTATGGAGACATCCTCTGACGGGCCAATTGAACGCGCGTCGCGATCGGCGCTTCCTTTGAGGTTGTCGACTGGGGCAGCGTCCTCCTCCTTGGGGACTGCCATTTCAAGCGACACGGCCTGAGAGCCAAGACTCTGTGCCTGACAGGAAGAAAATGGCCTCAAGTGGGGTGGCCAAGGGATTGGGGTGGTTGCAAGCTTCAGGGATCGTCTTCTCACGGAATGCAATCTAGTGATTTGAATACTGGTAACACGGACAGGGAGAGGAGAGACTGGAGAAGTACAAAAGGTATGAGACGGAGGAGGTGAAGATCGGTTCGCCACGGTGACCGGGCGAATTATCCGGCAGCGCGACAAAGTGTGGCAAATGCTGCGTAAGTGGGAGCCAGATTCCTGGCCGCCATGGTAACGCGCGGTATGGTGGAAGGGGAGAGCACGACCAGCAAGCTTGGTAGGGAGAACAAAACGAAGAGGCATTCAGTAACACAGGATATAATCCGTAGACAAGAGCTAGGAATGATTATCTAGACGGAGTAGAAGACTGCCGCCGAAAAGGATAGCATCATCAGGATCGGTGCGCGTGATGGAGGAAGGATGAGGTCAGAGCCGGCGCGAGCTTCCCGGAAGTTGGGTGCCTCAGGCCAAGATGAACAATGACCCGCGTTGCCCTAAACCAAGAAGTATAGCAGCAGCGGAGTATACCAAGCAAACGCCACCCCTGCCACTGGCGTTCGTTTCATACTCCACGGCGCTATAGCGACAGGCCCGGTAACTTCAATGATCTCATCCACGTCCAGGAATTCTCCGCTATTTAAAGTAACCATCGCCGATGAGACCAAGAGGCTTGCAAGCCACGCCCACCCGAACTACTCCGATGTTGGCACGATGAGGAGACATCCGGAGCCGAGGCCAAGTTGTGAACAGATTTAGGCTCTACAAGATATGTGGAATGCTGAGAATTCAGCTGTGCGGGTAGCGATATTGTGAATAATGGCTTCCCGCCGGAACATTCCTGGCCCCAAGACGACCCGTTGCTCCGGACTGCAGTGACATGGATTTGTTGGCATTCACCATTCCTGCGATAACCGGTTTACTCCCGAAATAGACAATGGAAATGGCCATCAGACATGCCTTGAATAGTGAATACTCCCGAGTAGGCATGCCTCACACGGTGAATAGACATTCTCGGCCATTGTCTATATAAGACGCGCCATCCCTAGCCGACAAATATCTGCCAGGCTGCTTTCTGTTTACATCTTCCAAACCACCTGAGGTTGCTTGTGCGTGCTTCTCTCAATATCCAGGAAACAGCAGACCCAACTCCAGGGAATATTGCTACGTTATTTTGACACATTTGGTTGCGAATTCAGAATCAGAGATTCGATTTCTTTTTGAAAAAGGTGAGCATCATAACGCGTACTGATAGCGGAGTAGCTGCTTGAAAGTCAAGAAACTGACATCGGGACAGATCTTCACATCTCAGTCCCTCCTTTTTTACAGAAACAACATACTACAATCATGATGAAGGGCTTGCTGTTGATCGGAGGCCTTCTGGCTTCGGCTGTCTCTGGCCACATCCAGATGTCCAACCCGTACCCCATTCGCAGCCCGTTGAACAAGGCGGCGAGCGGCCAGAAAGACTACTCGTACACCAACCCTCTGTCCACGGATGGCTCTGATTATCCCTGCAAGGGATATGTCAAGGATCCGTTCAACTCTGTGGCAACCTATAGCCCGGGTGGCTCGTACAAGTTGGAGCTGGAGGGTAGTGCTACGCACGGTGGAGGATCATGCCAAATCGCCCTGTCATACGACAATGGTGCGACATTCAAGGTCATTCATTCTATGTTGGGTGGATGCCCCATCACCAAGTCCTACCAGTTCACTATCCCCAGCGATGCCCAGACCGGTGAGGCTCTTTTGGCATGGAGCTGGTTCAACAAGGTTGGCAACCGCGAGATGTACATGAACTGCGCTCAGGTCACTATCGGAGGAGGTGCCCGTAAAGGGACCAGGGATCTCGACCGCCGCGATGCTTTCAGCAGTCTACCTGAACTGTTCCGCGCCAACACCGGTGGACCCGCCCAATGCAAGACCATCGAGGGAGAGGAAGTCAACTTCCCGCTGCCTGGACCGTCCGTTGAAGGCTCGCTCAGTGGAAAGGGTTACCAATGCACTGGCTCAGCTCCGTTCCTGGGTGGTGGCCGTGCCGCCAACGTCGATACTAGCCCTAGTTCCAGTTCCTCCAGCTCCGATTCGAGCATGACCCAAGGTGCGAACTTCGCCGAAACCATGAACATGAACGATTACCAGGAAAGCTCCACCAGCACGGTCGCTTCAAACGCCATGGTTCCCTCTTCCAGTGCCGTTGCCGCCGCATCTTCAGCGGCTCCCAGCGTTCATGCCGTGCAGAGCTCCGCCGTGGCCAGCCCTTCCGTGCACAAAGTCGCCTCGACCTTCGCAACTACCCCCAAGGCCAAGAGCACAGAAACTACTGCTGCTGAGCCCGCACGCGAGCAGAGCCCCCAGACGCCAGACACCACCGCCGAGGGATCTTGCACAAATGGCGGCATTGTGTGTGGCACAGACGGCAAATCGTGGTCTCTGTGCAGCAATGGTCGCGTGGTCAACATGGGAAGCGTCGCCCCCGGGACGCAGTGTCGCCATGGCGCCATGCAGCCCGCCTCCTAAAGAAGTACAATGACGGATCGCTCTTTCGCTATCTCCGGTGGGATCCCCGCCTGGCGCGGGGACAGACCATGTCCTCTCCCTGTGTCTTGATCACCCTTGTACTTTCTTACCAATTTGTGATGGTGGGCTTTTTTTTTGTGGTTAGCTTTTTGATTTTACTGGTGTAATATTCAACAGTTCTTCTCATGAAATACGTCTTATGCTTCAATATCAATGATCTGAAATCAAACTTCTTCAATCGTAGAATAGCCCAGAGGTGGCAAGTCGACAGACTGTCTATATTAATATCCCACAAACAAAGAATACAAGAAAAAGCTGTCGAGAAATGGGAATGTCAATCCAAAATCAATATATTAAAAAAGGATAAGGCCTATTCCTATCCGCCATGGTACATAGCAACCCCAATCAGTCAAAACGCAATCCCAGTGGTATCTTATCCCAGTTCATTAAGTCGTAGACCTTATCCAAAGTCACAAAGAAAGGAAATAAATAGATAAAAGAAGATAAAGTGGAGTCTCTTGTACTCCTGGAGAAACATCGACCAAGCGATATTTGTATGTAGATCAGAAAATATATATTTTAGGACTCCTCGGTCCCTATTTCTCGTCGTTCATGGATTGTCCAAACCAGCTCACAATTTCTCAGGTCTCACTCAGTAGTGCAGGGCGACCGCCGACATCGACACACCCTAGTAGTTGCCAGTGTACGCAGAATTGCCGTAACCGTAGCCGCCGGTGGTGGGTGCGGGAGTGTTGGTAGCCGTCTTCTTCCGGGAGAACATGCGGCCCAGAAGACCAGGTTTCTCTTCGGGAGTACCCATTTCCACATCGTGGGGCGTGGGATGGCCCGGGAGAATGTCGTCGCCACTGCCAGTTTCCGGGTTGTTCTTCTTGTTGCGACGGAAGAGGCTCTTGCCCTGGGTGCCGTAGGTGTATCCGTTGGCCGGCGAGGGACCGAAGCGCCTCTCACGCTTGTGGTGGCGCGCATAGAGGACCTGGAAAAGGATCGAGACCAGGAAGAAGAAGCTAAAGAGGGGTTGAAATGTTACTGGGGAATGTCATTTGAAAACAAATTGTTTTTTTTTTGGAAATTCAAGGAGGGTGGCATGACAGATGTTTGAAACTTACATTCCAATGATCGAGACAGCAAATGTAACCTTCTGCAATTCACAGATGAAACCGTAGGTCACGTTCGAAGCCGACTCGGCGTGGCTGTCGCCTGATCCGAGGGGGGTCTTCACGTTACCGGTGCACTTCTGGGTGCCATCACGCGTCATGACGGCGATGGCCACCATGGCACCGACGAAGCAGACATCGAGCACGACGGCCAGAAAGGCAAAGAAGGCGACTCCTCCCAGGCAGCAGGTGAAGAGGATGCCCAGTAATCCGTAGAGGGTGGCAGCGCCCGATAGACCCTCAGTCGCTTTCATCCACTGGGGAATCGTCTGGTCATGGCGAGCTTGGACGGCTAGGAAGTAGGAGAAGATGCCGAGGATGACGGCGGAGTCCAAGAACTGGAGCACGCGAATGGCTAGGTTAAAAAAGCGAAGAATGACGCCGCCAAAACCCATCCTGACGTGGGGACTATCGCTCTGGAGGCTGGGTGATAGAGGTGATTTCGTCGGTGTCTCGCCGATGTGTTTGTCCGTTGTATAAAAGCCGGGCAAGCGAGGGCGGGAGAAAATCCGAAGGCGGAAGGGTTATATATTGATTGAAAAGGAGGGGAGGGAAGCAAGATCAAGAGGTTGGCCAACTGTGGGCAGCAGGGCTTAGTTTCAAAGTTTTCCTTTTCGCTCGACACCAAGATATAGAGTTTTCAGGAGAGAAAAAGGTTCGAACTTGAAAGGCAGCAAAATTGCATTGTCGACAAGGTTCCAGGGGACGCACCGCAGCCGTCGAGGGAGGGTGAAGATCGGTGGAGGCATTTGCCTTGAATGTCTGGGCGAGAGGTGGAACCCAGGGGAGAATCGATAAATCTCACGGGCCCTTCAAGGAGGCCATCGGCGACCATCGCAGACTATCCTCACGACGATCCACGGGTGACGACAAGACCGCACCGGATCTGATTGGGACTTTCCACCCGCGACGGGGAAAACGGTAGATAATGATGTCACCCTTGCTGTGGTCTGTCCCGTGATTGGCCCCAAGCGAGCTGGTGACTCAGCACCCAGCGGACGTGTCACGTCACATGGTTCAGGCCGCCACTTCAGGCATCCACATCCCCTGGGATTACCTCATCAGTGTCTGTCCAAGCCATCGCACCAGCCTCCGCACCGCCACTCGTGCCTTCTCTTGTCTTCTCGGGTCGTCACGTCACGATGAAGTTTATTCGTCCCAACAAGACAAAAATAGATGCCAGAGGTATACAAAGAACGGTAATGAATCATCATTAGGCAGTATGATCATCAAGTGTGATGCTCAACCACCGTTGGAGTCGTTTCTTGACGACCCACCTTTTGGGTTGATCGAGGAGTTGTCATGCTGGATTGTCCAACAAAGATGGCCAGGTCGTTCGAAACTCAGATCGATCTGGGGCCTCGTATCCCATCAATCACGTGGCATGCTCATCTCCACGGAGCTTGTGCCATTGAGCCATTCTGATGAGGTTTTTGGTGGTCTGGCTCCTTGGTGTGAACCGGAATAGGCTAGATTGGAGAAGAACACTACGGAGAAGCCGTCCATGCTCGGAAGACAAACCCGAGATAAACAACCGTTGAATAGAACCCCAGACGGTCTAGAAATGCCCGAATATCCGGGGCCTGAGGCAGAGAGTCGTAGATTGCACCTGCCTGATCGAGCAGCAAATACCTTCCCTTCCTCATTTCTTCCATGTTCTTCTCTGCTTCTCACAACTCATCGCTAAACGGTTACCTGCCTCTCTTGACTAGAGGTGGGTTTGAATCTGGGGCTGCAGTTTCTAGAAACGACATCCAATGCCTCCATCTCATTCAAAGACCTCTACACATCTATCAGAATCAACATGCCTGAAAACCGTCGATGTCTGGACTGGTTAGTGATTGTGGGCACTCACCACTATGCCCGAGATCGCTCCTACTTCAAGGACTATATTTCGGTGGGTCAAAAGGTTCCCCATTTCACGTTTGGAGTGGAACTAGATATCGCTGGGATGGGGACCGTGGAACTTCTTGTGCACACTGGCCCGGACGCCAATTCTCCTACCCGAACTCTTGTTTTGGAAAATGTCCTGCATATTCCTGCCGCTCTCTGCAATGGCTTCTGCCTTTTCAATTATCATCGCGCCAATGGAGGATCGCTGGGGTTCAGGTCAGGTTATCAAGCAGGATGGGATAGAAATCACTCCCCGCTCTGGTGTGCACCACCCTTCCGTGGGTTCGAAAGGATGGTTGTGGCGGGAGACGAAGAGGGCGCATGTTATTTTGTCGATGGACTACGACCGATCGATATCACTATTATTGTTGATGAATCAACGTTGCCACGAATGCCAGAGACTGTACGGTAGGTTTCCACCTTCCATCATCTCCTTGTATTCTACTCCCATTTCTTCTTGGAAGGACGCACCGAACCTTCTACGCTACTCAGACTAATTCGAACCCTCCTTCCAGGCCTAGGGCAGAGGATCCTTCTGAAAATCGTCCTGGAAATGTTCCTGAGGACACTCGGCGCGACTTTGACTGTGTTATGACAGTGGGATTTCGCCTGCTGTAACTAGAACACTGGGTCCCGAAATCAACGATGCCATGGTAATGAAAATAGTAGTAGAATTCAGGCAATGCTTTCGGCTTCATAATTATCTCCTGGAAATGAGATGCTGTTTAGAGGGGCGTTCTATCCTACCCTGAGATTCGCGGCTATGCCTGTACATCGACTAAGATCTTGCAATGCTCGCCTCGGTCATCTACCAATGACTGGAATCCTTTTTCGACCACTTCGTCCAGCTTGACTATGGATGTGACCATCCTCTCGGGTTTCAATTGACCTGAAAAGACTTGTTAGTAGGCTGGTCAACGGATTAAAAGACTGCCTAGCATCAACATGCCATTATTGAGAGATCGGATCACATTCTGGAATGCACTTTCATCATACAGTGCAGCCCCCGTGTACTGCACTTCATTATACATCAGGTCATTAACAGGCATGGAAGGTTTCTTCTCCCACACCGCGATGTTCACAATTGTGCCATGTGTCCGGCAGGCATCGACCTCTCCGCGCAACGCCTGCTCAACGCCCGCCGAGTCAAAGACAACATGGGCACCCAGCCCGTTGGTCAGTTTCATGATCTGTTCTGTGACATCATCCTCTTTGGGATCAATAGCATGCGTGGCGCCGTACTCCAGCACGAATTCGCGCCGTCGGGCCATCGGCTCGGCTACCGTGATGGTCTTAGCTCCCTGCATCTTGAGGACTTGGACGATGCCGATCCCAACGGGCCCGCCGCCTACTACCAAAACGTGCTGGTTGGGTTTGAAGGGAGAAACATTGACGGCGTGCCAGGCGACTGCTAGCGGTTCTATCAAGGCCGCGGATTCGAGCGATATATTATCCGGTATGGGGTAGAAGTGGTCTCCTGGGGCGACTTGTTTGCTGGCCATTCCGCCGCCATATCCTGCGACTAATGTTAGCTTTATATGTCAATTGGTCCATCGTATACATGGACATGCACGTGCACTGTCTAATCATACATACCAGACAGTCCAATAAACCCAATATTATCACAACAATGCTCATAACCGCCCTTACACGAAGGACAGGTCCCATCGTAGATAGTCGGTCGGACCACGACCCTCTGCCCCTTCGAGACGTGCGTCACTCCCTCGCCGACCTCCTCGACAATCCCCGAGAACTCATGACCCAGCGTCACCGGCGCCTTTACACCCGTGATTTTATGAGGTTCTTGCGGAACCAATACAGGCCCTGCCGTGTATTCGTGTATATCTATCATCCATTGCAGCCTTCATCAGCCTCTGTCACCTCACGTAAAGCCGTGAATCCGATGATAGGTTCTCTCTTACCACTACCGCATATCCCCACGAAAGCTGGCCGTACCTAGATCACATTGCGTCAACATCCATTTACTTGGTTGCTAGCACAGCCGTGGCAGAGGAGATCCCGGATGCACCGGGAGAAAACCAAGCATACATACCTTCACCTGGCCTTTGCCACAAATTGGCTCGTCTATCTCTTCGACACGAATGTCGCGGGGGCCATGGAATCGGACTGATTTCATAGGTGCGGTGGCCTTTAGGGCTGTTCGACAAGTGTTGTGATTAAGTTCGGTGTTGAGCATGTTTTTGGTTTTGATGGGAGAGCTCTAATTATTTGCTTCTCAGTGGGTGGATAAGTTAGGTATATCACTTCAAATATAAATTGATCTGCATTATCGAGAACATTGAATAGTTGGAAAATCGCATAGCCTTAAATACCTCCATACCTACCTACCTAATGCATAAAGCGTCCTATCTGATATTGACTGACTGGCATAGACGTTGCGATGACGTATCCTTGACTACGCTGTAGCGAGCGGCCAATAGTCATATTGTTTAGCTACGCTGTAATCATCCATGTTTTACATGCGTATTGTTGGACTGGTTAGAAATAGGATGTAGGAATATTGTAATGTATATAGTTACCACTTATGACGTGGACGTAGTTAGGTACAGCCAAAATCACTTGATCACCCGCCAGTCATCCATTAGATCAAAGAAATTACACCAATGATTCGTCAGGTCCTTCAAGAAACAGAGGGAGATAGGTTGGATGAGATAGCGTTAATAAAGCGTCACGATTCCCAGGTGCACGCCCGCTTGCGATGCGTTTCTTGATATGAACCGGTGGCGTCAAATAGCCGGGCGGGTGAGGATTCCGTGGAAGCTTGGCTGACCTCAACTGGTCTCCTGTGATATGCGGAGGCACCGAAGCCACAGAGTCCAAGCCCGGGGGGGTGTTAGTCGAATAAGACAGGGGTGTAGTAATTAGGTTATCCTTGATTCCCACGTAGGACGAAAGCGGAAGCGAAAAGGGGCCGCCAATGAGATACAGAGAAAGTCCGGTCTGGTGTCCTCTGTTCAATGGGTAGTTATGATGCCCGGGCATTCTTTCAGGACGATTCTTCTTCTTCTTCCTCGCGCATCTGATCAACGAAAGCGCGCATAATCGATTCCAGACCCTCGTTGCGACGGGCCAGAAGCATTACATCGGAAACGTTGATGGTGGAGCGGCCGGCATGTCTGAATCGGGTAAACCGAGGATGTCAGCTGTGATACAAGACTTGAAGAAGCAGCGCTCGGTTTCGCCAACAAATGAAGGTGGAAATTGCAACCAAGGATAAGAAATCCTTCTCATCAAGCATGGTAATCCCGAGCTATGCACATCTCAAGAATGTACTGCACTTACTTAGCGAACGATTCCAGATCTTGGCTCACAGTTTCTGGTTGAATGAGAACAGAGTCAGCGCAAAGTTCCAATGACCATCCAATGACGCAGACTGCGCAATACATGATCATCACGTCGGATAGAAAGTTGATTCTGTCTGGGCAGCGATGTGCTCATACCTATCTGGGCCCAGACCATCTCCGTGAGAGCGCCAATGAACTGAGGCGTGGCGTTGACACCGAGCTTGATGGTTTCCTCGTCGACAATCTTCCCAATGGAGAGCCACAGGGCCGATTTCAAGCGCTGGAGGGGCGGATTGGTGATGAGCAATTGAGCATAAATATAAGGGAGCTTATTGTCCATGAACACCGCGACTTACCTCTTCGAGACCTACTTCTTCTACATTCTGGTCCATATTTGGAGGCGGGAGACTCGAGAGGAATGAGTATGCTAACAGGTAATACGACCGCAGCAAGATAGACTGAAAAACCGTAAAGACCGAAGCATCAAGACCCCTCCAGAGAGCATCGCGCGTCGATGCTTGGAGACGCGCGCTTGCACGTGATCGACTGCGGCCTCAGGTCCCGGAAGAGCTATTTATCCGTGGTAATGACGCTAATCCGTAAACGGCCCTTCCAGGTACTCAACACCTTTCCCCGAGACAGCAAAAGAACCTCGATACTACCCATCTATAATGAAATCGTCACCTTATCAGTGAAGATAGAACAGTCTTTTACCAGACTCATTGGTATCCTGGGAATTTTCTTCGTATCTCGTGCCAGGAACCCAGGACCCTCCAGCCGACCTATCCGCTCTTCCCGTTCCCTTCTCCGGACTAGATAGGTATTCTACTCCACTCTCCACCAATTTATTTCCCTCATCAGTCTACGCTACGGATCTTCGACGGGGTTGTTTTTTTTTCCTCCGCAGAGAAGACAAAACTTCCTTCCCTCTCTCTCGCCTTCTTCCTCCTCACCACCTCCTCCACAAACCTACTCCATCCCATCTCTCCCTCCCTACCATAATGGCCACACCCACCACCGACCCAAGCGACGTGGTCGCCGACGCCCTCAACGACTTTTTCGGCCAACTCTACGCCTTCTGCGAGACCATCTTCGGCCGATTCTTCAAGAACCTCTACCTCTCCTTCGCCGACGTTTCCTTGAACCGCTGGACAAAAGTCATCCTCTCGGTGGTCGGCTACATCCTTGTGCGTCCGTACATCGAAAAACTCTTCGCCCACCTGCACGACAAGAACCACCGCAAGGAGCAGGAGAAGGTGCGCGCAGCCAGAGAGGCCGCCGCCGCCAACGGGGAAGCCAAGATGTCAGCGAACGAGCTCCGCGGGGGTCGTCGGGCGGCGGACAACAGCAGCAGTGGCGGGAAGGTGCTAGGGGAGGTCGAGAACACGGACGATGAGATTGATGAGGAGCCAGAGGAGGATGTTGCGACGGCGAGTGGCGTGCCGGAGATGGGCAAGAATGCGCGCAAGAGGCAGAAGAAGCAGATGAAGAATTTGGAGAAGGATGCGCAGGCGCAGGCGAGTACGCATAACTTGTCGGAGGAGCAGCTTATGGAGTTGTTGGATTGGAGTGAGTCGGAGGGTGAGGGGAAAAAGAAGGAATAAAGGAGAAGACGGGATGATTGATTGCATGGGCTTTTCTCTATAAAAAAGTCCTTGTGAGTTGACTTGCTTGCCAGTCATGCTCCGGCTGGTTTTGCCATGCAGGGATGGGTTTGGGGCCATACGATTTTTTTAATCTTTTATATCTTTCTAATGCTTGTATTAGTCACTTGAAATGGTGGTGGTGGTGATTTTGAGGCCCCTCGCATGTGCATTGCTAATAGTGCTCTTGAGACCTCGAGACTAATGATTATACGCACTCCAACCCCCCCAAATTATATATCATTAATCATGAGAACGTAAAACATGATCGAGACTCGTAAAAAAAGGATTATAAACCACTGAAATATCCTGATAGCTATATGCACTTATGTAGCTAGCGTCTATTGCCTCGCTAAAGTATCATATCCCCACCGTGAATGTCCATAACACATACAATACCTCCTTTTAGAGAATCCCCTTGATAGAATTAACGGTGACTTTAATGCAGCCTCCGAAGCGCTTCGATCATAATCTTAACATCATGTACGTTCATCAAACCAACCGCGTTCACGATCTCCTCCTGCAAGCTTGGCTCGCAGGTCAAGAATCGCTCAATTAACTCTCCATCCACAAAGCGATACGGCTCTTTGGATTCCCGGACCATGTTGCGGAACCCTCGGAAATCATTGAATGGCAGATCTCCCAGTGATTCTAGCTTATTCGCCATGGTCGCCTGAAGGCGCATGAGGAAGTCTTGATGTTCAGGGTTGATAATCGCGAAGAGGTAAATGGAACCTTCGACCTGTGATTGGGAATGATATTGTTAGATTTTGACTCTCGTTGAGCGTAGTAAGGGAGTTATCGCTTACCGTTCCCAGAAACGCCCTCGGGGTAACAGTGACGCTCGCCAATTGTTGAATGTTGACAGGTCTGACGCGATTGACCATTTCACCCAAGGATATTTCACCGGTCACTTCTAAGCGACGCTTGTCGTCCTCCTCGACGCCGCTAAGGTTGCGTCGAAGTACGATTAGGTTTCCCTCTGCGTCGCTTTCCAGGAACGTGTCCTGGCCGATGCAGGCAACACAAGTGGCCCACACCGTCTGGAAGTGACGGGCAACCTCGGTCAACGAATCGGGCAAACCGTTTTCCCCTTCTTTGTATTCTACTAGGCACACACTCTTCATGAGATCCGAAACAACAATCAAGTTGTCTGTGACAGTCACGTCGACCGGGGCGGTTGACGTTCGGTAACTAGCTAATTTCTCAAGCTTGGCCGCCCCGAAGTTGTTGTTTACAACGTCATAGATAACAACCTGAGCTTAGTGTTAGAGACTCACAATCTTTGTTTTGTAATCTGCAGGACTTACCGTTTTAACAAGTGCAGCCACGATCTTTGTGCCCATCATGGCTAAGGCGCGGCAGGCTCCTTTGACAGGAAGTTCGGCTACTGTGGTCAACTTACGGCCATTGTCGACTTCGAAGATGAGAATCCGTCCCCGAATGGTTTCCTCCTCTTCGCCATCCATGTAGGTTGTTCCCACAATGAATCGATCCTTGAACGTATCCCGGCCATGCTCGTCTTTACCGGCGGGGAACTCGGCACGAATGACACTCTCGACCAGTTCCTCTGGTCGTAGATCGTAGCGATCCAGAGGCCGGAAGAGGATCTCATCCGCGAGCACAAACTGGCTTTTGACCATCTCCACCCCCTCTTCTAGCTTCCGCTCGATGGTGCCAATACCAAATGCCTTCTCTGGAGGGGAGTAGGCGACTCGGCGTGCAGTTGCGCCTATTGGAAGAGTTTGGATCTGTGTCGTTCTCTCTTTGTCGATCAACGCAATCTTCAACTCCTGAGGCGTAGCAACGGCGATTGATCCGGGGTAGGCCTCCGAGCTGAAATGACACACTCGGGAGGCTCCTTCTGAGTTTACTGCCGAGTATATAATGCGGCCCTCAGACCCATATATTAGGCTGGGGTTCTCGCACGTCGCAAAGACGTTGTACAGACCATCGCCTCTAGGTAGCCTCTTGAATGTTGGCTGCTCTGATCCAAGAATGAGTTTGTTCACACTAGTTAGGGAGTAGTCGGTTGTATTGAACGAGTAGGTGATAACGCTGCCATCCGCCATCGAAATGAAGAGTGTCGGCGGACTATCGACAAGCACATTCGTCACGAGGACTGATCGCGGGAAAGCTTCATTGGCGGGCCCAAGCGATGTAGTGTGCAGCTCAGTCAAGTCCTGTAGTTTCAGAACCGAGATCTGCGCTTGTTGAGGGAACGCAACAATGCAGACTTCTGTTGGAGATGACGGCACCGTGACGCCGGAAATCTGATTATCGGCACCAAAATCCTTCTGCGTGGTGATTTGCACCTCGTTCCTGATATCCAACACAGTAACGAAGATTCCACCAATGACCAAGACCATTGACTCCTCGTTCACAGAGGCAGCAGTTATTACCGACGTGCTTGGTGGGGACCATTCATGTATGACCATGCCACCCTCTACATCGGCAATGAGAACCCTCTGCTCTGTAACCTGCAATATGCGCCCTCCAGGGAGATTAGCAGCGAGTAATGTATTTTCTCCGAGACTGAGACCCAGAAACTGTTCCAATTCTTCCACTTCACCGTCGGCACTGAATCGGAAAACTCGCGTTTCGTCAACAAACGTGACCAGGAGCGTATCCAAGAAGTCTCCGCTTGTGCCGACCTGCAATCCCCACAGGTCAGTGATATGCTCCATGTCCCCCAGGACACCTAGTTCCTCCATTCCAACGCCGCTGCGCACACTCCGAAGGGTCCCATCGTCAAAGGCACCTGAACCCGTCACTATCCGAGCCTGGCCAGACGAGAATTCATGGGTCTGACTGTCACTAGAACGGTTTCCGAGGTCCATTATCGTGAAGTCCAGGATGGGGGCAATGTTCGATAAGCTCTGGATTACTTCGAACGAGCCATTGCCGATCCGAAGAACTTGGGAGTCACCCTGATGAGATGCCACAAAGATGACACCGCCGCCAAGATAAATCAGAGCAGACGCCCGAGAAGTCTTCCCCAGGAGGTCAAGCTTCCAATCCTGAACTTCATTGTTGGAGTCTAAGACGAGCATCAGGAAGAATAGTCGTCCATAGTCATCGGCCAGTAGCCAGCGCTGACTGTCCACTTGTTCCCAAGCCACGAACATCGTCGCCTCATCTAGCAACCGAGAAATGATCTCATTATTATCATCGTCGATATATTTGATTGACATCTCTCCAAGAATGAGAAGTCCGCCTATATCTTGTCAGTACTCATCGCACCCGGAAAGATATACACCTAAGCGCAAGTAGATTAGAGGATAACGCACCCAACGGCGCAGGCACCGGAATAAGATGAGAAGCCCCAAGATCCAACTCCTGCACGAAATCCTCCACATGCGCAAGGGTCGCATCCGCACTCGTACTCGTCGTCGCCGGAGTATATTCCAATTCCCTCACCTTCATCTTCACCTTCTTCTCGTTATCCTCGTACAGCAGCGCCAAACGCGGCGGGCCCGACTGGACATGCAAAAACGCCGACGACCGCACAAACAGCTCGTCGATCCGAGCCGTAGTCATCTCGCCCAACTCGCCCACCTTAGGAGCGTCCGGACCGGAAGGCAAGGCAGGCGCCCGGCCCCTCCTCCGAGCAGGCAACTGCACAATCGGAACCACCGCCACAAGGCCTTCGTATATCTCCAGTGTCATGAAGCGACCGCTGGGGTCCACCAAGCAGCGATTCCCTGTTTGTGATTCCCGCGACGACGGGTCCGAGATGTCGACGTAATTCCGTTCCGTCCGGACCTGCTGTTTCGAAGCGTCCCAGGACAATGTGAAGTATGAGCAGCGGTCGGTACCGACGAAAAGGTGGTCCGTAGGGGAATCGGCGGGTTTGGAAAGCCCCGTCAACATGGTGACTCGGGCATTGACGGCGCATGATGCGGCGAGGGTGAGGCCATCGGGCGTGAGGGTGTAAAATTCGAGTCGATTCGCTTTCGCGACCACAAGGGATTCTTCTTCGGGGTCGAGGAAGTTGAGCTTCAAGGCGTGGCGAATGCTACTCGCTCGGTGGATTGGTACGACGTAGGCCATTCTGGAGAATTGAACTGCGGTCTAACCGGGATGCTCAATCGAGGGGTTGGCTGTGTGCAGTAGAGACTACTGCGGGAATGGAGGCCCTGCGAAAGTGGAAGGTATGGGCCTATAGAATTCGGGGTGGGATTCGGGACATCGATTCACGTTTAATGCAAGGCGGGAAGAGGCATATTATGGCGGCGGGGATGGAGGAAGAAGAGAGTGACGAAGGCCGGCGGCAGTGAAGCAGCTTCCGCCAAGACCAGCCTTCCCTGCGGCGATGACGATTTCCGCCGTTAACTCCGGATCTCTACACCCGACATTGTTTGGTTACAACAATTGAGCAGCAATGATGTCTATTCTTCTAATGCTTCTAGCAATAACAAATAAATGATTTAATTACATGACAATAAAAACCCGAATTCAAAGTATATGTCCTGCACTGCATCATATCCTCCGTTTATTTTGTTCAATTCCAAAATATATCCTTCAACTCGTCAATCACTGCAGCGAAGAGACAATCGCCTCAATTTCACCTGCAACGCTATCCACCAGCTGGTGAACCTCTTCTTCCGCAAGAAGTCCCCCCTCGACACGAACACCAAAGCCGATCGTATCGCTCTTCGGGTCCGGTCCAATATCAATGTAGACATTCTCACCAGGGAGAAGGGAAGTGTCCAACTCCGACACCGACGTAGCTCCCAAGCCCGGTAGAGGTTCGGCGGGAATAAAGTCTGTAGGAACACCGATTCGAAGCGGCAGGAAGAGATCGCCGTCGTTGTCCAGCTCCTTATCGGGCGTGGCATCGTTGGCGGAGGGCACTCCGTTCTGCATCCAGAGTAGATTGACCCAGGCGTTGAACAGGGGAGTTGTGGTTTGTTCAGCACCGGCCCACCGAAGAACATCGAAGATGGAACTTTGCTCGAATGAGACACGCTCCGCGAGAGAGGCTTGAAGGGCCTGGGCCTTGTCCACAAGGCTCGAATCAGAGACTGCGTCGGGTACGGTGAATGGGTTGACATTGAGACAAGGTCCGGTGAGTTTTTCAATGTTGGTGAACGACGCTGATCGGCCGGTTTGATACAGACCCATAGTCGGGCTAGTGACTCCGGTCATACGTGCAAGGCAGCGAGCGACGGCAAGCAAGACCACAGTCTGTAGACTGATGCCTGCGGATCGGCACAAAGTCTCGAGCTGGGAAACATTCTTGACCTTCTCCCAGGCCCCAACGAATACTTGATCGGGAAGCTGGCCTCCGGTCCGTTCTGCGACATTCTTGATGAGCGTGCGCTCGCCAGAACCGATGGCGGAAGTCCAGTAGGTCTTTTCGTCAAGGTCGCGAAGGGAGCGAACAGAGAAATCAACAAAGGATGCGAAATCGGGGTTGGTGTCTAGTGACTGGCCGCGGTAGAGGCCTTCAAGCTCGGACACAAACATGGGCATTGTCCACGCGTCATATGCAGCATGGTTAACAAGAACAAGAATTCCGTCCCGGTCGCAGGCCTTTAAGAGGCGAAGACGAACAGGGGGAACGAACAAGGAGGACGGGCTCAATGCCTCTTCCTTTGCCTGGGTCTGAGCAGCCTCTGTGATAGTGGCATCGGAGTTGATCACCTTGAAAGTTTCGGTGTCTCGCACCGCCTCCTTCATGATGACCTGGACAGCCTCCGAAGATGAGATAGCTGCAAAACAGGTTCGGAGGACTGGATGTCTTTCACGAAGCTGATACCAAGCGTCCTCTAGGCTTGCCGTGTCGATACGTTCCGAGCTGAAGTAGGGCCACGCCGGCTCAAAAAGCTTTCTTCCAGACTTCAACCAGCTGACAAGATGGTAGAATTGACCGCCGAGACAAGGCAAGATCGTCTCAATAGATTCTTTGCTAAGTCCAAGCTTCTCGACAACTGCCTTCTCCGTGCGCTCATAATTCGCGAAAAGTGAGCCTTGGGGTTTCACGGCCTGTTCCTCCATGGGGCGGACGCGTTGACTGATACCACGCAGGGTATTTCCTTGAAGAATGTCAGCAACGCCAGTCCTGATTCCCTTTGATCGACAGATGGACGCAATACGAATGGCCGACAGGGAATCCAGGCCAACGCTGAAGATGCTGGTGCTTGGTTTAATATTGTCCACAGAAAGTCCAGCAACCTCTGCAAGTACAGACTGAACGGTGCTTTCGTGCGGAGGGGCTTCGGGTTCCTCGACCGAGTTCTCCTGTGCCCCTGGCGCAGACAGCCTGAGTGGCAATTCACCCAGTCGTTCAGGCATGACGGTTGCACATCTCGTGGGATGCTCAATAATGTCCCGGAAAACGTAACCGAATTCGTTCATGAGATCATCAAGATTCTGTTGCGACAGATGTTGTCCGTTGCATGATGCCCTAGCGACAATACCATCTTTACCTTGGTCAATCTCCAAATTCAACTTGTACTCAGCTTGCGCGGCGTATTCCTCGGTTTCGTAGGGCTTCCAAATTTGCTGTGTCTCCAGGATACCCCCGGCAAAGTCGGCGCTCTTTTGGAAAACGAAGAGCGTATCAAAGAGAGAAGTAGATGTCAGTTCATTAGCCTTTCTCAATGAGTTTTGAACGACTCGCAGTGGCGCATGCTGATAGACTTGAGCATCCGCTGTAAGCTGCTGCAAACGTGCAGCCATGGCCTTGTTGCTGAGGAATTTGGGCTCGAAAGTGACTCTCTGAGCGACCGTGTTAAACAGCGGACCCAGGGTTCGCTCAGCTCCTGGAGTCGGCAATGACCGGCCTGCAAGTACCTGTCCAAACGCGACATCGCGCTTTCCGAGAACACGGGCCAGAACCTTAGCATATGCGAGGAGAGCAATGCTTTGAACGGTGACTTCCATAGCCTTGCAAGATTCGATGATTGTAGGTAGATCAAGGTCGACGTGGTGTTCCGAGAGGAACATGCGCTCCGAAGCCTGGTCGGCAGGCAGCTTAGGAACTTCAACGGCTTCGTATCCTAAGAGCTTCTCGGTCCAGAACTTGCATGAATCATCTTGCCCGTTCAGGATATGTTCGACTGTTTCCGAGAACTGCGGCCTCTCGAGCTGAGATTCGCCGCTGTACGCAATTGCGAGGTCCTCGAAGAAGAAAGGTAACGAGGCACCGTCATAAAGAGCGTGATGCATGACGACGACTAGGAGTCTACCCTCCGGCTGGGTAACTAGAACTGTTCGGATAGGCGGAATCTCAAACGACGATTCTTCGCCGAATGAAAAGAGAGCACCGACTTCAGCAAGAGGATCGGCATCGGAGGGAAGGCTGATCTCGGTCCATTCGAAAGGAGGCTGCGTGTGCACAGCTCCAATCCATGAATGTCCGAGCTCTGCAACGAGATGGAAAGAAGTGCGCAAAATATCATTGGACTGAATGACATTAAGGACCGCATTCTTCAGTTGAGCGGTGTCCACAGAGTCGGCGAGCCTGACCGGATGGGGATGAACATAGACTTGGCCGTCAGAGCCAAGGGTTTGAGTGATCATTCCAGATTGCAAAGGAGTACATCCAAACACTGCCAAGATCGAGTCACCTTCACCAAGCAGGCGAACATGTTTCTGGTAGACATCGGCTGGAATGGCAGCTCTCTTGGTGCCGTTTGTCTGAAGTTGTCCCTCATTTGAGCTCTGCTCGATGTGCTGAGCCAATGCACCCACACAAGAGAAGCGCATGACATCAGAAGAGGAAACCTGGAATCTAGCTTCTCTAAGCTTCCGAGAAAATTGGATAGCAGTAACGGAATCAACACCGAGACTAATGAAGGAAGCTCCCTTAGAAACATCCGCCAAAGACAGACCGCAGAAGTCCTTGGTCATTTCGCGAATTGTGGTTTCAGTAGTAGACCAAGTTGTCTCGTCCCACTGAGTGACCGGGGAACGAGATCCAGTTCCCTCGGCCTTAGGAAGATTGAAGTTGTCCAAGGAGAGAATTTCACCGGAAACAACGCTGGATAGGACAGCGTCCATCTTTTCAAGGAACTCCTCGCCATTGTAGGCAGCACTGAAGATGGATGAAAATGCACAGTTCAGGTTGATACTGTCGGTGGCACTATTGGCCTCGACTTCGACAGCAAGAGGATACTCCGCAGGCATCTGGCTGTCCAATTCCCGCCAGATGTTGTGCTGAGAAGGCGTTGTCGCTCGAATGTAAGAGAAGAGACAGTCGAACAGAGGCGTTTCAGATTTAAGCCAGCGTTGCATGTGTCTCAAGGAGGTGTGCTGGAACTCGAGCGATCGGACTGTGGATTTCTGGACAGATTCAACCACTTCAGTGACCGTGCCAAGTTCGTTAGTATTCAGTCGTCCAGGAATGGTCGTGATACAGGGCAGAATAACGGAATCAGCCCCAGGAACAGCGACCGCTCGGCCGGACAGAACAAGTCCGTAGGTCACATCGGAAACCCCAACAGCATCGGCCAGCAGAAGAGCGAAAATGGCCTGTACCAAGGATGGAACAGTTGTTTGCAGGCTTGCTGAGCGGCGTTCCAGGTCAGAAAGCTTGTTGCCGAGAGTTCTGGTAACAAATTTCGGATGTTCCAGGAAGTTGAAATCAGTGCGGAACAAGGTAGGTCGGCAGTCTCCCAGATACTCCGTCCAATGCTTCTTGGCCTTCTCTGTATCCTGAGTGTAAACATGCTCAATGAATGCCGCCGGCGAACCTCTCTGCGGAACAGGGCTCTTGACATATTGTGCCGCCACGTCTTCCAGCAGCATGGAGAAGGACTCGCCATCGTAAAGAGCGTGGTGAATGGAAATGAAGAGAGCCAATGGCTGGTCAGTAGTTGAAGATTTGGCCAAATGGAATCGCACCGGAGGAACTGTGGAGATGTTTGAGATAATGTCGCGAGACACCTGTGTTTGCCGTGTTTTGAGTTGCTCGGTAGATTCATTTAAGCTCTTGTAGGCTTCTTTATCCCAACGGATCTCATGAGAATCAGCAGAAAATACAACTTGAACAACTTCCTTCTCGAGAGGAGAGAACGCAGTCCTCATGATCTCATTGTCCTGGGCGACAGTTTGCCATGCGGCCTTCAACTGCGCCGCGTTGACATGGTCTTCCAGCTGAAGAACGATGTGGTTGATGTAGAGTTGATCGCCTTCGTTGTTAATGGAACGTGCCACCAGACCCTCCTGAAGTGGCAAGCAAGGCCTGATAGATGCTACCGTCGACAGATAAGCCTCTGAGGGAGCATTCTGGCGGTATGATGATTCCATGTCTGCGAGGTTTTGACGCAGCTTGGACACAATAGCCTCTGAGCTAGATGAAGGGATATTTCTGGGTAGACGAGCAAGTTGCTCGATAACTGGGTTGCTCATGACAAGGGCCACGGTGGCGGCGTATCCGATCTTTCGAAGCTTGATGGAGAGACCGATAGCACTAAGACTGTCCAGACCAACTTCGAAGATGTTTGTCAGGTGTCCAATGGCAGAGGGGTCGGTGGAAATAACAGTGCATATTTCCTTGACCACAGCCTCTTCGTCGGCAGTCAGCGGTCGATTGTTGGCTGCACCGTCTATGCTTCCTGCGTTGTTTCCTTGAAGCACAGCAGCGAGAGGGAGGCTGAAGAACAGGGCATGGAGGTCCTTCAGATTTGCCTTTCCAGACATTGGCGCCAGCGGGATGTAGGTAATGGGCAAGATCAGTTCTGGAACCATGTACCCCGGCAGTTTCTTCTTGCAGATGTCTTGTAATTCCTTGCCAAGAGTTGCGAAATCGGATTGGACGAACGCGACCTCGCCGCCCTTTGTGCGTTGACGAGAGTCCGATCGTGCAATGAACGAGATAAGCTGTACTCTGCTAAGACCAGGGTGCTTGGCAACACTTGTGACAACGTCGATGCCAATGGTTGAGGATGATCGAAGGACTTCAGAAACTTCTCCAAGTTCCAATCTCTGTCCACGGATCTTAGTCTGGTCATCACCACGACCCAGGTACTCCACCGAGTCATCACACATCAAACGTCCTATATCACCGGTCCTGTACATCTTCTCGCCATTCGGGCCTGTAGTGAACCCAGTGGCATCAGGCCTGTTGTGATATCCCCTACCGACGAGATCTCCACTGAAGCAGAGTTCACCAGTTTGACCCTTCAGCGCGTAGGTTTGAGTGCCGGGAACGAAAACGTGGCAAGCACAGGCCGTCAATGGGGGTCCAATGTTTCGCAGGTTTGTGTCACGACCAACGTGGGCGAATGTACAGCCGATTGTCACCTCGGTTGGTCCGTAGGCATTGGCCAGGCAGATATGAGAAGTAGCCCATGCATCCAACACCTTTTGAGAGATCTTTTCACCTCCAACACTCATGTAGACCAACTTGGGACAATGCTCGGGAAGGACATTTGCCTGGTCAACCAAAGAAGGCACGAAACTCGCGTGGGTAATTTCCCACTTTCCGAGAGTCACCTGCAGATCATCGAGAATCATTGTTCGGGGAGCTGTTACAGTTGCCATTCCTATACGCCAGGGGAAGAACATCTCAACCAGATGAGGGTCGAAGGCCCTGCTAGCTTGGGCAAGATGTCTGCCGGTGCCGCCCAGCGTCAGCGTTCTGGGTGCAGCCCTGACACAAAAGTCTGTGAAGGACTCAATGAATGATGAAAGATTGGCCCTAGTGATCATGACACCTTTAGGCTTTCCGGTAGATCCGGAAGTGAACAGAAGGTAGGACAGATCATCCGGATGGGATTGGTAGTCACGATCTTCAGTGGGCATAGGTGCCACCAACTTTTGGTATTCCGGATCGTCGGTACAGTAGATCTGGCACGTTTCGGGAATGCGGGAGAACGACGCCGAGAATGTCGATTCAGTGAAAACAATAGGACAATCACCATCCTCGATCAAAAAGGCCTTGCGATCAGCCGGAAGACCCTCGTCAATTGGCAGATAAGTATTTCCGGATTTGAAGATACCAATGATGACTGGGTACGAGGGAAGATTGCGTCCACAACAGACTGCGATCATCCTGTTCTTATGACCGAAGGAGGCAATGAAAGCAGCCACACGGTTGGCCTCGGCATTTAGGGTGCTATATGTCATGATTTCCTTCTCGATGCCGGTCGCAGCTATTTTGGTTGCCACTTCAACGGCGGTCCACTCTGGGTGTTCTCTGGCATTGAGCTCCAACCAATAAGTTGGAGGGGAATAGATGGAGTTTGCAACCATATCAGTGACTGGCCGATTCGAGACTGCGCGCAGGTCTGTGGGAATATGATTGCCTAGGTTGGATACCTGCTCATCGGGGAATTCCAGCATAACGCTAACCATAGCGTCAATTTGGCGGACGAAAAGCGACAATTGATGCTTGTTCATCAGAGCAATATCCGAGGATGCCTCCAAGACGAGCGAGCCATCTGCACGTTGGAACACGTTCATGGCCATGGGGTGCTCGACGTGCAAGCCGATCTGATCCTCAAGCTCTTGCCAGATTTGCGGCTGCGAGCTCTTGTGTTCCTCGCCTGCCACGTGGAAGTTGAAAACAGCGGGGTACAAAGGCTCTCCACGAGGTCGGTCCAGCATTTTGCGAACATCACGAGCATGAACATGGCGGTACTTCCATGACTGAACAGAAAGTCGATGCTGTTCGGCCAAGAGCTCCCGTACAGTTCCTTGAGGGTGGAATGGAATCGGCACAACGGATATCAATGGTCCGACATTATCTTCAAGGTCTGCATGGAGAACACGGTCGGAGAGTGTCTCGGCAAAGACGGTAGCTGGGATGCTGAGATAGCCGACAGAAACAAATCCCCATGCTGCTCTGATGATGGATGCAATCGATGACACCCCAAGCTGAGCTGCGGTAGCCTGAAGCTTGGAGACGGGCTCTGACAAGACACATTCTTCGGCGATAAATCTGTGTTCCTGGACCTCGCCTGGCTGTAATCTGATTCCAGTAAGATCTGGCCAGACTGCCACTTCCAGCCCAGAGAACTTCTCTAGTTCGGAAGCCCAGAAACTGCGTGTATCCTTGTTTCTTTGCTCTGTGGGTAAAATGACGGAAAGAGCGTCACTGAGCTGGTGTCTTGAAGGCGGCTTGTAAGCATAGGCGGAACGCACGTCATCCATAATTAGACCAAGAGAAGGTCCATCATGAATGGAATGGTGAATTGTGAGGAACATGGTTCTTTCATCGCCTTTGTCCAGGACAGTCACGGCCCATGGAGGGCTTTGGAAGTAGCTGCTTTGATGTTTTTGCATAATCTGTTCAATGCGGTTGTCGCGCAGCTCGACCCAGTTTTGTTTTTTACATTCAAGATGTTGCCAGTCAACATCGGGGAGCTTGTACATCACTTGCAACATAGAGAAATCAGGACTTTCCTGTTTTAAACCAGTGTCAACCTCAGCCACAGGAATAAAGCCAGTTCTCAAGGCCTCGGTTTTTTGGCACACGGAGAACCAGGCTTGCTTGAGTCTATTGATATCCACGGACTGGTCGAGGGAAAAGAAATGGTTGCTCCAATACATGTTGTAAGTTCCCATGGTCTCACTGAGCAAACTCTCCTGAATTGTAGTTGCTCGTACAGTGAAAAAGTCGTCCTGCACCTTGGCAGATACTGCATCGTGCCAAGAGCTGTTGAAAGCATTCATATCGAATGTGTTTTCAGTGGCCTTAGAGTCATCTGCAGTGGAGGCCAGTTTGATAAGGTCTTGGACGGTGACGCAGTTGAGAACTTCGACAACTGAAAGCTGGTAGCCGGCTACCTTCAATCTGGAAGCGAGACGAATGGCACGGATAGAATCGATACCCAAACTACCCAATCGACTAGCCTTCGTGATGATGGATGGTGAGATATCAGCGAGCAATGCGATCATGTTGACAATATTTGCTGCCGCGGCTGCATCGGCCGGATCTTCAGATGATTGGTCAAGGGCACCGTTTTCGGGGTTCAGGCTGCCCTCCCATTTGTCAATGTCAACTTCTGCATAGGCTGCCTGGAGAGCCCGACGATCGGTCTTGGCGGATGGAGTTCTGGGGATGTTCTTCACGACCAGGTAAACGGAGGGAATCATGTGGTCTGGCAGGGTGGCTTGTGCCTGATCACTGGCAGAGCGAGCAGCTTCAAGAGCTTTGTCATTCAGAATAAGAAGCTGCCCATCATCTTCAGGGCCTGCGGCGTTCGGTGCAGCGAGGAAAGAGACAACCACCTTCGAAGGCCTATCCGGACGACTGAGAATGAGCGTCTCGATATTATCGACAAGAGGGTGGCAGTCGCCGAGAGAGAAGCTGATCTCACTCAACTCAACTCGAATACCACCAAGTTTGACCAGGTCATCAACACGGTTGATGTACTCAAGCGATCCATCCGCGAGCATGCGAACCAAATCACCAGTGTAGTACACAGTTTGTCCAGCTTCCTCATTCCACACATACTTGGCTTTGGTGACATCCTCTTGGTTGAGATATCCAGGAGAAAGCTGCGGACCACCCAATGCCAATTCTCCAACGGCGTTCTTCATCACCATGCGCTGGTTCTTGGTCACAAAAACGGAAACGGTATCCATGGGCCATCCGATGTTTGCACTTTTGACATTCTTATGCTCATTTCCAAATTCTCGGACAGTTGAAACAATGGTGACTTCAGCCGGACCGTAAGTGTTGAAAGCTCGCATATCGGTACCCCAGTCATCGGCAACAGGTTGGTTCAACTTTTCACCAATCATAGTGATCACCTTGAGTGTCTCACAGCTCTTTCTTGGAATGCCTGCGGAAAAGGCGGGGGTGAGATGGGCATGCGTCGCCTTAGTGAGGTTCGCAAGCTTAGGGAAAGATCCAAGCATGATTTCTCTCGAGGCAGAGATCAGAACACCTCCCAGTCCCCAGGTATAGAAGAAATCTTGGATTGACACATCAAACGTGTACTGTGAGAACTGCATGCATCGCACGGTGCTGCCATCTGCGTTTTGTGGGATATCCTTAAACAAAGACTTCATACTGGACACCGCCGCAGAATGCGTGATCGGCACGCCCTTGGGGGCTCCGGTTGTACCACTGGTCCAAATCAAGTATGCCATACTGTCTGGGTTGCTTCTTCCCTTTGTGCTGCTTCGCTTCACTCCGGTGGCTTCAGTAGGACTAGCCTGGCAGAAGTGACTGACATCAACCACGTCAACACCGGAGGGAATGGAGCCTTCAGGCTGTGCCCCGTCCTTCGACGAAACTAGGAGGACCTTGGCACCAGTTCGTGCTATAAGATCATGGCGACGTTGTGCAGGGGAAAGAGTATCAATAGGGCACCAGGCTCCTCCTGCCTTCAGGATTCCAAGAATAGCGACATACAATGCAGGGCTTTTCTCAATACAGATAGGCACAGGAGTGTTGGTCAGGGCGCCGCCAATCTGGAGGAGATGTTCCGCGAGGTTGTCGGCAATTGTGTTAAGCTGTGCGTAGGACCACGCGAGGTTCAGGGGACTGTTTTCATCATCCAAATCACCCTTGAAGATCAATGCCAGGTCATCGGGGTGGGATGCCGTATGATCCTCGAATCTAGTATGAATCAAAGCACCTTCTGATACTTCTTCGACAGCGGTTGCTCCGGCGTTGAATGAGGACTTGAGCTCAGGCCGGGTGTTCGAAGAGGCGTCCTGGAAGTTTCCGTCTGGGCTTCCAAGAATGTACGTTACAATATCAGCCATCGACTTCAGCATTGCCTCAGCCGCCTGCGAATCGAGATGGGAATTGTTGAAGCTGGCACGGAAGGTCAACGAAGAATCGGCACCCGGCCAGACTTCAATCATGACTGCAAAATCGTTTGCCATCGGTGGGTGATCGATGGAGCTCCAGATGCCACTTGAACTGGATCCAGCATTGAAGTCCTGGTAGGCCAGGAGTGTATCGTAGGGGAGGCGGCCATCGGCCGTTACTAGTGAACCTAAACGAGGTTGCAGGTGCGATAGGGTTTGCGTGTTCAAGGATGTTAGGTGACGCGCGACCGACTTGTTTGTCCAAATTCCTTGAGAATCCTTCTGCACCTGGTTGACGGCCAAGCGAATAGGGACAGTTGTGAAAGTAGGACCAATGCAAATTTCAGACTCCGGATCAAGTCGGCCAGACACAACACTGCCCATGACAACATCCTGGTCAGGGGTGCCAGTATAAGCAAGCAAAACCGCACCCCAAGCGGCTTGAAGCACGGCCAATGGAGTCGAACCGATGTTCTTGGATTGTTTCTTCAGGTTATCGTAACTTGTCGAGGCAACGATTTCCACGCGATCTGTTGTCTTAGTTGAAGGGGCTCGGTAGGGGGTGACCGATGGAAACACGACGGGCGAGTATTGGTCAAGATGCTTTGTCCAAAATTGAGATGTCGCATCATGATCAGCACTGAAGTGGTGCTTGACAATGTGCTCAAGAGACGTTCGGTTGGCCACCGTCTTTCCGGCATAAACAGAAGAAACGTCCTCGAGAAGAAGCTGCAGCGATCCTCCATCAAATATTCCGTGGAACATGCTCAGGATGATCAGCGTTCGGCTTTCTGACTTAATCAAGGATAGTTTCCAAGGAGGCGTGCTCAAGTTGATGGAGTCCTCGGCATTTCGCAACGCCTTGTCCAAAGTTTCGTTGTCATGTTCGGCCACAGCCTCATAAACACTCCAATCCAATTGAGGTACCGCCTCACTGGTAAGGACACATTGAGCGAATGGGGCCATGTCATCGTCAAGCCAAGAGAAGACAGTTCGGAAAGAGTCATAACTGGCAACCGTGGTTTGCCATGCAGCTTGGATGCGCTCAACATCGACGTCTGCCTCAAGTGGAAGAACGGAGTGGTAAATATAGGATCGAGTTGCAAACGACTTATCAGCGGAGCTTCGCAAAAGGCTCGCCAGCATACCAGACTGCGTTGCAGTAGTAGGCAAGACACTTTGAATCTTTTCTGACTTTAGATCAAGTCGCTGAGCACATGTCTGGATGTTCCGGTCCGAGAAGGATTGCAATTTCTGATGAAGGGCTGCGGATTGGGAACTGTTGGCCAAAGCATCCCCGTTCAATTGACGGCGCGCAAGGATAGTCGACACCAATCCCATTGCAGTCCCCGACTGCAGGACGTCGGCAACGGCTAAGCCCTCGATGGAATGGTCTCTCAGCTTCTGCAGTAGTCGCATGGCACCAAGACTATCAATGCCCAGAGAGTAAAGGTCAGCCCCAGGCTTGACGATAGAGACATCTTCTTGTGTGGTCTCTGCAATAAGTTGAACAATAAGATCCTGAACGGAGGCAACTTCTTTATCATCGGTTGCTTCCCAATCATCCTGCAAGCCGTTGGACACTCCAGATTTCGGGGCAGCAAAAATCTGAAGGCCGCTCTGTTCACCTTGCTGCAGCTTGGCAGTGATTGCCTTGCGATCAACCTTACCAGAACTAGACCGTGGGAGCGAATCGAAAAAGGTGTAGGCGGAGGGGCACATATAAGAGGATAGATGACGCTGTGCGGCCCCTTGCGCTTCATGCACGATGTCTTGCTTTGTCGCGTCGCTTGCGCCATCCGCCACAAGGCAGGCCACGATCTGCTCGCTACCTTGCACGTTGTTGTCTCGCTTAGAAATCACCGTGACGATTTCAGTAATTCCCGCGACTGTCGCGAGTACAGACTCCACCTCACTGAGCTCCAGACGACGACCGCTTATTTTCACCTGGTCAGAGGTGATACGGCCCAGGAATTCAATGACCCGCGAGCCACTTTCATCCCACACAACACGAGCCATGTCACCGGTGCGATAAAGGTAACCAAACTCGGAGCTGTGGATAAAGGACTTTGCGGTCTCCTTGGGCCGATTCAAGTAGCCCTTGCTCACCTGGGGTCCTCCTATCGCTAACTCACCGGTAAGACCAGCCGGAACGGCCTTGGGCTCGTGGCTGTTAGGATCCAAAACGAACATAGCGCAAGTAGGCAACTCCTTTCCGATAATAGAGCCACGGATGGAGTAGTCGAAAGGAGCAAGAAAGGTACAGTTAATGGCTCCCTCGGTAGGCCCGTAAGCGTTGACCAGCATTCTTGAGGGTCCATCGGGAGAAGTAGGCTTAGGAGCAAAATTCTCAATCACAGTCCGGTTGAGCTTCTCACCCATTGTCCAGAGAGACTCAAGCGTCGTTAGGCGGGAAGGTCTGAGAAGCGCAGCCAAGCTGGGCGTCGCCATCATGACTGTAGCCCTTGCCTCGTTGATGGTGGTTTCCAGGTCAGTCAGCGTCAGGCTCCGGTCTGCAGAGCAGAGGGTAGCACCGCAACTCAAGGTCACAAAGATCTCCATGAGAGACGGGTCAAATGTCGGGGACGCGAATTGGAACCACCTAAAATCACCAACCGCGTTTCCGGGTAGGGGAATAGCCGTGGCGTGTGAATGAATAGAGCATGCACCGGCTAAATGGCTGACTTGAACACCCTTGGGCTTACCAGTCGAGCCACTGGTAAAGAGGAGATAAGCTGTCTGGTCATTCTGGATTTCCAGTTCGCGCAGCTGATCATCCGAAGCGGGCGGCACATTCTGATCGCCACATAGCTGCTTCCACCCGGTCACCTCTGCCACATCGACCCAGGAGTATAGGCTTGCGCCGTCCGCCTTCCAAGGACAAGAGGTGGGCTCGGGAGTATTGCCAAGAATAATTGGAGAGCCAATGTCTTCGAGAATTTCCAGTACCCTCTGAGCAGGTGCATCCTGAGGAATCGGGGAGAATGCGCAACCGGCCTTGAGGATACCGAGATAGGAGATATAGAGTTCGGGGGATGTTGTCATATAAACAGGGATAATACGTCCGTAGTCTGCGGGGTTGCTACCGGCCAAAAGAGCTCGGATATGGATGGCCAAGTTTGAAGCGGCCTTGTCCAAGGCCGCGTAGGTGAGAACGCTGTGTTCCGCATCAGACGTCGATGAGGGTAAAGAATGCACAAAATCAAGTGCGATCGCATCCGGCTTTCTACGGGCCCAGCCCTCGAAAGCGGCATGAAGAAGTGATCGCTGGGAGCTGCTGGACCCAGCGTCTCCATTCTGGTCGGAATCTATTGGTGGGGGTATCATAAGGGATGGGAAATTAATTATCGATAGCTCGGGTTGGGGCGTCTCGAGTGAGAGGAAGGTTGAAGCGCCCGCCAGGCAGGATGATAGTGCGTTCAGCACCTGCTGCACTGCCTGGTCGGGGATAAGTCGCATCGGGTATGCAAAACTGACTGCAAGGGCGTTGGTGTTGGAGGTAGGTTTGATGCGTAGTTTGAAATGCTACGACGGGTCAGCGCAATTGCTCAAGAGCGGGGCATGCCGCAAGGACCAACATTTTCTTGGGCATTAGAGAGTTGCTTCTCGCCATTCTCAGGTTCGGAACTCGCTCCCAAGTCCAGAGAGAATTGAACTTCATTCTTGTTGTACGAGGCTTCGTCGACGTGGCGAATTGTGCAGGTACTCAAATCGCCCGGTCGCTGGGTGGCCTCGGACCAAAACACGGAGGCACAGATGACCTCGCGCACCGCATCTGAGGCAGATTCCGAGGCCGTATGACGCGTGAGAAGGAACGCGACATCCTCGAGGCCAGTGAAGTTTGAGATAAAGCGGGCATAGCCCTGGGTGAGGTCGTCGGCGACACTCTGGAAGTCTGTGCTGCAGGGAATCTCCGCCCAAGGACTATTTGCCACCGTATCACCCACCGACCTATCGACAGCATAGGGATCGATGGTATCCAGCGCAGGAACTTTAGTCACAGGGAGAATGTCTGCATGTTGGGTGACGTTGGCTTGTAGTTGAGAATTCGGGTTCACCAAGGCCGCGGAGCTTCGGTGCCCCTCATTGCTTGGAATTGTGTCTGCCATCGGAATAGTCGTAAGTTACTGCGGGGTCACGCACCTGCGAACGGAGACAGCGAGCTCGTCGTGCTCAACAGCAGAGTTCTACACCTGGAAGTAGTCAAAAAGGAATGGACGTCACTGTCGACGGAGCAGGAGAGGAACATAGAGGATTAAAGATCTTTCTGCAAGGGCACGCCAACCCACGCTTTTTCTTCAACGATGGTCCTGCCGAGACGATCCAGTCATCGTCATTTGAGGTGGGGCCCAAGGGTCCCATAGCAAAGTCATTGGGTGCAGAGTGTCGCGGTGGAGAAGAACACCTGAGCTACCGCGGTAGTAATAAAATGCTAGTGATTGTGATGTGCGGTTGGCAGGTTTTCCCAGCTGCTGGCTGTAGCGCGCGGGTGCCGCGAATCAGCAGTCAGACGACAATTCAGGTCCGTCGGGTACAAAAAAGTGTTAAGTGGGCCGCCCTCCGGCCTCTTATTTCTCCGGTCTTCGGCCACGTTTTATCTGATTAGATCATCTGATTAGATTGATACCGTCATGACCCGTACGGCCCCTCTCATACCGTTCCATGACGGTATCCTATTTCCGTCTCTTTCACCATCGGAATCCGGGCCGTGTAAACTATTCTCTATCACCGTTATTTTCAATTGACGGGACGATAATCGATCAACCTTCCTTGCGGCTGTAACCGACACAACGGGAGTCCCTTACTCATGAATTCGACACGAGAGTTTCCCTTTTTTTAATCTTTAAATTTGCTTTCTTTTTTGGGCCTTTTCTTCTCCCCAGAATACTACCGAGTAAGCCCGCTATATATTAAATTTGTTCGTTTCTTGGCCATGAGCTTTCTTGCCTACAATAGTGACTAGTGTTCAGGCTTCGTCCGCTAAACCACCCGGCGACTTGCAAGAACTCTACAAACTCCGTATGTCTCACTTTTGCCACCATTTGGAGTCCTTGGAGAATTGTTAGGGCTTCGGCTTCCAGCCCGTACGGAGTAGTATCGATGAGCAAATTGTCCGAGCTGATTGATAACAAAAATTCCTGAACCTTGGAGATCCTGCGTCAGAATACAGACCACAAAAAAATTATCTGATCCGTAGTGGAGCGCTGAGACATTCCTTTGACCATGGACTCGAATCCTGGATGTCTACCCCTCTTCCATCCGTTTGCTACAAACCATCGGTGGATGTCTATAAGATCGATGCCGTTTAGTCGCCGACATGTCGGGATGTCAATCCCTCACGTCTGCCAAGCTACGGACTGCTCTTGTAGCCAGGACAATCCCTGTAGCTTCAAGTAATCCGCACCGAACCCGAGTGACAGATAGAGCACCCACTTTTGCATGGGAAATCGCCTCTACTAGTAATTTCGGATGGCGCCGTCGATGGCCCACCAAGTGTGCTATTGGGGTTGTCCGTTGGAATTGACTGTTGCCTTGTCTTTCCGGCTTGCGAGTGATGGAGCCTGAATAACTTTTGCAGAGAGGAATATCTAAATGGTACGGTCTAGAGCAGAAGTGACAAAGGCATTATGCAGGGGTTTTTTGAGGTTACATTCTTCATGATATCCGTAAGCAGTAGTACTTCCCTTCGTTCCGTCTTACCGTTTGAGTTGTCAGGGTTTGCAAAGTGGCAACCAATTGACAAGCACATGCCAAATTGAACATTCTGCATGAGCAAATTATGAATAATGTAGGGTAGATAATATAATATTGCGTTCCACTATCCTGTTCTGGACGGTCAAGTTCACTCCGAGTCCGAACAAGCCCATAAGGCGCCGTCAGTGGTGTGCTGGATAATTTCCGGGTTCCGAGGTCCTGAACTCACAATTGGTTATCTGATGGAATCCTCAAGCTTTGATGCAACGCCAAGGGGCACTGAGAGCGCCTCAATCACTATCGGGGGTGTGCGTGCATGGTCATGCCCAGATCAATAATTATCCCATTGGCTTGGTAGTGGAGAAGTCTAAGCCGCCAAGCGGCGTCGGGGGCGAACCATGGTCTGGCTCCGACGTGGATAGTTATCTGATTCTTCCCACCCCCTCCCGACAGGAAATCTAAGCGAAGTACTAGAGTAAAATTCCACTGAGGCAATAGCTGAAGAGCTTAATTTGGTCTGAAATCTTCTAAAAGACTGGGTCAGTCCGAGTGGGGAAGGAGGTTCAAGGAGGGTGGTGCACTGGTAAAGTAATGGCAAAGTCTGATTCTCCATCATGGGCCCCGTTGCTCGTTTGGGTACCGAATGCCGACCAGGAATAGTCAAGACCTGAAGGGCTGGAGGCTCGGAAAATTGGTTAAGTTCCGAGGTATGTCTTACTTGTTTCTTTATCTACTAGCTGATTCCAGCCCCGGTCGTTGCAACCCTTCGTCTCTTATTCTTTCCCCTCGCATTTATATCGTGAGAAACCACCTACGCAATGGCGGCGGTACGGCGTTTGCAGCAAACTATATCCCACGTTCAACAAACGCAGCCAAGGGAGCAACTTTCTGTTGTCTATGGCCCTACACAACCAGAGCTTCTAGATATCACTCTCGGCGAGCTTCTAACCCTCCAAAGTATCCGATATGGCGATTATGAGTGTTTGGTGTTCCCATGGACGGGGGCTCGATGGACCTACGCAGACCTAAGTGATGAGGCGGACCGCGTGGCTCGTGGTCTGTTGGCGATGGGTATTGAGAAAGGAGATCGGATAGGTATCATGGCCGGTAACTGCGAGCAATATATTTCCGTCTTCTTTGCCGCTGCCCGAGTCGGGGCTATCCTGGTGGTGCTCAACAACACCTACACTCCCTCGGAGCTATATTACGCCTTGGGCCATACCGGTAGGTGTACGCCTGATGATCTCTGGGAAGCTTATCTTAACGTTCTCTGCCTTCCAGACTGTCGATTATTATTCCTAACTCCTCGCATTGGTCGACATTCGCTGGAAGATGTTCTGGCAAAATTGGGTCCCCAACCCAAGCGGAAGGGATCATCGACGGCACTGGAGGAGATCGTCATTTTGCGGGGAGAATACCAGAACTTTGGAACATACGACGGTCTTGTTCAGCGCGGATTGCCTCTCACTACGAATGCATTGTTGGATCGCCAGGCTGAGTTGACTCCCGACGATGTCTGTAACCTGCAGTTCACCAGCGGCTCAACGGGAAATCCCAAGGCCGCCATGTTGACACACCAGTATGCCGGCCCCATCCCCAGGCCACGCGGCGAGGTAATTTTTAAAACGCTAACCCGACCTTCTCCTACAGTAACCTGGTCAATAATTCGCGATTTATTGGTGACCGGATGAGCCTTACCTCTTTCGATATCCTGTGCTGCCCGCCGCCTTTGTTCCATTGTTTCGGGCTGGTGTTGGGTATGTTAGCCGTCGTTACTCATGGGTCGAAGATCGTCTTTCCCGGCGAGACCTTCGATCCCCAGGCCGTTCTCCACGCGATCTCGGATGAGAAATGCACAGCTCTCCACGGCGTCCCGACCATGTTCGAGGCGATCCTAAGTTTCCCGAAGCCCCCGAACTTTGATACCCGTAACCTTCGCACGGGGATCATCGCCGGCGCACCGGTCCCTCGCCCATTGATGAAGCGTCTCTTCGAAGAACTGAACATGACCCAGTATACTAGCAGCTACGGTGGGTTGTCATACATCCTCCCATGTCACAGGAATGACTCGACTAATCATGCATCTTCCTAAAAATAGGTCTTACCGAAGCATCGCCAACCTGTTTCAACGCAGTTATCACCGACAGCATCGAAACCCGACTCCGAACCGTGGGCAAGGTCATGCCCCACGCGCGGGCCAAAATTATCGACACACAAGGCAACATCGTTCCAGTAGGCGAGCGCGGAGAACTCTGCATTGCGGGCTACCAATTAACGAAAGGATACTGGAACAATCCGGAAAAGACGGCCGAGACATTCACCACTGACGAGGCGGGTACCACGTGGCTTAAGACCGGAGATGAAGCCCTATTCGATCCACAAGGCCGTTGCACTATCACCGGGCGATTCAAGGACATTATCATACGCGGTAAGTTCGCCAAGCGAACAGAGTTTTGCCTTTTGTTTTTTGCAGAACCCCTCCACGATACATGCAGACGCTGGATTGGAACCGTACGGACTGACACCGTAACCGTTGTTACCACAGGTGGAGAAAACATCTACCCGTTAGAGATTGAAGAGCGGCTGGCCGCGCATCCAGCCATCGAAGTGGCCTCCGTGATCGGCATCCCTGACCAGAAATACGGTGAGGTCGTTGGAGCGTTTATCGCCGTCGCGCCAAGCCACGAGGGCAAGCGGCCATCTGTTGAGGAACTGCGGAACTGGACACGCGAAACGCTGGGCCGTCACAAGGCGCCGCAGCATGTGTTCATCTTCGGTGAGGAAGGCGTGGATAGGACAGTCCCAGTGACAGGGAGCGGGAAGGTTCGGAAGGTGGATTTGCGCAAGATTGCTGCAACGGTGCTCGAACGGCGTGTTAACGCAAGTGTCGACGCAAGCTGAGGAGCCAAATCCCCAACCCGACTGCGGATCATTTTTGGGGCTCGCGCGCTCTGAATCCCATATAGAGGAGCTGTATATACCTAGATCAATACCCTTTGCTGCGACTGCTTGATTCTTTGTTAGATTTGGTCGCGCACACACACGCAGAATACGAATATCTCTTGATTCTTACAATCTACACCTGTTTTTTTTAATCGATTTCTACGCCGCTTTCATGTGCCAAAATCCTGCCATTGATATCGATTCTGCTTCCTTTCTAGATACGGAATACGACTTCGAAATATACTAATGGCTATGGCAAAACCACTCTACGCTCTTACCTCCTTCCATGAACAGTGCACACCCTCATGTCTCAGAACCCAGAGAAAAAAATTCCTTGGCTGATGACGACTATCAATCAGATTAGATAATCATCTTATCAGATGGATTGCTCTGATTGCACAGATGCAACGGCAGGATTCGACGATCCCCACCACCAGCCAAGACTCCCCTGACGATAATTGCGGGCCCGACCTAGCCTAGCCAGCCCGTCAAGAAAACAAACCGTGTGAAGAATCAACCGGAAGACCCAGAGGACGAGGAAAAGAAAAAAAGATCACGAAAAATGCAGCTCAAGCTCCGGTTTCGGCACATCTATCCTCGACACTAAAGTTATGGGTCCCCCTTGGCTCTTTTGGTGCCTTACATATACATACACATACGTACTACTGTGTACTGGATACATTACATGGTTACGTTCGACAGTTCGAGACTTTTGAGAACTTGCAGCTCGCTCCGGGAAAGTGAAAATCAGATAACTCGAGCCGAGCTTTGGCCGTACACTAAATTCTTACTCTTGGACTCTTGGCCTTTCAGCCTTCAGGTCGAGATATCCCGAGGTCCGGACCGGCGCCTTTTTTTTAACCCTTCCTTCGAAAACCCCTCTTGGCTCGCCCTCCTGAGTACGCAGTTGCGCAATCACCCTATCCGGCCTCTACCCCCTCTTTCTTAGCGCGGGAGAACGACTCCGTTGAGGAGAAGGCAGAGGCGCAACGCCAACGATAAACAAGAGCGGCAGGCCGGTTGCAGAGCCCCGCTTTTCATAAATTTACACAATTGGAGAACGGAGACTCAATTGCGCTCGGGTTGACTCAGTGCTTTTTCACTCAATGAGCGCAATGGAACGGCAGGAGAAAAACGGAGAAGAAAAAACGATTATATTTCGCTAATACTAATCGCAAAGAGCAAGAAAAAAAAAAAGCCAGAAAAAAAAAAGGGGGGGGGAATACTATCGACATGGAGCTCCAACCCCAAACAGGAAAGTCATTTACAGTCCCATCCTCCGACCCCGACCGCGACCGAGAGAGAAACAGAAGAGGGAGATCAATTTATAACTTCAACGCACGGAACGGATCGCGCTCGAGCTGATCAGACCCATTGAAGCGGAAAGGCGAAATATGGAAAAATTTCTCGCGACGGCACTTCACCAGCGCGGATCGCTTGTGTGGGAGGTCGACGATCCTGTCAAGGTTAAAGCCCGTCGCGTGGTCATAGGCGAGGGGCGTGAGATTGGTGAATTTGGGCTCGCCGACAATATACTTGGTGCGTGGATCGTCAAGGAACATATAATGCATGAGACTGCACCACCACGCCATCACCCGATGTTGGCCACGGAAGCGGGTGTCTCCGACAAGCGAATGGCGACCGCGGTCCCAATCGTCGGCGTCATAGTGTGCGCCGAGGTGGTCCTCCTAAGGAAGAAGAAGCGGAGTTAGTCCGGTGCTAAAAGGGTAGGTAGATGGGCTAAAAAAAAGAGGGAGAAAAAGGGAAAGAAAAAATCAAAAGCAAAAAAAAAGCAAAGGCTAGATGACGGAAGATACGGTCGGACAGGATATGCGCGCTGACTTGCTTACCTTGGCCCAGTAAATTTCATGGTAGGAGAAGAAGGTGTCGTTGAATTTGGCGAGCACGGTGATCTGGTGCGGGTCTTCGTCGATTTTGCGCAGGTATTCCCGATGCTGTTCCAGCGTGCCCGTCTCATTCCACCCCTGTGCCACACGCGGATCGTTCTGCCATTTGTTGAATAGCTTGAGGTGCTCGTCGTTGGTATAATCCAGGGCCCAGATGGAGAAGTACTCGTCGAGGTGGGGGATGTAACGGCTGTAAATCCTCGATCCCGGGGTGGGCTTAGCCGGTCGAACCGGGTGAATGGCATGCACGCGCACGTCAGGGAACTTGGTGGTCAGGGTATGCTGGACAGGATGCAATGGATACGCAGTCAGAGGACGGCGCAGCGAGCGATAGACGTCGGTATCTGCCACCCACACCGGCCGAGGCCCAAAGGGAGAACCCGCTCCCTGCCAGAAGGTGCTACGATACACGACCAATTGGCTCGAGAGGTCTGGGGAGTGAGGCGTCGGTTGGCCTGGAGGTGCCGACGGACTAGGATGCTCAATGGCAAGACCGACAGCCTGCAGTTCTCGTGCAAGAAGATCTTTGCCCTCGCCCGCCAACACCACCCGGAAGATCTCGAAGTCGGACTGCAATGTCAGGAGCGCATAGATGACGTTCCAGATCTGTCCAACCGTCGGAGCATATTGTCCATACCATGTCCAATGCGTGACGGGGCTTCTCTGTGCTCGCGCCCACGCGGAGTTATTGCTCTCAGGCGGCGTGTTGGTCGCATCCGGGCGACTGAGGTCGGTGAACTTGAGGGAGTCATGGTGCAGCGGCTCGGGGGGTGGCATGCCTTCGTCCGAGCGAGGGGACCGACGAAGCTGGAACTGTCGAACTCCATGCTGAACCGCAATGACCTGAAGGTCATAAGTGGTCTTGTATGGTTCGGGCAACCGAATCCAAGGTAACTTGGTCTCAAAAGGGAATGCCATATTCTGGGCAAGAACGGTATGCAAACAAAAAGGGTACAATGGAATTTGAAAGAAGAGAGTGAAAGTGAAAATCTGCAGCTTCAGAAAAGATTACTTATTTGAATCCTTCATTCCGTTCCTTGCAATGCAGGGGTCCTCATAATGGAAATGGGCCCCGTCACACCCCAAGACCCTTGCAGACTCCATCTTAGTCCAACTACATCATTGGCAACCGTCAATTCTACTCCGATAGGTAGGTAGTATTCGGGAGCCACAGACAAGTACTCCGTACTGTTAACCAACCTCGGCTTCGCCATGGAGAAGGCAAGCTGGAGGATGATAACATTTCCGAGACTCGATCCTTAGCCCTAGGTCCAGCGTGGTGGAGTTGCTGACTCGATTCCTGCCGGTTATCCATCTGTGTAATTCTCAATTCTCAATTGCAAAGATGCCGGTAGAGCCTGTATGACCGGTATGTGGGGTATAATACATACGGTACGACGGGAAAGTTATCGGGTGTATTTCGTTAACAATACCATTGTGTCGGGCTAGCCGAGTCATCGAGTCTTTCCCACAATGGTAGTGATTTTCTTCAGTGGTTCACTTTTGTTCTCCGACCAAATTTAACATTCTGCCACAGTCGGCGGCCTAAATCCGTTGTCTGACTAAATTAAATAGCGCATCGCAGTCCGAATCTGCTCCCTCGCTAGGAGGTTTTCTGGCGATGTCTCAGAGTTAATTTGACCCTGATGATCAATTCATACGGTGTATGGACTAAATGCAGGGTTACATTGCATTGCACACGCGGTACTTTTGTTGAACATGTCACAAGTCATATGCCTTTGAGGTGCATGTGGCCTAGACCAGATCGTTCAATTCATGTCCGGTCATGGACCCTGTCACTAAGGTTTTCAAGGTTCCGTAGACAGTCCCTTAGCACGGGCAACCACTTAGACATGGAGCTTACGGTGTACGCTGTTTATACCGAGATCTCATGCATGCGTTCAGCCGCGCTTCAAGATCCGGCAGGTACGAAGCGACCAAGGTAAAGGGACAGCCTGTCAAAAGATTTTTAAACTATCTTTGGAACTTTCTTCATAACCCTCCTGGTTGCCGATGCATCCCTTACTCTCATTCCACTTTCCGTAGTTGAGGGGGTTGGTTCAAGGTACACTAAACTAGATATATCTAGAAGATGATAGCTTGATTTCAACTCTCTTCCACGAAACTGTTGAAGTTCTGCAGGAACCGCTTGCATCGCAGTGGTCTAGAATGACGAAATGAATAGATGAGAAGATGCTCTGATCAATACTGGATTGATTGATTGATGTAGGATGAATTGAGGTCTTCCACGGTGTTGCCTATCTAAGGTGCCTTAGGAGAGTAAGCAAACAGCGAAGTGCTTGGCAGCTTGCCTCAGGCATCCCAACGCCTACAAAATCCATGGAGAAATGGCTGCGAAAATTTCGTTTCTATGGCAGTGAAACCGCCACACTGGGTTACTCAAAGAAAAAATAAGGGAAATCCATGGAGAACCCAAATCCCGATTCTGAGGATGGCGACACCCCAGCATCAGATAACTTTATTGCACTGAAACCGGGCGTTGGCCTCTTAATTTCGGATCAGATAAAAAGTTCCCTTGGACACGGGCACAAAAATCGTCGATCGGTCAAACTTGGACTCCTGCCAAGATGGGCCTCGTATTTCCGTTTTGATTCTCATTTCTCAAGTTCTTTGAGACATAAACCCACCGGGAAAAATTTTCTTCTGGATTCTTGAACCCAACCCCACCCTTTCACCATTGAGGTTTCTATTATGCAATCGACCATGGGTTGTTTGTGTAGCCGACCACATCCGAACTCGCCTCGCCATCTGATAAGATGGGGTTCCGAGTGGGGCTGGTCATTTCCCTGGGTGACATCGGCTTCTCCCACTTTCCGGACTCGCACCATGCCCTGGCGGCGATAACTCTCATAATAATTCGAAATCATAATATGAAACCAGCAATCTGCTCCATGCGGACCCAAACATTTGAACCGTGGTTGTGGAACATGCCTCTTCGAGAAGTGGTTCCAGCACTCGGATCGTTTGGAAAGAATATTGTCTCCTAGCATATCAGCAGCTTTCCTTGTTCTCCGGTGCCAAAATGAGGGTATTCGCACCTGTTCAGAGTAAAAACATCCGTCGGCTCCACTCTTGATCAATCTGATCCCTTGGCCTCGGGTCCTGCGCCTCCTTTATGCCCGGAATGCTCGTTTGGCCCTTCGCCTTTAAGAACAACAACGCCCATTCTCGATCCCTCGGGTTTTCCTTCTCCATAGAATCCAATCTCCTCTCATCTTTCGTCTTCTATTCTTGCTCTTTCAATCCCCGTTTAGACTGTACATCTTTCTTTATCTAATCTGATCTGTAAATCGCCCCTCATGCCCTCTATCGCAGCCCTCACCGCCATCCCCCGCGCCGCCCGCGTTCTTATCGTCGGCGGATCGTACGGAGGATTGAGTTCAGCTCTGGCTCTTCTCGACCTTTGCGGTGGCCGTCTGGCTCGTTTTAACTTTAATGCCGACTCCCAGGCCCCTGAGACCCAGATTCCCGTCGAAATTACCGTGGTGGACGAGAGAGATGGCTTCTGTGAGCAACCCCTCCCTGCCCTGCTTCTGGGGATTCTGGGCGCCTGATGGTTCGCGAAACACTAACGAATATTCTCTCCTTTCAATCTAGACCATCTGATTGGATCTCCTAAAGCCCTGGCATGTGATCAGTTTGCCTCGAAGACCTGGATCCGATTTCAAGACATTCCCGCCTTGCAGGCGCCCAACGTTCGCTTCCTCAGGGGTACAGTTAACGCAGTTAACTGCGAGGAGAAGTCGGCACAGATTCTTGACCTCGACACGAAGAAGTCTTGCGAGGAGCGCTATGATTTCTTGATTGCTAGCTCTGGTCTCCGTCGCGTGTTCCCTACGGTCCCTCAATCTTTGCTCAGACATCAGTTCCTTGAGGAGGCGAAGCGCCACAAGGAGGACATCCAGAAGGCCCAGGATGGTGTGACGATTATCGGAGGAGGTCAGTTATCCATATGTATTTCTGTCCTATCTCGTAACTAATATTCTCGTAGGTGCCGTCGGTGTTGAGATGGCTGCAGAGCTCAAGGTCCTGGACCCCAAGCAGAAAGTGACTCTGATTCATTCGCGCGAGCGCTTGCTCTCGGCGGAGCCCCTCCCTGATGACTTCAAGGAGCGTGTGGCTTCCGTCCTCCTCGAAACCGGTGTCGAGGTCGTCTTGGGCCGCCGAGTGATTGAAACCACTGCCATCGACACGGAGGGAGAGAAGCGGGTATGGCAACTGACGCTGTCGAACGGCATGCAGATCAAGACTGGCCATGTCATGAACGCTGTTTCGAAGTGCATTCCTACCTCTTCCTATCTGCCGAAGGAGACCCTGACACAGGATGGTTACGTGGATATCCAGCCAACGTACGTTATTCCATTGCCCCTGCATTCGATCATGCTCTAATTTTCGAGACAGCCTCCAATTCCCTGAACGCGCCCCTAACGCCGAAAGCCACTTCGCAATTGGTGATATCGCTTTGTGGGCCGGTATCAAGCGCTGCGGAGGTGCCATGCACATGGGTCACTATGCGGCCACCAACATCCACCAGCTCATGCTGTCCCAGTGCACGGGTGTCAAGCCTGAATTCATGACCTTGCAGCAGACTCCACCTGTGATTGGACTTGCTCTTGGCCACACGGCCGTCACCTATACCCCGGCTGAGGGAACTCGACACGGTGAGGACTTAATGACCTCTATGTTTGGTGAGGATATGGGCCATACCAGTAAGTTGATCTCAATGAAAGCTTCCCAGAGAGCTATACTAACTGTTCTTAGTTTGCTGGAACTACATGAAGCTGTCAGAGCCGTGCAAATGTTAAACAACATCACCGTCGAATGATCGAGAGGACATGGCTGTTATCTTAAAGCGATGAAGCTAGCCCATAGCGAGACGCGATTTGACTTTATCTTTCCTTTCTTATATCCTTGTTGGGGATATCATTGTGTTTTGGGAATTGATGCTTCAGGAAAAGCATCCGTTTGAAGCAGGTCTTGCATACAAGCATATTTTATCATTTGATTGGGTCATTTATGGGTTACTGGTGTTATGGTTATGTGGTCTTTTTGAGCTTGGGCGGTAGTGTCTTATATTAGCACACCTTATTTTCAATACAAAGCATTTTGAATGATTCAAATATCCGGTCTCCAGATGAATCTCTAGACAGAAGTTATGATGTTCATGCGAATGGTAAGCAGAAAGCACCTTCACATTAGAATGTCCTACTGAAAGAACTAAATGCGGCAAAATATGTCCACTTTGTGTCATGAATTGTTTCCATGAAGTATCGACCAAAATTATCTATGCTTCGCCAAGCGCCTGTTTCCTCGATTTCGACTGCGGGTCTAAGTATGGCGCCTCACCTAGGCTGCATACCCTATCTCCAGCTCGAGCTTCGGCATAGTCGTAAGTCGCACAATGCCAGGTGGATCGGTTATCCCAGATAGCCATATCGTTCTTGTTCCATCTGAAGCGAACTTGGGCGTCGTGGTTTTGAGTCACAAGCTGGTGAAGTTAGGGCCATATTTGCAAAGAATGAAACAGCAGTCGACTTACGTTGAACAAGTAATGCAGCAACATATCCGACTCATCCTTCGTTACGCCGTTAATTCGTTTCGTGAAGCCCTTGTTCACGTAGACTGACTTCCATCCGGAGACCGCTATTCCACGCTGTCAGTTGATTCTAAAGATAAGATGAAAGGGGAGATCTATCAGGACATACGGTTGGTCCTGATCACGGGATGCACCGCCGTCAACTCCTCGCCCGAATTCAGCGGCGACCCTCGAATTCCCTTCCGCAGCGGATTCCCCAACCTCCTCGCCTCATCATGGAAGAAGGTCGCATCATGCGTCGCGGTCAAAGTTTCCAGAAACGCTGCCATATCTGGTGAAAGACGATCATAGACCTCGTATCCTGAGGCCCAAAGCGTGTCTCCGCCCGTTGCAGGCAAGGTGTGGATCTTCAGCATCGCGTAGTCTGACGGGACGTGCTCAAAACTGATATCGGTGTGCCATCCTACAGAGGCGAATCGACTGGTGTCGCTAAGTTGATGCGTGAGGCCGCCCCCCTTCTTCTGTTTCTCGCTGCTAATCACACTGATTTGGTCACCCAGTTCGCTTCCTTCTTCGGTGAGAGGGTGTACGTGTAGTCCCGATGATTCAGGCTGTTGGAGACTATGAGTTTGGGACACTTTCTCGGATAGATGGTCGAGTGAGCGGTAGGGATGGTGAACTTACACATCCGGCGAGAACGGTCAACCTCTCTCCGAATTCCTTCATTTGTTGAGGCGTTACATCTTGGTTTCTTAGGAAGAGGACACCTCGTCTGGAGACTGGAAATCGTCAGTATGGGATACAATTCGCTTTTGTCCAAGAAGGCCCAGAAAGAGAGACCTCGACGTACTCGTTACAGCAAGATCGGTGATTATCTGATCGCGTTGTTCCGATTTTAGGATTTCGGCGACTTGAATCCCACTATACTCGGTGCCAATGACAGGCGTCAAATCACCGTGAGGAAACGAATCCAAACTGCCGGAATATTCTAGAGGTTGGGGAATGCGTGGACGGGATTGTTCATGACCTCCCCGGATTGTCGAAGGGGCAGCATTCTCAACGGGAGCTGGCATGATGAAGCCTAACCTTGGTGAGTTGACCTTGATATATTATTTGGAGTAGATTTGACAGTGATTGATAGGGGAATGTATGAAAATTAAATATATAACCGATGATGGCTTTCCCTGGTGGGGATCTAAGTTACAATATATCCGCGATCTTTTTCAGGAACGACTTCCACGACCTCGCGGATTTTGAAACAAGAGGAAGTTTCCCCACTGCGATAGTATGTTATGATTGCTTGAAAGCATTCGAAACCACGGTCGCTGTGTCTTATGATTGCTATCTGGTCACCTATCGCGTGTTCATTCTCGTCTACAACCACTCGGCAAAAGGCAACGGGCACGTAGGTACGGATCAGTTCGCCATTATTGTCTGATGAACGTTCACCCCGCATTACCAATTCCTGAGGGGTAGCTTGCATCATCTATTAGCTGGCATAAGCCGGTGTTATCATCGGCGGGGCGTCGGCGAAATTCTCGGAGGCAATTTGGGCCTGTGCCTGCCTGGGCGATGAGGTGCTAACGCTATTCTCCCCGACCCGCCGACGAATGAACGGTTTCCACCATCTAGCCCATCCATTAAACTCAGTGCCCCTATTCAGTCTCTGCCGTCTTTGTGTAATGGGTACTAACCTAAACCCTAGAGAACCTGGGGAAACTGCATTAGCTGGTTCCTGGCTTGCTGCATTGGCAGCACAGGAAAAATGAAATCGAAAGGGTATGCATTGTCGCAGTGCCGAGGAATGCATCGCGATAAACCCTGTCAATCAACGATAATTTCTGGAAAAAGCCCCGATAATTCAAAACAAAGACGCTTAGATGTCTTTGGGACCGCGAAAATGCCATTGGCTTGACAGTGTGTGATTCCTGTTTATTTCCGGCTAGGTCGCGCATCAAGGGCCATCTAGGCGATGATGTGCTCGTAGCGCGGCCTTGTGCAATCGCCTTAGCGCCTTTCAGCATTTAAGGTCTACCCTGACTCGGAGTATGAAGGCTGTCAAAACACAGAATTTCATTGGCTAAGCATGTCAGTCACTTGTTCAAATTGTTTACAACTCCGAAGTACAATGGACACCAAATCTCCTGTCGCCATCGTTCTTGGTATATATAAGTCCTGCGGCATGGCGATCGCTTCCTCTCTCAACCTGTTCGACTCTCGTGGTCTGAATTTTCAACTTCTGCTCAATTTTGGTTCTTCCTGAACAGTTCAAGTTGCGTGGAAGATAACATGGCCGACATTGAACGGGGCTACAAAGGCCCGGAGGCATCGACTGGCGATGAAGATACCCAGTCCTCAAAGGGATCGGCGAACGTCGGACAGGAACACCTTGCTGGCGTGACCCCTCCTCATGAGTCGTACGAGGGATACCATAGATTCGACCCGACAGCGTCTTGGTCTGTTAAGGAGGAGCGCAAAGTGATCTTCAAAACGGACATGTTTCTGCTGACCTGCTTGTGTTTCATGGTGAGCCACGAAACCCCCAAGATCTTGTGAGGGCAAAAACATAGCTAACGTTTTTATAGTTCTTCGGGCTGCAACTGGACCGTGGAAATCTGTCCAATGCGCTGACAGACAATCTTCTCGACGACCTGAATATGACGAGTAACGACTACAACAATGTGCGTCCACCCCCAAAAAGAGAATTACCGTGTTACTGACGAAAGAATTGCTAGGGTACAACGATACAACTTCTCTGCTTCTTGGCAGCTGAATTCCCCGTCCAATTGTTGATCAAACGCTATGGATTCAAGCGCGTCCTACCGCTCATGATGCTGGGCTGGAGTCTGGTATCGTGGACCCAGGCCTGGATGACAAGCCGAGCCTCGTTCTACGTCACGCGAGCACTGATCGGAGCGTTCGAGGGAGGTTTTATTCCCGGAACCATCTTGTTCGCGACATATTTCTACAAGACGCGCGAGTTATCTGTCCGTTTGGCCTTCTTCTGGTCAACCCTAAATGTGCGGTCTCTTTAATCCTCTCGGTTGTTCGAAGATCCGAAAACTAATCGATTGCCACTATATAGGTTGCACGTATCATTTCTTCTCTCCTCGCCGCAGGCATCCTCGAAATGCGAGATGTCAAAGGAAAACCAGGGTGGTTCTGGCTCTTCCTGATTGACGGTCTCATCACCTTTGTGATTGGTCTTGCCGTATGTACACACTCGCCACAATATCTACTTCTTTACCGGCATACTCACCCTCTCGCAGAGCTATTTCTACCTTCCCAGCTCCCCAACCAACACCAAGAGCCTGCTCTGCCCTAAAGCATGGTACACCGAGCGTGAAGAAACCATCATGATCAACGTAAGAACAACCTCCCTCCCTCCTTTCTCTAATCTATAAACCCCTAACTAACCACCCCTGAAAATTAAACAGCGTCTCCTCCGCGACGACCCCTCCAAAGGCCTCACACACATCAACGAGGCGGCCACCCTCAAAGACGTCCTGAACGCCTGGAACGACAAATCTATGTGGGGTCTCTACCTGATTGGCCTAGTCGCCTACATCCCGCAAGGTCCCGTACAAGCATACCTCTCCCTCACGCTCAAACGCCTCGGCTTCTCGACTTTCGACTCAAACATGCTCTCGATCCCGTCCGCCGTGCTACAAATCATCCTCATGCTCATTCTCTCCAAGAGCAGCGAGTTCTTCGGCGAACGTACCTTCCACTGCTTCATTGGGGAACTGTGGAGTTTGCCTCTCCTGGCGGCGCTCCTGGGTCTTCCGGCCCACGGGTACAATTGGCCCCGGTTTGCGATTACGACGCTCATTTCGGGATATCCGTATTTTCATCCGATCGTGTCGGCGTGGATCTCGGAGAATACGTTCGATGTTAAGAAGAGAGCTATCACTGCTGCGACGTATAATGTTATCGTCCAGGTTGGGTCGGTGATTTCGTCTCGTGAGTTGTTCTTTTTCCTCCTCGGTGTGATAGATATAAGTAAGTGGTCGATTGGAATTGTATGCTAACCAATCATCCCCCGCACAGAAATTTACAGAGACTACGACAAACCGTATTACTACACCGGCAATAAGGTCCTTATCTCGATCTGCTGTCTCTCTTTGGCCGTGTTCATCACTCAGCGCGAGGTTCTGCGGTACTTGAACAGACAGAAAGACAAGAAATGGAAGGCCATGTCTGCCGAGGAAAAAATCATATATCAAGCCGATCAAACGGAGCGAGAGAAGGACGGAAACAAGAGATTGGATTTCCGCTTCAAATATTGATTCGACGCACTTTGTCAGAAAATCGAGAAATATCTTGTCTCCTTGGGCTTTTGTGGTTATTTACTGGTTATTTATGCTAATAATGGGATTTGATGAGTAGGGGATAATAGGCATGTAAGTACATGGGTATATTATTTATGACATCTTTTGATAAAACATTCTTGACTGGATTCATCACATCATTGAAGCGGCCAAGCTGGCTCATATAAGAAAGCTCTGGTTCGCTATATTCTGGTCCATCACATCGTCACTCGTGGGTATGAAACTTTCGGGTTGATGATGGTCTGGGATCTGCGATATGAAATCGCCAATCAGCATCTCCATGGGCCCAGAGGCTAGCGGAGGTGATAAGGAAGAAATCCCCGAGAATATGTTCCAGGTATCATCCGAGACCGGTGGAGCCTGTGTGGTAGATAGAACAGCGTAGCCAGTGTCGTAAGAATATGCAGGGAAGAAAGAAGGTGGAGTGAGGCCCGTTCCGGTAAAGCCTGGGGAGATCATGTCCTTGTACGATGTTGAGAATGGATGACCGCTGTACCCGTCTGCTTGTGCGTTTTCCGCTATATTAGCGCTGTTTTGGAACTGGTCTGTATAGCCAATAGTCGGTAGGTCATTGCCCCAGTTGGTCAGCGAGACGCTGCTGCTATGGAGTCCAGAAGTAGTGGAGCGTGGCCCAGAAGCTTCTTTACCTGCTGGCCCCTCTTCGCTGAGACCATCTTTATTAGGCCCGCATGGGGGTCTACTTAGGGCCGAGATGGGCGGTGCTTTAATTGACGGCGACAGAGTAGGCCCGCTTCTAACTTGGGCTTCGGCCATTTTCTTGTACAGTATTTCAGCTAGTTCTTTATTTCCACCTCCTCGGAAGGTCGACAAGATGGAGTGCAATCGAGCTAGGATGCTGCTTGGGCGACTTTCGCCGTCCCAGCTAGGTGCCCTTGGGAGCATTGCCATGTTCATTACGGCGTCTGCAAGAGAGTTTGCGATCTCGTACAGTTTTAACTCCTGGTAGAGATTTGTAAGGGCCTGTTCGTGGAAAGGAGATTCAGGACACTCACCATGCCAAGACCGTGGGCCTCTATCGCTGTCCTGGGCAGTTGAGAGACGATGTTCAGGAGCTCCTTGGCCACCAGTACTGGAAACGATGAACTTGAAGACTCGTTGAAGGATGGCGAGAGAGGAGGTTTCTTCGAGGACACCTTCCACAGAATCATTCTCATCCAGTGTCTAGTGACGCATAGGTCGGCCTTCTGTACATCCGAAATCTGGTCTAAAAGAACAGACCCATCCTGCAATTTGCCCTCGAGGAACTCGAAAAACCTGGTATCCAAGCTTTTGTCGCCTTCAGAAATAGACTGCAGATCGGGATTTTCATCCTCGATAATATCAAACATCTTTGACTGCTCAAAAAGCCGAAATAGGTTGAGGAGTTTCAAGAATGCGGGCAAGACCTGGGGCTCATCATTGGAATCTAATTCGGGCGTCGAGATATTGGTTTTAAGCACGACAGGAAGCTTGTGCAGAATGCAAACGCCCCTAAGAATGAAAAGAAAAGACAATTAGAATCAAAGCTAAAGGTATCCGCTCATGTCGGATTCTTACCTTTCAGTCACGAAAAGTAACCACAGTACACGTCGCCGAATTTGCTGCTCCTCGGGGGGTAATTCAGAGTAGGAGGCTTCGCGATGGAGGGACATCATTTGAGCAAGCGAAATGGCCTCCCTCAAGTAGAGCAAAGATCCACTGCCACCCGGGTGTTGGTTCTCGTAGTAGACGTGGAGGAAGAACGCAGTCCGCACATTATCCAAATTCGCATTTGACCGATAGTTGCTTGAATCTCGAACTTTTAGACACTCCATCACAAAAGTATCGGCGGTGACCGATTTATTGGACTGAGGACCTTGCTCGAGTCTTAGCTGGGCGATCGTCGCAGCCGCAACAGATGTAGCTAAAGCATAGGCCTCCGGAGACGGATCCCGGGGGTTTTGTAGAATGGATATCACATCTTCCACATCGACAATTGGCCAGACGGGGTACATGCGAACGTGGTAAATGTAAAGCGGCGAGGCAATGATATTCGTCGGGATCCGAGACCTGCTTTTGTCCTTGGTTACTAACAGAACCCAATCACGATACAGGTGTCGCAAGATATTTGTTTTGTAGGACTAAGATAATCAAGAAGAAAGGAAAGGAAAACTGGACGTACCTCAGTGCGCTGGTAACCGGGGTGTGTTCCAGGTCTGGTTGCGTGTCACCTGGATCAACCGCCTCCTCGCTGAATGGTTCTGTGGATTGCGCCTCGGTTCCTCGCTGTGTTTGTTCAATCAAATATTTCGTCGTCGAACGCAGTCGCTGCGGCCCTCGAGGATGCTGGATCCGAATATAAGTGCACTTGATGCGCGCATTGTTACAAGCCCGACATGGATTGCCACCACCGCACCTGATCTTGCGGATCTTGCATCCGTCACAGGCCCGTTTCGTTATAGTTGTTCGGCTGGAGGACATGATTGTGTTTGTGTTTAGGTCTCGGGTGCATTCTGGGTGTTATTTGTTGGGCGCATAACTCCAGGACCTAACCGATGGCGATAAATGTTAATTTTTGTGAAGGGATCCGATGTGTAACGTGCGAGAAGTCCGGGGTAGCGATAATGTCTGCGATATTTCGAGCGATCATTCCATTCTGTGCGGGGCAATGCTCGAAGCACTTGGCCAAGGGGACTCGGCACGAGGGGTCGTCACGAAGCGATCGAACAAAACCAAAAAGGAAGATGATGTGTCGTTTTCTACAAAAATGTTTGAATTTCCGTCAACCACGCGGCGAGGAAATTTGACCAGGAATTCCATTGAACTTCGGGTTAATTCTGCGATTCTCCATCGAGTGGATGATTGCGCTACTATCTCCACGAGGCACGCCATAGCCCGGACCCACAATGTACCTGGACGACGATAAGCCCATCTTCATGTGTCAACCGATCAAGTCAAAACACCTGATGGACTCTGAACAAGAAGACAAATACATATTAGCTTGAGGCTCAGTGCAATGAGTGCTTGATGATTGATGGCAGAGAAAGGGATGAAATTGACGATGTAGAGTCGGAGACAGCAAAAGACCGCACGTGGACCCTGCCTGAGATGCATCACCTGACAGGCTGGATAATTCTTCAGAGCACCCGAGTTCCTTCTGCTTCCTATCCAGGTTCATATACCACAAGACAATAACATCATAAAATTTCAACGCAACGATCACGCACTCCCACCCGCTATCACCAATTGGGTAAGCGTGCATCATCCCTGGCAGGACTGGAACGGTTTGAGACTAAAGAGCAGACCCTCCGAGTATTCCTCCGAGGCCCAAACCCGCCGAAGCCCCGCGTTTACACGTTCAGGCAAATGGGCCGTAAGAGCGGATCCAGGCATCCTGAGAACCTGCATTCATTTGCCAGACTGCTTCAGCCTAATTCTTCTAGACCAATGGTGTTTGATGCGGGATTGAGCTGCAAAAGCGAAGCGAAGAAGCTGTCGCGGGCAGAGGTTTAAAATGAGGCGTGACCCCTCACTGTCTTCCAAAAGCATTGGGCTCATTCCACGCAGCTGGACCATCTTGCAAACAATCTGACTACCTCGTTGAACTGCTGCACGAACCACAATGGCGTGGCCTAACAAGAACAAAGATATGCTCTATCGACGAGTCGGAAACTCCGGCTTGCATGTTTCGGCGATAGGTCTCGGAGGATGGTTGACGTGAGTATCCTGCTAAACGCGTCGCACCAAGAAGAGCAATCAAATACTGACTTGTTTCATCCGATAGGTTTGGTGGTCATGTCGAGAACGGTACAGATTGCATTCCAATTGGCAGATATTGGTCATACTAACTCCGACAACTTGCTGCAGAAACGACTTTCAGTTGCATGAAACAGGCATATGACTGCGGAGTCAACTTCTTTGACACAGCCGAAAGGTATGTGCAGTCAACCATTTCACATGTGTTTGCGCTAACAGTTTAGCTATGCTGGTGGCCAATCTGAAATTATCATGGGGCAAGCCATTAAGAAGTATGGTTGGAAGCGAAGCGACCTCGTTATCACCACCAAGGTTAGTTCGGTTTCACACTGTTATAGGTCAACAAAAGTTAACTTGAACAACCTTACTAGCTGAACTGGGGTCTTGCGAACGGTGAAATCCTAATCAATAACCACGGCCTCTCGAGGAAACACATCATTGAGGGAACAAGGGCGTCTCTCGGTCGCCTCCAACTCGAATATGTTGATATCATCTATGCTCATCGTCCGGACCGGCTCACACCCATGGAAGAAACCGTGCGCGCCTTCAACTATGTGATCGAAAAAGGCTGGGCCTTCTACTGGGGAACATCTGAATGGTCAGCCGATGAAATTGCCGAGGCCTGTGGGATCGCGAAGTCGCTGGGACTGATTGCGCCCATCGTCGAACAACCTCTGTACAACATGTTGGATCGTGGAAGGGTCGAGGGACAGTTCCAGCGATTGTACTCTCGTTATGGAATCGGGCTGACCACATTCTCGCCGCTGAAGATGGGACTTTTGAGCGGCAAATACAATGATGCGACCGCCGAGCCTCCGGCAGGCTCGAGGTTCGCTGAAAGTAACGATAAATTCGCAAGCTCCGTTCGGAAGGATTGGGAAAATGAACAATGGGCAGGTACCATTAAGAAGATCGTGGGCTTGAAGGTATGTGAACGACCCAAGCATCCGATGGAAGAGATTAGTAATATTTACTGGAATACACAGGAATTGGCGGACAAATTCGGCGTCAAGTTGTCTCAACTAGCGCTTGCATGGTGCTTGAAGAACGAAAACGTCTCCTCAGTTATCACGGGTGCCTCGCGACCGGAGCAAGTCGTTGACAACGTTGAGAGTCTGAAGCTGTTACCCAAACTAACACCGGAGATCATGGCAGAAATTGACACTTTTCTGCAAAATAAGCCAACTGAAGATCCTGCCCGGCAAGATTAGTTTATATTGGCTGGACTTGAAAAGAAGCCGCAGAATATACCATAGACGAGTTCCCAAAATAATGCCATCATCAGCGCCAATCCAAAGTCTCTCCCAATCAAGTTCGACATAGAATCTGGCATCTCATCATATTAGATGATGATTTATCTATAAACCATCAGCCTAGTTTCTTTTCGTCACTCCGATACCGCCATACGGGGCAGGAGCCAAGATTGTAACACAAACCCACCCCTCACCACCATACCTTCCTCGGTACCACCAAAGAAGGCTCCAACTCGCTCTCCCACTTGATCATCTTTCTCCATCACCTCTCTCTTCTTCAGACAATCCCTACACTCCGCTTTCACCGACCTCCCTACCGAATCCCTCACCCCCAACCGAAAGTCATGACAAGTCAAGCAAATGACATATGAGATACCTTGCATCACAATCTGCGCTCCAGGACAATACCTCGGCCGCCCGACCCTCGGTTGGAGCCCACAGTCGACACAGAACCGATTATGCGCGTCGCGACCATACCGCCCGCGTCGACGATGAAGCATGCGATCGGCGAACTCCGACCGGGGACGCAGTCGTAAACAGTATCGACATGCGAAGACATCCTTGAAAACGGCTAAGTCAGTGTTTTCGGCGTCGATGAGCGCGCTGTGGCTGAGGGGTGGAATGAGGGTGTGGAAATAGGTGCAAGTGAGCTTTAAGTGGATGAGGTCGGGGAAGAGGAGTAGGTTGAGGATTAGGAGGTGGAGTTCTGTAGGGAGGGACATGAAAAAGGATGGTTTTGAATCTTTGGGATTCATTGTGAGATGAATCCCCCTTGTAGAGGGTTTGGTCGTTGTTGATGATGATTGAGGAGGAAGAAGGTTGGGGGTGTGGAGAAACGAGATGGGGAAGATGAAGTCATTCAAGATCCGGGGGTTTGTTTGGGTTGCCGTTGGGTTGCCCGTTTGGGAGTTGCTCTAATCATTTTCCGGCGAACCTTTGCCCAATAAATAGGAAATATAGAACTGGCATGATGGAAGATGGTTAGCTAGGACAATAGTCTATCTCTGACTTATCAGACTGAATGACGTAAGTTATGTTGGTCGATTTTGCTCCAGTCGGTGTCCAAATATACTTGTCCGTACAGTAAGTAAACCTCTACTTTTGCGACCATACTACGCTATCTAGCTGCGCGAAGTCGACTTTACTCTTCGGCGCGCAATTCTTAAAGAGACTTGAAAAGTGATTTTCAAAACAAACAAAATCGGATAAATATTGTCTAACAATTTGACCTTGAGATACACTGGAAACAATCAACATTTTGTAGAAGAACAAACCAGTCTAACAAAAGTATGCTTAACACGAGAGAGAGAGAGAGAGAGAGAGAGACAGAGAGAGAGCTCTCACGACGCAGTTGTTCCTCTATTCCTCATCTGCTGCACCCTTCTCTTTGCTTTCTTCTGTTCCAGTTCCTCCGCCGTCGGCAACCTGAACCCCGTCCTATTCAACTTATCCTTCAATCTGCGCGCATGCGCAATCATCAACTGAAACGCACCCTGTTCCAACGCAGCCCAAAAAGGCCACAGATACTCATGAAAGTACTCTTGATCAAGGAGCCCCGTCGGCCCTTGCCCACACTGCTTCAAATACCCCAACCTTAACATGTAGCCCCGAATCACTGTCTCCCGTTCTACATCTACATCCTGACACGCCTGAAGCACCAGGGCCTCGGCGAAACGGACCGGAGCGAGAAGTCTAAACGGATACATTATGTCCGGGAGAGGCGCAAAAGCCGCCGGACTACCGCTCAGCCTGGGCTCATTGCTGAGCATGAAATCGGGATCGTTAGGCGCGGGTGGAGCAAGCGTGAGAGGAAGTTTCGTGGCGAGGGCGGTTTGTTTGCGGAGAGATATCACTTCGTCGACGCGGCTGATGTGGTGGAAGTGGATGGTTGGGAGGGGTTTGAATGGGAATTCTTCGAACATGTGGCATGCGGATTCGGCGGCGCAGGATATGAACCCGACGGTTGCGAGTGCTTTTTGGGCTTCGATTATCAAGTGGTCCGGGATGATGAATTCGAATTCCTACGGTGAGGTTTGTTAGTTGGGCAGAGAAATAAAAATCACTGAATGGGATATGTTTACCAAGTGGTTTCGTGTTTCTGTCCATGGGGATTTTTCGATCCAGTCCCAGACAAAGCTTGGGATGTGGAAATCATCGAAGAGGCGAGCTATTTCCGATGCCAGCTGGGGTCCTAGACGCTGGCCTGGGATTTCGTAGGGAATGTCCCTCTTTGGCTCCTGGGCCCGAGGGCGTGCCTGTTTTGCTAATCTATGCCAGGACATCGTGGATTAGAATGGACATGGATGGTTGATAACCAGGTCAGGTAGGGAAGATTAACTGTTAAATAGAGCTGATTTATTTGCTCTTTGGGGGCTTTCCACCGAAACAAAGGCATTCTTCACGCACGTTTGTTGATAAACCATTGTTCATTCTTTGATAAAGAGTATCCGTAACCTCGAAGTTCCATATCTCCTACTTCCCCTAAAAGAGACATGATCGATTTGCACGCATGTTGCTGAGAATGAAAGAATCATATTCCTTGCCATGTGAGGTAGTCTCCCGGGCTTTTGCATTCAGCTCTTGATTGCGTGGAACGTTCACTAGACTCACAATATTGATACCAGATCGTTGGACGGCTGTCAGGGTCTGGCTGAAACAAAGAACAATATAGAGCAACAATGGACTTTCCTCGCGCTGATTACCCCTCTCATACGGCAAACAGGAACCTACACCTGAATATACTAATAGTGATAAACGGCTAAAACTATTAACCCAAGACAATAGCGCATCCAACATAACCCGAGATCTATCGAAACAAAGCAGTGATCTTGAAATCATAATCACCCCGTCTTATATCAACTAACAGCTCAATCCTCACCATAGGACGGATCCTACCTAACTAAAGGTCCGCAAGATGACATCGCCCTGGTTCTGCAGATATTGAGAAAAGCTAGTCATTTGAATCTTATACTTGTCCAGTTCCTCAAAATTGCCCTGATACCCGACTTCATTGGCCCACAACTCCGCCCAAAGTCTCGTGTTCCTAGCGGCAATCCGCTCTGCTTCGCCCTGGGAATAAAAATGCAGACCGATTCCCTTCCCACTCGCTTGGTTCAGTGCGCGCACGATCTCAGCCGGACTGAGACTCTCGACGCCGAGGTCAATTTCATGCCTGTGGAAACGAGGTGGGCCGAGAATGACTAACTAGAATGTTTCTCTAACTCTCGGTTTACCCAGCACACACCCAGTGGGATTAAAGAACCAGAGCTCAAGTATCGTCGCCAGAATCTCCATTGAACTTGCCGCGCACTCGAATTCCATCGCCGTATCGCATAAGCAACAACGAAGCCGGGATCAACCCAACTGCGATGAACCCTAGAAGACTGTTTCCCCAGCCTAGACCCAGAGTATCATACAGCGGCGCTCCAGCCAACGGTATAACTGTGCCAAAGGTGCTTTTGATGGCCAGGTTAGCAGCCACAGCACTGGCCGCATAGTAACTAAACCCATCGACCAGATAAAGCTGCACACCAAGCTGAACGCACATGATTCCAAAACCGACGAAGCTGGTTCCGACTATGGGAGCGATCCAGTGCACTTTGTAATGGGCCGTCCAGCCGTACCAGAACAGCCCGATCGGAAGAACGATCACGCCCGCCACGAGAGTGAAGAGACGGTGCTCGGGCTTGACGGACTTGTTGAGAGTCTTGCGGAGTTGGATGTAACGGTCCGAAAGGGATGCAATCGTCAACTGGGCGAGACAAGATCCAACTCCGAGCCCGACGTATGCTAGTCCGGCGTTGCTAGCATCGAACCCGTATGTGGACTCGAATACCCGCGTGAAACTTGTGATGCAGATGTACATGTAAGTGTAGGATACGGAATTATAGCATGAGGCAATGGTCACGATCGGTGCCTGGACCATCATTCGAAGTGGCCTTGTGATAGCGCGTTTGATCTTCACGCTTGTAGGTTGGCCATCATCTGTGATTGCTTGATGTGGAACACCAGTGACTTTTTCAAGCCTTGCTGCTTCTTGTCGGAGAAGGGTTGGTGCATGTGATTCTTTCTGGAATAGAAAAGCCAGGATCATGACTAGTCCTCCCTAGTATATTTTAGTTTCTTTTGACTTTGCAAGAGAATCAAGGGCGGTTACTTACGATTATGACAACCACCCATACTGTCCATCGCCAACCGGCACCGTAAACTATGTACCCTCCAAATATAGGCCCTAATGGTTGATTAGATTAGCTGGCCTACCGAATCTACCGAGACCCGTCAGTCATACCTAAAACCTGGCTCTGTGACATCGTCAGAATGTTACTTGAGTTGGTTGAGTTACTTGACATACCAGTGAGTTTCCAACCGTCCAAGCACTCAAAGCTGTTCCACGCTCCTCGATGACCATCAAATCGGCAATGATGCCACCTCCGACAGTACTGGGCACTGACGCGGCAATTCCCATCAGGAACCGCGCAACGATAAGCATCGGCATGTTGACTGCCGCAGCACATAGGATAGATGAGAACAAAAACCCGACATTGGAAACATGGGTGATAAGCAAACGCCCATAACATTCACTAATAGGAGGCAATATCAATGGTCCTATTACTGAGCCAATGAGGTAGACCGTCACCATGAAGGACTCTATGGAGCTGCTGGAAATGTGAAATTCTTCAAGGACGTCGGGAACTCCGGGGGCAAATATGGTGGACACAATCGCGCTACATACATGTTAGTATCAAGTTACAGTTTGAGGTAGCTATTTCTTACCCATTGAAGCATGTCAGTGACGTGAGTCCGATGATGAACCATTTGCGAGACTTTGACCAGTTATGGGGATGAGCCGGATCAGCGTCTCCTTTCCAGTTCACAACGGTTTTTTCATCGTCAGTGTTTGAGGTTTCGGTGGTCAGGCTGCTCTGCTTCTCTTCGTCCATTTTCAAGCCTTTCAGAATACCTAGTATTAAACAGTGATTAAAGGCCCTTATTCTGTTCTATAGCAGATCTCCGAAACTCTTCATGGACAATAAGGCCCGACCATCTTTCTTTAGGTAGTTATAACAGACGCACTAACAACATTAATCAATAGCTTTCAGACTAGCAAACGAGAAAGGGGTGGTTCTATTACCCAAAGGATCGTCGTCATGCTCCGGCATATGGAATGCATACTTGAAAGCCCCTTGATCAACCACTTCAGTTACACACCACCTCGCCTATGAGGCAATTAGCTAGGCATTCAAAAATGAGTCTGCCTGGCATTAATCACGCCCGATAGATCTGGTCCATAATTGCGTGTCGTACACTCGAGGATAAAATCTCCGAACCCAATGACGAGAAAAAACCCCTGAGATGATAGGTCATGGCAACATGTGGCCCGAACAGGTATGCGCTATCGATATTGTACGGGGACTAATGGTGTCGATCCGCTTCAAACATATTCCAGCCAGCCCTAAATTCAGGGTTCCTACGATCCCAGCCAAACCTCTAGTCCTAGTTCATAGACCATAAGTAACGACAAGCCCAATTCACAGAGATGGAGTCGAATAATCTAGACCAGGTTAGGGGTGTCCAGTAACCGTACGTCAGCTGGTGACGATCTTACCTGGTTATAAAGGGTCGGAGAATTCCACCGCTCTTACGTCTTCACCCCTTGCAGTTGACATCCTGCTGTCCCCATTCCCAGCGGATTTTGGTCATCTTGTTCCGAGTTGTCGATTTCGTCGCGATCATAAATTCTCCTGCGTCGTTTTGCGGAGGGTAACTGCAGGACGCGTTTTTGTCAGTTGCTTTACGGAGTAGCGTCGTGTGAGATATCAAGTGTCGACGAGAAAAAAGTTACGTCATGATAAAATGAGGTCGATGAGAGTCTTGATGCCTTGACAGCATTGTGGTTATGATTTTGAATTGTTCGCATTGGCGTGATGAGGCAAGGAAGTGGATGGGAAGAGAGACTCGTCACATGAGTGAGCCATATGGAATAGAAGTATGCCAACAAAGGAAAATCGTCTATTTTTATCCAACTTTTCTATGTACACAACACTTACGACAACCTCACGATCCATCATAGTCCACCTTCTTAACGCGTTTAGCCTGCAATACCTTCACCGCAACAAAACACACCAATCCAGCTGCATAAGTCCCTCCTGCAAAAGCAATCAACCCCCAGTATTCGCCCTTGCTTTTGCTGATAATCTCTCCTGCAATTGGGACACCTGTCAAAGCTCTACACAACGGTTAGAATCATGTTGTTGGAAGTCCCAGGACAGGACCGCAGCACAAAGGAATGACTTACCCCAGACTCACTATCGTATACACGGTAGTATAAAACCGCCCATACTGCTCGGTCGGACACAATTCGCCCACACAAACCGGCACCAGGCTGAGGTTACTTCCGCTGGCAAAGCCAAACACGACGGAAAAGATGACGACGGCGACGATATTTCCGTTCGCGGGCATCCAGATGCCCAGGATGGCAACGAGACAGAGAATATTGGTGATGATCAACGTGTTGAAGCGACCGATCTTATCGGCCACAATCCCGGGAAGCCAACGACCTGGGAACGAGCCGGCGTTGAGAAACACGACCATCAAGTAGGCGAGTTTATGCGAGATGCCGTTGGCGAGGGAATAAGAGGCGATGTACTCGAGCGGAACGAAGAACCCCCATTCGATGAAAAACACACCAGCCGTGGTCAACGCAAGCAAGGGATCCTTGAGGATGCTCAAATCTGGGAGAAGGACCTTGGCCGACGTGACCGGTTTGGGTGGTAACCGACCTTTCACCAGAATGCAGCCGGGTATCAGCAACACCAAAGTAATGAGGCCCACGACGCGAGTGGCCCAGGCGAATCCGAGACGGGGTGATAGGTTTTCCAGAACCAGAGGGAAAATGACGCCGCCAACGCTACCGCCACACATCGCCAAACCCGTGGCAGCTCCTCTCCGGCGGAAGAAGAAGTGGCCGATACTCGCAACGGGGACGATGAAGATGAACGAGGTCCCCATGCCTCCGAGGATACCCATCACCACGATGAAGTGCCAGTATTTGCTGCAGAAACCCACCAGGATGAAGGTGAGAATGAGGAGCGCGGATCCTGTCCACATCAGTAAACGGGGTCCTTTGGCGTCGAACACGGGTCCAATTTGGATGCCGCAGAAGAATACCATGAAGTTGTACAGTCCGAAGATCCAGCCTATTTGGCCCTCACTGAGGGAGGCGAGCTGGTGCGTTGATATCCATGCTTGATAAATGCCGATGCTGTTCATCAGGCCCAGGCCACCGGTGATAGCGCTGAAACTGCCGAGGACGACCAGGTTGGCATTGAGGCCTCCTTCGGGGTAAACCTTAGAGTTATCGCCTTCCGTAGTCTGAGCTTCTTTCGACATAACCGGATCCATGATTGAGAAAGTATCTTGCTGCAGTCTGTTCAGAAATAACACACCGAAGGCTCTGGGCTGAGTTGCTTTATACCTAGTCTGGTGGATCTCTTCCAAAGACAGGATAAATTGGGCAGAAACTTGGATACGAATTACCAACTCTGATTGCCATGTGCCAGAAATTTCTTTCTCTTGTTCCAACCTCATCATGGCCGCAGTATACTTCGGCATCACTCAAACCGCCGACGGCCGACGGCCGACCAAACTTCGGCATCGCCACATCTACTCGTCTCGGCGAACCGACCAACTTCTTCTACCCTGGTCCACGGCAAACCGCGCCAACTCCATCACAAATGCCGAGGGCTATTTGGCATTGCAGATCAGTCACCGGGCGGTTCCGCCCCCTTTAATTGTACCGATCTTCATTCATTCCTCGTGCGTCTCTCGGCGGATGACACATAGGTAAGTAAAACTTCCGATTATATGTATAATGCCAAGATGAGTTTTTCGTGGATTCTGTGTCATTTGCAGGGCTAGTTTAGGTGGCAAGGATTCTGTATTGTCTCATTAGCTCTAGATAACTAAGGGTTGGATATGAGGTGCTCCATAGTTGACACCATTTTTTGTTCCAAGCCGCATTTCTGACTGTTTCCATGTGGCCTTCGTACATACCGACGAGTCCTGCACTTGGGAAACAATTACTGTTAATGCCTACACTTTGTAATGAGATATTCTAAACCGAGACCTCCCTTCAGCATCAATCACTGCATTTGCGCAACAAATATTGGTAGCCTAATCCCTAAAACCTCCCAATTTGACAAAACCAATAGACTTCTCGGTTCCCAAGAGGAGTCAGACCTCAGCTTCCAAGAGAAAAATGTGTAGCTTACCACTTTAACTTAGATATCCACAAATGCACCTCAAAGATATGCACCTCACCATATCTCCCACCGCCGACGCGCGCTCACCGCATGTGACAGCGGCAGTCGCCGTTTTGCCGTTAGAGTGACAGGAGCAACATAAGTGAAGTTCATCTCGACGGCGATCGGATTTAACAGCTGGCACGCCAAGCCATGATATATCAGGAAACAGATTGCTGGCCGAGAATGCCGACTCCGCGAAGTGCGGCGGTGGAAGCCGCCGGGCGGGTAGTGTGGGTTAGGCCGATCACCAAGCAGACGCGTGCATTAGGGCACAAGCATCGTGTTATAGGAATCGCCGTTGCCGCCGGAGTCTGAGTCGCATGTTCTCCGTGCTCATGTACGTATGGACTGGGTAGTGATGATCTGGTCTCGAGTCTGGACACGATTCTGCCTAATTGACGCGGACCGGGCCGGATCGGATAGTATTCGTTGAGTGTCAAGGACAGGGCCGGAGGAGATGAGAGTGACCTTCAGGATTCAGGAGAGTGATAGGCGTGAGCGTGCGTCGGCTTGGATAAGTCAACTTCGGCGACGACGGCGTGCTCATCAATCACTTGGTTGGTCATACTTGGCATATCGAGGTCCAGGTGCTCGGCGACGGCACCGGCCGTGAGGATTCATAGTAGCGGCGGAATTACAAGTTCGAAAGGGTTTAGCCTTGTTATCGATCTATCAATGGAGGATCGTGCGTAGATCTGAGAGGTGGTAATGTCGTTGGTACGAAAGTTCAGCATCAAAGCTTTGACACCGGCGAGCTCATTTGCGGCATCGACACCAGGCAAAAGGTTCTACTTTCCCGAGATGAACATGGGCTGCAAATTGAACAATTTGGCATAGATGTATTCAGAGGGATAGGTAAGTGTATGATTCTTCTTAGCATAGGCAGCGTCTGGGTTTGTGATATAAGTTTGCAGTCTTTCTTCTAGATCTACCCTGATCTAATACATACGCAACTCGCGGCAAAGATGGCATACGGCCATTAACTATCAATATTACCAGTTTTTGAAGAAGAGCCGGACTAGCTACTAATAGTATATCTAGAGCTCTTACGAGCTTACAGACTTCAGGGAATCACTGGTTACCTCCATGCCATATTCTCCCTGCACGTAAACCACAGCAACTAAGAGAAAGCCTGGTATGTTGCAGTCTTCAAGGCCTCTAGATCGCCAGTTTCCTCATCAAGCATACGGATAGCTTCACGAATAAACGGGACCGCCGATCCGCGCACTTGCAATGCCCACCGCAATCGTTCTATCTGATGAACATATTCGATTGCCTCATCACAATCTGCACTCGTAGCCCACAGAAGTCCAGCAAAAGAGCCAATCATCGCCATCTGGGCAGGCGCGGCGAATCCCCAGAATGACTGTGTATGCTTAGGTTGGAGCGTTTCCACGAGCTTCAAGGCTGAAAGAAGACGAGCGCGAGCTGCAGTTCGGATGGTAGATTTGAGACTTGGCGGAGTCTCTGGTCTTAAGGCGCGAAGCACTGCGCGATGCAATGTGAGTTCGGCTGCCATGTGGGAAAGATGTAAGGCGCCATTGGCAGAGAGACCCCGCATGTGGGTGGTTGTATCCAGCTTCAAGCATCCGGGTAAGTTGGTGTACCACTGCCGAAGTTGCTGCGCGAAAGACTCTGCAAGTGCCATGGTCCCGGTCGCACCTAATTTGTCGAGTCTGCCTCCCTTCTTCGTTGCCCCGACGGAACAGAACGCATACTGAAGCTGACTGAAGATCCTAGTCAGCTCGATAGCGTGTATGAACGAGACACGGCCTGCTTTCGCATCGACGCTTCCATAAGGTACATCCTCAGCCTTGATTAATATCTCATGGAAATCTTCTACCGTACAAGGCCGGACATCCCAGTCGCTATTATTTTCGTCATCCCAAGCTAGGCGATCGGAGATCAGAGATGGTCGGCCGTGAACAAGGGCTCCCCATTTATCCTGCATGTACAGGGCCCATGCCAGGCGGCACCGCAAGCCTCTCTCCCACGCCGGGATAAACCAGTCACTGCAGTCAACATGGATACCCAAAGTCTGGCCCAGAAAAACCAGTTGGGTGAGAAGGGTATTATTTGTCCGCCTGACTCGTTGCAGCAACAGCAATCCTGCTTGCAGCGTTGACAGTGTTGGCCGCTTCATGTCATTCTCAATCGCGCGCATCGCCAGATCTTCCAGTATCGCGGCGTCAAGAGCCCTTGGTACAGCTGCGAGCTCTTTGTTGAATTGCTGCCAATCCAGGGCTATAAGATAGACACCAGCCAGAAGTGAAGGAGGGAACTCGTGATGGGATCGGGCATGCTTGTCAAGAAAGTCATCTTTATGTAGAATAGGGAATGTAGGATGCACAATGTTAAAGTAAAGTTTAACCAAGCTGGGACCCAGTGGTCGGATGGTCCCTTCGATCCTATCAAGGTCTGCGATGCGTTGCATCTCAGACGCCGAATCCCCATCAGGATAAGTCATGAAAATAGTTGATTCATCAACACGTCGTAGGCAACACTCAAGCTTTGCCGGTGGGTGCATTCCTGACGATTTCGGGTTGAGTAGTGATGGCTCATGATAGCTGAAGGGGCTAATGTACTCCGTGTGTAAATGCTCCGGGCCCAGAGATCCATATGAGGTAGAGGGGGTTCTAACGGTAGATTGCCTATTTTGTGAAGGCAATGTGAAGCTCGAGCAGGGCGTTCTGCCGATACGTTAGCTTACTCCAGTTCTGCCATCGCTAGTCCAGAGTACATATGTACATACGGTGGTGCCTCATTCCATCCTTCTTGCAGTCTTCCACTAGTCTTTGATCTTCTTGGAGTAGGCCCGTAAATAAAAGTGCATTTGGTATCTTCTTCTTCACACAGGGCACATCTTCCGTTGGCTAAGTCGCGATCGCAGCGAGATCTGCGCTGCCGACACTGGTCACAAGGCCGATTAAACTTTTCGGTTCGTCTGCTAATCGGCATTGCTCCTGCTGAGAACGTGACAGTTAGGACGATGAATTTCCCAAGAAGGAACTAGTCGGGGACGGGAATCGCCTAGTCTCGTGAGGATCTGGAAGGAGAGGCAGCAAGGGAATCAGAGGGCAGCTTGGGGAAACTGGTCCCCAACACGGGCGGTGCTTGTTAGAGACTAATCGGGGGCCAAGCATCTGATGTCAGGGATCGAGAGGTCTTGTTGGACCCTGATTTTACCTGATTGTCAAAGAAATGTGATGACATGAGGCCAAAGAGAAAGGGAATTGGTTGGAAAGGGAAGGAAGAGATGAGCCGAGGGACGACGAGGGATGAAGGATGATGAGGGATGAAGGATGAAAGATGGGAGGGGGGGGAAGTGAATGCTTACAGACCATCACGTGTTGGTCATCTATCATTCACTGATATCGAGTTACTAACACAGCAGTTCACAAGTGATCTTTGATTGAGTCTCAGTAGTAAAATTCTTCTTTTCTCATAAATCATACAAAGAACCACACTCCCTATACAGTCCCACCATCGCATTCAACCCCCTAAGACGGAGGAGCCACACGCTTCTCCACGAACTTCTTCTCCCCAAATGCCTGCTTCACACCCTCCGACTCGATAACGCGCTCATACCAGGCGATCACACCGGGGAACTTGGCCCTGATCTCCGCATCAAGGGAGATAGAGAATCCCCAGGTGAACGCCGCGGCGACAGAGATATCCGCCAAGCTCAGCTTCTCACCCTTGGCCAGCCACGTCTGGCCGGAGAGCTGCTGCTCCAGGAACGCCATGGAGCGCTCGATGCGGGCCAGGGCAGCGGTCTCGGTGTCCTCGTTGTACTTGTAGTTGCCGAAGCCGAGACGCCAGAGACCCAGCTGCAGGACGGGGCTCAGGATCTCGCCGTCCGCGAAGTCAACCCACTGGCGGATCACGGCGCGCTCGGCGGGCGTGGAGCCGAGGAGCTGCGAGGCGGCGGGACCGCTCTCGGCGATGAACTGGGTGATGGCGTTCGATTCGACGAGCTTGAGGCCGTCGGGGGTCTCGAAGGCGGGCACCTTGCCAAAGGGGAACTTGGCGCGGAATTCCGGGGTCGTGTTGGTTTGGCCCATGGTGAAGTCGCCGTTGACGATCTCGAGGCCATTGAGGTTGGCAGCAGCTTGGGCCTGTTTGGATGTTAGACAGGATACAGGGGTATTTTTAAGGATAGTACGAACCTTGATGACCCGAGGGTTGTGGGGGTAGCTGTAGACGGTGCCGAAAGGAGCCATTGTGATTGATTGAGTGATGGTTAACTGATCTATCTGAGAGAAGGAAAATGTATCAAAATGAAACTGAATATGGCCTTTAAGTAGTAACAATCCGGAACAGCATGGGGCTAATTCCGCCCTTGAACCTGGTTTTTTAAGGAAAAGACGGTGATGACAAATGGCCGCCGTGCGAGGGGCGATCCAATGTGGGGTAGAAGAGCATCGAAGCTATCGGACGGACAGTTCCGATATTATCAAGTACAACGCTGGGAATAGGGATGAATGGGGTCTTTATTATGTTGCACTTGAGGTAGATTATAGGACGGATCGAAATGCAAATTAGGGTTGGACTAACTATCAATGTGGAATGTGGCTTGCAGTCAAATTCATCAATCCAGGGTCCGATGGCGCAAGCAGTCATCTCGGATGTCCGCCGATCGATCCTCAGACACACGCACGGAAAGACTTCAGCACGGACTCCGGTTTACATTTTGATGGGGACTCTGATGCCGCAGCCCGCTTCACGTTTTCTGAACTCTGAATTGGGGCAGTGTCATCAATTGGTGTGCAGCCGCCAAGCTTTGTTGAGATTATGAAACGGTAAGGCAACTGCAGCTAAAAAAACTTCACCATACAACTAATTTATGATATAAACGCCTAACAGTTGCAATTACACGCCGGGATAATTGTAAACCAAACTCACACGTCGTCAGCATCGTATCGTCATCGCCACCGGCCTTTAAAGGCGAGCCGTTAAGCCATCCCGTTCCATTGACTTAGCGATTCGCGCACTAGCCCAGTCTGCGATGGCCATGTTAGTCACCATCGGGTTCACGCCGCTAGCACTAGGGAACACGGAGGCATCCACAACATGCAATCCCTGTGTTCCCCAGACCTGACATTCGGGATCCACCACACTGGTTCGCGGGGTGGTGCCCATGCGACAGCTTCCCATCTGATGCGCGCATGCAAAGAGTGTCCGTTCTGGGTCGAGGGTCTTGCGGCGTAGTTCCGCGATCCACGCCTGAAGAGCGGCATTGTTGATGCCCTCGGCCTCGTCCTCATCAACCGGGTGTTCCGCCCGGATAAATGGTGGAATTTCACGACACGAAGTATGAAATTCCTTCGCGCCCGAGATATAGGCGATCTTCGCGGTTGCGACCAGGGATTCGACAATGTGCCTGCGATCAAATGCCGACACCGTATAGTCGACGCGGCATCGTCCGTCATTGGGATCGGGGTAAACTCGACCGCTGCCTCGGTCTTTCGTCAGCGTGATAAAGCCGGTCATACGTGACAGCTTCGCCGCCCACAGCTTGTAATCAAGTCCGTCGCGCCAAGGGAATGCTGGAAGAAAAGCTGCCGGCAGCATAGTGAGACATTCAATCTTGACGCCGTGGCCGTGTCCGTCTTGGTCCTCGAATTCATTAACGACGGCTGTCAGGGCCCCTCCTTCCCACGGTCGAGTTTCCTCCTCAAAGACAGCGCCGCCGATGATGACTGCGTCTCAAATTAGTTCCACCGTTTCAGGCCAAAGGTGCATGTAATGAAAGACCTACCTGGATGCAAGTGAAGATTGCGTCCTACTTGGGAGTTTCTGATTCCGCTGCGCAGCAGAAGAAGCGGGCTCTGAAGCGTTCCACACGAAACTATGACCTTCTTGGCTTTGATGATGACCTTTCGCTTGACCGAAGTATCTCCGGACCGGCCCAAGTACGCATCTCGGGACGTCCAGGTTCCTTCCACTCCCGAAGCCACTCGTCCGCCCTTCGTGTTAGTGAACAGGACCTTGTGGGCATTGAATCCTTCAATAAACACCGCGCCGGCGCACGCTGCGTCGGCTAGAAAAGTCTCCGTAGGGCCCTGCTTTTCCGCCGAATGGCATCCCATCGTGCAATGTCCGCAGTAGTGCTTGTGACCACCAGTATTTTGAGGCACGGGTTTGGCGGCATACCCCAGTTTTCTAGCTCCCTCCAACAGAACATTGTTTGAAGTATTCTGAGTAGTGTTTTCGGAGCTCACACCCATGCGATCACAAACTCGGTCCAGGGAATTTTGGAATTCCAATGAGGTGAAGAAAGGCAGGCCATAATCCGCCCATTCCTGACGAACGTAGCCCTGCGTTTGCAACGCTGCCGACCAGTTAATAGTGCCGCCACCCCCCCAAGTCGAGCCAGCAAAGATCCCCATGGAGCCGTCGTCCGAGCCGGTGACGCCTGCGGCCTCAAACATACTCACAAAGCCCTCGTTGAAGTTCATGGGATAATGTTTTGATGGATAATGATAAGACTTCTCCACCACCATGACATTATAGCCGGCTTCGGCCAAGTTTTTGGCGGCAACACTGCCACCGCAGCCGCTACCCACTACGACAATATCTGTCTCGATAGTCTCCGGCTCCTCCCCGGGCGGGATCTGTAGGAAGTCGTATTTGAAGCCATCTGCGGGTTTCCCGTGCACCGGAACCCGAGGGAAGCCCAGAACCGGGCAAATGGTCGGACTAGACGTAATCCATGTCCTTTTCACGATGCCCGTCAGAGCTCGGAAGACACCGCGCAATGGCTTCAATCTAGATGTTTCCCAGCCGCGGAAGATCTTGTCCCGGATTTCGAATGGTTGCTCTTGAAACAGGGTCGTCGAGCCGGTTAAGATAAGCGAACCCGCTTTGGAGCTGGTTCCCCAATGTTAGTACCCCGGTACGTAGTTGCAGCAGTGTCTAATACATACTTCAATGTATTCAAGATAAAGCTTAGTCCGTTCCTCCCTTGTTCGTTGACGTAATCGGCAAACAGACGCTGGAGCGTGTCCCGAAATTGGACATTGGAGGATGCATTCTCTTCCAGATACTGCATAGCCAGAGTGCTTGCATCAGGGTCGTGGATGGAGCGTGCTAGCGTTTCGATCGTCGCGTTAAGTCGGGACTGGGGAATTATCTTGGCAGATGCGGACGACGCCGTGGGCCCTCTAATGGATGGGATCACGGTATCCGCTATCGACAAAAGCGTTGTCCATTGTAGTTCGGAGAAGATTTCCTTGGAAGAGACCGGGGGAAGCGACACCTCCAGTGGTGTGTACGGAATGGCCTGGTCAGTCATTGCAGACAGCCTTGACTACGAGCTAGAATCCGCAATGCCGAGGGTATTGAAGAGTGGAGTTAAAAGACGTATAGTATATCACGACGGGGAAGGATGAAGAAGAATAGGAAAAGGAAGAGACAATAAGGATGGCCGGGTCGGCCCACAGAGATAGATATAGCTAGCAGAGCCACCTGCCAATTGCTCGCCGGGGGTCCAATGCCCCTTCCACGGCGTCACCCACTTCGTCCCAGAAGAGTAGGGTTTGCGAACGACGCTACGGGGAGTGCCACCGACTAACGCTACTAGTGCTAGTGGAGGATCTTCTCCACGCTGGATCTTTAGTAAACTGGGCGCTCACTCTTGCATTCACTATTCAATAATAATATTCACACTGGCCATCATTGCGCCAGCGTTCCCAATTTACGGGGAGGAAGGCACAGTAACCGAGGCAGCGACCAACGACGATACGAGCTGGACGCGAGTGGGAGCAGTCACCGGGAATTCCCAATGATGGGACCATGAAAGCGAGAGATCGTCGGGCTGGCACAAATTGCGGTCCATGCGGGGGAGATGAGCCGAGCTTATTCGCTGTCCATGTGAAGATGCCATGGGTAGGTCCCATGAATCTGACTTATCAGGAATGTGACTAAGCAGAGTGATGCGAGCTGGACAAGAATAGATTCGATTCATCTCAATACCATTGTTTATCATTTGAAGATGCGCTCTGTAAGTCCAGGAAAAGGGGGAGTCACGTGAGACAATCCCAAGTCACGTGTCATGCTCCGGCACGTGGACGGTCTCTCCCAAAACGGTAAGTAGGGCTCGTTTGCAGGGCTCGCATCATCTGACCAACTTCAGTGTAGCAGCATCACTAGGGGGGATGGCTCATGAGCCCAGTCGGAAGAGAACCAATATTATTCGAAATGGAGTGATGACAAGCATTATCAGTCGGATCATTCTACCCAGCATTTCATCATCTCCTTGACTCGGACTAGCCCGATCCCGTGACCCGTGGCTTCCACGCGCCAATCCAGTTGCGACGTTTCCTGCTTCATCCCAATTCGGAGCTACTTGCACTCTCTACTCCGGTTAAACAAGAGATGAAGGCTTCGCTTTGGCTCTGATCAATCCTGCGGTTCTTTTCTCCGTCCAATTCTTCCCCGGGCGCATTGACTTCGCTGTCATGTCAGTACAGGTTGCGATCGCAAAGCGCGGTCGCAACTGCAACCCCAATTCCCTGACTTCAGTCTGAGGACTAATTATTCCTGATTAGCTCTGCCTATTCTCCGTTCACGATTCCATGGGCCTGATCGCATCCTTCCCGACCGCTCGTATACACCTCCGTGCTGAATGAACATCACAATGACCACGCCGGGCTCCGCATCTCAGAGCGGCGTGTCGACTCCCTCGCCACAGAAAGGATACAAATGCTCGCTACCTCAGGAAAGGGTGTTCTCCATTCAAATAGGGACAGAGCTCTTCCGTCTCTCGGGAGCGTCGATTGCCTCCGATGGTCAGTTGGCCCGACGTCGCATGAATTTGAGCCCGCGCTAAACGTTATGGAGCCCCGTCATATTTCTCCCAATTCTTCGAAGAGCAGCTGCGGCTGAACGGAGACGGTGCGAACATTCGGACGTTATATATCGATCGAGACCCGGTGACGTTTAAGGATATTGTGCGACATTTACAGGGTATGGCAGTCTTCCCGAGAAGACCCTCAGTAGCCATGGCTAATCAGGAAGATTGTTATCAGGATACCATGTGCGCCCTAGAGACAGTGCGCAGTTCGTGAAGCTGTTCGCAGATGCTCAGTTCTACAGCTGTACGTCTTGGTCATTCAACTCGATATAAGCCAGTCCATGAACTAACGCCAACCTTTAGTACCCCGGTTAAACTCTCAACTATTCGAATCAGAGATCAGCATCCAGATTGGCGACCGCGATTTCCAAATACCCCGTGACATTTTCTCAGGACCAGGCGACTCTCCAAACTTCTTCACCCTCGGCTTCGGTGCCTTCTTCGCTACTCCCACGCAGACCTTCCCCGGCCTGGAGCGCATCGGCCTCCTACGTCCCCCGGCCATCGTTCCTCCCAGCATCCCCAACCGATCGGGCGAGGTTTTCGCCGACATCCTCCACCTCCTGCGCGGCTATCCCCTACACATCCGCAACAACACCCACCGCGCCGAGCTTCTGCGCGACTGCCGCTACTTCCATCTTCGCGGCCTCGAGCAGAAGCTCATCCCCCATGACATCAGTTTCAACCCCATCCGGCAGCGCTCCGAGATCATCATACGGCTAGAAGACGTGCGACGCTCCGGCGTCCACTTCGCCCCGGATAGCCCCGCCGCTCCCCAATCCTCTCCGGGATGGGTCACCTACTCCCGCCCCTTCATCGACGAACAGCCTTTGGACCTGATCGTGGAAATTGGCGACGAATGCACTCTTGTCGACCTCGCCCGCATGCGCGTGCAATTCCTGCACCTCACCAAAACCCGTATCGCCGCCCTTTTACAAGTCATCACCAATAAAATCACCTCCACGCAGGCCGCTACGGCTACAAATACAAACACCCCAACAGCATCCGTCTCCCCTGCTAGCAGTTCTCCCACCCCTGAAACCTCTGCCATCCGCATCGAGCGCGACGCCGACCTCACCGTCGACGGCCAGTTCATGTCCCACGCCGATATCTTCGGCAGTCCTGATCCCGCCGCGGCCGAGTCCACGGATGTGCAGAACCCTCCCGTGAAGCGCCGCCGGGTCGACGGGTCGTCGGTGGGCACGTCGGGAAAATGGATCGTTAGGACGGGGCAATGGCGGTTGCGCGCGCAGCCATCTGCCGTTGTTCCTGGGGAGGTCGAGATCGTGTTGGTGGCGGTGAAGTTGGATGTTTATAGTGAGGCGAGGATGCGGAATCGGGAGAGGAGGTTTTTGGGGTCGTGACTTTTCCGGTCTATATGTAGGTACGTAGGGAGGTGGGTTGATATATAATGAGACCAATGATTATAGGTGTTAATGTGCCGAACGTGCAAGCTGTGGTGGTTTGTGCTAGTTCGAACATCTCTTTCATGCTTCTGGCAACCATTTAATTTAATATCTACTAAGAAGTACGTTTATTAAAGAGCTTTACACTTCTTTCATCCTTTCTGATCACTGTAGTAGTCCTTCAACACCTACAATTTACCCAACGATCAACTGCTGGAATTGTGTTCCGTGCTGAGACAAGAGTAATGCATAGGTATGTTTAGTTAAATATTCGCCGATGGATCGAAGTATTGACGATAAACCGAATATATTTGCGTCACATCCAATAGTAAAGTACAGACCAGCCAAGCCGCCCAGCTTCCCCGGGATGCGACAATGGGCTGATGTCTGACATCCGATCGCCTACGTCATACAAGCCGACAGTACCTATACTTATACAGCCTAACGTCAACGATTCAGCCAGCGCAGCATTTATTCCACCCTCATCCCTATCTCCCTCTCTACCCGAATATCTACACTCCCCTCATCTCAGGCAAACAAACCACCCAACATGAAACTCGCCGTCTTCAGCGCCAAATCCTACGACAAACAATACCTCACCTCCACCCTCCAAACCCACCACCCCTCCCTCTGCGACATAACCTACCACTCCTTCGCGCTGTCGAGCGAAACCGCCTCTCTCGCCTACGGCAGCACCGCCGTCTGCGTCTTCGTCAACGACATCCTCACGGCCCCGGTCCTCCAAAACCTCCACGCGCACGGCACCCGCGCCATCCTTCTTCGCTGCGCAGGGTACAACAACGTCGACCTGCAAGCTGCCGAAGAGCTCGGCCTCTTTGTCGCGAACGTCCCCTCGTACTCCCCCGAAGCGGTGGCTGAGTTCGCCGTCGCGCTGATCCAGACCCTGAATCGGAAGACGCACCGAGCGTACAACCGCGTCCGGGAGGGGAATTTCAATCTGGAGGGATTTCTGGGTCATACGCTGCATGGACAGACGGTCGGGGTGGTGGGCGTGGGTCGGATCGGGATGTCGTTGGCGCGGATTTTCAATGGGTTCGGATGTCGACTGTTGGCGTATGATCCGTTCGGGGGGGAGGAGTTCAAACAATATGGGACGTTCGTGGAGCTGGAGGAGTTGCTGCGTGAGAGCGATATCGTCAGCTTACATTGTCCGTTGACGGAGAGTACGCGACATGTGCTTGGGGAAGAGAATTTGGCGAAGATGAAGAAGGGCGCGTTATTGGTGAATACGTCGCGTGGAGGGCTGATTGATACGAAAGCGGCGATTGGGGCGCTGAAGAGAGGTCAGTTGGGTGGGCTGGCGTTGGATGTGTATGAGGAGGAAGGGGGCCTGTTTTATAACGATCACTCCGGGGAGATCATCCATGATGATACGTTGATGCGGTTGATGACGTTCCCGAATGTGTTGGTGTGTGGGCATCAGGCCTTCTTTACGGAGGAGGCTCTGGGGGAGATTGCGGGCGTGACGCTGGCGAATTTGTTGGATTTCGAGGAGAAGAGGACGTGTCGGAATTCGTTGGTGAGGGAGGGTCATTTGTTGGTATCCAGGGATGAGGAGCCGGTACGGTTGTAGGATGGGATGAATGGTTCTGAGGTCTACGGGGTATGCTATGGTCTCTAGTTTGATATGCAAATCAATATGATCAATTTACGAGTTGAGATTGAATAGGGAATCGTAGAGGGTTATGGCTACAAGATACAGGTCTCATTATCGAGCATTATCTGGGGTTACTGGACATACTTTAACTTTGGAGATTTAAAGCACAAGGCGACTTCTACGATATTCTCAATGATAAACTTATTATTAAATGACAGTTAATCAACTATTTCGATCCTAGAGTCGGTCTTGTTTCGGATCGTTTGCTCAATTTATTACGTTATATTTTATCCTGATCTTATTATCTCTTCTAATTCGACCCCCGACGAGCTGTACCCCTAGACTCTTCTAGAGCTAATCTTCTTTCTCTTCCGACCTAATGTCAAAGTCAACTGTCTGCCATCTCGATTCCTAAAAACTCCGTCTCGGAGCTCAGTAGTATACAGCTCATATGAAGGATAGTCTGCCAATCAGTCAGTGGGTACACCATTTCGCAGGGCTTTGTTTCTTACACATGTCCACAAACTGGTTGACTTGTCCTGGAGTCAGTCCACGGCCATGAGAGCACCAGAGCTTTTCTTCTTGTTCCTGCCTCCAATCATACACAAAGCGTGTATTTTCTACATCTCTGCAGGCAGTTCAACATTGGACCAAACCAAATCTGGGCGGCGGAGTCAGCAGAACATACAGTTGAACAAACGCGTCGAGGTAGCTACTCCCAATATAAGTCAGTCAAGCTTTCCTTTCGCATAGACTGGAAGGATTGCTTACGCAGTGATCTGATTATACGCTTTCAGGGCATTGTTGGCAAATTCCACATGCTCAAAGCTGCATTCTCCGAGTACTCCACTATATTCCCCACTGGATTTCTGACGCACTGCGTCCTGCCATGTTCGTTCTTGGGATTTGACCGTCGAAGCCCCGTATGGTCGTCGTGCGTAAGGTAGAAATCATCGATCGAGAAGACAATAACGCCGAGACCATATGGTGGAGACGACAATCTTTGTTTCAGTGACGATACCTGGTCTACAGTTGAGTGCTCGAACACGTAGGGCCAACATCCCATGGTGGAAATTCCTTGTGGGTGGTACAATGAAGATATGATGCCCCTTCAGTACCTGCCGCATCTACCAAACAGCATGGGATTCGTTTCGACCCGTGTTGTAGAGCAGATGTGGCAGGATAAGTTCCTGTGGCTATTGGAGCACCATGAGGGTAACGAGGCTGCTGATTTCGTTTTCCCAATCCTTGTGCATCCTGATACCAGTGGCCTGGCGCACAATACTGGAATGATCGATCGATTTATTAACTGGTTGCAGAGGTTTGGCGATGATGTTCAGTTCTGTACTTACGAGCAGGTTGCGGCTGCTTGCCTTTCCGTGGAGAAGGCCAAGGCTGGCCAGGTCTAGAGGGGGGTTTGAGATATTTTTCCTAGCATTAAGAGTAGTGATGCTCATATTGATTGATGACTGGACTTTTCGTGTGTTTTTGGAGATTATTGCCTAAGACCTAAGTTGAGAAAAGTGAAATATATGCATTATTGAACGATCCAGGTATCTTTAGCTTACCTTCCATAGGGACCAGCATACGATATTTACACTATTCATCATGGGCTGAGTATTCTTGTGAGTGCATTTGTGCTTTGTCTTGAAACTGGACTAGTGAGTGCCAATCGGTCCTGAGACTTGGAATTCGATTGTTCTGGAATAAACCCCCAACATTGCAGCGGAAAGTAAAGGTAGACATATCACTGCGTACGATGACGCACCGCATCGCCAAAAAATCTAGAACTACTCAAATCCACCACCAACTCTCCGCAGTATGTAATAATCCATTGACGTGCTCGGCGAGAGGCCGAAATTGGCCGCTACCTAATGCCGATGCGGAGAACGTTTAATTATTTCCCCGATGCCCGATCGCAAATACACACTTCGGGCACCCCATACTTAGGCAATACTACCTAGGAAACCCTCCTCGGAGCTAGACCCGTAAGCTCTATATGGATTTATCAGGGCGAGAATCTTTATCACCTAAACGCACTCCCCGACAAGCATGAAGAGCCTAACGAGATTATCACACCCTGTGACAAAGTTACCCAGAAAGCGTTTCCATTCAGCCTCCAAGATGACCACGCAAGTCACTCAAAGCGGTAATCACTATAGTCTTGCTGCCACGGGAGACAAACCTAACCAAATGGCGCCTACACGCGTGAACGGGACGCGTTTGATGAATTCGATCCACGATACTTGCGACTTTGGCAAGGCCCACCCGTACGGAACGTAAGGCCGCATTAAATGAGGAATGATGATGAATCCTGCACTAGTTCACGATAGACATCACACTGAGACCGGAATGGCACGGCTGGTTCTGAACGATGACGACAAGAAAGTCCGGGAATGGCTGGCCGAGCAAGTCAAGGCCGTGGGCTTCTCCATTACCGTGGACGAGATGGGAAACATGTTTTCTGTTCGTCCGGGCAAGAATAAAACGGCACCCCCGGTCATGATGGGCTCTCATCTAGACACTCAGCCAACAGGGGGTCGGTACGACGGGATTCTCGGAGTGCTTGCTGGACTGGAGGCTTTGCGGACTATTCATGAAGGTGGATCTGAAACGGAAGGACCCATTGGGCTCGTCAATTGGACAAAATAGGGTTGTTCGATTCTTGTTTCCGTCACGGTCAGATTGATAACAGTTTTGCTTCTTTGCTGCAGTGAGGAGGTCGCGCGGTTCCCGATTGTCACGGTCTCATCTGGGGTATGGGCCGGTACGATCCCGCTTGGAAAGGCATGGAACTGTCGCGAAGTGACCTCGAAGGAGGTAAGAACAATGAAGCAAGAGCTGGAACGCATCGGATTCCTCGGTCAGGTCCTCGCCTCTTATACGGCTCAGCCCATCGCTGCGCACTTTGAGCTTCACATTGAGCAGGGGCCTATCCTTGAAAACGAGAAGCAAAAGATTGGTGTCGTGACTGGCGGCCAGGCATACAACTTGTACGAATTGGTTGTTCGAGGTCGGGATAGTCACTCCGCTACCACACCATATTTCTCGCGGAAAGATGCTCTGCTAGCTGCGGCCAAAATGGTTGCTGTTTCCAATAAGGTTGCTAAGGACGCCGCGGGGCTGATCACTACTGGAATCTTTGATTTCGCACCCGGTAGTATCAACACTATGACACACACGGTAAAATTCACATAGGATGTCCGTCATCCTCAATACGAGATGGTAACCCACATAGTTGACAAGTGCCGCCAGTTGTTTGATAGCATTGCAAAGGAGGAAAGTGAGCTCGGGGTGGAAGTTTCGTGGACCACACTGACGGAGAATGCCGCCGTCGTGTTCCACCCTGACTGCGTTGCTGCTGTTGAGCAGTCCTCTGAGGAGTTAACAGCCAGTGGCGATGCCTCTTCAAAACACACCAAGTTATGGGGACAAATGCTGAGTGGCGCGGGACATGATAGCTGCAATACTAACAAGCGATGTCCATCAGCCATGATTTTCACACCCACGCGAAATGGAATGAGCCACACTCCAAATGAGTATTGTAGCCCCGAGGATTGCACTCTTGGGGCGGAGGTTTTGATGGGGGCTGCATTGAAATACGATGCTCTGCGAGCCCAACGGGGGGTGTTCGATTAGATTTGCTCCTTGTATCTCCATCGCGTTATAGTTCATGCAAGGCGTTTTATCAATGATCTCTACAAGAAATAAACGGAACATCCTATCAGGAATTGGATTATGCACTATCAGTCTCGTTTACAGACATTATCAATGTATAGATAGCAGGTTATAGTTTGACATTTTAGATTCCACTTTTACCTTATCACTTTGATTTGACCAGTTGCCCAAGTGGATCCAGAATGAATCATGACTGATTAAAGGTTTATCGCATACGAATCCTACATGAGCAAGGGTGGGAGTCTCGAAGTGAGCTTTCGAGAGTTGTGACGGGCAACTCGTTTTTTCCCTTGCCCTATGAATGCTCACCATCCGTCGCCCGATCATTTTCGGCGTCTGGGGAAGCATAGCTCTCCACGCTCATCAATCCCAACTCACGCTTCTATTTCCATACCAAGACCACAAATGCGACCAAGGTGGGCGTGTTGGCCGATTGGTCATTTGATAATATGTGTTGCAGTATTCAAATACAACAAAGACATATATCTAGGCTTTTTGCTTTCTTCCCGATGCTGTTCCAAGTAACTACCGCAAAACAGAAGCCAAAGCATTCCAACACACTATGCCTTCTTTCACGTCCGATTCCGACACTAAAGGATAGTTCCGTTGTTCTGACAGGTAAGTGTCCAGCTTTCCCGGGGATTTGCGTTCATTCAAATCAGGAGATTCGCTAACTTCTTCAAGGCGGAGCTCAGGGGGTAGGTGCATCAACGGTTAAAACACTGTACCGAGTCGGCGCACATATCACCTTCGGCGATATCAATGAAGCCGCATGCCAATCTCTAATTAACAACGATTTCTGAAGACCAATGGGCCGTGGCTCCCTTGACGAACGTTGACTTCGTCATTGACAACATATTCTGCCCCAGTGAAGAGACAAATCGACGAGAGCGATCCGACCAAGAACCGTGCGTGTTCTGTCACAATGGGTATGACTTCAAATTTCTCGCAAATCTAACCGTTATTGCCGAAAACGTTTATCGGACTTTCTATACACTAAAAGCCACTCAGACCATTGGATCCGACTTCAATGCATCTCTGCAGGCTGCGGAGCCTCTCATCCAGAGACTGGAACAGTGGCACGACAGCCTTCCTCTACACCTTCGCACTGATGAACCCCGACAAACGGGCACGCTACAAAGCTCCTTCCACTCGACCTCGGGGGCTCACCTTCGGCTTGCCTCCCTGACTCTGGGAATACTGCTGTACCGCGCTGTGTTCCGACCACTTTCCATGCCCAGTCCAGGAACCCCTACGTCACAAGATATAGGATCTATGACCCGGTTCAATCGACTGAACGACAGTCGTGCTACCGGATTAAAACTCGCCACCACGGCCTGGATCAACCGTGTGCTGTCTTATTGTGAAGGCCTCACAGCGCGTGATCAAAACAGCTTGTGGTTCTCCTGTACGTTGATATGTTTCTTTTTCAAAACCTCATGCCGCTAAAACCCAACAGGGTCCCACATATGCTTCGCGACAATAACCAATTTTATCATATTTCGACTCCTTCACTCGAGGCACATGATGCCTTTGACGCGTCGCTGGGCCGAGATCCTTCGTGACCAGTCCGTGTCGTTTTCGCAGACGCGATTCGGCCTCCTACGTCTCGACACGATGTTCATCTCAGGTTTCGAAAACGTCTTCCACTGCGGAAAGTTTTTGACAGATGTTTTGCATGAAAATGTCAAGAACGCAGGACCCCAACCGACATGATGATAGGGCAAGCCGGAAAGGGCCTAATATAGGTTTCTTCCGGCTGTTCGAATGGCGCAATGGAAATGCGGAGTGATGAGCTGCATCTAATGTACAATCGAATGGAAGGCTACGGTGAATTTAAAAAAGTTCTCGCCCGAGAATTGAACAGGATGCAGCCCTGGCGCGGGGTGATTACTGGCAGATGCACCTGAAGGGTAAGTTACCTAGAGAATTTAGTACAGGGGGAAACCTCCCGTCAAGGGAGGGTCGGGTCGGGTAACACCTCTCAATCGTTATATCAGTGAACGACGAGCTGATGGAGTAATTCGATAATTTCGACATTGGTCGGACTGCTGTGGGAAATAACAGCTGTTCACGTAGAGTGAGATGTTTTATTAAAGCAAGAAACTGAGCCTGGGTATGACATTTAAATATATTGCGGATGATCACCTTCCCGGACCTTGTATACTTTTGGTGGAGTTAGAAAGAAAAAGAAGATTATCAGTTACTAACCAGATACCCAGCGAGAAGTATCTGGGCGAGAAACTGGTTGGTGAGCTGTTACTATGTATAACAGCCACTAAATAGGGACAGAAACATATAAACAAATATACCATCAACAAATACCACTAAACATCAATCTCCAGTCCAACCAGCCACCAAAACACCATCATGACTTCTCACCGAAACACCAAAACACCCATCCAGAAAAAGAAAAGAAAAAACTCGCCACTATCCCAGCAACGCAAGCGCCCAACCGCCCCATCGTTCCTCACTTCTCCTCTACCTCACATTCACAAAGTACCGATAGTTAAATCCCACGCATGACATGACCCTGGATCTGGCCCAGACCCTGCTGCATCAAGAACCCCCATCTAGCCACCAACTTCCCTCTCAGCAAGAACCAACCAACCAACCAGTCGCTACCTACAGCAATCGACCTGTAACTGTTTGCTACCTGTCACATTGAAATGCACATGCAGAGCCAAGTAAAGCTAGTTACATCAACATGACACAGTAATGTATGTGGCGACAAATCGGAGCGAGGCCGCAGATAGTTTGCTGAATATGATCAATGATCCATACCGGGTAGGCAGGTAGATATCACCTGCAGATACGGTTGTTTGAGGATCTGCGAACAGAAGTACGAAATGATACAAGTATGACATGACATGACAACGCTGCGGGTTGTGGATACGACATACATGCGGTGTATTTGTTTATGCAGGTGCTCAGGGGCTTACGGTTGTTTGTTGTTACTGGTTGGTTGCTTAAAATAACTAAGGTATAGGATGTTGTGAATATGATATGGCCTGGGTGTATGCACTTCTAGGGTGCAGGATTACTGAGGTTCCTTGATTTAGGGCTGAGCTGAAGAAAGGAGGTTGGTTAGAGGAATTGCAGAATTAGATAGATCGTTGGATGTTATGTGTCCTGTGAAGAAGTATGCGTTTCTATTTACTATCATCTGTCTCTGCTGTAGCCTATGTAAATATTGCAGGCGCTTGGCTTATCACATGCATACTGTGCAAGTAAATATCCATGGACCTATCTGTATGTAGTGGACATTCAGAAAACCCTCCGACGGAAGCACATCCGACAACCTGCAACCGAAGAGAAACTTCCCTCCGCGCAGAAACCGAAAAGGAGATGAAATGTCCCGAATATTCGATTCCCCGAGGAGAAACCGCGAGGCCACCTCGTCTGATCTCGGGAGCCAAAGACACGGGGGCAGGCCGCAAACCCAGCAGAGTAAAGCATCGTGTGCACCACCCCAAACAAACAACGATCAGCAGTCACCGAGCCGAGCTGCCGGCGCTGCCGACTTACTGTCAATTAATTATTGAGGATCGGGAAGTCAAGCTGCCCTCTCTCTCTAGCCTCTAAATGTAGTGTGTACTCCGTAAGGTGGTCTCCTCCCGAACATCAGTGGAGCCGCAGAAACAGACAAGCAGATGAGCAGAAATGCCAAAGAACAAACAAAAACAACCCCTCCACAAACAATCTCCCCAAACGATAATAATAACCACCCTGTCCACTGTCGCCAGCCACTCAGATTTCCCACCAGTCCCACCGCCACCTGACAAGCCATCAAGTGGGTGGCTGCAGGTGGTGAGCCATGGTTTGAAACGGTGGCCCCGTCAAATAGTCTATTTACCCGGGACTCGTCGGCTAGGGAAAGTCGGCTGAGATTGGGTAAGTTGGGATTGCATTGGCCACTGGGGGATTTGGAGATGGGCAATGGAGAACGCTGACCGACAGACACGGCAGAGAACAACACCCAAATTAATGAGAAGGGACTAAAACTAAACCCTACCAGAACGATGCTACATCCCTGCCGCAGGGACTACGGATTAAGGCGTCGCTTGAAACTCGGTACGGGTTCTCATTCCCCAATCCTTTCCTCTAGTGTGGTCTGTAGGTGAACCTCCGCTTCCCGTTCCCAATAATTTGCCTTTCGGGCAGGCTTCGTGGCCTCTTCTGCGGGATTTCTCGTTTGGGATGGATCTACGATGCTCTCGCCGTTGGGTTGGGTGACTTGGGTCGGCGTCTACGGAGTATGGGAGTAAAAAGGGGTTGTGAACCATGGTTGAGCATAGGGATTATTGTTTGTCTCGTGACTGGTTGGTTTGGGATTTTCTTTTGATTTGCTTTTCGGCCTAACTTCTAGACTAGCATCTACAACTAGTGTCTTGGGTGTACTGTACACACCCCGTAGGCCCAGAGATGGGAAATGTTATCGTGATAATTTCGAGTGTTATCGATTATCGATAATAGACAGGCCGTTACTCGATACTATCGAGTATCGACTATCAGCTGCATACAGTCTGTATGTGATATGCGTTATCACCTTGTAGTATATCATAGCTTGAATTAATTATAGCGATTTAGCTAGAAACTGGAATATATCTCGACAGTACTTTCCCATCCAAACACCAAATCAAGGAATCGCTCTGCCTATCCCGTATCTTCTCAACTCAAGTGAAGTAGTACATACATCGTATTCCGTGAAACCCCCGATCGATAGTACATACTATTATTGCCGAGCCATCAGTCCGGCCAGGTCCCAACCTATGCTGTACACCCATCGGCTCGTATCCCGGGCGTCAATCAGACGCAGGACCAGATGTGTGATGATATCAAGACTACGCAGTACGACCACGTATTCGCTCCGAGGGAGTAGATTAGACTCACACTTTGTAGTTAGTGTTTACATTGCACTCCAACTGGCGAAGTCAATTCAACCCAGAACAATCCAACTCAAAATCCTAATCCTAATTTTAGTTTTCATCTTTATCTCGTTCTGCTCTGCTCTGCTGGCTGGATGCATTCGATCGGTCCTGATTCTTCCGTCCGCCCGGCCGTCGGATCCGACCCACCCTGTTGCTCAGCAGTGGAATGATTAATGTGGCTGTAATCCATTGGATCTGCAGAACTCTAGGGGGTGTCGTGAGACCGGGAGAAGTTGGGATTGAAAATCCATAGGAGATCTCCCAGCTAGGATCTGAATCTGATACCGTCGCAGAAGCGAGAACGTAACACGGAGTAAATACTAGCTTCTACCTACGGCGTAGTAACTGCTACTACTGGTAGGCCAAACGCAAGTACATAGAAACGCAGGGGCCGGGCTGCAGTCCCCGTAGCTGGAACGAATTGCATGCGATCGGGGTTTGATTTTCCGTTTGTTAATAAGATTACGGATACCCCGAATTGATTCACCACGGACAACAGCCGAGATGGGACAGAAGCGACATGTACTGCTAACTTAGCGACAGTAGCGTCTTCTCATCGTCGTTGGAATTGAGATAACTCATGTAAATACTACTGTAAATAAAAGCTGAAAACGTAAATGAAATTGAAACTAACTCAATCCCCTGGTGCGTAGTTTAAATTGGTGCGGCGCTAGACAAGACGCAGAAACAGATCCTGAGATCCTGGTCGCTATCAGTGTAACCTTGCTCCATAGTCCATCCCCGAGAACATGATTGCTTATCAAGATTCGCCCTGCCGCGCTGGTCTGGACCCGGCGTGGTGGCCGAGGATTTCATGTACGCCGTCGGTAGGTCCTACGGAGTACATACTACTAGCTACTGTAGACTACTAGGTAAGGACCGCGGATATGTCTTACACGACGACCAACCGCGGGCCCAGGAGATCAATTAGACTATTTTTCGCTGGAAGCTTCGCGGATGGAGATGATGATGAGTAGTACATGGCGAGCGCTGATTTGTCTGTTAGGTTGCTGAGGACACGGTAAGGAAGGTTTGGAAAGTCGGTGGTTGGTGGCTTTTTTTTTAGTAGATTGTGGAGCAGCCTGCCAAAGGGAAATTAAATTAACGTTGGCAATTGGCATTCGGTTGAGTAATGGCAAACAATGGGATTGAAGCGCTTCGGCGTATAGGGCTCCGCGGCTGAATGTTTAAGATTAATGTTGATGTAGCCGTTAGTCAGTCTCTACGAGTATACTGAATACTCCGTTAGAGAGACAGTGACTCCGTAGGGTGAATGCAAGACAACGGAGCGCGGAGACGGAGTGGAGGGCAATTTCCAACCGTCCATCACTACTAAATAATCCCCAATCCACCGGCGACCCATTTCAGGCACGCGCCTTCCACTTCGCAACGGCCGAGGTGCGACGCCGGAAGTGCTAGCTCCATCCAGTCTAGCTGGGTCTGAGGCGGCAACATCGCGAGGAATCCGTTACCTAACTCTAGGTTAACTATCGCTAGGCATTTGCCCGAATTAAAGAAATGCTCGGGCTCTGTCCGTGCAGGGGGGATGGGGCACTGGCCAATGGGAACGTGAGCAATGCATATCGGCCAATCACCGTGCTGCGATAAAGAGATGAAGAGGCCGCCAATCCGGAGGCGAGTTCCAGCAGACCCGCCGGTTCAAGAAGGGAATCTAACCGAGTTGGGGTAGGTTCAGTTGGTTAATGTTTCCACCGCCTGACTGAGGCGAACCCAGTTGATCTCCTGGTCCGTGTCTCTTCTTGCAAGGGATGGACGATGTAGAAGTCGGCGACAGAAGGAGGGAGGGAACTCGATACATTGGGCATTCCGTCATCCCAAATAAATGGCCGGGGACCTGAGCAATGCATGTCAGAAAAGAACCATGCGCACATCCTGCCGTACACCCAGATTCCCTACAGATTTATTGACTATTATTCAATAAACGCAGAGGCACTGCGTCGAGGACTGCATGTATGGAAATGATGAAGCCAAATGCCGAGGATCTCGTGAACTCTTCCTGACGGAGTAAGCAGCCATCGCGGTCAGTTCAGTTGGGACTTGGGACCCGTGGATCCCCCCGGTGGGCCTCCCCGACTGTAACCCCGTTGCCAATCAGAATGGCCCTAATGGCGATTCTCAGGGTGAGCGCGAGAGGCGTCGGTCGCAGTCCGTCCCTACCTCTGCTGCCTCTGCCACTCTCAGGTCGCGTCGTCGCAGAGTATCTCCTCCGTCCGGAGTACGAACTAGTAGCGCGGTGGAGTGTTGGAGATGACCGATGGGACTTCATCCGCAGTGCACACACCGCACGGTGGAGAGATAGTCAGGAGGTGGGGAGGTTCGCCTGAAGAGGAAACGAATCATGCTCCGGATAGAGATGCCAGAGTAATCATTACTACATAGTACATACGGAGTAGTACATACATCCCTGGCCAGGATGTCGCGTCGCGGAGGGCCGGGGGAGCGGGAAAAAAGGAAGAACCGATCAATCAATCGATCAATCAAGCAAGAGTGTATAGTCCGTAGGAATTCCCAAGGGATACGATATGATGTGTGAATGAGACCTCGGGACGTAGAAAACAAAAAGCGGTCAAGGACGGCAGGGATGGGCGATGGTTGTGTTGTCATCATGACTGACAGTTTGGAGAAAGGGGGATCCTGGAGATGGTTGCATCGCCAATGATAATCCGGGAGGCGAGGACGAAGGAGTAAAGTGCGACGGTAAGCTCGAATCCGTGCGTCGCCGTTTCTCGTTAGCCGACCCCTCTTGTTTTTGGCGATTTAACTGTTATGGCATTCTTGAGTCATAGTCTGGAAGGACTATCGTTGTCTGACCTGGAGTTATTGTCATGGCTGATTGAGTCGATGATTGACTGCCATTCTTTCCTGTCTCTCTCTCCCTCTACTCCAGCCATGATGTATCCATTTCTCCGCGGGCACCGGCCTAGTCCAAGAGCGGCGGGCAGAGACAAAGAAACGAGGGCCAAATCCCTGGGTGGAGTGCGACCGGCCCCGGCAACCAGTCAGCGCCCATCCCTTTCCGCCTCGGCAAAATGCCGCCCCCAATCTGGTCAAGCGTTCATTTCTGGAATTCATCCGAGACTTTTTCTTTTCTTTTCTTTTCTTTTCTCTCCTTCCCTTCGTCCTTTTTTTTTGCGTGTGCTAGACGACACGCGCATCCTTCCGGGATAAACTCGGAGAAGGGGGTTAGAACGTGTAGGGAGGAAACTACGGAGTAAGGTAATTCTACATAGGTAGTATGTACAGACGGGAGGGACGGGATTGTCGGCACGACGACGGAGACCGGTCGTAGATAGATGAAGGGTACGGAGTACACCTACAGTACTCAAATTAAATTGAATGGAGATAAAAAAAAAATAAGACGGAGAGAATGCAGCAGAGTGAGCAACATCGTTCCCAGCGCAGAGCCAATCCGGCACCTCCGATCTGCTCTCCAACGGCCCCACTGGCACTGTTTCTTCGGGACTTTCTAGCCTCAACCTAGTTGCGCTCCCTCTGCAAATGAATTTAATATTAATGTTAATATTTAATAGTGATTATTATTATTATGGCGTCGACTCCACTGGCGCATGGCAAAATCCCATTCCATCCCGCCGTTTCGCCATCCTATTCGAGTCCTTCCTACTTAACTTAGCCCGCTTCTCCCCGCTATTCATCCTTACTCCTCCCCTTCCACCTGCCACTGGACAACGGGGCGAATTCTCCTCCAAGCGACCCAGATCCGATCTGCTATCTATCTTACTTTATCATCTCGTCGTCACCACTTTTCCACTCCCCCCTGCCCGTTGCCACTGCCGCTCCAGCGATGCTTAACGGGTTACCGCCTTTCCATTCACCTCGCCTCAGCTACCATTATTAAATCTACTACCCCGACGTGCTACCTACTCCATACTCACTACTACATCATTCACTGCTTTCGGACTATCGCCACCACCTGGGAACTTCTTATCCTTCTCTTCTTCTCTCAACCTTGACCACCTCTCTACCATCTCTTCTTCTTCTGTCTCTCCCCTCCAAGATCCGTCATCATGGCTACTCACGTCGTCACCGCAACCACCACCTCCCCCGTCACATCCGCCCACCAAATCTCCATCTACGGCCATCCTTCGCCCGTCAACTCGGCCACCACTACCGCTAATAACTCTCCTACCTCGCCTCGTCAGCAATATCTTCCCCTTCACACTCGCCAGCTGCGCCCGCCCAAAGCTCCCCTCTATGTGCCGGCTGCGCTGCGTCCGACTGAGCGTCCCTCGAAGCCGTCTCCTCCAACTCCCCCTCGCAGCGTCCACGGTTCCCTGGACAGCCTGAGCGAGACTGAGGTGCATCAGCCCATCAGCCGTCGTTCCACTATCGAGAGCGATGGTAGCGGAAGCATCAGCAAGATGGCTGAGGATGAGTGGATGAAGAAGGAACACCTCGGCGAGGTTACCGGCATGCCGACTCGCGACCACTGGAAAGTAAGTTTGATTCCCCCCCGTTCCTGTTGGTGTGAGATAAGGGGAATCGATTCCAATGCGGGGGATGCCGATGGATTTATATCACCCAATGACGTGAGTGTCACTGGTCGCTCGCGAATTATTGCGTGATCTTCGCAGCGCGTCATCGGCGTGGCCTGGCATTGGATCGTTTCCCCTTCTCTCGCTCTGTTGCTTCATTCCACCGCACATGATGCTAACGGTCCTCTCCCACAGGCGGACTCTGCGTCTCCCAACTGCGACTCCCCTACCTGCCGGTCTTCTTTCGGCCTCTTCTTGCGCCGTCATCACTGCCGCCACTGTGGCCACGTCTTCTGCTCCTCTCACACCCCTCACAACGTCCCTCTCGACCAGGATGCTCGCTTCCATCCTGAGGGCGTCCAGTCGCGTGCTTGCGACCTCTGCCACGTTGCCTACCAGCGCTGGGAGGAGTCTCGTTCGGAGCGCTTGACCAAGATCCAGAGCCAGATCGATATCCAGAACGAGCCCATTCAGACTCCTGTTGAAGAGACCCCGGCTGAGCCCGTTGACCCTTTGCAGGATGAGGACTCCAAGAAAGCTCTCGCTGCTGCGCTGAGCCAAACCGGTGACATTGCGGCCAGCATTCCTCGCGGCTGGAACTGGAGCACCTTCTAAATGACCTGAGGGGCCTTTATCATGATGACTTTACGACCATACGTCTTTCCTATCTTTTGCTGTCAGCTTCGTCTGGCCTCGCTTGGATTGCAAGCCTTTTGCGACATAATGCTCTAGAACATGCCTCTTTCTTGTCCTTGATCTGTACTATTTAGGCGATTCTCCAGTTTCGGTCATTTGTTGGGAGTTTCGGTCTACTTGCTCTTTGCTGCAAGTCTTATGGTTTACGGTTTACACTTACAACGGAGGACTGAGATTCCTTCATAATGCCGCGATTCGAACTCTACGACGCGCGGGGGCTTTTTGCTGTTTTAATTTTTCTTCTTTTCCTTGATACCTAGGATACCCCGTCAATTGTTGTTTCTTTCGAGCGGCGATCGTGTGTTTTTTCAACCTTTTTTATTTAAATTTTTTTTTGCTTTTCTATGGCGCAATAGGATGATTCACCTGGGAATAGAAGGTGTTGGTTTATCAGAACGTGAATTTAATTTTTGCTCTTGCTATCATCTTTTCCATGTAGACATTCGTAAATTTCGATTACTACCTGCACAACTATTGATTTGACCGTTTCTAGTCTCTCCAGCCTATCACCTAACCCACCCACCCTGATCTGATCGCCCGTAGCTAGCTTCCTGCGGCTCGTACGTCACATACATACACCCCTTTCCAGCAACATGCAACATGGATGCTCCCTGCCTTGCCTTACCAACCTACCTTACCTACTACCCAGGTACCTCGAGGTACCTCCTAGCTCGGAGAATACGGCAGGATCGGGATCGCATAAAGCGCGTGAGGCGGCATGGGCATCATGGATGAAGCCCATCCATCCATGTGACTCGGTACGGACGCGCCGGAAATTTATCGACTTACTTACATATGAGATGTCGCCTTGATCCTGGTCCTCTAGTCGGAAGGAGTATACCATGAACTAACTTAGGTGGGCAAATTGGGCTGGGGGTGCGTGCGCGCGGGCGTCTTGTGGAGGTGTCAGTGTCGGTGACGGTGTCCGAGCCTCCCCGGGTGTGTCTTATCCAGGACTCGATGGGTAGGTTTCCGAGGGGTCTAGATTACCTAGGGGTTTGGGTTGGCTTTGTATGTCGCTATACATATACATATACACATACCTGCCTAGTACACCAGGAGCTTCTTTCAATCACTCTACTCTGGGGGATTTAGGGAGCGGCGTATATAGGGGGGCGTACAGTACCTAGTGTTAGTATTGTTAGTATAGTATGTAGACTTAGTCGGGTAGTTCTCGCTTACAGACGGGTTTATTCCGTGACGAAGCCTTGTCCATGTCGGTGAGCGTGCGGGGGGAAAGAGGGGTACCATGCAAATACCACTACACAGCGTGGATAAGCAGGTAGTCCTCCGTCGCGGCATGCCGACGAGGGGCAGCCATGGAGGGGCTGTGTTGTGTCGCGCTGCGTTGGATTCCATCATGTGGTCTGTTCATTCAAGGTCTAACTAACTCCACCTACACCGTCTGGACAGACTTCGGAACAAGGATGTGTTGTTCGCGAAGATCAAGACAGGCAGGGTTCCGAGAACATGTCAGGCTGAGCACGTGGGATACTGGGTAGTCGACCATCTTTTATTCCCAGGCAACGGCGCTTAAACTCTGGGTTCAGGGCTGGTTGTTCTGCATATGACATGGGAGGTGCTTCTCGTGTTGTGCAGCAGATGAAGTGTAGACGCGGGCAATGCGGAGATATGTAGTGTGCAATGTACTCCGGAAAGTGTACCCTAATCACCTCCCGCTGGGGCATATTCATGTGAATCTTGGAGATCCGCACATGTCAGTTCTGGGCTGGCCTGGAACACTCCCGACTTGAGGGAGGTGTATGAGAGGGTTATCTGTCTTATCGCCTCTTATCGATAACACCGATAACGAAGACAAACAAGGCAAACATAATTTTTTCCGCCGGCGGAAAATGTCAAGCATCGCCAATTCTTGTCTTCAGCTCTACTCGCACATGCTCCAGCCATGTCGCTCTACTACGACGCCGTCTCGGTCTTGACGGCTCCCGCATCGACCGGCGGCTCGTTCAAATCCCGCATCTACAATTCTCGGTCCCTCAAGGCCTCGCCGGCGCAGCTGTACGCTTTGATCATCGAGGCGTCGAAATGGGACATCCTGCTGAAGGAAGTTATCGAGGCGGCGGGGATCATCAAGCTCGAACCAAAGGTGTGTATGGTTGAACTAGTGCTGACTGACACCATCCTTACCGAACCACGGCCCCTCTGTCCTCGGCATGATAATCAACCTGCTGACTGACAAAGTACAATCATCCAGCTTACTCCGCATCTCGCACTCCTCCTTGTCCATGATCATCTGCTCGCAAAGAACGGCATCGCAGCCCCAGCCTCCCACCCTCTCCGTCAGGCCATCGAGCGCCACAAGACGCGACTAAGGGGCGAATTCACCAAGGCGCGAGTACGTCGCGGATGCGCCTCCGTCGCCGACCTGAAAGACGCCGTCCGCCGCGAAAAGGACGCCGCCAACGGCGCCGTCTCCGCGATTTACCCGCGCTGGGTCCGTATCAATAACGTGCGGACCGACCTCGACGCCCAACTGCAGTCTACTTTCGCCTCGTACGACAAGGTCGATACGCTCCCTGAACTGGTCGTCAGTAAAGATGCCGCTCCCCGTCTGCGCATCGACCCGCACATCCCGGATCTCGTGGCCGTCGCCCCCGGCGCCGACTTCTCGACTTCCGCGGCGTATCGCAACGGCGAGATCATCCTACAGGACAAGGCGTCCTGCTTCCCTGCGTATCTTCTTCTTGGCGACCAGGAGGAGAACAAGCAAGCCTGGCAAGGCGATCTGATGGACGGATGCGCAGCCCCAGGGAACAAAACGACGCATATGGCGTCCCTACTATCCAAAACCGCGAAATCGACCCAGAAAGGCGGCAGAAGCATCCCGCGCTCGCACATCTTCTCCATGGACGCGTCGAAGGTCCGCGCAAAGACGCTCCAGAAAATGGTCGCTGCCGCCGGCGCCGACCCCTTCGTTTCCGTCCTCCCGGGTCAGGACTTCCTCGCCCTCGACCCGATGGATCCTCGCTTTGAGAACGTCTCCGGACTGCTCCTGGATCCGTCCTGCTCTGGTAGCGGCATTATCGGCCGCGACGACGTCCCTACACTGGCTCTCCCTGCTACAACCACGAACGGACCCGCCACGGGGCAAGGCAAGAAACGTAAACGTCGAAACGACGACACGGAGTCTCAGCCTGCTCCTCCGGGGAAGAAAAACTCGAAAGGCCAACAACAAGAACCGAACACATCAACCTCCGTCTCCGCAACCGACGAAAACGAGCTCTCAAACACCCACATGTCCATCGACCGACTCGTCAAACTTTCAAACCTCCAGACTCGCATCGTCGAACACGCGCTTGCCTTCCCGTCCGCTACCCGAGTCACGTATAGTACGTGTTCCATCCACCTCTTGGAAAACGAGGCCGTCGTGTCGCGCGTCCTCTCTTCGGAGGTTGCGAAGCGTCGTGGATGGAGGGTTCTTCGACGGGACGAGCAGCCGGAGGGTTTGAAGCGGTGGAAGTATCGGGGTGTTCGGGAACAGAAAAGCGATTTGGTTCATCGTTCTGTATTTGGTGGTGATAGGGAGGATGGGGAGGAAGAGGCGGTGGCTGCTCAGGAGAAGGTGGATTTGACGGATGAAGATTTGGAGGGTTGTTTAAGGTGTTGGCCTGGGGATGATGAAGGATTAGGTGGATTTTTTGTGGCTGGGTTTGTGAAGGATGGGAGTGCTGAAGAGGGAGAGGAGGGCCAGGATGAAGATGAAGATGAGGATGAGGATGAGTGGGACGGGTTCTCTGATTGATTCAATATATGTACTGTACTATAGAGCATGTCCGTCCTTCTCAAAGTTGATAACTGTAGGTTATATCCGTCGGATATCATTCATCTACCTATCCATTTACCATTATTAAAGCATCTACAACCATTCAGTCAAGGCAGCAGCGTCAACAGGAAGACTTGAATTCAATGAACAGTAGCAATTGAAATTGAAATCCCTCATTCAAGACTCAGCCGTAGCCACTCAAAAAACACTCCCAATATGAAACAGTATCTACTCTCACCCAGCCCATCTAACCTCTCCCTCCATCAAAATCCCCCAAAACTAAGCAAGATAGTCCCCCCTCCCACTAACCATCCAAACCACCCCGACCCCGGCAGTAATAAACGGAAAAACGCCCTCCTGGATCCGAACCGTCCTCCACACCAACAACTCACTCCCAAAAAGCACCAACACGCCCAAAAAAGTCACCAACGCAAGATCATACAGCGCTCCATTCGTGATCTGATACGCCGCATACAGCCGAATCAAACAGCTGTAGACGTTCTTGATGCCGTAGACGTGTGCGAGGAGGCGGGTTTTGGGCGGTGCGAGGGGGCCGGAGAATTGTTTTAGGGATGCGGTGGGGTTGATGTAGGTTACGAGGGTGTGGGTTAGGGCGGTTAGGGAGACCTGGGTGTTGGTTTGGGGTTAGTTTGGGCTTGGGGGGCAGAAGGGTTTGTGTTTGGTCGTTGGTCGTTGGTCGTTGGAGAATTGATGGGAGGGAGGACGGGGAGTTACCAGGAGGAGGTAGTATGGAAGGAAGCCATGTTCGGTTGAGGGGAGGATGGTGGATGGCATTTCGTTTTTTGGGTTGGTTTCAAGGTGGTAAAGAGTTGAAAGACAGATAGGTTAGGATTGAGTTATTCTCGTACTGGGATCAAAGGTAAACAAGTAGACAGTGGTAGCTGACTGGTTTTATACTACGGGCTCAGGATCTGTAGGCTTCCACCGAAGAGGCCCAGAAAAATGCAAACGCAGATCCTGTCGATACGCTACCCATTCCCCAAAACACCAAGGAACTAAGTAACGATCACTGAAGCCAAAAAGGCAGGACACAGTCTAAATATCCATGTCTTTATAGAGCCCCATTAACAAATTTACAAAAGACTAGCTTGATAAAGTAGGAGGGGCGAAATAAAGACGGATGGCGGATCCTATCCTGCAGGATCAGCTCGTTCATTTTCGCACTATCCAAGCTAAACAAACGACTTGCCTTGCCTAAAAAAAGCAAGTGACCAATCACAACTCGGAGATGTTACTTGATGGGTTGGGTTTCCCAACACTCTCCCGACGTTCGGTTTCATGGAGGCTGGAGGACGAGGATTCGGATCGCGTAGACTTGTCGAGTCCGTATTCTAGTAGGTCGGGGTTTCTGGGAGGTATTGTTAGGGCTGGGTAGGGGGCTTGGACGGAAGATGGATACGTACTTCTTTACATAGAAGTAAATACCGAGGATTGACATGATGCTGCCTGCGGCGAATGCTGTCGCTAAGGGAAACCCAATAGGGTAACGGGGGCTGTCGGAGGTTCGCCACGCGCGGAGGGGAATTGTGGCGTGTCCAATATCTGGCGAAGTTAGCTGAATGCATGACATTTTTGTTTCGAATGAGGAGTAAGTCGGATCAGGTAGCATACAAACTAAGGTGACAGATGCACCGACAAGCAGAGAGCGCGCCTCGGGCTCCTTCCTAAGAATCTCCCCAATCCAGGCGAGAAGAGCATATCTAGTTCTAGGTTAGCTATGTATCATCATGAAAAGGAAGAAAGATGACATACCCCCAGGCTGCAGTTGCAAATGTCAAGAAGTAAAACGTCATGATGGTAGGTGTCGAGCTGGGCCACGCCGAAAGAACAGCACATGCAATGATTTGGAGAATCTATCCAGCTGAGTTAGCTGCTGTCAGACTTAACAGAGCAAAAGACATACCGCAGGTCCGATTGAAACCTGAACACGCCAGTTCTTCCAGTCACTGAGCGCATTTAGAGCCACCGTGCTGACAATGGAGATACCATAACCCCCGAGTGGGATCAGATTGACAGTGTAAGTGCTATAAAGCGGCTGGCCATCAGCACCAGTGATTCCCTACGGTCGTCAGCCAAATTCCACAAAAGTGCGCAGTGTCATTTACTTTCAGATACAAGAGGAAGTAAGAATTTGACCTCTGACTCCAGGCATATTGCAAATAGGCGGCAATGTACAACCAAGCCACAGGACTAAGCGCGATCTGCTTCGCTTTTCTGAACAGCCGCCGATAATCGATCAGCTTGGATGTTTCGGTCTTATAATCCTCCATGCGCTTGATTGAGAGACGACGCTCCGCGTGGGTCAGCCATATGGCTCGTGTGATCGAAGGTGAATCGGGAATGATGAGGAGACCGAGAAGGCCCCAGAATATGGTGATACAACCGCTGCATATTTGTGATTAGAACAGTTTGGGCAACGAGACGATGGGGAGCTCACCTGACTATGAACAGCCATTGCCATCCCTAAATCGATTAATTTATCCCCGCATCTGTGGTTCTTCTAGTCTTACCTGCAGTCCCGCGACACCATTCAAGTTCTTATAAAGAGCAGCTTGCAGAATACCCAGGAACATACTGCCGGCCTGACCACTGACTCCGAAGATAGCAAGTCTCATTCCTAGCTCGGGCGGCGTATCTGGGATAATCAGTATGAAGTCTGGTGCACAGGATGATAATACTCACACCAGTTGAATATGAGACTAACAATTCCAGGCCAAGAGGTCTAAAAAGTCAGCACGGTCGTGATATCTATACCAATGCTACCCTACCGATTCGAAAATGCCCAGGAAGAACCGAATGGCATATACTGCGTGTGCATTCTTGGCTGCATATGTTCTAATATTCTGTCAGTCATCTTAAATCATATATCACACACAGACATCCGGGCAAACCTACGAAAGAGTCAGACATCCCCAGATGATCTCGCACACCGGCAAAACGAGCGACGGCCGAATCAACGTCTGGATCATTTGCGACGGAACAATGGCCAACGCATATCCGATTGAAAAGTATGTGGTGAATTCGACCAGCTCGTTGCCGTATAGACTGAGCGATTCTTGCATTCCAGAGACGTATGCTTGCGTTGTCGCTGATTGATCCATATCCTGGATGGTCAGTATTTACACTTGCACAAGAAGAGCAGGATCTCTTACTTTGGTCAGACCGGCCACAAACATCCATACAAGCAACAAACAATCCAACTTGAGCACCAGCACGCGGTGCGGATCTTGGAAGTACCTCGAAAAGACATTATATTTCGCGGCGGACGCTGGCCGCGTATATCGATCTGAATCCGGGTTCATCTTCATTCAGATCATGCAGAACGAGAAAAAGACAACAATAGTCCACCGATCAAGCCATGAAGGCTATCAGATCCTGAAATATATACGGTCGAATAAAAGCATGATGGTTGGAAATCTGTCGTCTCTATGACGTGCTCCGTGGTGGTTGATCTTTCCTACCATTCTCGACCCGTCCCTGTGAAGCATCAACGAGTCCAATCCTACGCTAACATGGGTAACACTGCAACATGTTGTGCGATCATCGGAATCCGCCCGATCAAAATTACTTTTTCGGCGGGAAGTGCAGCGCAGGAGGGTCGAGATGCACTTCGTCACTGGCAGACGCTGACGCCTTTCTTGGCTGCGATGAGCCGATGACGGTGGCCCGCCCGCCCGCAGCGTCAGTAGAAAGGAACGTTTATAAAGTCGCCCGCATGCCATGTGGGGATGATCTGGATGATCTGGTTGATCGCGAAGTCGATATCCTTATTTTGGAGATCTTTTGGGGGACGACGTGCTAATAACTAGTACATCATGGCCACGCAACCACTCTATCCTGCGTATTTGCCTGTGAGGCCCGAGGGCTTCACGCCGACGCTGGATCTCGCGCTGTTCGAAGTAGATGAGCCGGGGTTGCGCGCAGATCCTGAACTACCTGAGATTAAGACTGCGAAGACGAAGTTGAAGAATATCACGCCTCGGATAGGTACTGAGATTCGCGATCTCCAATTGAGTCAGTTGTCGCCGGATGGTCTAGATCAGGTGGCATTGTTGGCTGCCCAGCGAGGCGTGCTTGTATTTGTGAGTACTGCGCGCATTGAACAAGGAGATTCTCTGTATTAACAGCTTCAGCGAGATCAAGACTTTGCCGACATTGGACCTCAAAGACAGAAAGAGCTCGCGACGCACTTCGGTCCGCTCCATAAGGTGCGCATAGCCAATATGCTTCAGAGTATATGTTCATACTCACACCCACCATAACACCAGCATCCAACAATGGGCTATCCCCAAGGCACAGGTCCAGAATTCCAAGTAGTATACGCCGACGAGAAAGTGTACGTCCCCTCACCCTAATCTACATCAACCTCCCAAACCCACACATGTAAACCAAACAGAGGAACCCTTCGCGACCTCCTCGGTCCCCGAACAAGCTACGACCTCTGGCACATCGACCAAACATTCACCCCCAACACGCCCGGCACCACTTTCTTCTGGGTCCTCGAGCCTCCCGCCTCCGGAGGCGGCGACACAGCCTTCACCTCCCTCCGCTGGGCCTATGAAGCTCTCTCGCCAACTTTCCGATCAGGTCTCCACCGACTCAAGCTACTACACACGAGCGCCAGCGTCGGCGAAGTCGCGCGGATCGGACAAGAGCGCGCGCTGAAAGAAGCCGTTAAGACCGAACATCCACTCGTCATCGCGCATCCGGTAACGCGGGAGCCTGTGCTGTTCGTGAACCCGACGATTGCGCGCCAGGTGGTGGGGTATAAGCCGAGTGAGTCGGAGATGTTGTTGGGGTTCTTGCATGAGCATATTCGTTCGTTGGATTTTACGTGTCGCGTCTCGTGGGAGAAGGGGACTGTGGTGGTTTGGGATCAGGTATGAATCATCTTGTGTTGTCTGTTTGTTTGGGGTTGGGGATGCTAATTGGGTGGTTTTGATAGAGAACTGCGGCGCATTCGGCGGTTCCTGATTTCATTGATGGAGAGAGAAGACATATGGTGAGGATTATTCCGTATGGGAGTCAACCTCAGCCTGTAGGCTAGGGATAAGGGGTTTTCTTTGGTCTTTAGGGTGGTTTGGTATGTGAGAATAGACCAGTGGATATAAGAGCAGAGCCACTGAAAGTATATGTTTGCATGAGATATACCCCTAGTCAGAAGAAACGGAATTAAAAAGCTAGCAAACGAATAAGTATCAATAATAATATAGTCTTTAAATATTAGGCACTACTAATTTAACAACAAAAAAACATTACAACATAACATAACACATCATATCACAAACATCAACAACCAGCCCTTGTACAACCCTCACAGCGAAGCATCAAACTTCCCATCCACCTCCACCACCTTCGCAACCGCCTTCTTATACCCCTCCTCCTGCTGCAACCGATCCACGTACTCCTGCAACTTCGGGTACTGTTCTTTCAAAGGCACGCGTCCGGCGGCCGCGATGACCGGGAAACTCATCATGATATCCGCAGCTGTGAGCTGCTTTCCGCACAGGAAGGGTCCGCCGTCCGGAGCGGTCTTCAGTCGCTCTTCCAGGAACGTGAAGTTGGCGTTGACGTTGGGGAGCACGAACATCTCTTCGACCTTGGATGCGACCAGGCGCGGAATAGGCTTGATGAAGAAGGGCATGCCGGGGGCCTGTTTGACGGCTGTAATGGATGGCGGTTAGTATTTCCGTAGTTGATGTGGCATTGCCCAAGCTTTAGATGTATATGATGCGAGTATACGCAGTTCGACCACCCCCTCCACGCAAAAATAGGAAATAGGGGAGAAAAACATACTATCCATAACCAACTTGAACACCAAGAACGGCATCAGCGTGCCCTCCGCATAATGCATGAAATACCGATACCGCATCCACTCCTCGCTCTCTCCACCGACCTGGCCTTCCTTGCCATCGGCGTAGCGCTTCGGGACTAGCTTGTCGGGGCTACCGAAGTGGTCGCACAGATACTCGGAGATAGCACCGGACTCGGCCAGCACGAGCGGCTTGTCGGTGTGCTCGCTCTCGATGGTGATGACGGGCGATTTGCCAAGTGGGTGGATCTTCTTGAGCTCTGGCGGAGCGAGCATGTCGGACCCGCGCTTGAAGGTCTTGAGTTCATACGAGACGCCGAGTTCTTCGAGGAGCCAGAGGATGCGCTGGGAGCGCGACTTCTCGAGCCTGTGATGGGATTGGTTAGTTGATTGATTAGAGGGGAGCAGAGCAAGGAGGGAGACGAACCAGTAGAGGGTGATCTTTGCGCCGTTGTTTGCGTCGGCCATGGTGAGGGTTTTGTTTTGTCTGTTGGGATAGAAGATAGGGTGATTGAGGGTGATTTGCAGGATGTTGCCACCAGCTATTAAACCAGGTAGGTACAGTCTGTTACTTATATACCTCGGTGATAGAAACAAGTAAACCAAGGGGTCAAAGCAGGCGATCGTCGCGCTTATATTCTAGACCTTTGTGCTCAACCGATCTGATTAATTGTCCTTTGCGCCGATGTTGAGAAAGCCGAAAGAAGATCAAGCATCACAGCCTCGGAGAAGAATGTCTGAGCCTGTGAAAGCCCACTGCGTCATTGAACCCGGTGGGTCGGTCTACCGAGCAGCCTTCGCAACGCTAACTCATTTTTGCGAAAGACAGGCTAGGTGTGGTAGTGGAAGTAGACCGATCTTCATATCCTGGTCCATTCGGAGGGGACAGACTCAATCACCCTTTGACCTCGTGTTGCTCGTATTCCCATCCCCTCTCAACGGGCAGATTGATGTCAAAAGGCAAAGAAATTCGCCCGTCGGGGAATCTTTTGCAATCAGATCGATGAATGCTCCCGACTGCAGCCAATCACAGCGTCGCCAATCCAGTGACCACTGACTCAGCACTATCACCTTCACGTGACCTGCCGGGGAACTTCATCGCCCAAGCGCAAAGGGCCGTTTCGATGCTCAATTAGCTATCAAGTTACGTCCCCATCACCGCAACCATGGCCGGCCCTAGCAAGTGTGAGTGGCTTTATGACCGTCGAGAGTCAATTGAAATGATGTCCTTGAGCTAATTGTTCCCCCGCTGCAGCTTTGATCCTTGATCCGGCCCTTCAGAAATACTACGGTACTTCCCTCCTTCCCCTCCCACATCTCGCTCTATTTCGTTTCCGACCGCGGGGGGTCCTTGAATTTGAGGTCGACTGCTTTTGGATGTTCGAATGAGTCTGCGGATGTGGTTATAGATATGGACGAATTGGATCCGACGAACGGGACGCTATAACATTGGCACTGATACTGACGTCTTCCCTCACGCCAGAACTCAACGCAAACCGCTACAAGTACTTCCGCTGGACGCCGCGCCATGCCTGGTTCTCGTTCCTCTACATGGCCCTGATCCCCGGAACTCTGGGCTACATCACCTACAAGACGGAGGTACGTTCTGTTCGAGCCGGATGTTTTGAATCCGCGAGAGATGCGGCAACTACGGACCTGTGGGCCAGGTGGGCTAACTGATTGATTTCTTGTGAACAGGGAAAATGGGAGTTCCGCGGAAAGAGGAAGGGAGACTCCATTCTCGAGTATTAAGTCGATCGGGTTTGAGGGAAAAGTTGAGAATGGATGTGTGATGTGTCTCAGTCGAGCTGCAGGCTCGGATTGACTGCGTCGAACTTTCGATTTGTCGGTGCTGGATGTGTATCTATTATTGAATATACCGCATGGGTTGGTTTTTGTTCTTCATTCTTGGTTCATTTTATGGCTTTGCGAGTATGGGTCTGTCTGTCCGCTCTGTGTTGGCAGTGACGAGTAGCGTGTTTCGGTTCTGGACGCTGGCACTGTAGTTCTTCTCTCTGATCACTACGTCAAAATGAATTGATATCCTCGGACGGACTTTTCAATGGATGGAAGGTAGAACTGTATGTCAAGTCCATTGATATGTGTAAGAACCGGGTATCCCATTCCGGATCAAAACTCCATGCAACTAGTCAGATCCCTTAAAACACAGGCACAGACGAAAGGCGAAGGACAGAAAGAAAGATATAACACAGTAGACAAACAGACAAAGCTCAACCCAGCCTGTAGCAATCAATCAATCAATCAACCCATCCAATCAATACGGCGCCCATCCTCTCCTCCCTCCCCGACTTCCGGCACCACCTCCCTCCGGTAACCTCTCTCCCCGTTTCCAATCCCCCATGGGCATCATCCCTCGATCACCCCCAGGACCACCCCGTCCTCCCCTCCCGCCACCAGACCGACCAAACCCAGGTTCGCGGAACGCCCTCATGCCACCTCCCACTGTCGAGCTCATCGCGCCGCGCCCGACCGTCAACGGCGGCGCAACCGACCCGTCCTCCAGCGGCGGCAACACCGCACAATCCACATAGTCGCCGATCACGAACCGCATCTCCTGCAACGTCTTATCGGCATCATGGCCCTGCAGACGCAGCGGCAGCGCCCGACCACCCTTCTTCTTCGACCCCTCATCCTCCCCCTCCTCTTCCTTTCCTTCCTCCTCAAGTCGTCGCTGCGTCTCGTCGCGATACGGACTCTCCTTCGGCCCCACGACCACACTCCCCATATCCTTGCTTAGATAGCGCCCGCGCGCATCAGACCCCATCGTCGCCGCCGCCTTCGTGTCCGGGTAAATGAGCCGGAAACAGAGTCTTGTGCCAACGGCCGGGTCCGGTAGCAGCGACGGTAACGCGGAAGTGAGGAGCTGCGAGAGCTCGCGCAGGGTGCACGACTGCCAAGTGTAGATCTGTAGGTGGGCTGGGAGGTTGCTCGTGGCTTGTTGCTGGGGCGGCGGGGAGCGCGAGCGGATCGAGTTCGGCCCGCTGAGAGGACCGCTGTAGTTGTGCGAGGGGCTGGGAGGGGCGAAGTCGGAGAGCGGGTGGAAGTTGTTGACGCGGTAGAAGAGCTTTAGGTGGAAGGGGGTGGTGGATTGGCGGTCGATTTTGGGGGGTTTGGGCGCATCGCGAGCGGCCATTTTGGAGAATTTTTGTTTCGTTTTTTTGAATTTGGTGTTTTACCTAAGGGTTGGTTGGGTGGCTGTGTTTGATGGTAGTGTTGATGTTGAGAATTGAGGTAGAGGATTGTCGAGGGCAGAGAATTGAGTGTGGTTGGAGGGATGGAGAAGCGCAATGGAGAGAGTGCAGGAAGAATGGAGGTGGAGGTGAAGCTTGTCGTTTTGTCACGGGGAAGAGAGGAAGAGCTGAGCTCCGCCGGCCGCAGAAGAGAAGATCTTCTCCTCCGCTTCCGCCTTTCACTTCCTTCTCTTTCTCTCCCTCCGCACTGACAGATAACCTTCCACTCCGACCAACCTAACTGGTCTTCAGTTCCCTCACATTAATCTCATTTTTTCTCTTATCCCATTTCAGTCTACCTCGATATTAACGCGTGACAAAACCCACCACCCACCATGGATTTCGCCGCCTTAATGGCCAAGGAAATCTCCAAGGCCAAACCCACGCCATCCGAAAAGAAAACCGACTCCTCCTCGCCCACCACCGCACCCGCCCCAGAAAAGAAATACATGCGCCGCGCAGACATCGAAGCCGCGCGCGTAACCGCCTACAAAGAAGAACAAGAGCGACTCCAACGCGAACGCGAAGAGCGGCAAACCCAGAAACGAAAGCACGAAGAAGAAGAAGCCGAGCGGCGGCACGAGCGCGAAGAAAAAAAGCGACGCCTAGCCGAGGAGTCCCGTAAACGGCGCGAAGAAGAAGAGGCGGAGCAGGAGCGACAACGTCGGAAGCGATTGGGTCTGCCAGAGTTACCTGCTGCGGGCGAGAAAGAAGACGGCGCCCTGGGTAAGGAGGAAGAAGATATCCCTGACGAGGAGCTGGTCGGGAAGTTGCGCGAACTGGGTGAGCCGGTGTGTTTGTTTGGCGAGTCGCATCTGGGTCGGTTGCGTCGGTATCGGCGGGTCACGCAGCGGGCGTTGGCGCCGCAGCAGAAGTTGTCGGATGGACCGATCCCGACGACGTTGGAGTTGGTGCCGGAGGTGGGGATGAAGATCTCGACGACACTGCCGAAGGATGTCGAGGGGCGGAAGTATCTGTTTCGGCAGCTGGCGTCGTATTTCAATATGGTGTTGAAGGAGTGGGAGCTGGCGCTGGCGAAGCGGGATGCGACCGTGAAGCAAAGTCTACAGGGACGACAGGCTTACAATGCGATGGTGCAGTCCAAGGACAATTTGAAACCGCTGTTTCGAAAGTTCGAGAAGGTCGATCTGGATGATGGCGTGCTGGAACACATTGTGGAAATCGTCCATAAAGCTCAGCAGCGGCGGTATGTCGATGCAAATGATGCCTATCTACGACTGAGTATCGGAAAAGCGTATGTCATATCCTGGAATTTTTCTCTTCTCAATTTTTGAAGCATGGCTAATAACTCGCAGTGCATGGCCCATCGGTGTAACCATGGTTGGTATCCACGAACGTTCGGCTCGAGAGAAACTACACCAGAGTGATCAGCAGGCCCATATTCTGAGCGATGAGATCACCCGAAAGTACCTGCAGAGTATCAAGCGATGCTTGAGCTTTGCGCAGACTCGCTGGCCTCCTGATGACCAGCTGCAGATCATGGGCTAGTGACACAGACTGGTCTAATTTGTTAAGATGGGAGATATATTGTATAATAATAATGATGATGAGATTTATACCCGATCATTTACTCGACGTCGTGCCACTGGCATACTTCAGCCGGTAGATAGATATAAATATATATGATATTACTGATTGAAAATCAGGGACATATGACCAAATGAAGGTGAATAAATAGATTTTCTAATTGTGATTGTAAAGCAAGGACCTACTGCTTGAAGTTAGTTCCGCCGCTTTTAGTATAAATCTCCCAGCTCGCCATATATAAATAATCTCACCAACCCGTGCCCTGATAGCAAGCATAAAAACAGAAGACATTATCTACACTTACAATGATCTCTCGTTATTGCCTCAGCACTCTTCAAATATTCCCCGAAAGCCCCAGGATCCCATGGAACAAGCCTAACCTTGAACTCTCTTAGGATTGCAAACCAGCACAATACGCTGAATAGAATATGTGATCCAGGGCGAGTAGGATTGCAGCGAGCATGTAATAGTCGAGGAGGAAGGAAAAAACAGCGTCTTTTACCAACAGCGGAAATAGACACTCCCGTTGCAGTGCATCGCTGCTTCCGAAGAGTTAAGCCGCGTTGTCGTTCATGGCCCTCATTTGAGTGGATCGACAACAGAGGTGAATAAAAGCATTCACCGTGACCATGCAGGCTGTAGCTAGCTTCATTCCAGTAAGGATGGTTCTGGTCCAATCGTAGAATGGCACCCGAAAGACTTTCGACATAGCAAAAGATCAGTATACTGGGGATCTAGGTGATATCGTTGATCTTTGCTTGTCACAAAGAATAGCTCCTGGCTAGGGGCATGCTGATCTACCAGGTCGTCAGTGGTGATTGAGAGGTCAGTCTCAACGTTGCGGCCCTAAGCAACGATGGGAGCAGCTGGCATGCTTCTCTTCTAAAGGCTTGGAGGAGATATGGTGCTGTCAATCAATCAATCAATCAATCAATATTCTATTAAACTGGTGGAGCCTATCTATTGAAACGACAGGCTATGCAGGCGCTTCGCCGAATGAAGCAAAATCTCGAGCCCTTACGCCATATAAACCCACAAACGCAGTAGATAAATCATAAAGCATCGCAACTAAACCGGCTGCCGCTCGTCTGCTGCAGCCCACTACATCTCCTGACGCTGTCTCTCCTTCCGCCTCGTTCTATATAGGTAGTTCGTGAGTGGTATGCGTCACTGGTAGCGTCCTGACCCAGGCCGCTCCCTAAAGTTCCATGTAACCATCGTCTTCCTCGCCTAGTTCGAGTCCTTCTAGCAGGTTGGTAGGTTCTGGAGCCTCCTCGTCGTCCTCCTCGTCCAGTCGAGCGAATCGGAATTGTTGAAGGAGGCCTGTCTGTTGCATAAATTCGGCGACGTAGCGGATCGCCTGCGGGTGTGCTATAACTGCGTCATAATCCTGTATACGCCTACGCAATCCCTCTATCTGATTGAGGTGATCTATCATTATCCTCCGGCTGGCCGTGTACAGCGAGCACTCCAGAAGGACGTGCCTAGGGGTCTGGGACCCTAGGTCACAGGCGCACCGGTCGGAGTCGACCTGTTTGATCTTGTAGAGGAAGTGCCTTAATCCTATCCTCATAGTGCGCATCTGGATAATAATCGAGGTGTGCGGCTTACTGAGATGCTCGTAGAGCCGAAGATTCTTCTTGTCTGGTTTAGACAGCAGCCGCCGCGTCGGCCTGCCTACTTTCTGCCTTTCCCACTGTTTTGTCCATTCCGTACGCAAGCGTTGGCGGACATCTCTTTTAGCTGCAGCTGCGAGCCGTATAATCGGGCGATCACGCGACCTCACTGAGCTTAGTTCAACTCATCTTATCGCAGTCTCTTTGGCTGCCTTGTCCGCCTTTTCGTTTCCTTCCACCCCGATATGAGCGGGGATCCAACGCAGTTCAGCAATCTCCAGGCCCTCGCTCCGCAGGGCCCTAATCCACCCGTAGATAGCCCGCAGTGCATACTGGCCCGATGGTCGGCCAGGGTTGCGCACGGCTTGAATAGCTGCCTGGCTATCTGAGAAGACGGTGATCGGGGTAGGCTTCGCCCGATCCAGGGCCATTCGGGCCCCTTCCAACTCCCCCACGTAGACCGTAGAGTCCAGTTCCGTTCCTAGGTGCTTCCTGGCGGTCCTTTCTGCTCGAATAGAGACCGCGGCGGCTCCGACCATCCCCTGATAGCCGCTTCCATCTGTATACCAGATCTGCCGGTCCTCGCGGCAGACTCTATCGTGGGCCTGAACTGCCTCCTCTGCCCCCTCAATGATGCACCTCATGGGCAACTCCCACGGGGCCAACACATGAGCCCGTCTGGTCTCCCACTCCTCCTGCCTGCCGCCGTATGCATATAGCGGGCCTGTTTTCTTCCACTTCAGCGCCTCCATTGGAGAGTATCCGGAGGCCTTGAATGCCTCTTTCGACCTTTTCCAGCGCAGCCCCCGGGGGCAGGCTATGGCCGGCCCGGTTTGGATCCGAGCGACCGCCTCCTGAATGGTTTGTTGCATCTGTATTCGCATAGGGGGGAGATAAAGCTCTACCCCCAGTGCGGCCGAGGCTGTGTTACGAAACGCGCCACTGATAAGAACAGCTGCGCGGGTTTGAATCCTCTGGAATTCATTGACCGTCTTCTGGAGCTTCTTGTAGCTGACCGTCCGGCTCGTAGGGCTATACCAGGCAGCCGCCCCGTAGAGTAGCTGGGGGACTACCACTGCCAGGTAGATGCGGCGCATGCTCAGCAGGGAGATCCCCCAGGTCGAGCCTGAGATGCTGCGGAGGGCTTCCAAAGTGCCGTTCGCCTTAGCAAGGGCCTTAGCCTTGTGAGTGTCAAACGAAAGGGTCCTATCGAGCCAGATTCCTAGGTATTTGGCGTGCTCCACTGGCTGAATCCGAAGGGCCTCAGTACCGTCGATCGATAGGGCCCGAATGAGGGGGAGATATGGTGCTGCCCTTGTGTTAATAGCGTACCAGGAGGCTGGAAATCTTTAATGTTCCATCCCCGAAAGCGGGTTTGGGATTTCAGTATTGAAAGTCCTAAGCCTTCTTCCTCCACTTCCACATTATTAGAATGCATTTCACCTTGAAGCTCTAGTTCGTGAACTCCATGGCTCTGGCTCCTGGGCTTTGGCGGCGGTGAAAACATGTTGGGACCATCGAAGCCCAACAAGTGGCGTTCTGTCTGAGCTGTGGGTATATCAGGTTTTTGAGACACTCTAAGAAGATTCTGGGGTCTGGAAGACGGAGTGATTTCGGGGGAAGCCTCTGGGGTGTCATGCTGACTGGCGTCTTGCTCGGTGGCAGTGGTATTGGTGTTAAGCATTGCTAGCCAGCCCTTTGCAATTTCCGGACCTCTTACATCGCCTGCGACTTGCTCGACAGATGACTCCGTTAGCTGCACCTTTCCGTCAAGGGGTACGTCATTCGACTGCTCGAAGTCTAAGTCTGGGAGACCTTGCGAGTCCGTATCACTGGTCCTAGATCCAGGTGCATTTGATGAAGAGTCAGAGCAGGAGCTTTCAATGTTGAAGTATGGGTACTTGTTGAAGTAGTTTCCATCATCGTCATCATTGTCTCCGTCCTCCAATATGTCGCTAGCACCCCAAGGAATCGATCTTAGCGAGAAGGAATGCACATGCGCAGCAGAATGATCAAGGGTCAGATCATGATCATCACTTGCAAAATCACACAAGGGGCAATGGGTTAGTTCCAAGGGAACCTTTCGCCGCCACGCCGTGAGTAGCATTGGTATCCTGTGCGGCTTAATGCCCTTGCCATGTTGGTCTTCGAGGTGCATCCTGAAAGCGGACGGGTCCCTGAATATGGTATGAATGTCTTTCTGTTTACATGAATGGCAAACCCATTGGGAGGTACTGTCGTGCTCTTTCTCCATATGGTTGGTCCATGCTTCTCGCGTCATATAGAAAGCCTCGGGTCGAGGGCAGTCGGACAGGACGCACGTATAGGGTAGAATGTCGGCCATTAAATGCTTCCTTCCACAGATCAGCTTTGCCACCTTCTTGTGCTCAGATGACTTACTTCCACTTATTGCCCCGGCTTATTGTTACCGGAATGGACTGGCAGCAGCAGGGGCAAGTGAACACCGTTTGGGCATCTGAAATTGGAGGCGGTCTGGGATAACGTATCTGAGAACTAGTGATGGATATAACTGTTGTAGGAGTTTTCGCTTCTTGTTTCTGGACGAGCTCTAACGGGGCGTCTACTGCTGTTGCGGTTGTTGTACTTTGCGCAAGTTCGTCATATCCAGGTTCCCGGGCCGTCATCTTGGGAGCCCTGATGGTCAGAGCAGCATGGGAGCGCGGTCCTTGATTCACCTGTCCAGAAGAATGGAGTGGCGGTGCAGAATCTCCCATATGTAAGCCAAAGCCCAATTTTCGAGCGTGCTTTTGCGCATAAAGAAAGCGGCCCCGCCTGCGTAGGTTAGCATCAATCAGGCGTAACTGAATAGGATCCAGGGCCGTTTTATTCATCCGGGCTTCCTTGAGCGTCGTCATGCTTGAATGGGAGCCACCATTTTCGTCTGGATGCACCAAAATAATAGCCATGAGATGGAGACGCAGAGCAAGAATCTGAGGATGACTAGGGTTAAATGAACTGTCTGCTTTTTGAAGCCTAGACTGGGTTCCGGCCTTTCGGATTGCGACGGTAAGCCTAACTAGCTGGTTCAGGTTCCCTTCAACCTCCTTCATCCGATCCTTTTGGCTGTGTGGGAGAATCTCATCACGACAGGAAGCTATAGGCAGAATTAGCAAGGGGCAAAGCACTCGAGAAGGAAATCGACCATACGGGTACAATCGGCAATACAATCGTCAATGAGCGCTTTGAGGATCAAGAGAAGGTTGGTAACGATCCTCAGCGCCTGGGGATTGGTCCGCAGTCGATAATCGAGCGAGGCTTTACCTGTCGTCGAGGCGCCAGCACCGGCCGCTCAGAGATTGAAGTCGGCCATTCGGTTCTCGGCCCATTCGTCTTCCATGAGTCGAGGAGTCCTGGTGGCAGCGCTGAATGTCTGGCGACAAGCGATTGTGGCATTGGATATACTGGTGCTGGTGCTGGTGCTGGCGCCGGCCATGGTCTCCGCCGTCGTGGCCGAAGTATACTCGGACATTATCAAGTTGCGTACCTCTCCACCACAATTGGTAACAGTTGTTTGACCTGGTTGGTGTTTTCTTTTTTATGTAAGCGCGCTAACGAGCTAACATGGATGCACCTCTAAGAACCCCTCAGCAGACGAGGCTGAACCCTCACCAAGCGCACCATCTCACTTTCCTCAGGAGTGGCAACATCCTTCTAAGGATGGGGGACATTATTGAATCCTGCTGGGACGCTTTTCCCTGGATCAGTGACCAAGCGACAACTCTGGGTCTCACAAAACGAGATAACCGGTTTGGTCAGCTTGGTGGTGAGCTGTTCATCTTCACACAGCACCTCGCATTTTCTGGCCAGACAATCATCGACGCCAAATTGTTGAAGATTGCAGAGATTGTGAATAGAGCTTGCAGCGTACGTGCGTATACATACGATTTGAACTGTCTCCGAAGGCGATCTCATAGCTGATAGCTGGTGCGACTTGTACTGTAGGTCTCGACGCCGAAGAAGGGTGACGGCACGGGCCTCTCGCTTCATGTCCTTCAGCGCATACTGCAATGCAAGCACTCAAACACGTTCACCGAGAAAACTCTTATTCATGAAATCCAAGTCGCTCTTTCGCACTTTGTCCTGAAGAACCCCGAGTTCCCAGTGCTCCTCCAGGATTACACTTGCGTGGACCAACCTGAAGGGTTGACCAGCATCCTAGACGATAACGAAGCAAACCCTGGTGAAGACGAATCTGGCTATCCGGCTCTGGTAAACAATACTCTGTACGCCCAGCTTCGGCTGCACTCGAAGTGCTCGTGCCTTGTTCAACATCTTCACCATGTGCGACTTCGCCTGAGCCCCGATAAATGTGGCCCGGAACAGGACAAAATATTGTTTAATATCTTGCTTAACACTAGTTCGGATAGTAACGGCAATGCTACCCCTCAAGGCTCAAGGCGGCAAGGGAAAGCGTGGTGGAAAGAGGTTGCAGTATCAGTTGCAAGGTAAGGCCGGACCATTCTGGTTGGCGACAATGAAATTAATAGTAGAGTTCTTTTTCCCACCGCAAATCAGGCCAGTGAGCAAGAAACGAGTTGCTTTCAGAGACCCGCATACAGGCGCATCTCATAAACTGCCTAATCACCCGCCATCTCTGGGCTACCTGCGAAACATCAAGCTGGGCGAATTCTGCAGGATGATTGATGTGCAAGCGGACAGTCGCATTTACTTACAGGTTTGGAACAATTCGATGAAGGTAGATGAAATTGCCAGAGAACACACATCACGGAAGACCTTTCCAACTAAGAGCGTGCCAATGGTGGACTGGCTGGAGGGACCAGTACGCCTTTCAAAGAGGGTGAAAGTCACATTGGCCTATACCATCGCGAGGTCCGTGTGGCAATATTACAGTTCGTCGTGGATGGCAACGCCCTGGACCCTGGAAAACATCCACCTAATCAAGGAATTGACTATCGAAAGCAGTCATATCCGCCCCCATCCTTATTTCGTCACTGAGCTCAGTAAACACGCAGATCAGATACGCGATTTCTGTACCGCAGACGACCTCCTGCATATGTATCCGAATGTCCTTGCACTGGCAATCATACTCCTTCAGATAGCAACACAGCAGCTGTTTGGGTCAGAAAGTTTGGATTGTCCCTGGAGCGCGACCACGATAAATGACTACTATGAATGGGCGTGGACAACAGCAAACCAGTGTGCACTCAAACTTAATGTTGGGGAGATATATGAAAGAGTTGTGAACAACTGCCTTGACCCTGACTTGTTTCAGGACGCGCCCCTTGACACAGTAATCCCTGAATCGAACTTGGACACCCGGCTATCAATAATATATGATAAAATTGTAAAACCACTACGCGATCTATACCATGCATATCGTGACGACTGGGAGATTGAGGGCGATGCCGAGCAAACGAATTCGACTCAAAAAATCAATGAGCACCACACCATGCTCTCAGTCCTGGTCGGCCTCAACCAGTTCACGGTTGCCATATTCTGTGCACTGCCCTTGGAAGCAGATGCTATCCATGAGCTTCTGCAAGAAATCTGGCCCGAGGATCACATCAAGTCCAGCAAGGCCCCGGCCGACAACAATGAGTATACGCTTGGGAAAATCATGTCACATAACGTGGTTCTCGTTCACATGCCGGGGATGGGAAAAGGTGCTGCATCCCAGGCGGTTTCTAATCTCCGGTCCACCTTTCCTAACATCGAGCTCGCTCTGGTTGTTGGTATTTGTGGTGGTGTTCCTACTCGGGGGGACGAAGAGCTGATTCTGGGTGATGTCGTTATTAGTGAGGGTATTGTGCAGTATGATCTAGGCAGCCAATATCCGGATGTCTTCACGAGCAAGCCAGGTGCGCAAGCCATGAATCTGCCTCCTCAGAGGATCCGGGCAAAACTCGCCAAACTAAAAGGCTTGCGTGCTCGAGAGCGCCTTGAAGCAAGACTCCTCACTCAGTTTCAAGTCCTAGATGGAAAGCTAGGGAGTCGAAGAGTTGGGTATCCAGGAGTCGAGAAAGATTGTCTTTACCAATCCAAGTACCGTCACAAGCACCTCGGCTCGGCCCACTGCGCGGTATGCAGTGCCTATCGAGTTAGCACAGACCCGGTGTGCAAGGAAACACGGGCGATGTCATGCCAGGAGCTAGGATGCCGCGATAAATTCCTCGTCCATAGAATGCGACTCCAAGCCTCAAGCACTTCTCCCCCAAAACCCAAAATCCACTTTGGATTGGTCGGATCTGGAGACACTGTCATGAAGTCCGGAGAGCATCGTGATACAACTGCCACCATGCATAATCTTGTTGCCTTCGAGATGGAGGCTTCAGGGATCTGGGACTGTTTACCCTGTCTGGTTATCAAGGGTGTTTGCGACTATGCGGATAGCCACAAGAACAAATATTTCCAGAACTATGCTGCTACTACAGCTGCAGCTTGCCTAGGCGCATTCTTGCAGGAATGGCCATGATCCCTTGAATGGTCCAAGAGCCACAGTATTCTCTCTGTGAGTACTGGAGCTCTAGACACATGGGGTCTGTCGATTGACCCTAAACAAGACGCCCATGTGTTTACTCTGCGGGGCTTCCGGAGAGGGTGTGATCCGCAGACAGCTTCAGGATTTGCTGTTTGGTATCGGACATGTCCTAGCAGTCATCCCTGATAGCCTTCGCTTTTCAAGGGGATCATCCAGCTTAGGTACCTATACACGTGAGGGTATGAAGGCGGCATCGCATCGCTGAGAGTTACGGGTGGAAATGCGGCCGCTTGTGGCCTCAGTAGCGGTCGTTTTCAGTATCGACTTCACAGGTCCTCACGTTTTTGTTGTAAATCCGGATACCAGCTTGCTGTTATCAGTTGGCACTCGCTGCGTAGATGCGTTCAAGTATATACATAATCAAAAATGCCCCCAAAAAATACAATCTAACTTCTATCAAACATAGCGTACGCTCATATGTCGTCTCAGAACGCGGGGCCCTGTCATTTCCATATACCCATAAGAGACCCCCAAATACTTCCAAAGAAGCCGGTTTCGCGGAAGGAAGGGATCGTATCGTGCGTCTCGTGCTTTTCCAAGTAGCCATTCATCTTATTGGTAGGGTAGATATCATGACCATCTAGACCATGCATCACGCTCAAGGGCGAATCCGGCGGTCGAGCAGCGGTGACCGGTCTGCTCCTGGGTTTGGCCTCCCCCGTATATGCACCGATCAGCTTCCCTGCGGTTTGGACGCAGCTGCCATGCGAAAAGCGGATGAGGGAGTCGCCCGTCAGACTGCCGATGATGAAGACGTCCTTTGCAGCCTCCATGCTCTCAAATGCCTTGCCTCGAAGGGTCTGGCTTGAGATGGTAGGATTTATTTCACCCCTTTCATCAATACCAAGGACCTCTGATTGAAGGGTAGGATCGAGGTATCCCAGGCTTCCGCGCCGGCCGGTCGCGTAGACCATGCCGCGTACAACGCGGGTGAAAGTCGTTCCGTCGTCCTGGCGGAAGATGATCGTTGCGGATTCTTTCTGTGCGTCGACAGAAACAATTTCGGTGTTGGGGTGGCCGTCGTACACCTCGGCCCAGGCGCGGTCTTCGAGGAAGGAGCTTGAAACGATTCGCTTCGTCCGCGCAGGACGCTTCGCCGTGCTGGAGCTATGGGCGACGGCAGCGCGCTTCATAAGGCGGTACACACCCGCATACTCGGGATATGCGTGCTGATGGCAGCCACGCAGGGGGGACGGCCGATTCTCGGGGTCCCATTTGAAGATGTGGATGATCTTTTGATCTTTCGGTGCTGAGATTATGACATCTGCGGCGGAGAAGCCCGATCCGATGACCAGGAGCGGAATCCGAGGTGTTGGTTCCAGCGACACTAGCGGTTCTAGCATCGGACGGGGTTGTATGACCTGGGTAAAAATCCCACTGGCTAGAACCAAGTGTTTACAGTGGATGTTGTGGGAGCGGATGTAAAAGCCGTTCGCAGTTCTGGAGATACCATCCAAGCGTTCGTGGCATCGAAAGACATCGTCGATCTGCACGACCTTGGGATACGCACGAAAATAATCCGCCGTCTCCTGTCGGCTAGGGCGCGTAAATGCCGGAAGGTCGGTGTCGGTAACTCTGCGGTGGTGCTCCGCGAAAGAATAGCCGGGCAGGGACAGCATGGACGCATAACTCAGGGTCTGGATATCCCAGCTCGCCGGCATCAGATTATCATTCCATTGGCCACCGGGTTGTGGTGTGTTTCCGAAGACCAGGTGCGGAACGGCTTTTTCGGGCACATGTCGCCATTCGATGTTTGTGGTACTTCCGAGCTCCTCCACGTCGACGCTAGGTCGAACTAGGGTGTCGAGTAGCACATTGACAGGGAGGGCCTGGGTGGAATAAGACAGCCGAGACGCAGCAAAGTGTTCGGTAAGTGCGCCTACATCCGCATCGAGCAGTTCCGGGGCCGCTTTCAACTTGGCGTGCAGGAGGGGGTCGGGATGGGGAGGATTGGAGGCGTAATAGGGTAGGTGACCATGCAGGATGAACGATAGGATCATGGCGGATGGCCCGTTCCCTATCAAGACCGAGATTAGGTTCTATCACGACACGGCCATTGGCAGAGGATGGCCCCCGGATCTCCAAGGGAATGGCGACATACCGATGATAATGGTGTCAGTTTCCATTGAAGGCAATTTCTGAGCCTCCGGCCGCCCAGTCAGCGCGGAGCATTCTGTACGAGACATGCGATAGGAAGGGGACCTTCAATTCAACGGTTCAATGAGTGGAGAAGGGCGAGATAAAGACCTTCCGACGAAGGAAGTGCATGTGGACGGCCATGGAGAGCCTGAATCATTGAGGGACGACGAGGGAACAACAGGATTGTCCGGGGAGGCGAGGGGAGGAGTGGAAGAATCCGCAAACCGTCGCTCGCTGACAAAACCAGCTCCGGCTTAGCAAGAAATTATTGAGCCCGCACCGGCGGGGAATTCGATAGAAACTTGGTTGGATCGGGAAAGCCGGTGCTTTTCGGCGACTGGCGTGACTGGGGAATCCATCGGAGCCTGGACTTGTCGGTTCAGTCGGCGCCCCTACACATCCTCGATTGACTTTCCCAGCCGTTTTCACGAGATTAAAACTGTGTTCATGATTCTTGTTGCCGTATTGCCATGGCGAAGACGACCGTGGACAAAGGAAAGATGATCGGCAATGGAAGCGGGCGGTGGGGAACCAAATCAGTCTCGGCTTAGCTAATCATCGTATTGATTCACTGAGAACCATTAATTATGTCATGGCACATCCATGTCATGCAGATGTCAGACGATAGTGATAGTCTGATATACTGCAGGCCTTTATATTTGACTGTATCCCTGCAACCAATGAACAAGGTGGTTTGGAGATGCGTCTAGAATATCGCTCTTGTATGGTGGGTATTATTGATGCCTGAGGCGCCTAATGCCAAGCCTACCCCTCCATGTTTTCCTACATTATTATGTTCACTTGATTAAAGTCTTTTTCTTATTCCTTGAAGCCATGTCTACTAGTCCGGCCTTTTTTTATAGATTTTGTGTTAGCTGCATTAAGTGTAATCGAGGAAATATGACTACCGAATCCCCATCGATACCACTTATAGTAAGTACACTAAAAAGAACGTAACGCCCAATGTATACATACACCTCTCATATTGACAACTTTGAAAAGAAACGGCAAATAACCCTCAGGCTAAAAGTCTAGCCAGTCCCATCGATAGACGAGAGCATCCTCAGGAAGAAACGCCTGTATCGCAGCATTCCCTCCATGATGCATCCGCAGATACGAGCAAATAGAAGGACATTCCACTCTCGCTCGAAGTTCGATCCACCAGATATTGCGACCCGCTTTGGAGTACCACAGATACAGCAACACCAACGCTACGGGATCCTTTCGCCGCAACAAGTCTTCAAACGAGCCATAGATACTGCGCGGGAAGAGCTGTGTCGGACCCGTCGTGACCTCACTATCCGGGAGGTCGAGGATGTAGGATACCGCGTGAGCAGCATCGAAATACGGATTATCCTTCGCCGTAGATCGATCATCGAGATGACATATAGCAGCCAACGCCTTTGGGATACCGTCCCTGCCCCTCTCCGGCAAGGGGATTTGCATCTGAGCAAAGGTCGTCGCCATCACGCAAAACAGACTATCTGGTCGGAGCGGGTTCACGATATGCCACAAGGACATTTTCCCCTTGCTGAGACGTAGCCAGTCCAGATGGGCGTGGTCGGAGGGGTTCAAGGGCCATGATTCTTCCGGTGTGGTAGCGTCAGGAGACGAGAAGGCTAAGATGGCCAGCGCGGCGGCAGTGCCCCAGATTGGGTCTCTGTCTTTTGCGCGAATCGGTTCCCGGAGTCGTTTGTTGAGAAGAACGGTGCTTTGGGACCAGTGGTAGCATTCTTCGAGACTGCGACGATGGCCTATTGGGTTGTTTAGACGGCGGTCGTATGCGTATGCCACGGCTAGAGAGGCGTGCATTAAACATGGGTCCTATGGACGAGATGTTAGCCGATTTAGACCTATGATATATAGATCCGCTTCTAGCGTGTGTAGTGGTTGACAGATAGAGATTATGATCACGGACTTACTGTGAAGGCTAGTCTCAGGAGCCTGCGATTAACGTATCTCATGTTAAGGTCATCAGGGGCGATGAGACTTTCTCCAAGATACCGGGTGATGAAATCCTGACACTTTGCGTTCAATTGATAGCATGTGGATTCGTCCGATGTCCAGACAGCACTGGCGACAGGGGGCTGAAATTGTGATTTTCCTCGAGCTATTAATTGCCTCCCTTTGTCACCAGCAGCGATGGGCTGGAGATCGGGAACATTGGACATGAAGTTGCATAATACCCCGAATGCACTACATCTTTTGCAATGAGGTCTGCCTTCGTCACACTACGAGACCAGATTATCTGTTCAGCCAAGCACTAGACTGGTATGTATGTATGTGGGAAAGCCGAGTCATCTCCTTACCTTGAGTTTTCGAAGCTTGCAGTTCCGACAACCAAATCTTGACCTGCGAGAAGTCCTATGCTCGCGATCCTCTTTTAGGCAGATTGATTCCATGCTTGGTCATGGTCAATGCGTCGCGCAGATTGTCTGTGAGGGATTATCCCGGGCTGGAAATAGATTCATTGACGTGGAGAAAGGGCCCATAATAGAGGGAGACGCTAAACCTCTATGCTAACCGTCGCTCGGGTGCAGAGGTCGCTGATTGGCGGTGGGATCTGATCCTGCCATGTACGGAGTATATGGTAAGCAGTAACCAACAGATGATGGCAGAGAGTGAGTAACTTGCAATTAATGGCTCGAGAATTTAAAAGGTTGGTTGTTCCTCCATAACCCAGCTAAAGATTCCAATTCCTACAGCTTCAGACCCCTGAAACTTGACCTAATCTGAATACCAACCTCCGTTATATACCATCAAACCTCCCTTGAAACCCTCTACTTCTACGAATACCAAAACTCCAAATGCCCACCCACCTCGCCGCCATATCCCCGGCCAAAGGCCAGCCCTTTGAGCTCCAAACTCGTACCACTCCAAAGCCAGGACCCGACGATCTCCTCATCGCCGTCAAGTCCGTGGCTCTGAACCCGGCCGACGCCATCATGCGTGACCAAGGCCTCTTCATACCCACATACCCCACGGTCCTTGGCTTCGACATGTCCGGGGTAGTGCTCGAGGTCGGCAGCAACGCCCCTATCAGTACTTCTGACAAGGATTTGACCCTGTCCTTCCGGCCAGGGACCCGCGTCGCCGCCTACGCCGCCTTGGTCTGGACGTCTTGCGATCCAGACTACGGGCCCTTTCAGGAACGATGCCTCGTTCCCTGGCAGCATGCGGTGCCGCTTCCAGACGAAAGCATGTCTTGGAACTTTGCGGCAACCTTGCCCGTCGCTGTCGAGGTACCCCTAAATGCATGGGATATCATGGGAATCCCTCGGATGGCCGAGATCAGTGCTTCTGCGCAACTTTGTGCTGGCTCTCCCGGCACCAATAGTATCAACGGAGAGGAGTGTAAGAATACCTCAGCAAAAAGAGAAGCGCTCCTCATCTGGGGCGCCTCCTCGAGCGTCGGCACCATGGGCGTGCAAACAGCCCGGTTGCTGCGGGAAGATCCCAACTCTGCTTTCGCGGCCGTGTACGCCACGGCTGGGTCGGCGAACAAAAGCTACGTGGCTGCATTGGGTGCAGACCGCGTGTTCGACTATAAAGACTCGCATGTTGTCAATGCGATCGTTTCAGCAGCCAAGCAGGACGGGTTAGTGATCCGGCACTGTTTTCTTGCGACCGGGCAACTGGCGCTGTGTCAGGCTGTGCTGAAGGCATTTCTGGAAGATGGCGAAGATAGGAAGATGAAGAAGAAGACAGCAAAGATCGGGTCGGCACCCCCGGTTCCTCTAGGTGCGGAGGTCGTGGACGGTGTTGAGACGATATTTGTAGTCCCCTCGGCGGTAGAAGGGGAGAGGTTGGAGCAGTTCCGATACTGGATTGGGACGTGGTTGAGGGAGAATCTGATTAAGGGAACCATCAAACCAAGTCCGGAGCCGAGTGTCGTGGGGAAGGGGTTGGAGTTTATTAATTCTGGGTTGGATACACTGCTCCGGGGGGTGAGTTGTACGAAGTTGGTTGTTGAAGTTGCGGGGTGAGCAGACACAGGCAACAGACACCTCAGGCATAATTGCTGACTCACGGTGTCGGAAAGGAGTCACGTGCCATGAATCTGAACATCGCGCCAACTGTTGAGATATGCAACAAGGTTAAGTAGTATTCAGAAAGGTGGATCATGTAGTTTTATTTTAACGGGACACAGAACCAAATCAAGCGTTGGAAATTTTCTAAATGGTATAGAAAGCAGTACCTTACATATAGTTGAGCTTGTCGCTCTCCATGGGATTCCACAGCGTCTGCATCGCTGCGAAATCCGAATCCATCCAAAGGGCGGAGTAATTTCCGCCTTGCGGGGATCTGCCCCCTTCCGGAAATTAGGGCCTAGGGCTGACGAGACCTCCAGCCCCAGACCCTACTTTCCCAAAGGAGAACTGGCTGACGCGTTGGACCAGGCCTTGTCCGACCGGAAGAAGACCTGTCTAGAAGCCAAAGCAACTCCGCGGAAATCTAAAGAAAAGCGATTATTAGAATCAAGAGGACCGGAATTATCGGCGCTGCCATGATCGCCTTGTTTACTTGCTCGTGTCGCCCGTTTTGATCTTCCTAGAGGCCTAGCTGGCTAACTACGCTACGTCTGTCGGAGTTGGTTCCTGAGGTTTCTCCGCAGGGTCCTCCGCCGCCGCAAGTATGTACCATCTGGCCAAGTCTTTATATATGCAGGCCACCAGCAAAGAAGGTACGTTATTGAACTTACTTACTCCGGGGATGCGCTTTGGTAGTGGTGCCAGCGCAGTAGCCAACAAACAACCTGAACTAACAACCCTCCCCTGACTAGAATACTCCGTTCTTCTCCTCGGGCTCGACAACGCTGGCAAGACGACGCTCCTCTCCCAGATCAAAGCCCTCTTCCAACCCCGTCCCGATGGCGCCCCTGCCCCGAACCCAGGCAAGACCGTGCCCACGGTCGGCCAGAACGTGACGACCATCTCCCTGCCTGAAATGTACCTGAAAATCTGGGACGTGGGCGGACAACTCACGATGCGGAACCTCTGGCAAAGCTACTACGCCAGCTGCCACGCGATCGTGTTCGTCGTCGACAGCACCGACGTCGGTCAAGACCCCGACGTGACCCGTCTGCCTTCTTCGGTTGCGAATAATCGCCGACGCAGCTCGTCGGGAAGCGACCCCGCCGACGCCTTCACGGAGGAGATGGTGGGCATTGATGCCCCCGGGAGTGATTTCGGTCGGCTGGACGAGTGTCGCCAGGTGTTGGAGTCGGTCTTACAAAACGGCGACGTCGCGGGGGTGCCGATCCTGGTGCTGGCGAACAAGCAGGACCGGGAGGATTCGGTGGAGGTGGTGCGCATCAAGGAGGGGTTTGTGCGCAAGGTCTTCGAGGGGGATACGGGGACGGCGCTGCGTGATAGTCGTGTCTTGCCGGTCAGTGCTCTGCTCGGGTCGGGTGTCCAGGAGGCTGTCGAGTGGGTGCAGACTCGTGTGCGCTGGAATAAAGACGCCAGACCTCCACTGATGAGGTGATGTGATGCGTCTGTTCCCTTGTTTTCTGGCTGTGGGCCTCAAACAAACCCTACCACTCCGTACGATGGCCGGTCGCAATGCTTGCCGGCCGATCGGTTTGGATCTCGATGGAAATGTCTCATTTTGGGCGCTAAGGGAGAGGATCTATTTTGCTTTTTGATTTTGCTTAATGAATGCGATGATACCTATGCTTCTTTCTTTGATACTCTGCGTTTCAACCTGTTCATATGTTCTAATTCTATAGATAATTTTGATCCAAGATGAAGTAACATGGCTGTTCACGTGCGATATAGATATAACTAACCCGATCGAAAGCCTCAACACAGTTAGCGCAACTTTGTGGATCAAATTAGAAATTATTCTATTCCGTTCTAGAATCAATCGACCGGACCAGATCTGCCCCTCTCAAGTCTAATTAGATCACCTGAAAGATATCTTGGAAGATTTGACGAGACCGAGGTTATCCTTCGCGCCACCGGAAACGGCTTTGCCATCGGATCGTCAACAGCGACGTCACCCGCCTATGCATTCGATGTTGCGAGCATGGAAAGACAAGGATAATTGACACTTCATGACGCTCTCGGTGTGCGAGCGATCTGCTTACCATGGAAAGATACCGTGGGGATGGCATTCGATGAAGTCAGGTTCGACAGTCACCTCACCTTGACGTCATGGGGATGGTTGTTGGAAAGCTAGTCAACGAGGGATAAGTTGAGCAGAGACGGGTTATAAAGAATGGTTGTAGGATGGTAGACTGTGTTCATTACATCCAACTATTATTTTCAACGATTAATTAACTTTGCTAAAAGTCCCTCTATCCGCTATCCTCTTTCGATCTATCTTCATATCATATCAATCTTCAACACCTTCACAATGACCAGCATTCACAAGGCCAACCCCGAAAACAACAACAAGCAGGGTTTCCATCCCTCTGCCGGTAACTCGGCCCCTCTGACCGACAAGGGTGTATGTTCTTGATGCGTAACCGCTTCCGTTTGATCGATCATCCATGCTAACAATCCCTACAGCACCAGCCCGGCCGTAAAGTCGCCCCCCAGGACTTCGCTCCCGAGAACGAGCCCAAGGTGTTCCCTCCTGGAACCGCACCTGCCAGCAACTCCTACACCCCCAACCCCGTCAACGAGCCCGGTAGCCAGGCCTTGAACCCCAATATGGAGCGTGGCCATGGCAAGGAGTCGGTGAAGACCAAGGCTAGTGACACCTTGATGGGAGCCACTTCCCAGGACGTTCACACGGGTCTGGGACAACCCCTATCTGGACAGACCAGCACCGAGATTCGCCACGATGGCCAGCACGGTCGCAAGAACCCCGGCAGTGGTCTCGAAGGCGTTGGTGCCTCCCTGGAGGGCAACTTTGAGCGTACCATCCCTAGCCAGCGTGGCCTTGACCGAGATCAGGCCAAGCCCAACCAGCGTGGCGACAAGGGTGCCCTCGCTGCTGAGGATAGAGAGCCTGAGAGCGCCAGGACTCTGGACAAAGATTGGAACTACGAGCCCCAGACTCAGAGACAACGATTCCAGTCATAATGTGTTACGGATAATGATGTACTATACGAGTAATTTCGATCAGCATGCATGATATCAAAACATTTTCACATAAACTTACTTAAAGAAACCAAGGTCTTCCGTAGAAAGAGTTGATAATCAACCATATCATCTAGTTCAAGACATGGATTCTATCTGATCTCGGTCATTTCGGTTGGTCGTTTTTTGTTCGTTCTTCTGTAACTTCTTGGGCCAGCTGCGTGCAATGTCGATATTCGACCGAGGAAACCACATCTCCAAAAAGACGTAGAGTAGAAAGTCAATCACCACGCAAAGACAAAACAATTTGCCAGCCCAGACTCCGCAACCGTAATAGCGCTTCAGGCGGTCAATCAGTGCAAAACTTCGCACGCGATCACCGCTAGCTTCCCAACCTTGCCCGGGATAGTATCCGTAGAATTCCTCGGGAGTGATCCCGCCGGAGATACCTTTGTAAACACGTTCTGTGCGCTGGGCGACATCCGTCCAGGAGTACATCATCTTCACTTGATCGTGAAATCTATCAGTGCGCACTTTGTTAGAGCGCAATGCGGCGATAGCCTTGCCTGTAGCCATGACAATATCGTCTTCTTCGGGTTTCGCGTAGGTTGTCATATGCTGAGGGAGCACTTCAGGGATGCCACCAACACGGGTGCAGACGACGTAGAGTCCACAACTGGCCGCTTCAACAATGACGGTTCCAAAAGCTTCCGTCAGGCTAGGATGGAGATAAATATGTCCTCGGACCATAACATCCCGTACTTCCTCATGTCGGACAGGGCCGAGCATTTCCACTTTGTCTTGTAGGACATTGCGCTCCAGCATCTGCTCCAAATCAATGGCTTTAGGTCCTGAGCCGGCAATGATAAATCGCACGTTGGGTTGTGACGCTAGAATTCGAGGTATCGCGGCAATTAAGAGATCTGTACCCTTGTTGTAGAAAAGTCGTGAGATGACAACGATGTAGATGATGTCATTGGGACCCATTGGCGCCGGGATAGGTTGTAGTTCCTGCAATGGCCCGGATGGACGATTATTTGTATGAGGCGTAGATGATAGTGGTCGGAAGTTCTCCGCGACAACGGCATTGGGAATTACAGAGACCATTAAAGGGTCCAACGACGCCCGGAGCACGGTGTTCTCTTTGCTGGCCACAGGTTAGCAGCTAGAGAAGATAATATACGAAATGATAGTGAGGCATACCACGTATGACTGACGCAGATAACATGATCCACGTCGCTCAGAGCGAACTTGAGTAATTTATTCGTCAGGATAGATCCCGCATCGGCAAATCCAAATAAAGAGTGGTCGGTGAACACTGTTCGCAGTCCCATAGTGCGCGCATGAAGAATTGCTTCATGGCAGAAACAACTTAAGCTTGCATGGCCGTGGACGATTTGAATCTGCTCTCGGATGACGATGTTGCGAAATATAGGGAAAAAGGAGAACACCGTCGGCATCGTCGTCTCGCGGTAGATGACTAGGAAGGGGACATGGTAGACCTTGAGACCATTCGTGAGATACCGAACCCCGGTGCGCCCCTTGTATGCATGTGTGATTATTATGACTTTATGACCGCGATCGATGAGTTTCTGGAACACGATAAGCATTGGTCTGAGGTTGAGGAGGCGTTTGTGTCCTTACGGTCGACAATTGGTAGATGTGACTTTCAACCCCACCTGTGATGGTTAGCGACAGGGTTATTGGTTAAATAAGAGCATGACTACTCACCTGGTTGAGGAAAGAAAAAGTCACTGACCATACTGCGCCGATTGATTGTTAGACCAGTTCTCCCGCGGTGCCTAGTGAATGCAACTCACGCAATGTTGTAAGGCATCTTGGCTGTTACCCTCGGGAAGAGACGCGCCAAAGAATGATGAGAAAGATTTTGATATTTCCGTGTCCATGGCCAGACTGAACGTCCCGAGAGCAGAATGATGCCGCAATCAGAAAGGTCGATCAACAGTCCAAGTCGAAGCGAAGAGGAGAAGCTCCATGAAGCATTCCCCGAAAGGGTCCAGACCTTGGGCGGCGGTGATGGCGGTGTAGCCGTTCTGCCGGGTGAATATTCCCCGCTAGAGAGAAAATATTCGGAGAAGCTCTTCGCAACGTCCCGGAGACACCAATTCCACTCACCGTCTTCACCCTGCGCTTGCGGTGCGCCTGAACCCCTGACAATGGCCCGCGACAAGCTGGATAGCCATGATTCTTCCAAGAAGGGCTCTTCGACACCTTTGAGCGAAAAGAAATCGCACAAAAGAAAGAGAGAACAAGATGGCGCCGCCGCCGTCTCGACGCCCACTCCGAGCAAGAAGTCGAAGAAAGCCGAAAGTCCATCGTCCACTCCTACCACCGTTAAAGACAAATCGAAAAAGAAAAGAAAACCCGAGGTCTCTCCGAACAGTAGTGATCAGGAAGAGTCGACCTCGAAGGAGAGTGTTGTCTCGTCGCGGAGCGGCAAAACAACTTCTTCAAGTAAGGACGACGACAACGTTAAATCAGCGAAGAAATCAAAGAAAGTCAAACGAAAGAGCGCAGGAGGCAATGACGGCCCATCTACGGAGGATGCGGATTTAGTGGAGATGAAAGATGCGGACGACGACGAGGTGGAAACACAGAAAGAGGCGGAGAACGTGGAATCTCCCTCCAAGCCCGCGAAAAACAAATTCTCGGGAATTCTATCCAAGTTTGAACGGTCGGCAAAGGTAAAGAAGGCGCAAAAGACAACAGAAGATGACAAATACAAAACCGAGGACGCTGGGGCTATGACTGCAGAGCCAGTCATAGCGCAGGGACTAGAGCCTCTACCACAGCCAGAGGTGGTTCCCGAGGAGACGGAGAAGCCAACGTATTCATCACTTCCTCCATGGCTGGCCAACCCCCTACGAGCGTCCGCGGATGACCGAACGAAATTCTCCGACCTAGGAATCGAGTCCAACCTTCTGCGAATCCTGGAAGACAACGGCTACAAAGACGCATTTGCTGTTCAGTCCACAGTCATTCCTCTGCTTCTGCCCGGGCCGAAGAAATACTCCGGTGATCTTTGTATTTCCGCTGCCACTGGTTCGGGAAAGACCTTGTCCTACGTTTTGCCCCTGGTCACCGATTTGAAGCCAATGCCAGCCCCGCGGCTGAGAGGAGTCATTGTAGTCCCCACACGAGAGCTGGTTAAGCAAGCCAGAGAGGCATGTGAGCTCTGCGCCGCTGGGTCGGGCTTGCGGGTTGCTTCGGCGGTTGGAAATGTGGCCATTAAGGATGAGCAGCGGTCATTGATGCGCATTGACCAAGCATACGGCCCGGAGACTTTCAAGCAGAGACAGAGCTTCAAACTCGTCGACGAGGATTGGACGAATTTCAGCTTGCAAGACTTCATCACTGAAGCCGATGATGAGAGTGAATCTCTACCGGGTTATGTTCACAAGACCGAACCCAACATCGATATCCTAATCTGCACACCTGGTCGTCTTGTTGACCATCTGCGCTATACCAAAGGATTTACCCTGAAACATCTTGAGTGGCTGGTTATTGATGAGGCCGATCGACTGCTTAACGAAAGTTTCCAGGAATGGGTTGACGTGGTGATGAATTCGTTGGATGCACGGAAAGCAGCCGACGCGTTTGGCTTCAGCGGAACCTTCCTATCCGAGCTTGGCCTTCCTATACAGAGCAAGGAGCCCAAGAAAATCGTCCTAAGTGCAACTATGACACGAGACATATCCAAATTGAATACCCTCCGGCTGTCGAATCCTCAACTTGTTATTGTCGGCTCGGAGCAGGGCCCGACAGGCGAAAATGGGGACGAGCAGGACCGCTCAGATGAGCAATTCACCCTTCCCCCGACACTCAAGGAATTCTCGATTCCTGTTGGGGATGGGGCAAAGAAGCCTCTCCATCTTCTTAGCCTTCTGCGGTCGCACGTCAAGGTTGATGCCAGCAAGAACGCGAAGCGCGCTCTTTCTGACGACACATCTGACTCGGGCACCTCCAGCTCGGGCGACTCGGACTCCGATGACACAAGTTCTGATGGGTCCAGCTCTGATGATTCTGATTCTGATGATACGAGCTCCGACGAATCCAACTCCGACGATTCGGATTCGGATTCTGAAGATAACACTTCGTCGTCGGGATCGGATTCAGACTCGGACTCATCTGACAGCTCGTCTGAGTCGGAAGACGAAGTGACCGAAAAGAAGAAACGTGGCCCAGCACGCACCACGGTATTGATCTTCACGAAATCATCGGAATCGGCGTCCCGACTTTCCCGCCTACTTGCTCTACTTGATCCTTCGCTGGCCACGACAATCGGCACCATCATCAAGTCGAACAAATCATCAGCCTCCCGCAAAACGCTTACCGCGTACCGCCAAGGCAAGATCTCCATCATCATCGCCACGGATCGTGCCTCGCGTGGTCTTGATCTGCCTTCTCTGTCTCATGTGGTCAACTACGATGTACCATCCAGTGTCACGACCTACGTGCACCGTGTTGGGCGAACGGCACGAGCTGGCAAGGAAGGAAGCGCTTGGACGCTTGTGGCACACCGAGAGGGTAGATGGTTCGAGAAGGAGATTGCCAAGGGCTCCGACGGGAAAATCACACGACTTGTTAAGGTGGACCGAGTCAACGTGAAACTGGATGGCATGGAGGATGCGAAGTCGAGATACGGAAGAGCTTTGGAGGCCCTGGAAAGCGAGGTGAAAGCCGGTGCAGTAGTGAAATCGGCGAAAACAGAGGCATAATTATTCTGAATACCCTCAAAAAAAAATGTGAATAGACATATTTTACATTATTCCAAAGATTCCATCCAACCCATACCGCTTAATCCTAAATCCTTCCAACCCTAACCCCATCACCATTAACCCTCAGTCTCCCCATCTTCCTTCAAAGCCGCCTTAACAGCCTCATCGGTATTCCCCACATCACCTGCCCCTTGATAAACATGCGCCCAACTCACCACACCCTCCCCATCTACCGCAAAATCCCCAGCGGTCTGCCACCGACTCCCGCTCTCCGTCGGTCGATTCCATATCCCCTCGCTACGACCCAACGACACCACCGACGCGATCGTCGACGGACTCAGAATATGCCATGTAGACGAGACACCTAAGCCCCAGGCCGCATAGACCTCGCGCTCCTCGTCCACAACAAGCCGGATCGGGTTCTGCTCGCTACGACGCAGAGGCTGGGTCTGGTCCGTGACTAACGCCTCCTGCCACGCTTCTGTGGCTTCCTTGGAGGAATGGCTGACCGCGATGCCGACGACCGAGCCGTTTTGGACGGCCGGGTGGTCGTTTAAGTCGCGGTAGGCTTTTTCGGCGACTATATGGGTGTTAGTCATCATTTTACAGGGAAAATTTTTCAAGAAAAGGAGGGAAAGGATATAAGAAGGGGAGGAGACATACATGGACATCCACAATGTCGGAGAAATATCACTATGGCTGGCTTTTTATCTTCTGTCGGAAGTGCCAGGGCCGGATGGTTTGGTGCCTGGGCGCCCACTTTCGGGGGATCTGCTATTTGCCCGGTTGTGGGTGTTTTCCAGGACGCGAGCTCTTGCCAGAAAGACATTTTGTGAGTGACGAGTTGGTTGTATTTGGGAGTTGTTGTTATGGCGTTCAGGGTTCCGCGATGGGAGTTTCAAGAAGAGTGGAGGAAGCTATGACGTTGTGAAGATTCTCGGAGGTTATCTATTCCCCACTCGTGGGTCTTCCTCTACATCGTCTATAAGAGGGGGAAGGAATAGCGAGTCTTGATGGTGGAGCTTTTTTTCTTTCTTTTTGTTTCTTGACAGTAAGCTTTATGTTTTATTCCATCTGAGGTTTTCTCTGTGATTTCTTCTAATAAGGATCTTCCAAGAAGATTGTCAAACTCGAGATATATATCCCTAGCAGCCTGACCGTACCAAAACCCAAGGAACTCAAGCAATTCATTACATCTTCGAGCCCCTCTCATCAGTATTCATCTTATCATTCACCCCAACAACACATAACCTCCCAGACCTGGGTGAGGGGTGTGTTAGTATGGAATTCAGGTAATGTAGGGCTTGGTGGGAGTTGGAAATAAAGCACTGGATAGGGCATGGAATGGGAATAGGATAAATGGCAGACCGAAGACTCCGAGACTTTGTTTAGCTGCTGGAAACGTTTTTCTACATTTTTCTGGAATTCTAACTGTGATAGGGATTCGTTTCTTGAGGATGAAGTCATTATGCGCTGGGTGTAGTTGTAGTAAATGCTTGAATCTTTGACTAAAGAGGAGAATTTGTAGAAGTTTTCTATGCCAGGGATAAACTAGGGGTCAGGATAGGCCCTTTTATCATTGATTTTACGTGATCTTCATCCTCTACAGGATTGGATTTGGATTGTAATATATGTGGACGCTGACCACACTCTGCTTTTAATTCTTTCTGGTTCATTGGTTTTATATCATTGGCCTTCTTTACTTTGTACAGGACAACCCCAAACCTTGAGATTGTTTCCTCTATGATCCGTCTACATAACTTCAACCCAAATGCTAAATGCACTACAGCCTGACGCACGTTTGCATGTAAGAATGGCAGACAGAATGCAACAGTGTTTAGATTTTCAGGGCAGGTGTGTGCTCAGTGGGAAGTTACGTGAATTATGAACGATCAATCCATATCAACCTAGTCCAGCCACTCCCTAATCCAGCCACGCAACCATTCTGGATGAATTGTCTGTAATTCCCTCAATCCCTTGCTAGCCTCTGCAGTCCGATCAGTCGAAAACCGCGCGACCCCAGTTCGACCAGCATCCGTAAGCTGTTGCTCGTAGAACCCTACCAGTTTAACCGCGTGATTGCGGTCAATGTCAATTCCCACTCTCTCAGACGCAGTTGAAGCATGCAGTTTCGCAACCCACCCTTGCAGAGAAACTACAATGATTTGGCCAGACTGACCATTCTGATCGGGCTTTTGCAACTCATATACAACGACGGGTATCAAGTCCTTCCACTGGACACGACGCGGATTCACGCAGTGGAAAACTGGAGCTCCGCCAGGGCTGCCTTCAATTACGTCCTTGCGGAAGTTTCCAGTGGCAATGACAGTTGAAAGTTCAAACAAAATAGGCGCAAGGATATCCACAGGGATCCAGCCGATCTCGTCATACTGCCCTTTGCCGCCCTCGAAGGAGGAAGGCAAGGCAAGGCACCCAGGTAGAGCGAGCTAATGATCAAGCTCGGCAGCCATTCAGACTTGCTCCAACCGCGTGGATCCGTTGTAGTCCCTGAGACTTGACCGATGCGTGCAATAGAGTAGGATGTGGACAGTTTCCGAAACGCGTAGTCCAGGATCTACTCGGCGAGGTACTTGCTCTCGCCGTAGCCGATGGCTGCTGTACACAACGGGTCGGTGATGATATCCTCGGGAATCCATGCGGTTGCGTCAGGCAGGGTATTGTGTGAGCTGACAGCAGAGATGTATGATAAGAAGAGGAGAGACGGATGACATCGGCCTTTTCGTGTGAGAGCTATCAGGTTCAGCAGTCCGGCAAGACTCGACTTGAAATAATGTAGCGGTTGGATGAAGTTCAATGGCCGGGCGGCGTGGATGATTTGCGTTGCGGAGCTGACCATGGAGTTGTAGTCGCCGGCGTCGAGACCAAGGCTGTCTTTGACTAGATCTGCTGTAAGGAAGGTGACTTTCTTCTCGGAAAGAGCGTGAGTGAGGTTTTTTCGCTTGTTGCCCACGGCTTGGGAGGACCTGGGGTCTTCCTCATTAGGACGGGCTCGGTTAAGATAGCAGATGTGCGAAACTATTGGGTTGGCGACGAGGTAGTCGAGGAGGAATGACTCAACGGTACCTGTCGAGCCTGTCAGGATGACAACCTGTGGGACGGGGAGAGTTTGTTCTGCTATTTCTGCAGCTTTTGGGCTAGAAGCGAGTTGGTTAATCTGTTGCTCATACCTGTGGAGCAGGCGTGACATGGAAATCATGCGATCATCCCCGGTGTCTGCAGGAGAGTCGGAGTAAACCATGTTCGCTAACCCATTGATCGAGGCGCTCGTGTATATGGCGCTTGGTGAGATAATTACACCTAGGGTAGACCGAATGGCAGCCGTAAGACGCAATGCCTGCAATGATTCTATACCTAAGACGAAGAAGTCGGCATGATTCTTGAACTCGCTCCAGGATGTCACTTCCTCAACTAGTATCCGCAAAACATGAATTGCGTGCTGAAGGCTGTTTAGTTTCTTTTTAGGGGGCTCCTGTATCTGCCTTTCCTCGTAGAGAGCGTCAATCTCGTCCTGGTAGAGCTGAATAGTCCCCGCGCGCTGCACGGTGCCTTTCCCAGCCCGTAGCATGGGTTTTGCTGCATCCAGAACCAGGATCTTGGACTTTGATACCCGTGCGTGTGCTGGACACTGGGCATTGGCCTCTTCAACAGCCGACCAGACCGCCTCAATGAGATCAGCCTTTGCCGCGTCGCTCAAGGCCTCCATAGTCGCCGGCTCAATCAACAAACAAGCCTCGAGGCGCTGATTGCCGGCAACAAGCGCAGATCGGACATCTGGATGTCGTGAGACCTGCTGTTCAAACGTCACCGGGTTTGTCTTCTCGTCATTCAGAAAGACAATGATATCATCACGGCGGCCGCGGTGTCTCCAGAGGTTTGGAAGTGTAGGGTGAGGGCTGAACAGGTCCCTCGTCTCGTACTCGTCGAGACCTGGAAACATCGCGAAGACAGGCTGTGCCTCGGGGTTTTGGGTTGATCGCACGAGAACAAGTTCGTGCAGGTCGTCCATGCGCTGCCGGAACTCCGGCTGCGCGGTTGGGTGGATGTAGAGATACTGCCAGGTCTCCGTGAAGGAGGGATCGGCGATCCGCAGCTGAGGGAGAGCAGTGAATTCACTAGAACCAAGCCACGAGTAAATGGGGATCTTGGATGAAACGATCCTACCGGCGGTTGATGGGAGGGCACCGCCGGTGTAGAAGAGGTTCTAGAGCTTGCTAGCGACGAGATCGAGGGCAGTGGGGTCTTTGCTGAGATCATCGAGGATAACAGGAACGAGGAGGCCCAGTTGAACGTGCCGTACTTGACAGCTTCCAGGAAGGCATCAGTCGATGGGGGACGGCCAGGAAGCGGCAATACCGGGACACTCTTGCTATACATTGCTAAGACTAGTCCGAAGCCAATACCGGCGATCTTAGGACTCTGTTATTAGATTTTCTGATTGAAGCATGACGGAAGAATGAACTTACGTGGAAAGCCGGCAAAAAGGGGAACCACTCTCCTTGGAGGAAGTGTTGATCGATGCGCGTCATTTCATCGAGCGGTGACAGAGTAGTAGCTGCGTAGATTCGGCAGACAAACTCGTTGGTATATATCAACGGCTTCGGAATGCCTTACACCGCGTTAATAAATGAGAACAACACGTATGTATTGTTTACATACCGGTGGACCCAGAAGTGTGCAAGGCAAAGGCAGGCTCGTTCCGGGCCTCTTCAAACGTTTTTTCATATGGGTACGCAGGAACATCCACATTCGTGAGAAGATTATCTAGAGACGGGATATGTATGACCTTGATCGGATATTCGCGCAAGATGCTCGGAACAAACGGTGGCTCTGGGTCGGTGGTGACCAAGACGCGTGTTTCCAAGTGCGAGAGGAGATGCTTCTAGGCAGCAATACTATTGCGGGGAGAAGGGAAAAATGCCTGGTGGGCCGGTTGTTAGCCACAGCTGACATGCAGTTATATCTTTCATCAGATGTCCAACCTTGTATCCGGTCTTGACAACTGCCAGAAGGACGATATGGCACCGAAGATCCTCCGGACCCATTTAAGCGAGGGTATCGAACGTTGGACTTTTTCCGATGTTTGCGTCCAGGAACCACGCCATAGAATCCACGGCATTGCGCATCTGGGAGTAGGTTGCTCCCTGGAATCCTTGGTCGTAGGAGGTTGGCGAAACAGGGAACTTGGCCCATGCTTGGTCTGGTTGACATGCTGCACGGTGGTCAAGGAGGGCAGGCAGGAGCCTTGGCTCTTGGAAGTCCTTGGAGTTGCTCATGCTGGGTAGTGCGGTAAGTTAGTATCGCAGATATATGGAGTGCGTCCTTGAGGGCAGGACACTTTCAACGGGCCAGCACCTGTATTTATCCTCGAGGAATGCTATCATCTGCGCCTATTTGGCGCAGGAATCCCCCAGCAAACAGGACTGACTATGCCGAATCCCGGATGGATGCCCAAAGCCCCATTCTGAGAGTTGCCAACGTTAGCTAATGGGTTATCCTTGGTTACGGATATTTGCATCCGTGCATCGACGCCGGTCTCTCAGACAAAGAAAGTTATGCCAAGCTAATAACATACAGGCTGAACTTATGTAGTACAGCCATATCAGTGCTTACTGGAAACCAACATTGTGGTTATATGAGCAATCAGATCAGGAATCGGCGTGTTGGAATCGAACGATCTAAATAAAGAGCACATGTGACGTGGTGAGTACACACTGGATGGACCTCTATTGAGCTGTCTTAGAGAGTGGGACATTTCATCACGTCGCACATGTTTCGTCTCTATATTCGGCAAAGTAAAGCCTACCCCTGTGAATATCGGATAAAGCATCACAGAGAGAAAGCCGGGGAGTTGTATGATAATTTGCAACTTAACCAGACCGTACTACGAACAGCGGATACATGTCCTCTTCCAGCAGGCCAAACAACTGTTATGATGCTATAGAAAGAGCAAATGCCTGAGTTGGGTGGAAAGTCAGGTAGGTATAAATCTAGGGGACCGTTGCTACCACCCCCCTTTGCATGCTACCACCCCCCCCCTGCCTGAATTGTGAGGCCAATATTTTTCTGCCGGACATATTTCTGCCACCATCGACCATGCTTCTAACACAAACTTGAGGTACTTACATTTACTATGCAACCTTCTAATTAAATGAAGTCACTTTCGTACTCTACTACCTACCATGTCAACTGCATGGCACTAGTCCCAAATAGGAAATAGATGCTGTTTTCAAAAACTCTGCAGAAATGAAAGAATCAAGCTATTCTGGGTTAAATTTCTTGAAGAATCGCATGAGAATTGTAAAAAAAAAAACTCGAGTAATTTGCATTAGATCAGCCATTTATGGAGCTCCCCGACGTTTCCTGAGGCGGTCGGGCCAGGAATCCTCGCGCTGGACCGTACATGAAGCTATTTCCGCCCCCTGCGATGCCTGTAGTGTCCTTCCACGTCCTCGGCCGCGCCCACGGCCCCGTCCACCTTCCTGAGAAGCTTGTTAAGCTTTCTGGGCCGTAGATAAAGCTATTCTTACCCCCTGCGATGCCTGTTGTGTCCCTCTACGTCCTCGGCCGCGCCCACGGCCACGACCACCTTCCTGAGATAGCATGAGCTCGAAGCCGGAAGGGTCTCGCTGGGTAGAGGTATCTTGGGTACTTGCTTGAATGTTTTCGCTGCCGCCGATGAAGTTCCTAGCGCCTCGGGGGCGCCCTCGCCGGCGCACTTGGAGAGGATCCTGGAGTAGGAGTAGCGGGTTAATAGGAGGTACAAATACACTGTACAAATGCTAATGTTGATAAAATAACTCAAGCTCAAAGCTCTTTTCCTCTTCTTCGTACTGCATAATAAGATGAATGCATGGAAACCCTGCCGTATTCTTCGAATTGCAGATACATAATAGAGGAATCGGTTGCTTATCTTCAGCTTCCGGTAAGAAACGGTTGTAGACATTCTTCGTATATTCAATAGCCTTAGCCGAAACCCGTCCAAAAACAAGCTTAAAGAGTTGCTTCCAGCGAGTATTAGTAAGCATTTTTATCTTATCACTCTCGATCGCGTCGGTAAGCTTTTTGAATTGAAGATTTACAGCATTCTCAAAGGTGCGGAGAACAACCAGTAGATTATTAGTAGAGACTTGAAGGTCCTGTTTAAGCAGCCAGTGAGCTCCTTCGGTCCGAGAGGTCGCGATTTCATTGAGATGAAGGTATTTTGACGTGTATTCATGGAAAAAGTACATAGGACAGCTATCCAGCCACTCTTTCTGTAGATATTCGAGTAAAGGCTCGAAAATTGGCTCCTTGTAGTTTTCTTTGAATTGCCTCTATCTTTCCTCCCTTTCCTCAGTCGTAATAGTATAGACGATGCGAATCTATCGCTGTAGCATCTTCTCCCATGCTTTATTAACCAATTCGCGGAGCTCTCGGTCTATCTCTGCTTTCGTCTGACGCTGTAAGGAAGCTAAGGAAGCGGAAGAAGCGGAAGAAGCATTAGCTAATATTTCTTACCGAACTTTTGCTAGCTGCTCTGCGAGTATCGGACGGCCTTTCTTCATAATATTCATGTTAATATACTATAGACAAATTATATGCTTTGTAGAAGAAAAGACAAGTTTAATAGCATTTATCAGTACTTCTTCCTTATCCGTGAGGATCGTCTGGGGTGGCTCAAGGCTAAGGGATTCGAATGCTTCAGCAAGACAGCTTAGAATAACTTGATAGCTATCTTCCTTCTCATCTTTCATGAAGGCGAAGCCGACATAAAAGCTAGATCCAGTAGCGGCAAAGCCGACGATATTAAGCAATGGAAAGCCGTATCGGTTAATTTTATACGTACAATCCATTGAAATAATCCATGAATTTGTTCTAAGCATCGCGATACTCGATCTATGTATACAGAACAAGGCTGTTACATAGTTCTTATCATCTATTTCATGCTTGAAGATCCATTCGCCATCGCGCGGAAGCTCTATCAATAGAGCTTAAAGAGGCGTACGGCCGGCAAGGAACTCTGTATAAAACTTTCTCCGTAGGTTATAGATGTCTTGGGCGGTAATAGATGAGTCTCGATCCTCCTTTCGAAACGCAGTAAGGATATGGCGAGTTAAAAGACCCTGATCAAGCTGCTTCCGAATGTCTTCCGCTTTATTGGATACTTCCGCGATGCGATGGGCTACATGGGTTGATACCGGCGAGGTTTCATAGTTATAGGTAGAGTTCTCTACTGTAAGACGCCAGGTATTGCTCTTTTGTAGCCGTAGGGAGATCGAGAATTGGCACTCAATCGCGAGCGTATTTGACTGCCGCTGGCGCTTATTACCGGCAGTCCGATCTCGATACGCCCGTCCTCGATCACAGCATAACCGGACTGTCTTCATGACTCCTTTTTTTGTACGTTTCGACCGAAGAATCGAGACTGCGTAACTATGAGGACGGGCGAAAGCATTGATTGCAGTAATTCCTTGCTCTGGCGTATCGTACTGTTGATCGAGAGGGGGTAGCGGGAAGGTATAGAGGCTTGATATCGGCGGCGAGGACTCGGGAATAGCGTCAGGAAGGCTTGACGGCGCGTCATAGAGGCTTAATATCGTATTTTGATGGCTTGGTATCGTCGGCGGGGACTCGGGAATAGCATCAGGCTCAAAATCGGACGGCGAATCAGGCTGCGAGAAAGCCATCGTAAAGGAAAGTGAAATGTGAGAGAAATGGGTAAAAACCGCGAGTTATGAGTAGAAAAATGGGAGGTTTGAAGGCGTAAACAACAATTTTTTTGAATTCCTTATTGGGTACTACAGTGGAACAGGAGTGACTTATTTTTACTAGGAATTTACATAGTAATCGGAGGTACCTAATGTGTGATATACATGCAGGGTAGTAGGTAGCAATAAATAAAAGTTCGAGGATGAAAGCGGTGAGAAAAGCGGTCAGTGTTGGCCTCGAAATTCAGGCAGGGGGTGGTGGTAGCATGCAAAGGGGGGTGGTAGCAACGGTCCCCTAAATCTATCGTGATAGACATGGGACCATATCATACACCATCTCTCACCTAGTGAGGCCCACTTGCATTGATAAAATCCCCGCAAAACAACCCCGGCTTGATCTCCTCACATTGTGTCATGATCGACAGAGCCAGCACCGCTCCGTCCGTCCTCTCTAACTTTGTATAGGTCGACTTGAATTTATCCACAAATCCCAGGAGACCATATCGGATAGAGCCCGAGGGTCATTGCCGCGCAGCCGTACAGCATGCCTAATATATTACGGCTACGACCCATGACGGAGGCGGGGATGTCCGCCTCAGATCCATCCCACCATGGCCTTGTCAAGTAGCTTCGTTGTATCTATCGTGATCATATTCTGTCCATTATTCTGTCATGCAGTGATATTCAAGCCTCAGAATGTATTTCAATCTCTCAATAATCACAACACCTCCGCCCCTCTCAACTTACAACCTCTGCGAAATAATCGTGCGTTCGGAATGAAGCCGAACGAGTCGAATTTCGATGGCTACGGAAGTATGTCCACTATCAAGTCGACCATAAATTCAATATCTCTAACCCGATGATCACAGATGCATACCCAGCCCAGCACCTCCCACCTTCAAGCTTCACCTACGGAGGTATAAAATACAACTTCCCGACCTACAACGCATCTGACCCCGACAATGTCCTCGCGCAAGGACAGAAGGTCCCCGTCCGCAAGTCCAAATACCTCAGCGTGCACATGCTTGCAGCCTCCGAGTCTGGCATGGCCTCCGGAATCATCAACGCAACCTACGCGGACGGCAGCACCGCCTCTGTCCCGGTGCTCGTACCCGCCTGGTGGAGCTGGCCGTATCCCGCTGGCGGAGATCTGATCTTTCCGTATTATCTGGGAAATGAATCGATTGACTACAACCGGTCGAATATTTTCCAGATGGTCAATTGGTTGGATTCGTCGAAGGAGTTGGTCGCGCTGACACTGCCTAATGTAACCGGTGGGTCGGCGACTGAGCCCGGTGGTGAGGATATTGGGACGCGATTGCATATTTTCGCTCTGTCTTTGTTGTCTTCGCCGGAGGAGGGGGATAGCGATGATCCCAGGTTAGAGGTACAGTATGCGCGATCGACTAGGAAGTGGATAGAAGGAACCGATCAGGTTCAGGTCGTTGAGGTGTTGCTTAACAATGTGGGACGTCACTTCCTGCTGAGAAACCATTCAGTGAGTTTGCAGATTGACTCGCCCGGCGTTGAGACTATCTCACCAGCACGGATTAAACGCCTCGTGCCTGGAGATCAAGCAATCGTGGAGATCGGCGTGAAGAATAAACAAGGTGTTGAATCAGGAAGCCAAGGATCAGCTAGTGTTGCGATCTCGGGACACGGAGTGCATGCTAGGAAGTATACGTTCAACGCAACATATGGCATTCCGGCCTACGAAGCAACGTACGAATCTATCTACGCACACGAGTCACCAAGCTGGTACAATAATGCCAAATATGGGATCTTCATTCATTGGGGACCATACTCCGTGCCTGGGTGGGGGAACTCGGGAGAGAATGAGAACTATGCTGAATGGTGGGTACTCGTCCATGATACGCCATACCATGTTCTAATGTCGATGAAGGTACTGGTGGAATCTCAACGAGGGTCCAAACACGTCTGTTGCGACCTACGAGCACCACTTAGACACGTACGGGCCTAATCTCGTGTACGACGACTTCATTCAGAATTTCACCGCCGAGGCATGGGACCCAAAGGAATGGGTAGATCTATTTGCAGATGCAGGGGCAAATTACTTTGTGCAAGTGAGCAAGCACCACGATGGATACACCCTTTTCGATCTACCAGCCAATGTCACGGAACGCACTTCGGTGCTTATGCCGCCGCATCGAGACCTGATCAAAGTAGGCTTTAACATAGACTACGAACGGACAGAACGCTGATGATACCCCAGGAGCTTTTCGACGCCGCATCAACACACCAACCTCACCTCCATCGCGCAGTATACTACTCTTTACCAGAATGGTTCCACCCCGATTATCAGAAATACGGCTTCGGATCCTGGCCAGGAGGTAAGACAACCGGAACATCGCCTAATCCCCAAACCCAGTTCCTTACTAACAAGAGCGCAAGGCAACGCCACAAACCCCTTCACGAATACCTCCCTCCCCTACACCGGCTACGTCCCTCTAAACGACTATATTGCCAACAAGATCCTCCCAGAGATGCAAATCCTTGCGAACCTGGGCACCGAAATCATGTGGTGCGACATCGGCGGCCCAAACCGCACCACCGAGTTCGCAGCACAGTGGTTCAACGCTGCGGCGCAAGACAACAAACAAGTCGTCATGAACGCGCGCTGCGGACTCCCAGGGGACTTCGACACACCTGAATACGCGCGCTACGAGGCCGTGCAGGTCCGCAAGTGGGAGAGTTCCCTGGGCATGGACCCCTATAGCTACGGGTATAACCGCGCGACGCCGCTGGCGCGGTATATGAATGCCAGCGCGATCGTGACGAGCTTGGTGGATATTGTGAGTAAGAATGGGAACTTTTTGCTGGACATCGGGCCGATGGCGGATGGGAGGATTTTGGATGTTGAGGCGAGGAATTTGAGGGAGGCAGGGGAGTGGATTCAGGACCATGGAGAGGCGGTGTTTAATACGACTTACTGGTTTGTGAGTCCTGAGGAAGGGGAGGTGAGGTTTACGACGACGTTGGATGCGTTTTATATCGTTTCGTTGACAAGACCGGAGGGAAAGTTGGCGTTGAGCTATCCGGTACCTTGGGTTGAGGGGGATCGTGTCACGGTAGTCGGTGGAGGAATGCATGGAAGAGTGGTTCCTAGTAGGAAGATGGATGGTGGCAGCTTGGTCTTGCAGGTTAGCGAGGAGATTGCGGAGGCAGATCACTATGCATGGGTGTTTAAGATCGAGTACTGATGCTGGTTGATGCTGTGGTGCATTGTATCTTTTTGGGGGTATACCAAACTGGGGCAAGATTAGGGCTACGTCAAATCATTGATAAACAGCTGTAGCAAGCTAAAATACAATAGCAATAAACTAGAAGACGCCTATCCTCCAACACTTAATCATGAAATCCTTGCAGCATAAACCTCCAGACCACAGACTTGAACTGCTCAAACTGCAGTATTTTTCACCAAATAAACCCTCTCATGACCCGGTACCAACCCTGCCGTTCTCTTCACCTGAAAGCCATTTCTCTCATACAGTTCTTTCTGCTGCGGAGTTGCGACTGCCAACACAGGGATGACCACCGCCTGCTTAACCAACCAGTTCACCAAGCCCTGCTCTACGCCCTGGCCCTCGTAATCACGATGCACGACAAGCATTACTATCGCTACAAGAACTAGAAGTCAGCATCCAGATAGACCCAACCAACCACTCAAAACCTGCCAGCCAACCAGCCAGCTAGATCATGCACCAACACCACACAAGAAAGAAAACTTACCATAGAATTTTCCCTCCTCCACAAACTCCCTCTCTAACCCTTTCTCGATCTCGCTCGTGGTAAAATACTCCTCATAAAAAATCCGCCCCCGGGGCCTGAAGCCATGATGCCCTCCCATTTCGTCCCAGGTTCTCCGGCCACGGGAATCCGCAAGAGTGCGAATCCGGCAATCTTATTTTGCTTCTCCTTACACGTTTGCTGTCAAGAGGATGTCCTTGCCATTAAGAGGTCGATACTCGTTGGCGCTGATGCGGTTGAAGTGGATATGGAGGTTGTCGTAGAAGAGATTGGTAGGTATACAACGGTTGTCGAGGAAGCGTGTTGCGAGAAATAGCTGACAATGGGCGCAGGATTCTACAAAGATGTTGGCAAGAGCGGACCCATCGTTTATTGAGGGTTGGATGTCAAAAGAAGTTGATATTTTGATGGGAGTGATAGTATTTGGTGTGGTTCGTGGTGGTGGTGGTGGTGTGTGTTATGTGCTCTGAGTCAGAAAAGTCTGTCTTCACCTAGACGATAGAGCGTATGATGGGAAAGAATCATTGGGAAGGTTCGAGTCATATTCAAGAAGGTTCTTTTGATCGTCATCTCGACGTTATTGTGGAAGGCGCGACCATACAGGACAGGGCACCTCATTTATCTATATCCATTTGATTAAACACCTTTCACCCTCCTCTCATCCCTAACCACTTCTACCCTCTCATCATCCCTTACACTTCCATCCGACTGACTCTCCGCGTCACTTTCACTCCCACCCCTTCCCACTCCCTTCCTGTCCAAATACACAATCAGCCCAATAAATGGCAACGTCATCGCCCCCGTCACCAAACTCGCAATATACCCCTTCTCGAAATGCGGCGCATCCGTAGCCGGATAAAACACCAGCGGCCACCACGTCACAAACGCAAAGTCAAACGAGTTCATGAACCCGGTTGAGATGGCACGTAGCTGGAGATCATGGCTCGTTACATCCGCCATCCACGAGTACCACAACGCCTGGGGCGCGTAGGTCGTACCGAGCAGGTAGAACGCAAAGAAGTGACCGGCGTCTTTGGCTGGGTCAGCTACGAGAATGGCGCTGCCGACAATGAAGGTCATCCCGATGGCGATGGAGCATTCCCATCGTGAGCGGAGATGGTCGGATATCGCGGCATACAGCACCGTTCCGACTATAGCTGTCGCGTATAATCCTGTCGGGTAATTGTTTTGTTGGATCACAGTATAGCCGCGAGTCGCCATCCAGAGGGCCATCACGTTGTTGCTGAGGGATTGCACGCAGACGGAGTATACTATCGTGGAGGTTAGTAGGCTGTGCGGTTGGTTTAATGGGGAAAACTGACGCATGAAGATCAGGGGAAGGAGATAGAATTGCCAGCTGAGGAAAACTCGTCGAAGAACGGTCCAGTCCCATGATTGCTCGGGTACTTTGCCCAGACGCTCTGCTGCGTGTTCCTTTTCGTCGTGGCTGAGATACCAAGCTGCTCGATGAGCAGGGAGGTCTGGGATAAAGAACCATCCTGCACTATGTTAGGTCCTTCTATCATTGTTTCTGTTAAAACCAGATACACTCACCGAATAATGCGACAGGGACAGTCATCACCGACACGATGATAAAGATCCATCGCCAGGCCGGCAAACCTCCCTTGCCAGCCAAAGCCTGCAGCAGACCAGCCTGAATCCAACCACCGGCCATACTTCCAACATGCCCGAAGCAACAGAACACCGCTGCCCGTTTCCCCAGCTCGGACTTGCGGTACCATGACCCGAGAACAAAATGGCCCCCGACACTGCAACAAAGATTAGACACAGGCTATCATGAGTTCACCAAGTCATGCTACTTACTAGGCAATAGCCGAAAACCCGCCTTCGATCGCATTCAACAGTATGACTTGCCACGCCGCCGTCAACTTATACGTGACCAGCGTCAACACACTCCAGATGACGTTCGCCGTGACGAAGACATATTTCGGGCGCAGGACCGTCAACAGACTCGTCCCTGGGATCTGGCACACCGCATAAACGACCATGTATGCGGTGCTCATATAGTTATAATCCTTTCCCTCAAAATGCAGCGCCTCTTTCATTCCACTGATATAAGCAGATGAGTAGCTGGCTCTCGTGATGCCGAACAGAAACCAGATCAGCGAGAAGTAAGGGAGCAAGGTAAAGTCCAGCTTCGACAGAAGGGCTCGATCTTTGGCATCATGGCCCCAGAGGATGATAGCGATTCCTTCGCGATTAAACCAGCCCATATTTGACGGCGTTGGAGATTTGTTGTGATAGTCAAGATAGGATATCCGACCAGGGTGTCGTAGGTCTCATAAATACTTGGTCGGTCGATGACACAAAAGCGAACCGGGATGAGATGCGACCGGCTAAGCATGTAGGATTCCGTAGGGCGGATGATGAACTTCCCCTCATGATAGCTTGAGCTGCCTGTCCTACTACACGGCTCGGTGATGGCGCCATGGAGCAGCTTGGTTCCACCATTTGATAACAGCATCAAGAAAAGAAAAGAGACGATAGTAGGATATACATGACGGGAAATATGGCAAAGTTACAGTTTGAAACACCTCGAGCTATCTAGAACTGAACAGCCCGATCAATCTCAAATTCCGCCCTTATTGACGCCGTCACGTCAACCCAGTACTCAGACACCGGCTCGGACAACGGCAGTAGCTCCCTACCCAGTCGGTATCCCGCGTCGCCAATATACCAGAATCCCTTAAAGAAGTGCAGACCCAGAGCATACAGCGAAAACACTAGACGAGCCGGGAATTCCTTCGCTTGAAGCAACTCTATGAATGAATCGTCTAGAGACAACGGCCATAGGAATACATTTCGACCCTGAGTCTCGATTGTATATTTGCTATCCACGCCATCGATCAAAGTTTGGCATGCTGTCCTGCAGACCTCAAATCGGGGTTGACTTTCTGTTCGGAACTTTTCCAATATCAAGGCACCCATTCGACAGATGGTTGGCCCTGGGACCACGGGACTGGAGCTTTTATTAGTGGGCAAAGGGAGAGAGCGAGTAGACTTCCAAGATATCAACACTCACAGAGGATGATCATCCCGCCGAGGGCTGTCCCGACTGAGTTGTGATTCCGTCATTATACCCGAACGAATATTCAGGCTCTCCATGGCATGATGAAAGAAGAGACAGCCTTGCAGCAGCGTCCTCGTCTGAAGAACATCGGCCAGATGGCTTGATTGTATTTTATCGCCCACAAGCGCAATGCGCGCGATCGCAAACAAGGCAATATAGATCGAGCATACCAAGGCTGGCCAAAGGGTGGAGGTCGAGACTTGGCCCACAACCTTCCGGAACTCCGAGCAGGCCTTGTTATTGTAATGCGAGCCGATTTCCAGCCATGTGTGCCGGCTGTTCGGCTCTAGATATGCAAGATGCAAGGCCGTGAATGCCAGGACGCTGTCCAAGACATAGGCATGGGCGGTGGCTGCCTCGGGGAATACGTTGTGCCACTGGTGGTAATCTTCAGGGCTGCAGACACTGTTGCTTGTACTAGTGTAATAGTGATGGAGGAGCTTTGCCTCTAGAAGACGGTTGGATGACGCATCGTGCGACTGAGGCTTGGGACTGGGACTTTGAGCGGGTGCTACAGAATCCCCGTACATGCAGTCGAGATTCCGGTTATGGCAGAATCCACATTGTGGTACTGATTCGTCGCACTATGACCGACTTAGTCCATGTTTCTATGTCTAGTATCTATGGATCCAGGACGTGGAAGAATCCAGACAGGACGGAATCAGGCGGGTACCTTGATGTGTCTTTTCTTGCATTCCGAGCAGCCGCGTCTGGATTTCTTGTGGGCGCGTCTTCGGAGCATGACGGCGTTAATCCTAGGCCAACGACCCGAGACGATGCAGGAGGCCTGTGTGACGGTCTGACAGAGCACCTGCGGAGGCTAAGAGGATGCAAATTACCAGCAACGAGGCAGGCGGATCGGCGGATGAGAGCGACCGAATACGGTTTAGTACGGATCGGGTACGGGTGCCAAGCCCGCTTTCTTTTACTTCCTGCCAACTAGGTACTACAACTCTTTAAACCTTCATGCAAACACAATCCGGGCATTTAACTCAATTGACATAAGGAAGTCATAAGTACAAGCCCTGAATATTGCTGTTTGCACCATTTGCATAGACCTGGGTGATGGTGTTGTGAAATGCACAGGGGAAGTAGGGCAGAATGACACTGTATCAGCTATACGCACGTAGCCTACTAAGGAGCGAATGCCTTTTGCATGATAGGGCTCTTTAATTCTCTTGCATTGCGATTGATCTCTTCTTCTCTATCATGGATAAAGGGGTAAGTTCCTCAGGGGTTCGAGTGTGCGGGCCAAGCCGCTAGATCACGTAATCCTATGGATTCGTATCAGATGGGAACCCCAGCATCAGAGAGTGAAAAATTATTCATCAGAAAAGATGCCTGGTCTAATAATGAACCAAAGTTGCCCACGGGTTTATCGTCGATGATGGAAGATGGTTGGTCTTTGCAGAACGGCACCTCCATTCTATCGGCTGTTGGTCATTGCCTGCTGAACATCTTCATTTGGGCACCGGCGTGGTAGCAAACTGTTCCTCTATCCTTTTGTACTAATTCCTGGCTCGAGCTGAACATACTTCAGGTTCCTTATACATTACTTTCCTCCGCTAGAACATGTTTTACCAGCTCCTCCTGCTATCTCCCTGGAGTACCAGCTGCAGATGAAGTTCCTCTCGTCCCTTTTGCTGCTTCTGACCGGTGCCGACGCAATCAATGCTCATCCCGCGGCCGCGGAGCGGTTCACGCGTGAGCTGGAGGTAGCTAGTCCCAACCTATCAGGATTTGCTCTGCGAGCCTGCCAACAAAGAACACCGAACTGCAGCCGCCTGGATTATTTCATCTCTAGAATCACATCAGGTAAAGCCCGGTAGGTTAAAGAGCCCCCTGCTGACACACACCGTTTGTACCCGACGATTAACTTCATCAGGATTGCCTTTGTTACCTTTGGGCCCAAAGCCGCTAGATACATTTGCCGCGCCATAACACATGGCGATCCCTCGTGCGATGATTGGGCTCAGGAATCCGATACGCCCTGGCACTTATCTTCATAATTTTCGGAAAAAATGGCGCCGAGGTAGCAATTCGTCCTGGTGGGCCAGTTCGCCGAATAAATGCAAGAAGCTACTTGGAAATGGCCACCAGTGCTCTGAAAGCAAGCAGTTTGCAATTTGCCATCATCGAGGCGGACGACGACCTGCCCGGCGTCGAGAAACAATCCTCGGATGAGCTAGATCTAGCCGAGAGATTCCTTATCCGCGGCCTGTATCATGGTGAGCTGGGCAACGATGCGACTAATATTTGGGTCAGTAATTACAGTAATGGCGATAGTGCCCTTCAAATTGCCCCGGAGTATGGTCAGCAGGACGGCAACTCTACTGTGACTAGGCGCTGGAATAAGCCTGGCTTCAAAATCGCTTACGCCACGAGAAAGGCGTCTCAACTTAATGAGCAGGAGGCCCTGAAGATGGCTAGGCATATTAGTCTGAAGTGGCAGAGCATGACTCTTGGCAAGGGTATCTCGGACTTCATAGGGTTTGTGGAGACAGGTCACACGGCAAACTTCTATTTCCGCATTATTCCAGAGGACAGGAAGTTCGGGTTGAACTACGAAAGTGCGGATATCTGTAGCAGTATGACGGGGGTGTTCTAAGATGTATATTGTGGGCCAAGAGCTCCAACTCCTTAAACAACAGTATATAACTCACAAAATCGACCTAGGACAGATTAGGTATAGTCAGTCTAGAATGTCCAAGGCATTAGCGGGCAGAGCGGAAAAGCCACGCGTTCAAATCTAAAGACCACGCACAGCTCTGGAAGTCCGTTCATGTCTAAGGCCTGCCTGCCCTCGGCTCCTCGACTGCCGAAATAAACAAGCATCAGCCACTCTTTCAAGGTCAAATCCCTTGGCATCAACCAAAGGTTTTGCCGAACTTTTGCCATCAAATTAAAGGGTTTATTATATACGGGAAAATGCATTTATCCCGAATACACCCAGAATCTTATTCTTTCCCAGGAAAGCAATGGTGGACGCGAGTTGAACTCAGTTCGCACTAGGCGCGCTCTAATCGGATAAATACAGCGACGGGGCCAGTGGAGATCTGCCACTCAAATGAACATGTCGATGAGTCGTCTAAGGTGTATGGATCCTGCAAGTGTCTGGATCATGCCACGATGGAACCAGCCCCCTTGTACGTGCTAATTGTTGTCTCATAGTCGTCTTGCTCGGTTGCCGGGAATCGAGGGGTTTGAATCTACCATGCCTAGTGTAACACTACCCCTTGAAGGGCCACAAAGACGATATGTTGAAGAAGCTAATTTAAAGTGATTCCTCCCATTGCAAGCGCGAGCGAATCATTTTTGATCGAAATTGTCCGGTAGGGTTTTCGGCATACCTACCTGCAGCGCAATAACTATCGATGTTCTACTATTGCGACTTCGCAGGAGAGTGACTGTGACGTCAGTACGACCAGCGCAGAATTCAGGCTGAATACACTCGACGTGCAGAAAACAGAATGCAAACCAAGGCCTCGTTTTGTTAAAAGTCGGAGAATCCCCGGGTCGGGATATCTGATCGACTGCGGGACTTGCTGTATTCGGCGACAGCTGTGGGGTGCGGAGTCGGGGTATTTGGACATTTTTGCCTGCAGTGCTTTCCTTGCACGAGGAAAAAATCTTCTTGACAATTTATGAAAATGACTCTCAAATCTTATAAATGGGCTGTCGGCCTGCCGGAAAGCATGCAGGAGCTCAAGCGCCGCCGCAGACAATTCGGTCATGCCTCCTTTCACCTCAATCGCTGCCGCCCTGGCAGCTATCATACCCACTGCATTGGCTCAAGCAAACAAAAGCTACGTCGATTACAATGTTGAATCGAATCCGGACCTTTTCCCTCAATGTGTGGCTACGATTGATCTTGGGTTCCCCGATTGTAAAAATGGACCCCTCAGCAAGACGGTGGTGTGTGATACATCGGCTCGACCCTATGACCGTGCCGCCGCCCTCATTTCGCAGTTCACTTTTGAAGAGCTTGTGAACAACACTGGTAATACAAGTCCAGGGGTTCCGAGATTGGGTCTTCCTCCATATCAAGTTTGGGGAGAATCTCTCCATGGCATCTTCCGCGCCAACAACACTCCGGAGGGCGATTACAGCTGGGCAACCTCTTTCCCCCAGCCTATATTGACCATGGCAGCGTTGAACAGAACTCTGATTCACCAGATCGGAAGCATCATTTCTACCCAAGGTCGCGCTTTTAGCAATGTCGGTCGTTTCCCCCTCGACACCTACTCCCCCAACATCAACAGCTTCCGTCACCCTGTCTGGGGTCGCGGTCAAGAGACGCCCGGGGAGGATGCTTATTGCTTGAGCTCGGTATACGCATATGAGTATATTACTGGAATCCAGGGCGGTGTTGACCCCGAGCACCTGAAGCTGGTGGCAACGGCGAAGCATTATGCCGGGTATGACATAGAAAACTGGAATGGTCATTCCCGCCTGGGCAACGACATGCAAATCACCCAGCAAGATCTCTCCGAATACTACACACCGCAATTCCTCGTCGCAGCCCGCGATGCCAAGGTTCATAGCGTGATGTGCTCCTATAATGCGGTAAACGGCGTACCCAGCTGCTCCAATTCCTTCTTCCTGCAGACCCTCCTCCGGGACACTTTTGGTTTCGTCGAGGATGGCTACGTGTCGGGCGACTGTGGTGCCGTGTACAATGTGTTTAATCCCCACCAGTACGCAGCAAACGAATCTGCCGCTGCTGCCGACTCTATCCGTGCGGGCACCGACATCGACTGTGGAACCTCCTATCAGTACTACTTCAGTGAATCTTTTGATGAGAATCTATTGTCACGACAGGATATCGAGAAAGGAGTTATCCGCTTGTATACAAACCTGGTGCGACTGGGATACTTCGATGGCAATAGCAGCAAGTACCGCGACTTGACCTGGTCCGATGTTGTGGAGACGGATGCTTGGAACATTGCCTATGAGGCCGCGGTGGAAGGGATCGTGCTCTTGAAGAACGATGGTACCCTCCCACTCTCCGACTCGACCAGCAGTGTTGCACTTATTGGTCCGTGGGCCAACGCAACCACACAGATGCAAGGCAACTATTTCGGACCTGCGCCTTACCTGACAAGTACTTTGGATGCACTCAAGCACTCAAACCTGGATGTCAACTATGCGTTTGGTACCAACATTACGTCTGATTCAGACGAGGACTTCTCGGAAGCACTTTCGGCTGCAAAGAAATCTGATGTCATTATCTTCGCTGGTGGTATTGACAACACTCTTGAATCGGAGACCCTAGACCGAGCTAATATCACCTGGCCTGGCAAGCAGCTTGATCTAATTGACCAACTGAGTGGGTTAGGAAAACCACTGATTGTCCTTCAGATGGGCGCCGGGCAGGTTGATTCCTCGTCGCTCAAGACTAATAAGAATGTGAACGCTTTGCTTTGGGGAGGGTACCCGGGTCAGTCCGGTGGTCAGGCTCTTTTGGATATCATCACTGGCAAGCGCGCACCGGCTGGTCGCCTCGTTACCACTCAATATCACGCCAAGTATGCTGAAGAGTTCCCTGCCATTGACATGGGTCTCCGTCCAAACGGAAGCAATCCGGGACAGACTTATATTTGGTACACGGGGACCCCAGTCTACGAGTTTGGCCACGGTCTTTTCTACACGACATTCCGTGAATCACCGGCTGGAGGTGCCAGAAACGGCTCGTCGTTCAATATTGATGACCTCCTCACCCAGTCTCATCCCGGTTACGCCACCGTTGAGCAGAAACCATTCCTCAATTTCACCGCCCGCATCACCAACACAGGTAAGACAGCCTCGGATTATACCGGCATGCTATTTGCCAACACTACCGCCGGACCTGCGCCATATCCGAATAAATGGCTTGTTGGGTTCGACCGACTCCCGACCTTGGAGCCCGGGTCATCTCAGACCTTCACGGTCCCGGTTCCCATCGATAGCGTGGCGCGTACCGATGAGCAGGGCAATCGGGTCCTATATCCAGGACGGTATCACTTAGCGCTAAACAACGAGCGGTCGGTTGTTCTTCCATTTACCTTAACAGGCGAGGCAACGATCATCTCGAAATGGCCATCGGAACATCAGCAGATATCTTCGGCCTAGGTCTCTATAACTTAAGGTTGGAAATATACCTCCGCTCGTTCGACCATGATCCTCTAGACTCTATAAGTCAGCTATTTTCGGTGTCTATATTCTTATCGATGCTCAACAATAGAATACTAGTCAATTTCCTCTTCCAAATAGGGATCTCGTAGGCATTCGCCTTCAACTCTAATTTAAGCTTAGCGGGTCCCAGTGACCCACACATCCTTAGACCGTCCCGGCTTCATCTTCATCTTCATCACTCCATCTCATCTCACTAGATTCCCAAATTTGACGAATTCAGCCTCTTTCTTTCAAGAAACTACTGCTGGAGCTTGAGAGGCTCTAAAAATCGCCTCTCCTCGATGGACTAATCAGCAAAGGGCTTGACACCCGATCCTCAGTTCCCAGGGCTCAACAAGTATTATCGAATACTAGGTTGCATTATCACTCGGGTTTATCAGCTTGAGGACAGTTTATCCTATCAGTTAGTAGGAAACATAAAACCGGGAAACTCGCGAGATATGGAATCTTCGAATCTTGAAGACTGACATGATCCCGACGCCGCCGTCTTGGTGACCACCCGCAGCTCTCTGAGCAGAAAAGAAAAAAAGAAAAAAAAGAATCATTCCCCTTGGAAATACTTTCAAATGCCAAACCTGGGCAATCAATCCTGATCAAGGTTTCTACGCTTGATTCGCACCGGAACTTTGGCGTCCGCATTGAGGGTCCCCAGGCCGTATCCCTTCATATCCATTTTCAACGACCGAACGGCTGTCAGGACCTCACAATCAAATAATGTGACCATCATTGCTGCCGTTAATATGATCTCACGTTTCGCGAAATGCCGACCCGGGCACATGCGGGGACCTCCACCGTAAGGGATCCACGACCCCTCAACATCCTCAGGGACAAATGTGGCTTGGGATGTCGTATGCGGTTCGTGAACTGAGGTTGACGGCGATTTGGCCCGCATTTTATGCTTTCTAGGCCCACTACACCCATCGCCTGGTATTTTCATGAACCTTTCGGCCCAGAATGTATCGAGGCCATGTTCATCGCTTGCGCCCGTATTCCAGACGTCCTTGTCCATATGCGCAGGAGTCGAGCTCATGATGAGTGTCTTCCCAATCGGTATGAACCAGTCTCGAATTTTCAGATTGTATTTTTTAGGTGCGCGCACGATGAAAACATGCACGCGCAGTCTCAATACTTCTGCGTAAATCGACTGCATAAGGGGCGACTGCAGTAGACGGTCGATGTCAAAAAGGGTGTCGGGATCGTCATTTCTGCACATCTTGAGCTCCTCCCTTACTTTGGCAAGAAGGGTAGGGTCTTGGAATATTTCTAACGTCGTCCAAAACGCTGCCACAATGGCATTTCGTACGGATCTAGGTCATCGAATCAGAAAATACCACCACGGTATATGAGTGATTTCACCATCCAACTTACGCCCAGATAGCTCCAAAGTCTTCAGATGCAACTGCATCATAATTCATACCATCCATGTCCATGAAGACGCCTTGCCGATCCCTGAAAAAGCTGCTACCCCAAAAAGGGTCATCTCCGCTTGGCTCGATTGTGGATGGGTGAAAGTTTTGTCTTGCGAATGCTTGCCAGTCTTTGATGGCGGCAAGCAGCCGGTCTCGCGTTGCGTAAACCTTCGTTGCGAAGATCCTCGGGGTGCCCTTGAAAAGCACTCCGGCCTCACGATCCATTTTCCAGAAATCTTTCAGGAAATTCGGACTGCGTTTCAAGAGATACCTACCACAGAGAGCATTCACAGTGGCAGATGAGATTTCTGCCTCAAAGAACCCCAGAAAGTCCGGCCAATGCTCCCACTCCGAGCCGAGCGTATGACCTTTGAGACGCCTTGTCACATCGGTGTGATATCGTCGCCAGAACGGTGCGAAGCCGCTACCTGCGAGAAATCGGGCAATATTCTGATAGGTTTTGAAGTCCACCCGGTTTCTGGCCTCTACCGTGCTTCCGGGATACGGCCGGAGGCTACCCCCTGAATCGTCCTTGTCATAGATTTCCAGCGCTTTTTCTGACATTCCAAACGCATTTCGAAGACTAAATTTATGGATCAATGTTGATGTGGACGTCCAGGAGTTACGGAACACATTGATGATATTCTCGGCTCCTTGGACGATATATACGTCTTTTGAAAAAATAGATAGGCGGATTGGATCCGGCATCCAAAATATGCTATCCTGGTTGTCAGAGTCCTTTCATGAAAGAAGCGACAGAGTCCTCACCTTGAGCTCATGATGACGTTCATCGGGTTACTGAACAAATATGAGATCATCAACGGCACAATTCCGATGACGGGTATCCATTGTGGAAGTTTTGGCGGCTGCTTATTCGACGACTGTTGCTGTGATATTGAGTTGAATTTCTTCTGCATCACAGCCCGATTGATCAAGCAAATGACCAAACAGATGGCGATGCACGCAACAAGCAAGCCATTATCAAATTCTAGGGAGTGTATTTGAAGAGGTACTGTGACCCAAGAACGATCTGTCACGCCAGATCTTGCAGCATGGAAAAGGGCCTTTGGGGTGTCCAAATGGCTTTCATTGAAACCTTCAAGCTCCATATCCACGGTGAATCCAACTTCAGGCCTTTGATTTACAAAATGCGATCAATCTGACAGAGCCTACTCTTATATTGGCGCGGCCTGGTGAACCAGAGAGTTGATGTAGTATTGGGGCAAATTGATTCTAATCACTCTGAGACATTCGCAACAGGCATTGGTTCAAATTATCCCTCTGACTGACCCATGATATCTACGGAGCTCGTTACACAAGCAATGGCAGTCATTAGAATCCCGGAAAGGCCGCATGTTTTGGTGGCCAAATCTTCATGGCTCTCTCAAATTGCAAAACCAAGGTTCTAGGTACGCCACAAAGCTCAAAATGCCGCAAGAGGATTTGAAAGCGAAAAGCGCTCACGACCGTCATTTTGGCTTTCTTGATACAAACAATTTCCTCGCCGACCTATGAGGCATGAGTGGGGACCTATGACCCGCAATGCAACAGGACAAGTGACATTGATCCCCAGGCAGATCGTTCCCATATAATCAGTTCCGATCGTGACGCTTATATCGAGTTCCTGATATTTTTGAGGTCTGGAACGGCCAGATGCGAGTCTGGAAATTGTGGATTACGCAAGGGGCTGGAGGCAGGCGGATGAACCTGATCTACACTAATTGTCAATCAATCAATCAATCAATCAAAATTCTATTAACCTGATGAAGCCTATCTATTGAAACGCTAAGCTATGCAGGCGCTTCGCCGACTGAAGCAGAATTTTGAGCTAATTGTCTCAGCAATGAATCGAACATTTCGTCAATATATAATCTAGTCCAGCTAGGGTTGCGGTTGAGAGGACGTGTTGTTGACCGACATCAACAAACCATCCAAGCTCCGATTCTTCCACTCTCCACAGCCGGACTAGTATCAACTCCGATGGCGATTCCCCTGCAATTTTATGTCTTTCAGGAAAGGAAACCATGGAATACATCTAAATAGCCATTCACGAGGCTTGCCGGCGGAGACCAGCGTGGGTGGTCTCACTATAAGCACACCCACTACGGATGGGGATGTTAAGCACATGGCACATAGGACGTGGATTTGAATAACCTTTTTCTACCTGTCAGAATGCCACGACACCTACCTCGGTAACCTGTGTACTTGCTATGGTTTGCATGCCTTTTGCTTTGCTAACCCACTCAACAGCACGTTTACTTGCCACATTGCGAGCGTACATCGGCAAAAGTTGACTTAACACTCAACTCTTATAACATATTAGGTTCCAATTAGCTTATAGCAATGGATTTTAAACTCCATTGAGTTTACGGTTCGATAGAGATCTTCATCACATCAAAGACAAATGGAATTTGCGCGTCATGGTCTACAGACCTTGAGCGAGAGGGAAGAAAGAGAAAGAGAAACTCAATCAGTCATCCCAGATTGTCCGACGGAACCGCTTTCTCGTCGATGTCATTCGCCTTCAAGAAGACCGCCTTACCTTGATGAATTCTATATGGAAGAGCTCATCGGACTTGGGCCCCTTTTCGCCATGCAGCGAACCATCTGACGTCCAACGCCCCAGCCGATATCACAACTTTTTTTTCGCCAACAGACAAGTTCTCATCCTATAGGCCCCGAGTATTTCTGTCAAGCAAGGCCCGGGTGTAGTTTGTGATCTGAACATTGGATGGTTGCTTACTGTGCTGGAGTTGAATCGAACGTGACGGGTTGATTGGTACATAGGACAGGGAGCAGTATCCTAGAGAATATCAAGCTCGTTGTTAGCTGTTTTTATTCTATAAAGAATTGAGCACGAAAGCAAAAACAAGATTCAGCTGGCCTAGCCTCCCAAGCATCTTACAGTTCTCGGATGTGCTCCTTGCACCTGCGATGGGAATTTGAGGCAATTCGAAGTCATGCTGAGCGACAAAGCAACCGATTTCTCCGAAGGTTTTGCATGTCCACACTCGCTAGACGAGATTCATGCGGCTGATAGAAACCTACATTCAACCAGTCTTTCTCGGAGAATTCTATAAACGCCTAGTCAAATTTGAAAACCTGGAGGATTACCCCTCTGTCATCCCCCCGTCTTGCTGCACACTGTCTAGGGCTTATGGCTGCTTACCCCTCCTCTCCATCCTCTCCCCACGTCAACATCAACGCAACTCATCTCACCCTCCTTTCCTCCCCCTCCATGTCAGCCTTCAACCCCCTCAGAATCGAAATGGAAATCCACTCCCGAGCCTTCTCCGGCAGAATCCCAAATACCCACGCCTGCACCGCATGCGGCCAATAAGCTGTCACCAGCGCCCGCTGACCACCCAATCTTAGCCTAAGCGCTGATGCCGCTGCTAATCCTGATGCTAATGCTGACACTGATTTAGGTGTTGATGCTGATGTTGCTGATGCCGGTCCAACACACCGCAGCGCCGCGCGCGCCATCGCTCTCGATGTCGGCACGAACCACCCCGGAGTAAGCCTGTGTCCGTCGCTCTGCACGTTCCCACACACCACGCCCAATACACTCACGGGTGCTTTCTCGGCTAGCATCTCCGCATGCAAGGATCGAGTGAAGGCGTCGACATAGGCTTTTGAGGCCGCGTACACAGACAGATAAGGGAGGCCTGTTGCGGAGAGAGATGATACATTGAGGATTAGGCACGGTAGGAAATTTTCCTCTTTTTCTTTCTGAGATGATAGAAACCGAGGCAATATGATGCGGGTGATCTGCGTCATGAAATGCGCGTTCACGTTCATCACCCGAGAGACTTCTTTTCCCGAGAAGTCGGCGAAACGCTGATACGTGGATCGGGTCTGGCCTGCTTGTCCGCCGACATTGTTGATCAGGACACGGAGCGAGATGTCCTGCAAGGCTGGGGCTAGGGAAGCGGCTAGAGTAGTAGTGGAGGATGAGGCAGCGTCGTATTGGAAGATGCGGATGGAGCGGTGCGGGAAGGAGAGGAGGAGTCTGGTCCGTGCGTGTTCGAGCTCCTTGTGGTCTTTGCCGTGAATGATCACGTTGAAACCCTTGGATAAGAGCTCCTGTGCGAACCCGAACCCGATACCGGCGGTGGAGCCGGTGATCAGGGCCCAGGATTCGGGGGCGTTGGGGTTGGAGGTGAGGTATTTAGGGAGAGAAGAGGGAACAAGATAGACAGTGGCGTGGAGAAGGAGCTTGATGACGATGTAGATGTGCAGGAGGCCTGAGAGGTAGAGGAGGTGGAGCATGGCTGCTGTGTTACCTGGGCGGTGCTCTAAGTAACTGGATGGTCTGGTATGGATAGCTCGGCGGTTGTTTTTATAAGTTGGCATAGTGTTATAACATTCCCATTGATTATTGGCTTCTTTGAGCGTCAGCAGGAGCCGGTGCTGACTTCGGATCTCTGTGCTTTTGTTTCATACCTGCTCTTTCTCGGTTCCTTCAGTCCTTGATCATTAAGATGACATCTTATCTCGGACTCCGTTCGGGCCTGGTTCCCTAAACGCACTAGACTGCTCTATTTTAGTGCCTGTTACCCTGCAGCAAGGATCGCTCTCATTCACAGGTTCTTGTTTAATGGCTTGTCTAGCAGAGTATCTGACAGCTCTAGCCATCGCCGCATAGCTTTGACAGAACAAATTACGGTAATAAGTTAGCAAGCCCAACCCAAACAGCAATTTGATATGTTCTACTCATCACTGGGAAGTCAAATCTAAAACGCATCCAGGAGGAAAAAGTGCCCCAGGAGTAATACTTTTCATGCCACTGGTGCATTTTTCCATGGTAAAGCTCCTCCAACATACTAGTGCCGTAATACATCACCTCGCCGCATAGCTGACCCGTTGAAACTAGCATCTGCGTGAGTTGGAGAAAGCGGACTTCACGATGATCATCCACGCCGTCATGTAGCAGGTGGGGTCCTAGATGAACTGTAGAGCAGGGGTCAGCCACGCGGTGGGTGGAGTGATTTTGGTCGAGGCCAGCCCCAGATAGGCAGGTAGATAGGTAGCAAGGAATGGAGGTACATGTACGGCTGTTGGCGTCTCCATGCAATGCAAGGAAGGCTCCACTGTCAGATATCGCGAATCGACTTTGCGTTTTTCTTCCGCATCTGACCAAGGAGGTCGAGGCTGCAGGTCATTGTCTGGTGGTTGACCACGAAGTACCCTTCGAGCAATAATTTGATGCTTCTGCCTATCGAGAAAGCAGGATTTTCAGACAAGCGCAGCTCAGCTTAGGAAAGGAATGGAAGGATTCGAAACATCGGCAGACAGTACGAGACAGAAGTAGTGCTTACTTACTCACGGCAAGCCAACCACGAGAATCATATCCGCGCGCAATAACGTCGGTCCTCACTTTCTCACGGCTGCTGAGGTGACGCTAATAATTACCAGGAATATGACATCGAAGCTGCCCAAACGGCTGTACAGACTCAGGGTGTTGAAGACCTAGCCAATAGTTTGCTATCCGGAGTTAAAATGAGCAAGCCAAAACGTTCGCCATGTTGATCAGGGCAAGAATATGTCACGTCTAGGAAGATGGTTGGCAATTGAGCCGGATTGGCGAGCAAGGCTCTAAGGTGTTGGCAAGACGAGCATAAACAAGGCTTCGTAGGCCACGCTGCCAGTAGGCTACATTCCTCTCATCTATAATTCAGCCTGGTCAACGTTGCCGATCCAATCAGGCTGACACATTGACCGCTCAGATTCGTCCGAGACAGTCGACCAGCCACGGCGCGGAAACGTCTGTTAAGGTGCAGGGATCGATTGGCCTTGGCCACTAATAGAACTACACCGGACTATAATTAAGAGCCGGACATCCTGCAAGGACAGCTTGGGGGCAAGGATTGAGGCTGAGTTGTGATATCCGTCCTTGTTTGCTGGCATCCACCAATTCTATATTTACGTGTCTCCTGTAAGCAGCTTGATACACGCAAGATTGACTCACCTTCTAGATGCATGATCTCCTCGTATCAGAATTCGCTCACAACCGATCTTGCCATGAGCATCATGGCTATGGTGCGCTTTTTTCACTTCTGGGCCAGTCAATTGCTCTTTTGTAGACTAGTACTTTGACTCCTCCAGGCCAGGGGAATGTCAGACATGATTCCACGAATCAACAACACAGCCAAATGTTTCGGCCGTATTGTACGATGTTTACCCTATGACGATCTCTCAGGTTGCTGACGGTCGATGAGCTCAATGAGGTACAAATCGAGGAATAAAAGGAAGGTACCTGCAAGTATGGATACCACTACATGTGTGTTGAAAAATCGCTCCAACACAACCAGAACTATACCTGAATCATGGCTCCATTTCTGACGGCCGCCTTGGCCCCGAGCAATGGCCTTCTCTTTCCAATTGTCGCTCTTTGTTTGTCCCTGCTGCTATGGCGCTTTTGGAGGTTCGTGATTCGTCCAAAGCTTCGTCCGCTCGACCCTAAGGAGCTTCCATATTGGATTCCAATCGTCGGTAAGGTGTTTGAGTCGACGTATGGTTCTGATGGTCTAAACTGATTGTTCGCCAGGACATGCTGCTGCGTTCTTCAATAACTCCTACGTGTTGCTGAGAAATGGCGAGTAAGTTCTATATCCTTGACACTGAATCAATATGGCACAGCATCGAGATACTGACAAACACACAGCAAATATTTCCGTGGCTCGAAAGAGTCATACGCTGTAGAAGTCATGGGGCAGACCATCTACGTGGTGACTTCCGCCCGCGACAGCGCCGAGATCTACAAGAACACCGCCACGATGTCCTTTGAGATATTCGTCCGCAAATTCATTCGAAGTTGCGGAGCTAGTGATGAGCTACTGGACCGACTGTACGGCACGCCTCCTTCCGTCGCCGGCGATGTTGAGAACAGGTCACTCGGCGATAAGACGCATGACTTTCACGGCATGCAGCTCTTCCCGGGTGGGCATCTGCCGGAGTTCACGGCTATCTTTAAGGACTTCCTAGAGGACGCGGTGCGGATGGATCGGCTGCCGGGAAAGCGTTATATCACGGCGTCTGGGGAAGGCTGGGTGAATCTGAGACTGATGAAGTTTGTCTCTGATTATTTTGTGGACGCGGGCCAAAGGACGTATTTTGGTAATCTTCTGGGAGAGATTGACCCGGATTTGATCTGGACATTCCTTGAGCTGGAGGATCGAAGCTGGCAGATTCTGTATGAGATTCCTGCGGTATTTGCAAGGAAGGCGCATGCGGCGAGAGACGGGATTATCGATGCTATTCAGAAGTGGTTCGAGACGCCGCCTGAAGATCGGCCGGATGGATCGTGGTGGATGACCACGATGGAGGCAGAGATGAAGGCATTAGGGTTCAACACTCGCGAGATGGCCACCACAGTGGTTCCGATTTATATTGGGTATGTCAACCCTTCAGCGTTATTTGCTTCTGAATTCCTTCTCTCGCCCAATTTGTCCGATGTGTATGCTCACCATCAAATAGGAGCAACACCAGCACCCGGAAAGCCTGTTTCTGGCTTCTTTCTTTCCTTCTCTTTAACCCTCAGCTCATTGACATCATCCGCGAGGAGACTAAACCCGCGCTGGGCAACGGCCCCGTGGACCTCGAATACCTCAAGAACAGTTGTCCCCAGCTCAACGCTATCTGGATGGAGACCCTGCGCATGGCCACTTCCGCCGCATCCTTCCGCTTCCTGACCGAGGACACCATGGTCGGCAACAAGCTACTCCGGAAGGGAAACCGGGTGCTCGTGCCCAGTCGCCAACTGCACTACGACCCAGACGCGTTCGGCGACGACGTCCAGGCCTTCAACCCGGAGCGGTTTTTGACGGGTAACAAACTGACCATGGGCCGGAACTGGAAGCCCTTTGGCGGCGGAAAGAACCAGTATCCCGGGCGGTTTGTGGCTCAGCAGCAGACGTTCTTGTTTGTCACTTTGTTGTTGCATCGTTTCGATATTGAGATGCTGCCTGGTCAGAGCTTTCCCAGGTGGGCGGAGGGGGACCCATTTCCGGGGATGATGCCAGCGAAGAATGGCGATGATTTGATAGTTAGGGTGACGGAGAGGAAGGGGGTATAGAAGTATATAGAGGTTCGTTGAGGGTGATGCAAGAACATGGTTTCCCACTTTCTGCTGAATACTTCCTCTTCTGTGACACTATACCGCATCTGGTGCACTGGAGCGATACTAACCCAGAGTAGACTAGTCTCTCTCTATACTTGGCTCTTCTCTTCCGTCTCACTTCGCCTCTCTTTCCCCATCTCTGCCCACTCGAAGAAAATTAGTTCATCTCCATCAAATCATGCTCAAATGTACAAACCTGTTCCTCCTAGGCCCAAGAAAACAGACATTATCCGATCGCGCACCGGTTGCCAAGGCTGTCGCGAACGCAAAACCAAGGTCAGTCGCCAACGTCAAGTAGTTACTTCCCAGCAACTAACAAACAGTAGTGCGATGAGCAAAAGCCGACATGTGGGACATGCACTAGGCTGGGGAAAGTCTGTCGTCGAGATCGAGAGTTCAAATTCCAGGTGACAACGGGACGTGCAGAGGCCGCGGTTCCGTCCTCCACAAGTCAAACGTCCGAGATGACAGGCTCGGATGGCAGTGCCTTTGCAGATCTTGATCTGATCAGGTCCCTTCAGCACACTGAGAGAGATATCTTCTATTCCACATACTGGGAATGTCAATGTCTCCCGGCTCTTCATCCGATCTTCCATTCCATGTCTCGACTCATCGCCGAAAATGGGATGCTGAAGGATGCCGTACTGGCCCTGTCATCCTGCAATCTAAGCCGTCTGCATGCGGAACAGAGAACTCAGTCAACTACTTCCATGGGTCTCTTCAGTCCCAGTCTCGTCCACCAGACGAGAAGCCAGCTCTACTACTCCTCGGCTATCCGGCGATTCGCATCGTTGAATCAGCTCGAGTATCAAGCCAACGCTACCCTCTCGCTGACGGTCCTTGTTCTATTCGCATACATTGAGTCTTCAATGGGGAATTTCCACGGCTTTTCATGCCATGTCCAAGGTCTGTCGGACCTGTTCATCGACATTCATGACGCAGTTCTCAGAACCACTCTCGCCCCTTTCCTATCCGCGTGGATGCAAGTTCGCTTCGTGGTCTGGTGGGCTCGAGCCTACTTCAGCTCTATCGAAGTGCATCAACAACTCCCGTCTATCGCCTTACCCCCAGCGCTAAACACACCCTATACCTCGCTCCACGAGCGACGAGTCACGATCCTCAGCATCATGTGCGAAGCCCATCGAATCACTTTCCAAACCGCGCTCAAACACTGGTCCAGCGATACCACATCCATCGACCCCAATCCCGGCGAGGCCGTCAATACTGAAGTCCTCCTCGCCGAACAATCCCACCGTCTCGACGAATGGCTCTCCCACCTCCCTCCATCTGAACAACCTATCCCTCTCGACTCTAATACCCCCTCTCACACACCTCAAACCAACCAACCCATCATCTTCCCCTCCCACGACGCAGCCCTCAACTTCGCCTACTCCCTCATCGCCCGCATAATGACCTCCCCATCCTTTCTCACCACTCTTCCCTCTGCCAACCCCACCCACCTCGGCCAAGAATGCTCCGCCTCGAAACCCTTCCTGGTGATTCTCCTCCGCGTCCTAGCAGGAATAAGCCTCCGCACCTCCCTCGTCCAAAACACCTACACAATCGGCTTCTCCAGCCTCCTTCTCGCATCCCTCCTTCGGTGCCAAGACCCCACACTCGGTCTCGAAATCCAGACCTGGCTGCAGAAACTCCACGATGTACATCCGACAGAGGAGGGTGCGTTCCCGGTCTATCAGGCGCTGAGGGTCGCGCGAGCTGTGAATCGTCAGAGAAGTGAGCATGGGTTTGATGTGTTTGCGGTTAGTTTGCCGGTCGATGATGGGGGTGGGTGGCCGAAGTTTTCGGCGTACAATAGTCAAAGGATTGAGGTGTTGTTGTTTCATGGGAAGTGGAGAGAGGGTGGGATGTTGGGGGTTATGAGGGTAGGGGTTTGAGGTTGCCGGATGGAGTTGTTCTTGTTGAATACGTAGGTCTAGGGCAACAATATGGGACTAAATTGACGGTTTCAACTGACTGAATTCACGATACTATTCAACAATGGTCAACTAAAGGAGATGGAGGGGCAGGCGAGGTGCAGGCCTTTTGAACAGCTCAACGAGGCGTACGCCTCGTTGAGCTGTTCAAAAGGCCTAAGGAATCCACCGGAGCGCCTACAGTTCTGATATATATGAACAGGTACTTGGTGGAGATGTGTGGGTTTAGGACGGTGTGTATTATGATGAAATTAATGACGTCAACCAGTGATATTTCTGAAGGTGGTAGTTGAGGATGAGGTCTTCCCAGATGTTGAATACATCCAGTACTCATGGAAGAGAGCAAACTACCTATCTGGCAGATTGAAGGCCGCACATCCAAACCTCCATTCACACCAAAATTCCTTCTACAAATGCTAAATCCGAAAGCTCGATATGTTAAGAAAGGGTAGAAAATCCACAATACCGCTAGCATACATGAAAACCAATATATCATCCTAGATCATTTCATCTATCATGATCGCATTGTAAATAATTACCTCCTTTATAGAATGTGTATATCTTTGAAAATTGCATCTCCTGTATCTATCATTCTGAAGCGGAGTCGATCATCTGAATCAACTCCTCATACTCACCCGTATTGCGCAACATATCCCAAAAGATACCCTGTTTTATAACCAACTCAGCGGGAGAGTCATTTCTATCACAGATCAGATTAGCATATATCACGCAGAATGATAACCCCAAAAAGCAAAAAAAAAGCAAACTCGGTAAGCAGAAGGTAGAGAGGAAGAACATACTCAACGATCTCCCCCTCACTCATAACCAACACGCGATCATAGTCCATAATAGTGCGCAGTCGGTGCGCAATAGCGATGATCGTACACTCCGGAAACATCGCCCTCAGGACACGCTGCATGTGCATGTCTGTCTCGTGGTCTACGGACGCCGTCGCCTCGTCGAGCAACACGACTTTCGATCGCCGGCACATGGCCCGCGCGAGACTGAGTACTTGTCGTTGGCCTTGGCTGAAGTTTTCGCCGTTGGCTGCTACGGGTGTAGAGAGTGTTAGGGGACGGGTGGATGTCGTAGTGGATTTGTGGGTGTTGGATGGGTTGGATGGGTCGTCGTCATCGTCGTCGTCCTTGTGGGTGGTTTCCGTGACGTGGATTGAGGAGGTACACGCGGCCAGGGCTGATTGGAGTTCTGTGTCGCTGGAGTCGCCGAAGGGGTCAAGGTTAGATTGAACGTCTCCGGAGAAGAGGACAGGTTCCTGCGGAATGAGTGTGACGCTGGTGCGAAGGCGGTTGAGAATAATGGAGCTGATGTCGACGCCGTCGATGGTGATTTTGCCCTGAGCGAGGTCGACGAAGCGTAGCAAAGAGAGGCCGAGGGTGCTTTTGCCGCTGCCGGTGCGGCCGACGATGCCGACTCGTTCACCGGGGTTAGCGACGAAGGAGACGTTGCGCAGGACGTCCGGTCCATCGCGGTGATAGCGCGCCGTGACGTTGTGGAATTCCACCCGGCCGGAAACCGGCCAGCTGGCGGGAACGACGTGGGAGAGGGCCTGCTTGTCCGTGAGGTGTTCTTCCGGTTTGATCGCGGCGTATTCGCCCATGCGTTGGAAGGAGTTGAGCTCGACTTCGAGCTCGTTCATCGATCGTACGAGTGTTAGGATGGTTTGGCTGAGACCGATAGCGTTGGTCAATGAAAATCCCACCAGCCCAGCAGATCCTGACCAGAAGTAGGCCACGCATCCTGCAGCGGCGGCCACCGAGGCGGCGCAGAAATCGGAGCGGACCGAGACCCAGCGGTTGCAGTTATATTGCGTTTCGGCGGAGCGAGCATGAACGGCCAGTCTTTCGGCCAGCAGACGCTGGAAGACCTCGTCCATTCCTTGCCGAGCACGGATCACGCTCAATCCGGCGAGAGAATCAGTAAAATGGGAGAAGACAGGAGAATAATTGATCGAAACGAGGCGCTTTATGGAGACCTGTGCGCGAGTGTACATCTCCCCAATCACGAACCCAGCCGTGCAGATGACGGCGGCCGGCAGGGCAAAGATAGGCATAATGGATGCAACGCTAGCGATCCGCAGCAGAAAGCGTAGCCCATTTTCGATCGACATTCGTAACCAATCAATAAGTACCGTATCCATGGATCGCGTATCATTTCCGAACCGATTAATTGCACGTCCGATCGGGTTCTCATCGAACCAGGTAATCGGCGCAGAAAGGACTGCGGTCACTAGTCGTTGATGCATCTTCTTAGCAGCAACCCAGCTTCCATACTGATATACCAGGTTATTAGTTAGCTGCAGTAAGAGAAAGGTAATGATCGAGATAGCATAGACGGCCAAATAGAACATGGAATTTGGGTGCTCCTCTTCTTCGTAAGTGCCGGTCCAAATAGACAGCCAATAAGTGATACCAAAGTAGGCCAGCTGCACAGTGATAGTGACAAGAATTGCCAGCGGTGCGTACAATGGTCCACCAAACAACATCATATACCGAAAGACTAATCACCCAGCTGTCAGAATCATACACATCAATAATAACATGGAGAACTTACACATTGTGCGAGGAACCCGTCCAGTAGCAGTCGTCTCCTTAGCCAAGCGCCGGTCCTGTGTCACGGATTGTGGATCTTGAACCACTACTGGCGCGATATTGGTCATGGGCTCCGACGGAATATCTTCCGTCTCCACCCGCTGCGGCTCATTGAGTGGTGTCGATGTTCCTGTTCCTAGCGTAGGAGTGCTGCACGGCGTCGGCAGCGAAGACGGTTGAACGCTGGTAGGTGACTTGACAGAAACCGCCTTCCCATGCTCCAAGCGCACTATCAACTGCGCATCCTGAAGAGCGGCCGGATAGCGCGTAACAAGCACCACGGTCCTATCTGAGAGCAACCCGGAGCGGAAACACTTATCATAGACAAGCGTAGTCGTATGCGTGTCAAGAGCAGAGAATATGTCGTCGAGAAGAAGCGTGCTGGAGCGAGAATACAAGGCTCGCGCAAGAGACACCCGTTGTTTCTGACCTCCTGACAGCGAGGTTCCTCTCTCGCCAACCACGGTGAGATCACCAGCTGGGAGCTGGCGAAGATCCTGGGCCAGCCCACTGGCCTCGACAACGATGCTATAACGCACCTCGTCGAATGCGCTATAGAAAAGGATGTTCTGGCGAACTGTATCATTCTGCAGCCAGGGTGCTTGAGGCACATATGCCACGTCGCGAGGGCAGAACGCAGCTCCAGATTCCAGAACAGTTTCTCCCAGTAACGACAAAAGCAACGACGTTTTGCCGCTCCCCGTGGGTCCTGTCACGACATTGAGGGCCCGAGGTCTGAAGTGGACGGACACATCCTGTAGCCTGAATACAGCAATGGGCGTACGCTTGAAGGTCGCCTGCTTGAGCTCTAGCGGTCCATCAGGGTGTCGTTTGATCTCGCCTGCAGTGTCAAAGAATCGGTCCACACGCCGCAGAGACTCCGCGCCCTGAGCAGTGTATCGGCTGACGTTGGATAGCCACACAAACTGAGACCTCAGCGTTTCCATAATGGACAAGGAGGTGAATGCGATTGGCGCTCGCAGAGGAAGGTCAGTGAACAGCACCACAGTCGAGAACATCACTAGTAAGCTCATCATCGGCAAAAGATCCCCAGCCATCGAGATGGCCGCAGCGAAGACACTCCGCCTCCAGAGGCGACGTTGCTCCACACCTCGGACTCCGTTGATCGAATCCATGGCCGCATTCTCCCATCCGAAATACTTCAACGTGCGTATGGAATTCAGGAACTCGGAGATTTTAAACAGACGCACATCCGTCGCTTGCATAACCGACCGTTGAATCTTCGACACCTTGCGAGAAGCCAATGCAGGGAGGGGAGTCAAGATCAACATAGTCAAGACACCAAGCAACGAAGGCCACCCGATGATCCGATAGAGAAAGACAAGCGCAATCGTGATCGATATCGGTGCAGATGTCGAAACGTGGAAGATATCCCGCGAGTTGTAGATTGCATCGACATCATACGACATCAAAGTAGTCAAATTGGCCTGACTGGACTTCGAGGCCCCCTTGGACGTATCTGCCGCCTTCCGCGGCGACTTGACATTCTTGTCCGAATTCGACACATCCACCGAATCATCGTAGATATACGACCGCATCGCAGTCTGATATATCTCTTGGACCAGGGAGACATTAACCCGGACCAGCAATCGAGTAGCCGTAAAGATATACTGCTGGTAGCAGAGCGAACGCATCACGGGGCCGACAAACAGCAAACTGATCCAAACCGCAGGATGCACGATGGCCGACTCATCATCTTCAAAGTACGCCAGTAACCGCAACATGGCATACGGCGCGACGAACTCCACCACCGCCGTCGTTGCCGACCAGCACATCATAGTCTTGATCTCTGTCTTGAGCAACCGGCACAGCGTGCGGAACGTCTTCCCGCCTTTCAATCGCTGCTTCTTGATCTTCTTCAGCCATTTCGAGGGCTCGTCATACGACGGCAACGGCGGCAGATCATCCATCGTTAGATCCTTTCGGCATCCCCGCAGAATCACATACGTGATCCATTCGTATGAGCAGTAGTAAGAGAAGAGAGAGCACGTTTCCTCCGGAGACTTCTCGTCGTTCGTCCACAGCTGCTCCCCGGTCTCCGAGTCGGGGAGGAAGGCAGAAGAGGACCGACGCGGTCGCGGCGTAGCCAGCGCAATAGCCACCACAGCCGCCAAACAACCCAACAACGCCGCCGCGGTCGGTCTCGGACGATACGTCGCGCCGACAATAGTCATCGGGAGGACATCTTGCACAATGCCCAGCCCTAGAGCCGCCAGCGCGATCAAGTTCACATGAACATACAATTGGGTGCGAGAGTCCCGGTTCTTCTTCCTGCATGCGATGCGAACCACGCCCAATACGACCAGATAACTCAGCAGAAGCGCTCGCTTCCAACTCGCCCCATCTTGCAGTTCCGCCCAGCTCAGAACGCAAGCCGCAATGCACGCGACCAGATGCGCCACCGCATAAGGCAGCGAGACCAGGATCTCAGACCCGTGGTGGTCACCATTTCCGGGCTCCGGATGAAGCCGGTACTTTGATCTGCGAAACCCGGAAACATACCGGAGCAGGAAGGAAATGACACCCATAATCCCCGAAGCGAATAAGACGACCAGATGGAGATTACCCACAGCTATCAGAGCCGAGAGCTTCTGCGTTCTATACCGCCATAGTTCCCTGGGAGAGAGGTTTAGCAATTAAGTAATTACTACGGAACAGGGAGTTGATTAGTGAGGGCAGCTAACCTCTGCATTAAACCACCGTCGAGGGTGGAATTGGTCTCGTCTGCCGCGCTTTGCCATGTCGAAGGATAGATCGCTTGCTGGGGAACTCCATAGACGGACTCCATAGCGGGAAAGCCTCAACACACGGGGGCGATGGACGCGCGGGATCGGCCCTCATAAGCGTACAGCCAAGCCGGAACTCGTTGGAGGTTGGCAATCCCGCATCGGAGAAAGGGGCTTAGGTTTAGGGATTGCTATCGGGCACAGTCTGGGCACGCAAGGGGCAGCGATACGTCCATCATCCAGCTGGAAGCAACCAGAGAAAGCGGAATTGTCGGAGGAGCCAAAATTTCGACGTTCGTCCCTTTATCGCGGGGCTTAGTCAGCCGCATACCATGATGCAATTCCACCGGAGTATAGCAAAACACACGCGATCAGTTAGTTCGTAGTGCTCCGAGCAATCAGAGTCTGAGCTTGTTGGCGCTATCTACGGAGTTCACCGGAGTTGGGCCGGCATTTCTCGTGTGCTGCGTCAGAGTAGGTAAGCCCGTCTGGATGCCTCTGTTCACTCCGGCTATATATGTTTCAAGACAGAAGCTAATGAACAAAGCAGAACGAGTGTCATTGTCCCCAGAACGAACCAGAATGGCTTAGTACGACGGCCTTCCCGGTACAAGAGCTCAAAAGCAATTACAATAACAATAATAGACGACCCGATTAGAGCCCCTAATTATCCAGCGGCAAACCGCCGTCTCGATATCTCCACAAGCGACTTAGGTGCCAGTACGGATCATTGTGGTAGCAGGAGTGGCCCGCTGCTCCAAGATTGATGGGATTCCTCCCTATCGAGGCCATGAAAGCATCATGGGTACCTGCAAGCCCCACCGGATTCAGGGAGAACATGGTATCAAGATAATGCTGGATAAAAAGGTGGCCAGTACCCTGCCTCAGGAAGAGATGACCGAGATAGCGATTTCTCAGGTGAATGAAATGCAGAACTCCCCATTTACACACGAAGTCCTGCGAGTTGGCATAATGCTCGATGAAGGGAAAGCGTCGCCAATCGACTCCATTCCCCGCGATTAGAGGGGTAATAGGTGACGGTGGTGACGCAGCTGTGCGTTGCTCTATATGATGCATGCTGAATGATCGTGGATGGGCCCTCACCTGCGCTTGCGGTTGAGCACCTTGAGGCAATGCTGGAAGATTAATAGACAGCCGGAATTGGCCGGCTGCGGGTCCTCGGTCTTTGGGCCGCGGCACGCCAATATGACCGTCTTCCCCTGGAAACAGCCGGCGTGGATTATTGAAATGGTTCGCGGCATTGCCAAAGGTGTAAATTTCCAATTTCTGCAGATGCCCCTGAGATATCTCACCCACGAGCCAGTCAACGATAAGGCTAGTCGCTATGCCTCCTTGACTGTGAGCAATAAGGATCAATCTGTGGCAGTCGTCGTCCCAAAGAGTCTGCTTAACGAGATCGTACGAGTCTCTCACGTCTTGCGTCGCATAGCAGAAGTTCCGTTGAATTAGGCATTTGATTAAATCGAAAACAAGCCCCGATCTGTAGAAGACATTAGCAAACCTAGGATCGGACTCTGTAGTGCTGTGAACTAAATGGCCTACGTAGGATTGTGGATTCCTCTGACTGGCCGAACGAATATCTGAGAGAGGCGATTGACACTGTTCTGCATCCAATGGGTTCTGTTGGCGATATTAAAGAAGCCTCCAGATTAGCGTTCAACATAAACCGGCGAAGAGATAAAGCATTCCAATTTACCCAACTGTAACTCCATTGATAAAGATCCAACGTTCGTGAATATGCTTTCTTTGGGCCGCTAATGGGTATTTTGAGTGCAAAATCCTGGGCCCCGTATTCAAGGTATATCTGCAGATGATCCAATTCATTGCTAAAGCTATGAAGATGTAGGCCGCGAAAAACGGTACTGGCATGAGAAAGAACCCGAGAATAGGCAGTGATATCAAGAAAGAAACTTGGAAAAAAAAGAGACTGATATGCACCGTGATAACAAAAAGATTGTCCATTGTAGGGCAAAGTTCGTCTAGTGGCCCACGCGGATGATTCCAGGGATAGAACATCCAAGGAATATACGGGCTGAACCTCACGGCCAAAATGATGTCACTGAAGAGTAACCTCCATGGAGAGGCCGTATAGGGCAAGGGTGTGTCCCTGGTGTCAACGGGCATTGAGGATTGAAAGACTTGGGCCATGACTGAGAGTATCTACACTAATGGAATAAATAAAGGAGCGTATAGAGTGGGAGAATGTGAATAAACCGTGGACTGACCTTCTCCTAAGCTTCGAAAGATGTCAAAGAGTGGCTTTGGTGGTTCCTTCCCAGTTCCTACAGTCTTCTTTGCGGCTGTCCGTGGAAAGAGTCATCGACCCACCTTTTATGAAGGACTGTGGCTTTGTTACAACAACAATGAAACATTTTGGACTCGTCGTATAGTTTTCAAGTAGCTTCATGCGGCGCAATATGCGGTCTGTCATTTTCGATGCATCTCATGGCCCCAGGACCAGCATCTTGAACACAGTATAGCATTCCAGCTCTACACCTGCAAGACCTGACCAATGGACGATGGCATTATCCTGTGTTGCTAGAACAATGAAAATTAGGCTGTATAGGAACTTTCACGCGAAAAATATGTCGCAAAGGCAATTCCCTGGCTTTTCTTTGTGCTGGCGCCTTTGTTCAATATCCATACACAAAGCTGATTGGCGCCGACAATGTCATTATACGGGAAACTTTTGCGGGCCCAAGAAGTGGATATTGCTCGCCAGATATATAATCTTTGTTTGGATCGGCTTCTGAAAGAGGTCTTTTGGTATCGTCGCTTCAAATTTTCACAAACATCTTCAATTTTCCAATTCCGTGCTCATTGATCTGCGCGTACCCTATGACAGAAAACGAAGAGGCTAACACTGAAAACTTGAAGCAAGACGAATCTAGTGTCATTAAAGCACCAGACACTACAACAACCAGTCGAAGAACAAGACGCACACTTGGGCCTTGTGCCAGCAGACTGACCTCCGTAACGCTGGCATTCTGATATGTCCCCCAGAACGGAGAAGTCTATATTTCGGAGGGCAATCATGTCTTCGATCCAGCAAACGTACCCTCTGTATATCGACGATTTGACGAAACGCCATTTGAGTCAACTCATGGAAGTGCTGACCATCGACAGCTTCCCCCCAGAGGGAGGCACCTCGGTGGAAGGGCGGATCAAGGAGGCAATCAAAAAGCTTCCCTGGGATCTGCGCCGTCAAGCCTTCATTCGGATTGTGCCAAACGCCGTCATTCAACCGGCCATCCTGTGCGAGCCACACACCGGCATGAACCCTTACGTGATCAACGACGTTTTTATCCTGATCAAACGCGAGGTGACCGAGCATTTGAGATGTCTCAAGCGATACACCGGCGAGATCGACCCTGAGCTCAGGCTAATACTGACCGAGCTTAAAGGGATGAGGGGTTTATGGCGCAGTGATCCAAATTTGAAGTCGTATCTGCAGTACATGAAAGTCTCTTATCAGCATAGCAGCTGCGAGGCATGCATGCTGGTGAAGATCATCGAAACACCGGTCTGGCTGCAAAACCTCCGCACGACCCTGTTGAGCCGCACAAGAACGCGAGCCAAGCCCCAGAAGCCTCACCGACCACCGCAGCTTCTGAGGTTCGTCGACCGGAGTATTGAAACGCACCCCGATCTCGTTACCGACATGTTCTATAAGAGTGGTCAAATAGCGTACGGCCTAAAGGCCGTGAGAAAGCTGGCGGTCCAGCAAAATAGACAAGCCTGCAAAGGTAAAGACCACGAGGATGACAAGCGTGAAGATGAACAAATGCCTGACGACAAGCATAGAAAACGCCAAACCATTGTCGTTTACTGGGGCCAAGAGGCGAGGGAGCAGTTGGGAACGGCGGAAACATTAAGCAGCCCAACCGCTGTCGAAACGGCAAACTCAACGACTGCTGTGGAGGATGACGACATATTGCAAGCCATGCACGGCAAAACGACACCCGGAGAGATGACGGCCAGAAAGATGACACCCAGCGAGGCTCTTATCAACGAGATCATCGCAGAATATGCCGGGCTAACAGGAACTACAAACATGGAGGACGCACGACAGAGTTTGTTGGTCTTGGAGCCTGATGTGGCCCCTCCCACTCCACTGTCTGTCACCAAACCGGGCACGAGAAGTCCCTCGACGGTTTCTCCCACCAGCCCGTATGCCAGCCCCTATGCCAGCCCCTATTCCACCAGTTCACCTGCCACCAGCCCGTGTGTCACCAGTCCTTATTATGGGACTGAACCGCTCAAGCCCTCTTTTGCACGCGACAGTAGCATAGGAGGAATGAAAAGCAAATTTTCCACTACGCGAGACACCATCAATTGGAGAAAGGTCATCCATAAGTCCAGCCCTCTGGACAATCTCTCTTCACGCGCCGCCTCAGCCTTCCGTGACATCAACGGAACCACTGAGCGCATTGCGTTTGAATACCGAGATCTTCTCAGTCCGCAAGAAAAGTACGAATACTCTGACTCGGAGTATTCGTTCTCACCAACTGAGGAACGTCCTCGGCCAAATACCACCTGGGAAGATATCTGTGAGAATATGAACATCGAGCAACCCCGTCCTCAGCTTAAAGAAACCAAGAGAGGAAAGGGACTGTTGAGGATGCTTAAGAAGACAACTCGCCCCGAGGTGGACAGGACGTGAGAAATGTTGCAATTATGCTGTCATTTCGTTTTCCTGGTTCGATTTCCCTTTTTTATTATATAATGGCATATCAACAGGCGTTTTTTGTTAGATCGGACATCTCAGGGTTGCGTTTTGTCGAAGAATTCTGTTTTGGTCAATTATTCCTGCGCCGCCGGTAGTATATAACCATTCTCATATACAAGATCTCGAAATGAAAAAGAAAATGAAAAAGAAAGACCTTCCAAAATGCAAGTGTAATGAATTTGCTGAAATTAATTCTCGTATGAAATATAAAATTAAACATTGTAAGAATGAAAGTAAAAGTTTGTCATACCCGATAATCATGACCGACAATTATTAACACAGTAGCGAAAGATGCAATAGAAAGTAATCCTGCAGTGGCAAGGAGACGACCCGCAGCTCCTTGAAAACCACCGTGATACCGTGAATAGTTTGTTGAAAGAGAAGAGGAGAAATTAAATATCAGTAGAAGAGATAATGGTGAATAAACGAGTGTGGGTTTGTTTCATGGAAGTCTTTTTTACAAGACACTGCTGGCAACGCCGTGGTTTGAGCCCTTCAAGCTGTCGACGCGCGGCGAGAGAGTGACCGTCTTTCGGCGCAGACGAGTGCGGGTGCTCGAGTCCGTAGATTTGTCGGTAGAAACGATTGACGGGGTCATAGTTGAGGTCTCGGTCTGAGTTTCGGCGGCCAAAGCTGCCTCATCCTCAACCTTTCTCTGGGCGGATTCCCGAGATCGTTCATACCGGAGCGTGACATCGCCTTTCCATTGAGTGTTTAGTAGACGATCCCAGAAGATGAAGAACGGTTGGGAGAAGTTGGTCTTGATGCCCCAACTCTGGTGGTGGATGTCGTGGTAGGCGGCATTGTTGGATGTGAGATGCTGCAGGGGATCCCAGGGGAATGCGTATCCGCAGTGATCATCGACGGTCTTAATGGTGGAGAAGGTAAAGAACCACATGGCCTGGCGGTTGGTCATCCGAGCCGTAAGGAATGCAACGCCGGTACCGGCGGTGTCGAGCAGGAAGCCCTCGACAGGGTGGTTGTAGAGAGCACCAAAGGCGTACGGCACATAAAGACGGTGGTGACGCGAATGGAAAGTGACTGTCAAGCCTGTCAGAATGCAAAAAGCAAGGTGAAAGGGGAAGAAATGAATAAACACTTACCATACAGCCAGCGGTTGAGATGCATTGCGCGGTGAAGGAAATATTGCCAGGTGTCGACGACGCATACACCCCAGACGAACTGCAGCGCCGGAATGAAGTACCAGTAGATGAAGCTACCGGCTGCCAGCTCCCAGGCGGCAAAGGCAGGAACCACGCTCTCGACGCCGTTGTCCAGAATCACGGACTGGTTGAGTCCGGGATAGCGACCACCAGCCAAAATTCCTCCCAAAATAGTATGACCGTTGAGAGCCAGGTTCTTCGACATACCCAGAGCGTCGATGCCGAACAAGGCCAACAAACGGGGCAAGCCTCGCTGCAAGAGCCGGAGGCGGCGCGCCCAAAGCGCGACATCGTATTCCTCCTTGCCGATGTATTCCGGAGGATCGAAGTATCCCATTGCGAAACCCGCGATAGTTTGAATAATCTGCTGAAGAACGACGTCCCTAACCACATCCCAACGAGACACGTGGTTGCGCTTCAAAACCTCTGCGGGGGTGTGTAGACGGTATTGTGGAAAGAGATCTTTCGTATCGATGTAATGGTAGACCATAGATAAGGCCCAGTACGCCACAATCGGGAGGATCAGCGACACTATGTTGTCGGGAATCGGAGCCCATAGCGCGGGGCGTGGGCTTAGGGAGTATGTCGGAAGAGGAGGAAGGTCATATACAGCGGAGGCGTTGGCTGCCATGGTGAGAGAGAGGCAAACGACCGAAGTCTGACGTGTTGGTAAAAAAGCAAAGGGTTAGAATGCTTTCCGGAGAATCAACACATCGGATTGCTTCAATTGATAGCCGGACGGTCCCGAACGGGGGGTATGGCGGATGGTAAGATCTCGATTCAACGGAGGATTTAAATTTTCCAAGTACGGAGGTATATAGAAAAGAAGTTGTCCCTGGAACAATCGGAACCTTTCCAAAGGCGGTCCACAATCAGGGGACGCGATAGCCGGAACCGATGGGACGATGATTAATCAGGGAAGGGGAGGCCGGAAAGGAGGGAGGGAGCGCTCGTTGGCGACGAAGAAGCGGAAGGAAAAGAAACCGAGAAAGAAGTTTGGCAGGAAGAGAGAAAGGAGTGTGGTCACCAAGCCCGGGAGATTAAGTATCCAAATGGAAAGCAAATGAACGCAAGGTGATGGAGGTCGGGTGGAAAGTAAGGTGGATGAATGGAATGAGGTGAAAGAAGTGGCACCACAGCAAGGCAATGCCGGCCGATATCTGATCAATCGCTGCTGTTGGTATTCTCCGTATGAAACCGGTTTGTCCCAGTCGCCTCCTGGGCAGTTGGGCGGGGTAACGATGTACGGTACTGTTACCTCCTCCATGCCCGTCTCCTGACGGCCAACTAAGTTTATGCTGCCTGACCCATCAGGCATCTATTTGCTTTCCCAGGAGTCGGGGCTGACTGTCTGGCTGCCTTGCTGCCTCAGTCATCCATTCTGCAAGTCTCCAACTACTCCGGAGTACGACCATGCACCTCAGCGTCCAGTGCATTTCTGTTCCGGTATCCTTCCGAATACTTACGATTTGACATACTACTACTACACTCTCATCCTCGAATTTGCCACCAATGCGCATCGGCCGGTTTGTTAGCTGACTTCCCTTGGTTGCCAGGCGCAAACCACAAGGACCAGACGAGTCGTTCACTCCCAAAGAGGTTTAGCGGCTGCTGTTTGCCCCTCGAAAAATCGGCGGGAGAAAAACAGCAAGAAAAAAAAAAAGAAAAAAACTAAAAAACTAAAAAAACTTCCCCCACCAAAGCCGTGGGCAACCAGACGGCGCCGCTAAATAATAATCTTCAAATTTCCCCTCCCCGGCGGACCTCTTCCCTTCTTCTTTTCTTCATTTCTGTTCTCCAGCCCCGTGCCACTTCCCTGTCTTTTCCTCATTCTTGTCTTCTTCTGGGATTCTTCCTTTCTCATACCATCAAAATGATCATTTTCACGGTATGTACCCCCTCCTCTTTGTTGTCTTCCCGATTGTACCCTTTTACCCCGCCTCTTGGATTCTTGGGTAGAAAGAAAGAAAAGAAAAAAAAAAAATACAGAAAATGGGGAAATGGAGGAAACTGTCTCCATCACAAGACACGTTTCTCTCATTGTTCGCAAATCACTAACATCCTTTCCTACATAGGATATCGTTTCTGGAGACGAGGTTCTCTCCGACACCTTCAAGCTCCAGGAGGTCGACAAGGTCTTCTACCAGTGCGACTGCCGCAAGTACCTCAAGAAACAGAACGAGGACTTCCAGCTTGAGGGTGCCAACCCCTCCGCTGAGGATGGTGGTGATGATGGTGGTGAGGGTGAGGCCGTCATGGTCCACGACATCGAGGACCAGTTCCGTCTTGTCTGGCTCAAGACCGAGGAGGGTCTCAAGCCCTCCAAGGACGCCTTCAAGTCCCACCTCAAGAGTACGTACCATCGATGCGACATTCGAATGAACCCTGTTGACTAACATTGTCCTTTCCGCCATCAGACTACATGAAGAAGGTCCTCACCAAGCTCACCGAGAAGGGTGCTCCCAAGGAGACCATCGATGAGTTCAAGGCCAACGCCCCCGCCGCTGTCAAGAAGATCCTCGGCAACTACGATAACTACGATGTCCTCATGGGCCAGTCCATGGACGGTGATGCTATGTACGTTTGCCTTTCGCCAATGGTGGCACTTCCAAACCCCTGATCACATCCGCTAACCTACTCTCCTTCATAGGCACATCCTCATTGACTTCCGCGAGGACGGCGTCACCCCCTACGCTACCCTCTGGAAGCACGGTCTCGAGGAGGTCAAGGTCTAAACGTCTTTCCCCTTACAGCCGCTGTGAACCATCTCATGCATTTGAAAAAAAAAAAAGAAACTGACGGGTCGGAGTTTTTGCGAACGTCTTAATTCTCCCAGAGCAAGGGACGGGGAACGGATGGGAATGACTTGAACCCCTCCCAGAAGATGAAGATTCCATTTGATTTTTTATTCTATTTGGAAGAATGAAAGAAAAAATAGATCTTCGACCCTGGAAATCCATCCCTACCCGTTTCCTACCTTTACATGTTCTCTGCCTCATCTGAATCCATCCTGGCTTCTCCCCCCAACTTTTTCTTTACGTCTCGCAAATCTTTCTATATCCTGCTTGATCAGAGTCACGCCTCATGAAATCCCATAGCTTGTTACGTCTCATATCGTCTGTTTCCTGATAGGATATTTTACCTAGCCTAGCTTCTAAGCTCATACCATCTACGTTTAGGTATTCATTTTTCTTCGGAATTCTGATGCCAAAGTCAAATTTCTGAACGCATTCTACACCCAGTTTCCCTGGGTTTGCATTATAATCCACCGTAGATATATCCGTACTTCAATCAGCACTCTGAATCTAACCAATCTAACCATTCATCCCATTCATCGCAAAAAGAATCTATATACAAAACTGCACCAGAAGGCATAGACAGACAGGATATATGCGCTAGAATACATCAAATCTCATAATCCCAACCCAACCCATCATAAAGGTCTACGATGAAAACAAGAAACAAAAAAGGGGAAACATGAGGGGAGAAACACAAAAACACAGCAAAATAGAGAACGTAATCAATCAACAATATCCGTACCAATCCGGGCCCCTCACATCATCCATCGGGCTCTCCTCGCCCCCTTCATTACCACCACCACCAGCCTGACTACTCCTTGACCCTCCTTGCACACTACCAAGATCACCGAACTCGAATCCCGACACGGGGTCCAGTTCCATGAGCTCGTCTGCCACAGGGAGATGCTGGCCGAAGACGGCGTCCCATTGGTCCCAGTCGAAGTTCAGGTTCGGGTCGACCATTGACGGAGGGGTCGGGACGGCCATGGGCTGCTGCTGGGTCGATGGGGAGGCAGTGTCCATGAAGGGGAGGAGGGTGGATGGGGACGGCGCGTTGGCGGACGGGGGGTATTGGGATTGGGGGGCGGGGACGGGGACGGGGACGTTGTTGAGTGGCGGGAGGATTTGAGAGGAGAGAGGAGAGGTCGCAAGAGCGGTATCGATGGAACGAGAGGTTGGGTTTGTGGCAGGGGTTTGGGGAAATTGTGGAGTAGGCGCTGAGGGAGGCGTAGCGGGGACGTGGGGAGGATTGGTGGGCGGAGGGAGTTGGTTGCGAAGAGGGCTGGGTCGTAGTGTAGAGGCGGGGTTGGGGAGTACATGGGACCGGGTCATGTTATAGAACATCTTTGAGAAATCGGAAAGTTGCCGTCGAGACGACAGCGACGAGACGGGGGGCGAACCGGCGTTGTTGGCGTAGTAGGGGTCACTGGCGCAAGGATATTCGTCAGGCGCAGCGGCAACCCCTGCCTGCACTTGCGCTTGTTCGGTCCAGAGCTTCTGTGGGTCAAGGCCGGCTTTTTGCCATGCGTTTTGGCGTAACCTGCGTATCATATCCCAGGCCTCACGGCCGCCATCCTTCAAAGGTCGTTGTGTAGAGATACCGTCCTCGCCGCCGACAACTCCTCCGTCTGGGCCTGTCAGTGAGAAGATCTTGTCGATGAATGCACGAGATTTCGGGGCTTCGGGGCTATTAGGTCGCTCGTGGAGATCGATGAGCATGATCATGGCTGCATGCATTGGCTGGTGATTCCCGGGCCAACTCCAGTGAAAGGGTTGAAATTCAGGGTCGGTGGCAAGAGAGATGAACTTCTCCATGAAACCGTGACAATGACGAAGGGCACTGTATAACTATATGAGTATCACTGACATGGAAGAACGGAAACCAAATAACCATACCTCTGCCTAGCAGCTGGCCATATCCGACTCTTCGCATTTTTGAGGAAAGGTTGATAGGCAACACAAAAGGCCTTGTTTAAGTCAACTTGGTTTGTCCACATGACCACAAGGCTTCAAAGCCTACCTTATCAATGAATAATGACAAAAGTATCCTCGCCCACTTATGGAAGGACACAAGAACAGACGTATGATACTGTTCCAGGCAGCCGGCAGGTCCTTTCCCTGGTAGCTCTGTATCGCTGGAACGGATCTCCACTGGAGACTGAGAAAAGGAATAAGAACTATCAGATGAGCTGTACGAGATTGTTGTTTCTGGAATGCGGTTTATTATCGAATTAAGTCGGAGCTGAAGGTCCAGAAGGATCGACCGAAGTTCTTCCATGTCTCTTCGAGTAATCGGTTTGATGCCTAACTGGATCCTCAATATCCGTCGGACAGCACCTTGGACAGACAATTAGTATCCATCAGTACCTCACGCTGTTGAATAACTCACAAGCCATGACATATTTTCCCCGAGCTGACAGATAATACACGTTCACTGTGGAAGGCCCACCACAGACAGTCGGGTCATCAGGATTGTCGGGCGGCCGCATGCCCGCTGTGACCATACGTTCATAGTTCTCAGCCTTGGGAGTACCGAGCAGAGTATCCTTGACTTCGCTGGCTTCGCGGACATCCCAGAAGTTTTCATCGCTAACAAGAGGTGGAAGTCCACTTGACATGGCCACAACGCCGTCCATATGCACAATGTGCCACCATAATCGTCGGCGATATTCCGCTTCGTAGGCTTGGATCCCAAACTTGGCGGGGTCGCGGTGCAGTCCCATCGTCTGTGCCACTCTCATGGCCAAACTCACAAACAGGCTGCTGGTCAGTGGCTCTTCTTCCTTGGACAGGATCGTCTGCACCAGGAGATACGCGGCCAGACCTTGTAATGACGGGCTTCGAGGGAACGAGATCTTGGTCAGCCACCGGGTAACCTCCTCATGGAACGTTTTCGACAAGGCAGATCGTGACACAATATTGAACTCGGCCTTTATTGTTCGTATAGATACCGTAATCGACCCGCCATACCAGATGGCGTAGAGGAGTGGTATAAACGAGGGATCCGGGCACGGTTCGCCGGAGTAGCTGCCATAATCATACCAATTCCAAAAGGCATTGTAGAGTTTCAGGATTGTCGGCGGATGAATGACCGGGCTGATCGCATGGATCCCGGACATGAAGCCTTGGTATAGAATATGGCTTTGTCGTTTGGTAGGGACATGCTCCAGCATTTCCGGCTCCACGGTCTTATCGATCACCGATGGCGATTCACTGGAGGGAAACAACACCGACCTCTGGAAGGCCTCGCCGGTGGCTACTCTGTCATCTGTGGCAATCCCTCCGGGACTGTCATCCATTTTCCACTGGCTGGTCGGCGTGTGCGTCATCAAATCCGAAACCGTTTCCTCGTTCGATCCTTCATTAGCAGTCGGGTCATTGTGCGACCGGTTCTGATCTCGTAGTAGTTGATTGAGTTCATTTATCTGTGCAATCAATTAGTATTTCTTCGCAATTCAGATGCCTCTTGGATAATACCTCGTTCGATATGTAAGCCCAGTATGTTGTTCCGACATATCTACTCCTGCATTAGATCGCATCCCCACCACGATAGCACAGAGAACATACCTCGATCTACCCCCGTCCTCCAGACTCAAATGACCCAGATTCAGATTCCCAATAGGATCCACCAGATCCGTCGCATGTCCAGCAGGAATCGGAAACTCATCGCCACTCGAATCCGCCGCGCGACGCGGACTGTTCGGACGGGAGTTTCCCGCCGATTTCAACGGCAGCCCATTGGCCTGGCGGGCATCCCTCTTAGCAGCCTCCAAACTGACATTCTGCGCCAGCAGCTGCTTCTGCGCGGCGTCCAACGGCTGATTGGTCTTGCTCAATCGCTCGATCATCGAAGTGAGCTTGTCCAACCGCGCTTCGATCCCATGCGCCCCAGACTTCTGCTCCGCCGATCCCGCCTGCTTCAAGTGGCTATAGACTGACTGTAGATCGTCGACCTCGTCGTCCACCGGCCCCGACATCTCTCGTCTCCGCTTAACCCCGTGACCCTCCTTTGTTTGGCTACGCGATTCATCCTTGGGCATCGCATCGTAAATGCACTCGTTTCCGGTTTTCAAGCAGTTTCCGCACGCCGGGTGGACCTAGATGACGGATCAGTATCAGTACAGTCCCCCTCCCCAATAGGCAACTAATGATTTCTTACCTTGTCACATTTGACCTTCCGTCTCCGACATGTGTGGCAACTGTAACTGGCGCGGTTTCGCGTGATTTGACGACTGCCCTTCCCCGTGGAGGACCTAGACGAAGCGTGGATGACGCTGGACGCGGCAGGAGAATCGGGATGCATGGGTATCTGGGCATTCGAGCCGGGATTAGAGGCCCCATAGCCTGGGTCTCTACTTGTCGGGCTCGTATTCATGATTGCGCGATCGCAGTGGCGGGGTTGTGAAGGCCGGCGGCGCAATCGCACGGTCGGTTCATGGGGGTCGTACAAGGGGCGAGATTATCAATTATTGCGAATTGATGAACTGGCGAAAGGGAGGGGCTCAATTCCCAAAAAGCGACCTGCAGGACTATGAGCTAAGGGGTTCCAGAAGGGCGTTCCTGTCTTCGGCGGGTTGACGTTTGGATCTCCGGGGTAAAGCTCGCGATCGACTCCCTCGGCCAATGAGAGGCGCCTTAATCGGCAGCCGGCGATTGTCCCGGCGCTGGCAATTCCGAGATTTCTGAGATTGCTTGCAGGAGGCAGATTAAGTAGGGAGATCAGACAGATTGAGTCATTTTGGACAGGTAACACAATCAGAATTAATGCCTCAAATCCTCCGGTCGGGAGATACACCGGAGGCCCGGGCTATGTATGTGTACCCTACAAATTACGTCGGTATAACCAGGATCAACTGCCCAGAGTCGTGCTAGATCATAGCACATGTCATAATTCCATCTTCGATTCCCACTTGGTACCAGAGAACGGCATATATGCTCTCTATCAGGTGTAAATCAACAAACGCCTCACGCCCGTGCAATGCAACCAGAAACGCACATTAATATGGACAGTGAATCAGAATTGCTCGGAGTGTCCCATATCCCATACAGCCGTCAAATCGGGCGCATCATGCCTTATTTCTTCTTCTTGTCCTTCTTCTTCTTCTCGCCGCTGCCTCCGGACGGCTCGCCACCCATTCCGCCCATGCCACCCATCATCCCGGCCAAATCGGGCATCCCGGGAATTTGAGGCATGCCAGGCATACCCTGCATGTTTTGCATCTCCGACATGGCGTCCTTAAGCGGGTTGTCGCTGACTCCACCGCCACTATAGGCCGGGGAGTGTATGGGTAGGATCGTGCCAATCTTCCACCCACGAGGAGCAGCCGGCGCGGCAGGAAGCTTCTCCGGCATGGGGAGTCCTCTGATCCGCAGGTTGTAGGGGGATTTCTCGGTGGTCGGATGGGCCTTGAGATACTCGGCCACGTAAATATAGAGATGATGTTCTGGCTCGAAGTTAGACAACAGTCGAGGTCATAAAGCGCAAAGATTGGAGATAATAACCACTTACTGTTCTTGATGTCCGGGTTGGCCAACTTCCCGTTCTCGTCCTTCAGTAGCACACGCACTCGTCCCGGGTTCGCCCAATCCTTCGGGTGGAACTTCTCCGGCTCGAATCCCACCGTCAACCCTAGCATCTGCGCGGCATCGACGATCTCTCTGGCCAAAGGGTTCTCAACGGCGTGTTGCGAGCCGACTTTCCGGCCTCCGGCGCGCGACCGCGACTTGTCGAAGTAGATCGGGTACAGGCATTGGAAGTGTTTGGGGATTTCGCGCTGCGGTTCGGGAGCCGGTCTCATGGGTACCGAAGACGGGGCGGAAGCAGGAATGTTGGCGGCGGACAGGAGAGTATCATTGGTGAAGTCGGAGGGAGCAACTTCCTCCGGATCGGAGTCGTCGTACACCTCCTCGACTTGCGCGTTTCGAGACATATTGTCTGTCTGAGATGAAATTTACAGGTATCGATCCTTCAATAACCGGAATTGGTAGCAGAGGAGAACCGGTGGGGTGTAAAAGAGGGACTGAGTTGGCGGAGGTCGACGCTGAAGCCCAGTCTGGCCTTTCTGTGAATCTGTGTGCTGGGAGACTTAGTGGCCGCGGAGAGCCACCGCCTACACGGAGCAACAGGCACATGACCGTCTAGGTTATTGCCGGCATAAAGTGCATGTCTGGGCGGTCAATTGATATTGGCGGTGAATCTCAATTGTATGTCTCACTGTTCACGAAGTACTCCGTTAGCTCCACTCCTGTACTTCTAATGCTCTCTAGCGTCTAGCCTGCCGTCTATCATTTTAAAGAAGGACAGATATGGTAAGAGAGAAGAGTCTCTTCGAACATCCTCTAGCATGTATTACCTGCAGCAGGAAGAAATATAAAATAGTCACTTGTTCATGAAATTTTACTTTGAAAATATGTCTTGGACTCGTCATTGAGGAATACGAACAAGCATATTGGTAATTCGCATCAAGAGGCCTATTTAATCATTGCTAACAATGTCTGTGGTTGACTCGACATGATATGCGTAAAGACAGCAAAGAAATATAAGAGGCTTTTTCTAGCATTCGATTGTTGCGAATTGATTCATTGCGGAGTTCGCGTCCTAATATTGGACATGGCAATTCTGACCTACCTCTCTCTAGAGTGATGTTAAAAGGGCCTTCAAAACAGAAAGTAAACCCAAAATTAGGCTGTGTAATGCTTGTCTGGAAGTCATTAGTGTTTGAGGGTGTAATACAGAATCTTACTACTTCTTGTCGGGTCTATCAGGTCTTGCAGCAGCCTGCGTGAAACTTGACATGACACATTGAAATATGCTTAGCTATATTATAAGTCTTTACTGTCATGTTACCCACAAATTGTATGCTATAGATACTCGAACAACAATCACTAAACGTAAGATACTGCAACCTAGGTAGATAACCGAGGGCCCTGATCGGGATGTCGGCGTATGCGGCCAACCATCCGCTCGGGATCTCCAACGGCATGCCGAGTGCAGCATACCCCACATCGTTATCTACGGAGTATGGAGTGTACTTATTTACCATGTAGATACCTACAGTACTTAAGAAGACATTCATATCTTTCACAACCATCAACTGCATTCTAATTCTTCCCTTTGAATCCCCCATTTATCATCTTACCAAAAATTTGCAATAATGTCCAACCCAAGCAAGTAGTTACACCCCCAACTTCTATACTCCATCTAACCACCAAACCCCAACAGAGCCCATGACCCCCCATAGTGCCGTCCTCCACCGACACACGCACTTCGTTCCCAAAAAGGCCGTCGGTGGCAAAGGCAGCTACATATTCCTCGAAGACGGCACTAAATTCCTTGACTCGACCGGCGGCGCAGCCGTCTCGTGTCTGGGTCACGGTCACGAGAAAGTCAGTCAAGCGGTGATCCAGCAGATCGAACAGCTCTCGTACTGTCACTCTGCGTTCTTCGGGACCAATGTGGCGGAGGAATTGGCAAGATTTCTAACTGATTCGACTGGTGGGAGGCTGTCGAAGTTGTATGTTGTTAGTTCAGGTGGGTACATACATACGTACATCTTTCTCTCTTTCTTTCCCTTTTATATACTTCAACAGAGCAGAACGTGAGGTTTTTATCCAAGCAACAAGCTAAAATCCTACATGAAACAGGCTCCGAAGCCGTCGAAGCAGCCCTCAAACTAGCCCGTCAATACTACCTCGAACTCCCCGTCCCTCAACCCCAACGCACACGCTTCATCGGCCGATCTCCCTCCTACCACGGCATCACACTCGGTGCCCTAGGCGCCGGCGGGCACGTTCTTCGTCGAGAGCCCTTCGAGCCTCTCCTCGCGCAGAACACATCCCACGTCTCGCCGTGCTACGCCTACCGAGGAAAGTTGGATGGTGAGTCAGACGCGGACTATGTCGCCCGGCTGGCGGCCGAGCTGGACGCCGAGTTCCAGCGTGTTGGACCTCAGAATGTGTGCGCTTTTATTGCGGAAACGGTTGTGGGCGCGGTATGTCATCATCATCCTCCTCCTCCTCCTCCTCCTCCCACGTCTCTACCTCACTCACAATCTCCCTCTCTGGACACATACCTTACAACCAAAGCGATGAGCTAAACACTAAAAATGAGCAGGCCCTCGGCGCCGTCCCCCCCGTCCCAGGCTATCTCTCCGCTATAAAAGCCATCTGCACAAAACACGGCGCACTCTTCATCCTCGACGAAGTAATGAGCGGAATGGGCCGCACGGGCACCCTGCACGCATGGGAGACCGAATCCGTGGTCCCGGACCTCCAAACCATCGGAAAAGGCCTCGGCGGCGGATATGTGCCCGTCTCGGGAGTGTTAATTGGCGACGAGATCGTGCGGACGTTGGATCGCGGCACGGGCGTGTTCCGGCACGGTCAGACCTACCAGGGACATCCGATTTCTTGTGCGGCGGCGCTGGCTACGCAGAGGGTTATAAGGGAGGAAGGTCTGCTGGAGAATGTTAGGGTTTTGGGGAGATATTTGGGGGAGAGGCTAATGGAGAGGGTTGGCGGGTGTAAGTATGTGGGGGATGTTCGGGGGAGGGGGCTGTTTTGGGGGGTGAGTTTCTCTCTTCTTTCTTTTCTTCCGTTGGTTGGGGGTTGGGTATTTGGATTTGGATACGGATTTGGGGTCTGGGCTAATATGGGACTTGCCACTGCAGATTGAATTCGTCCAAGACCGCACGACTAAGGAACCCTTCCCGACGTCTGCGAATGTGGCCTTCCAGATCCAGGAGACGGGGCTGGACCCGGCGTTTGCGATCTCGTTGTATACGGCGTCCGGCACGGTGGATGGCACGCGTGGTGATCATGTTCTTCTGGCACCGCCGTATAATGTCACCAGGGAGGAGATCGATCTGATTGTGGAGAAGACGGGAAGGGTGATTGAGAGTGTTTTTGCGAGGGTGGAGAAGGAGATGGAGAGGACTACGATTGGGACTGACTGAGACTGAGATTGGGATGAGTTAGGGTTAGATGATGAAGAGAAGTTGATAGGCGATTACGGATATCGATGAAAGACCATGAAGATAGATATAAATCCATTCAATAAGCTAGATACTAAACAGCCTCCAGTAGGTCCAGGATATCTTTTGCGAAGAAGAAAAGATAAAAAAGATCCCGCAGTAACTAATTGTACATACAGTAACACACAAACGCTCGCTCTTATTTTCATGCCTTGGCCTCAATCTCGGCGCCCTTGGAAGCAACCGGCGCCTCTTGAACAAACACCTTCGCGTCGCCATTTCCATTCGTGACAGACGCAGGGGTCGTTTCGGTCCACATATTCGCAACCGTTTCTACGGCTCGCTCGATCACCACGCGCACCCGGTCTCTCATCACGGCATTCGCACACTCGACCTCCAGATCTTCCAGCCACACCCGCGCGACGTGCTTATCGACCTTGATCTCAATACCCGGGACGGGGATCCCGAGGGCCTGCAGACGAGCTAGTTCGGCCAGTTCGGTTTTCGCGACGCTGGTGTCGTCTTCGGGTTCGCGTTTGGGCGATTGTTCGGCAGAGTCAGGGTCGGGTTTCCCTGTGGGTGTGGATGTTTCGTTATTGCCAGCGCCGTTGGCGGGCTGCTTTGGGAGACGCGGACGCTCGATGGGAGAGATGTCGGATCCGAATTGCGCTTCCAGCATCATGAGAAGACGCGTGAATCGCTCTTCAGCGTCGACCTGAGAATGGGGGTTGGGGAGGTCTAGTTCGTCATGGTGATGGTGATAGTGATGATGTTGCTTGGCAGATTCTGTTGGGGGATATTAGTATAAACACATGTCTGCTGTAGGTAGAATGAGGGCATCTTACGCTTGACAGAGGCAGGACTGCTCTCAACTGTGAGAAGCACCGCCATGACAGCATCAGCAACTCCGTCGTTCATCATGTTACCTTCCCACTCGAGCTCCACTTCCCGCGTCCGAGGGTGGTATCGGATGATAACACAGCCCATGACAAGGTAGGTTTGAGTGTCCTCGATCGGGATTTCTTCATCGGCAGGCTCATCCTTCATTTCATCGATCTCCTCGAGCTTGCCGTCCACGTTCTCTTCCTTGGTGTTGGTCTTCTGGCCGATCTCCTCAATGGCGCCAAAAGTGCCTTCCAGTGCCCATTTGATGAGATCCATGCTGGCAGAGCTCAGAGTGATGTGCTGCTTGCATGTGATGGTCGTGGTCGTGAGACCGGCATATTCGCGGAGGTCGTCCGGTGCCATCAATGACAGGTCAAAGCCGTTCTGGACCAGCACGCCGGCCATCAGGCTGCTGTCGTCCTCTTCCGATGGGGGAGCGATTTGGGCTAGCTTGCCCACAACCTTTGCGATTTTGTCCTTTTTGAACGGGATGCGGACTTCGTCGCAGTTGGCGGGTGTGTAGACTTTTACCTTCACTGTCTTGTCTGCGTTGAGACTGAGCAGCTTAGATTTCAGTCGCATCATTTGGTGCTTTTCGCCATGGACCAGAATCTATACGAGATCAGTATTTGAAATGGAAATATAAGTTGGGGGGAGGGCACATACCACCACAGGCGCGGCGACTTCCTCAATGAAGTTGCGGTTCTCGACACCGTCCACATGAGCAGCAAAGCTGACTTCGTCTACGGTACATCTTCGTGGAATCATCACTTTCTGATCTTCTTCGTTACCCGTCATGTTCCGCCTCGCTATGCCGGCCGCCGCTCGCGACATGACCGCGGGAATCTGTTCGGGTTCGTTCAATAGCTGCTTGGCCATAGTACCCTCGACGCTGTAACCCGTCATGACCACGCCGTTGCGTTCATTAGGGGCCCAACGTTCCAGCAGTTCTCTACTGGTTCCCGTTTGAAGCATACCCGGCGACGCGAGCATGACGCACCCGCCTACATCATCGAAGCGCTCCAGACTTCGCAAACTTCGTACAAATCTAAAGTCCCAGGGCCCTGCGCTGACACTTTTATCGCCGCTGGCTTCCGCCTCAGCCATACGTTGCCGGAACAGTCGCTTGATGTTATCGTTCATGGCACCGATGTATGTCTGGTAAACGACCATGCATCGTCGCGCGGTGTTACCAATGTAGTAAATGGGCATTTTCTGGAGCTCCGGGTGTTTCTCCCAGTATTCGTCCAGAATGAGCAGCAGCTCTTGCGCACGACCAAGCGCAAACACCGGCATGAGAACTCGGCCGCCGCGGTTCAACACGCCGGTGATCGACTTCATCAAGGCGGCCTCGCGCTCCAAACGGGGCGGGTTGGAAGAAATTCCGAACGTCGACTCGGTGATCAACACGTCAATCTTGATACCTTTGGGAACCTCGGCGGGGATAAGATGTCGGTCTTCCTCTCGAGAGTAGTCACCGGTGAACAGAATGTTCAGACCAGCGATGGAAACCAGGAACATGGCAGCACCGAGGACATGGCCGGCGGGGAAGGGAGTAATGCGGATGCTGTTGATCGTGTGGGTGGTGTTGAAATCGATAGTTTCGATGAGTGGGAGCGTAGAGAGATGGTCATGTTCTGTGTAGAGGGTGGTGCGCTGATCTGAGGACGAAGCTGTATTGCTGACTCGTACATTGTCCTGGATAAGCCATTTGTAGATGGCTTTCGTCGCATGTGTCATGAACACACGGCCTTTGAAGTTGGTCTTGCTGAGAACATAGGGGAGGGCGGAGGAGTGGTCGACGTGGAAGCTAATTCATAGATTTGTTAGCCCACTGCACCATATACCTGGGAAGGTTGTCGTCGCCACGGGGAACAGGTGGAAGCCACGCAATACAAGGATACAGTAACCGGGCACAAGGATTATGAAGTTAGGATAAATTGCATTGCGATTCTCGTATACATGGCCTGGAATGAAAGATCTCTCGAGGAAAAAGCAAGACCCAATACTAGTCTTTATACGCCAACCCCCAATAGACCCATTCGAACAAGGTATGACCGCGGAGCAAGACGAATTGTGCAGACTTGAAGGGGAGGGAGGATCAACGTACTGACTGATCAGGAGAATATCGACCGTACTCAAATCGAACTCGTCAAAGAAGGGGAGAGCCGAGAAGCCTTCTTTCGCAGGGTGCATACCGGCATCGAGCTATAAGGAACTTGGATTAGCAATGTCTCAAATAGCAATCAAGGATATAGAATTCACGCACCATGACCGTTTTCCCTTTATACTGAATGATGTGACACGAGCGACCGACTTCATTTCCTCCGCCTAGGCAGTAAAACGCTACCTCATCAGAGGGGTCGACCGGTTCATCGTCAACGGCGGCATTTAGAGCCGAGGCCTTCCGTTTTGTCGCCATTTTAGGTAATTAGAAAGGACAGGATTCAAAATAGAAAAGGATTATTCCCTCCTAGTATAGATAGAAGATCAACAGCAATAGTGTCAATGTGTCAAAGAAACACTAATGTAAAAGTTAAGATGCGCAATATGGACGTGGGCCTTGTTTCTTGCGATGCTCAAATGACGCGATGTAGACCAGCCATGGCCGGCGCGGAACGCGATAAACTAATCAAGCTGTATGCGACACAGTCGCAAGCCAGGGACCCTGTGAGAACACCTGGTGCAGCAGTCTGGAGGAGGTGACTTTCTTTGATCAAGCATCCCCGGGTTAATTGCGGTGATTATTTGGGATCAAAGAAGGCAGCCCATTGTCGTTAGGTAAGCCTCCACGTGACCGTGCGGGAACTCGAGCAAACCTCGTTCTCAGGAAGCTCCCTTTCCGTCCGCGAAATACACGGTCAACCCCAGTTTATTCCCCGCGCACACGACTTTGCCATCGTTGGGGTGTTCCTGTCGGGGGTTTATCACGATTGTATGCCGAGAGCGATGTTTTGAAATGATTAAACCTGGTCCGGGCGGCGGTTCGAGCATTCCGCTCACATTTGCAACTCACGCGCGGGCGTGCCGACGTGACAGAATCTAACGGAAACACCCATCTTGAAAGGACAGACGATCCTCAGAAGGAGGAAGATTCACCATGGCGCAAACACAACCGCAGCAGTTTTCTCAGTCATTCTCCCCGCCGGGGTCGTCACCCTCGCCCGGGGCTCCATCGCCAGTGAATGGTGGCGTCCCTCCACCTCCCAAACGACAGCGTCTCTCACCTCTCCCCCAATCTCCCTACGCCTCACCCAGCTTTGGAACCCTACAACTCCCTCAAAATATTTCTCAGAATCTCCCGCAGAACCAGCTCGCTACCTCGGCCAACGCCATTAATGTGAACGGCTTGCCCCAAACACCTGTATCGGCACCGGCACCGGCACCTCCAGGAGCGATGGGGCCTCCGATGGGACCTCCGTCTCGACCTGCGGATAAGGCCACGGATGCTGCGGAACTGACAGATGTGTTGGCCTCGTCGGGTATCGATGTCAGAGAAGAAGAGGCCTTTCTCACCAGCAGCTATTCTGGTCCGGGTGTGCAGGTTCAGCAGCCACCGCGTCTCCAACCACAGCAGCATCACCATCAGCCACCTCTACCGCAGCAGCAGCAGCAGCAGCCACAACCTCCCCTCAACACCTCCTTCACCTCACAAACCTCGACCGGAACGGTATCGTCGCAACCTAGCTTCAGCGAACCCTCACAGTTCAAGCCGCCGACGGCCCAAGGATCTCCTCTCACTGAGCCGTCAACCCAGCCACCGGCGCCCTTCAAAGATCCGAATGAACCGACCCGAGAAGATAGCGAGGCGGCCAGGCGCGCACAATACCATCTACAGGAACCATTTCTCCTGACCAAGGTCTTGGAACAGAAATTGCAACGGCGTGGGTTTGAGCTGGGCGTCCGCATTCCGGCAGAAGGCCTGTTCCATCCAGTGCCGGGCCGTCAAGCTCCGATCGAAGTGACCGGACCCGACGGTTCGTCTATTGTGCGCACGGGTCAAACCATTCTTAACCAGGAGGGGGCTCCGTTGGTGGACATACTGAATTTGATGTCGCTATCTTGCGAAGAACGACTGCGAACGGTGGTTGATTACTCCTCTACACTGGCACGGAGCCGTCGCGAGCATTCTCACGGGGAGGTCCCTCTCGAATGGGACGAAATAGCCGTGCCATCCCCCACTGCGAACGGGACCGCAGGGAGTCCCAAGACCCCGCTCAAGAGTATGTCCGACGCGATTCATAGCAGAAACAAAAGGAAACGAAAGACATGTGCTAACAAAATCTGATACAGGGTCCCAATCAGCCACCGAGCAACCAACTCCCAAAAGCATTCCGGAGAAATACCGCATGCTTATGGATAAGGACAACTCCAGCGAGGAAAGCCGCGCGGCCAAACGGGCCAAACGCGATGCCAACGCTATCCTGGGCGAAGGTGCAGGCAGCAAGCCAGAGTCGACCGACATACCCGGGTCCGGCGCGTCTACGCCAACGATGGGCGACCGAGCGCCCACTATCGATAAGAAGGGAATGTCGAAGAAAGAAGCCCGGAAAATGGTGGACGCCAAAGCCAGCGAGGCTCAACAGCACAAACAGTCGGTGGAGACGGCACGACTGGCCACCAACAGCATGCTGTCACACCGCATGTTTGGACAAAAGAAGTCGTACTCGTGGCTCAATCCGCGTCCCGCCGGCGGCAGCGGCCTGTCTACGCCGTCCCGGACCAACGCGGCCACGCCCAGCGCGACTCCCGACAAGACTGGACGGTCTGGGGAACCAGCGGCGGCACCTGCTAAGCGACTGGGGACGTGGCGAGAAGACAAGGAGAAAGGGGCCGGGGTTCAAGTCCGGGATATTCTTTTCATGCTGGAGCTGGACGGACGAGGCGCCCGGCACGTGCAGAAGGCGTATTCCAAGGATCTCAAAGAAGATCGCGCGGACTGAAACGATCTCTCTTCTTCTACATGACACCCCTGATAATCTAGAGCACGGGTCGAGTCTGTTCTACTATTTCCGCACGGTTACTGCGCAGGACCGTGGTCATTGGCGATGCGGGTTGGATTCTTTTCTTTATCATTTCACTTCATGGATGTGTTCTTTTTATTTTGATTTATTAATCACTGCGAGCATTTGCAAGAGGCGGGTCGAGGGAAACCACAACATTGGCGCGCATTGTCCTTGATGATTCCCGAGCTGTTCGATCTGTACCCGCTGTTTTGACTCGGATTTAATGAGATGTGCGATATGGAGGGATTGTCGAGGCGAAAATGAGGATGAGGATCTTGCCTTACTGATAGCATAGACATGACAGTAAGGGCGAGGATGAGCAAACTACAATTTACCGTACAATCCACAAGTTCATCGTAGAATAAATAATCTGCACGGTCCTGGCCTCCAGCATCCAACCGATATTAAACGTGCCAGACTTAATTAATTGGATTTGGCTTTAATCCCGAGGGAGTCTAGCGCCCGAGATCGGGATACGGAAGAGCAGACGCGCCCGACGCGCAGAAGATTGGCCCTGCGCAACGCTCGCCTTCCTGTCTTGTTCCCTCCCATTCCCCCCTCTTCGTCTCTCTCTCTCTCTCTTCTCTCACTGCCCGTCTGAATGGCCATATCGACCACCCTCCATCCCATATTCACCGCGAGGGAAACCACCACAATGCAACACAATCTGCACCAACCGACTCGATGATGTCAGGGCCACCCACAAAGCGCAGGCTTGAAAAAGCGGAGGGGCTCCACCCGGTGTGATTGGTCCTTGGCGAAGGAGGCTAAGGGATCTAGCGGTCCTGTATGTATGTACTACTGAAGAGGTGTACGTCGGTCGTCGTCTGTCTGGATGGACGGATGGGATGTCTGGCCGTAAGGGCCGATCAGGGCGGTTCTGGAATGAGACCTCCATTTCGAGCGAGGTGAGTGACCGCCGCCGCCTGGGTCTGCTGGACGATATTTGCCACCGTCGAGGCCGGGCCCCGACGGTACGAGGGATTATCTTACTTCCTATGATCTAGGAGACTTCAGGTGGGAGACACGATAGATGATCTTGTTTTTTTTATTTATTTTATGACAATATCCCGAGTCACCAGAATCATCAGAATCATACTTCAGACTCGCCAGTGAAACTGGGCGAAACTCTCCGCGGCCACAGCCCGGCCAGACTGCGCCTGAGGCCCGTTTCGCCTCCGGGACTGGCTGGGCTGTCCTGGAAATATCATCCTGCCTTAAGGGCATGGATTCCTGAATCTTAGACCAGAGTACGGAGTACCAAATTACATGTTATAATATTATGCAGGCGATCTGCGCGAACGGAATCCCGGGACGTAAGCCTGTCCTGTAGACAGTCTGTACTCTGTACTCTGTACTCTGTACAGTATTCTTCCGGCCAGATTGCTGGTCTACCAGAATATACTGGAGATTGTCAAGACCAGTAACTAAAGAATGATTCTTTTCAGTACTCTCCGTAGAGCCTTGGGTATTATTCTGGTCAAGTGTGCAGCGTCGTAACCGAAGCCTCTCCTCGCCCTCGCCTCTCCGCCGTACAGAAGGCTCCAAATGATTCATTCCCTCACTCAATTGCTTCGTTTCTTTCTGTTACTCCCTTCAGTGTAATTCCTCATATTTTCTTTCTCTTTTTTTTCTCATTTTTGTTTTCCCTGTCTCATTCTATATTATTGCCAGTTTATTTCCCTCTACTTTGGTGGTCCATCTCCAGTTCCCCGTCCCAAATTCCTGGCCGTGAACCAGAAATTCGGAATCGCCTCTCGCTCTCTCTCGCTTCTCAGTCTCCAATGTTCGCCTTCCGATTCAATCGTGCGGTCATTGTCGCTCCCAAGCAAATGAGACAAACTTGCTGAAATCTTCCCGTATCGTCAACCTTCTCTACTTCGCCCCGACCGCCCTCTGTCGATTGGCATCCCCACGCCTGACGTTTTTCCCTTCCCTCTTTTCCCTTTCCTTTCTGCTCTCTTTTGCTTTCTCTCTTCCTCCGTCTCCTCCTTCTCCCTCTCGTCGAGTCCGGGCGTTTCGCATTCTCCGTCGGTCTTTCTCTCCTCCTCTTCCCTAATTCGACTGGGACGCCAACACGAGCATCCCCGGGTTTGCCGACCTGGTGCTTCGAGTCCCCCGTCTCATTCTCTTTTCTTGCCTAATTACTCGTTCCCTTTCTGCTCCCTTTTCTCTTTATTTTTATATTCTCTGGTCAGTCAAAAAGATCGTCCGAATTGATTGATTCTCGGCGGCCTACTGCGATCCGACTGGAACGGTTGGAGGAAAGACTTCCACCCTCCAATAAACCCTGTTCCCTCTCTTTTTGTCCTCTACCTCCGTCTCTTTCTTCCTCCTCTTTCTTTCCTCCGCGGCTCGTCCAAACCGATCGGGGTTCTGAATCCATCATGTCGACACAATCCACGGCCACTGCGACACACCCTACCACTCATCACCAACAACACTACGGATACCCCCATCATCAGACCTACCAACCAAACGTATCCTATCCGACCACCTCCGCCGCAGGCACTCGCCTAGCCTCGTCCGCTTACCCCTACGCCGTAAACCCTTCGACCGCTACTCTTCCCTACGCTCAATCTCCGAAACTCGCCCCCCCTGCGCCCCCCACACCCAACACCACGACGACGATCCCGACGACGACGGCTGCGACGGTAGCGACGATGCCCCCGACCCAGAACGGTGTCGCTGCGAGAGCGACTTCCGGACAGAATGGCCGCAAGAAGAAGCCGGACTGGGGCGAGTTCTATAAAAATGGTATACCCAAAGAGGTCATTGTCATTGACGACACGCCTCCGCCGGAGCAGTCAAAGGGCGGCTCTGCTCGCAGTTTCGCGACAACGTCCACCGTGACGGCTCCCAACGGCGCCGCACAACCACCGCTACCGGCTGGTAAAAAACGACGTACGGGGATGGAGTCCGCCTACGACGTGGCCTACTACGACCGTCCCTCGTACTCCATCAACCCCCAGCGGTACGGGGAAGATTCCTCGGCCGCCTCGCTGTCAACGGATCGAACAACGTCCATGCACACCACCGCGCCCACCTCTCTGTCCCAGGGCAGTGTGGGTGCCGGCAATGGCATCTTCTACGAGGATGCCAACGTGGGTCAGAAGCGAAAGCGAGTCACGACGCGAAAGGCCGTTCGCGATGAGCAGAAGCGAAAGGAGCTGGAGAGCGTTGGCGATGCGTTCTTGAGCTACGTGCCTCCGCCTAAGCCGCCCATCAAGGCGAAAGACGTGCCAGTACCTGTTGTTCGAGATGTAAGTGATTTCTTTTTTGTCTTAGTGATTTTGCCCGTTGACCCTTTACGTACAGTACGCCGGCCGAACCGAGAAATTTGACGATGATGATGGTCACTACATCGTGAATCCTAATACTCCCATCACAGACCGATGTAAGTGTCGAAATTTCTGGGCTGCTTGGATGGGTAGCTGACACCCGCAGACACGATCATCAAACTCCTCGGACAGGGGACGTTTGGAAAGGTGGTAGAAGCATACGATAAACACCGCAAGGCTCGGTGCGCGGTCAAGATCATTCGTTCGATTCAGAAATATCGAGATGCATCCCGCATCGAACTTCGAGTATTATCAACGCTGGCCTCGAACGACAAGCAGAACCGGAACAAGTGTATCCATCTGCGTGACTGTTTCGACTACCGCAGTCACATCTGCATCGTCACTGACCTGCTGGGGCAGAGTGTCTTTGATTTCTTGAAAGGAAACGGCTTTGTACCGTTCCCCAGTAGTCAAATTCAAAACTTTGCCCGCCAGCTGTTTACTAGCGTTGCCTGTGAGTCTTCCGCTTCCCCTGGGGTAACGGTCGGATAGATACTAATTCACGTCTAGTCCTTCATGACCTTAACCTCATCCACACCGACCTGAAACCCGAGAACATCCTCCTCGTCAACAACAACTACCAAACCTTTACCTACAACCGGACCATACCATCCTCCTCGCAAGCCATCTCACGAAGTGCCCGTCAACGACGGGTTTTGCTGGACAGCGAAATCCGTCTGATCGATTTTGGCTCCGCCACCTTTGACGACGAGTACCACTCGTCGGTCGTGTCCACTCGCCACTACCGGGCCCCCGAGATCATCTTGAACCTGGGGTGGAGTTTTCCGTGTGATATCTGGAGTATTGGGTGCATCCTGGTTGAGTTCTTCACCGGGGATGCACTTTTCCAGACCCATGACAATCTGGAGCATTTAGCGATGATGGAAGCCGTCATTGGGGACCGCATTGATACCCGACTGGTGAGACAGGTGATGCAAGGAGGTCGGAGTGGCAGTCAAAACCAGTCAGCCAAGTACGTATTATCTCTGCCATAGCTCGAACATCTGCTAACTGATGCAGATATTTTGTCCGAAATAAACTCGACTATCCGAATGACGAAACGACTCGTGCTTCGCGGAAGTATGTGAAGGCGATGAAACAGTTAAACGTGAGTTTTGCCTTTCTCCCTCTGTCTTTTTTATCATCTCAACTGACACCGGTAGGAGTTTATCCCCACGAATAACAAATTCCACCAACAATTCCTGGACCTCTTAAAGCAAATCTTCGTTTACGACCCGAAGGCCCGTATCACGGCTAAGGAGGCGCTGAAGCACCCTTGGTTCAAAGAATCCCTGGTGGACGATGGCACCGAAGCCTTGCGAATTGGGGAACAGCTGCAACGCAACACCCAACGCCGCTGACCCGAATCTCGGACTTCGGATCGTTCACTTGATGTATGGATACAGGTACAGTTACGATAGATGGTTCGTCTCTTGGATAATATTTGCATCGGGATGACAACCACACGCACCGCGTGACGACGATGGGAATTTACAAAATGTCCCTTGGACTTATGGAGTTGTGGCCCTTTTGGGACTATGGTGTATGGGGTTCAGTGCTCATCCAGGACCTTTGCGAAGCTTTACACATCAGCGGTCCGATCTAGACCGAAACCAGGAGGATAAAAAGCATCGGATGACATTTAGGTCATTGATGGCAGCACATTGTGTTTATCATCTGATTCATCGATTTCTCGCCTTGGGTTTGCCTGGTTTGCCTGGTTTGCCTGGTTTGCCTGGTTTGGGCATGTGGGATTTTTTTCATGGTTTATACTCATCACTTATGTGCTTGTTCTTTTTTCTTTCTCTTCTCATCATGTCGATGGATTATCTTTGACCTGCTCGGATCTATTTATCCTTTTCTCTGGGGTGGCGCTGGTGATTTATTGATACAGGTTTATCGCATACCTACTACTTACCTGGTTGTTTTCTTTTATATCTTGTTTTTATGGCCATGAGGGCTTGGAGGTTTGTTGGGAGGCCCGGATAGTGCGAATTTATATACCTCTTTGTTCTGCGTCACGTAGGTGATGATGGATAGATCTTCTGGCTGGACTGCACGGACAGTAGGACAGTATACGAAGTAGTAGGGATACCCCAGTTTCATGCATCCTGGTCGACTAACATTCTCCATGCAGATCACACAATCTCTAGTGTCAATTGTTGGAGACTAGCCCAGGACTTACCCCAAGGATGCATAATTAAATCATATCCTCCCCGCTTCTCCATCTCACATTCATTTATTTTTCCATGGAGCTCACCATCGCTGAGTATCACGACGCCCTGCGTGCTGGCTGCACCACCTGCGCGCGCACCGTCTCCGACTATCTCTCCCGCATCGCTCTGTACAATCCCACCCTGGGCGCCCTCATCACCATCAACCCCCACGCCCTCGATGACGCCCAGCGCAAGGATCGAGAGGGCCTACCCCATCCTCTACTCCCTCTCCACGGCGTCCCCGTCATCGTGAAAGACACCTATGCCACCGCCTGTATGCCCACCACCTCGGGCGTTCGCGCCCTCCGCTCCCTCACCACCAAGGTAGACGCCCTTGTCGTGCAGCGCCTCCTCGCCGCGGGGGCCATCCTCCTCGCCAAGGCCAACCTGCACGAGTTCTCCCTCGAAGGCGTCACACTGTCCTCGCTTGGCGGACAGACCCTGAACCCGTACGATCTGACTCGCACCCCAGGCGGTTCGTCCGGCGGCACGGCGGCCGCGTTGGCGGCTAACCTCGCCTTGGTGGGCTGCGGCGGCGACACGGTCAACTCGATGCGATCGCCTGCGTCGGCGTGCTCGCTCGCCGGGCTCCGGCCATCTAAAGGACGCGTTGAGAAGACGGGCATCATGCCGGTGACGTGGACGCAGGACGTCGCGGGCCCGATGGCTAGGACGGTCCGAGACGTGAGAATCTTATTCGATGTAATGAAGAATCCGTCAGAGGTCCCGTCTTCTTTACCTGGGCCTGAGCCAGTATCTGTTTCTATCCCTCTCCCCTTAAAGCCTTCAGTCGCAGACACAAACACCAACCCAATCCACAAAATCGGTATCTTAATCGATTACTTCCCCGACGAATCCACGCCCGACGGGCCCGTCATTCTCCAAACCATCACACAGGCCTTACATCTCGTCGCCTCCAAGACATCCAACAGGATTCAGTTCCTGCCTCTCCCGCACCAACCGACCTGGGACGTTGCACGGCTCCGCGCAGAGGCCGATACCCAGGCGTTTGAGTTCCGGTCCGCGATGGATGATTTTCTTCAGTCGTCGATTGTGGAATATACACCTCATCGGACTCTGGAGTCTGTTACTGCTAGTGGGGAGTTCTGTGCGGAGGCTCTCACGCCGGCGTTTTGGCAGACGCAGCAGGGTCAGAAGGAGAGCGAGAATGAGAATGAGAACGAGGAAGAGGAAGAAGGAAATATATACACCCCCACGAGCCCACAATACCGCAAACGTCTCTCCACCATCGCATCCCTCAAAGACTCCGTCTCTGCCTGTTTCGACAATCTCGGTCTCACTGCCATCGTGTATCCGCATCAACGCCAGCTCGTGGCTCGCGTGGGCGAAACCGTTCAGCCGGGGAGAAATGGCATACTGGCTGCGTTGGTGGGTTGGCCGGCCGTTTGTATTCCTGGTATGTTTTCCCCTTGGTCCTTGTCCTTCCTCTCTTGTCTTTATCTGGATACGTGTGGTTGTGATTGTGCGTACTTGTTACCATACAATTCACATACATGCGATTGGATGATATAAAAAGGCTAACCAAACCCACCAACCATCCCTATACATACCTACGTACAATGTATGTATGTAGGCATGGATAGGGAGACAGTGCTGGTGATACCCAATATACAGCAGGCTTCAGTCCCCCCGATGAAACCGCGCCATTGGGCGTTCCAATCGGAATCGAACTCATGGGACGGTTTGGGCAAGATGAACAGGTCCTCGAGCTGGGGGAGGTGTTTGAGGGGATTGTTCATGGGCGGAAGACACCTTTGTTGGAGGGAGTTGGTGGGTTGTGTAGGGATGGGTAGATAGATCCATTATTCCCAAATCTAGGTAAATACTCCAAATGGTGTATATATAGTTGGTTGTATACCTACCTAGAACCTGTCCAACAACTACCTGCAGAAACGACCTTCAACACACTCAAACAATATATATCAATCCAACAAACCCAGCCAAACCAACTTAAGAGAGAGAGAGAGAGAGAGAGAGAGAGCCCTAAAACCTATACTCAAACTCAAAATTCCCCCTCCCCTCACCATCCACAAACTCCCCCGTCAACACAAACCCAGCCTTCTCCAATACCCGTCTACTCGCCTCATTCAGCGCATCGGTGCAAGCCGCAAGGACTGGTTTCACTTTCACTTTCGCTTCCTCAGAGGCATTCACCGAATCAGACCCAGTCTCGGGATCAGTTCCATCATTGGAAGAAGTAGGCCCAATAGGAAAACCCAACAATCCTTCCTCTCCCACTACACGAATAAACCCCCTGACAGCCTCCGACGCGATCCCCCGTCCCCAGGTAGATGGATGGAATCCGTATCCGATCTCCCAGCGCTTCTCCTGGACAGACTGAGATTGAGGTGTCAAGGGGGATACGCCGAGGCGGAGACCTGTGGTGCCGATTATCTTTCCTTCCCCTTGCTTTTCGGAGGAAGGGGGAAGGTTGGTGTCGGTCGAAGAGAGTCTTTCGTGGATTACGTAGCCGATTGGGGAGATATCTGCGTTGATGGAGGTAGAGATATCTGGACGACTACGGTCATCGAAGTGGTTGAATCTCGAGAGCCAGGCGTGGGTGGTTTCCACGGAGGGATCGGGGGCGTGGTTGATACTATAGGTCTTTGGTTAGTGTCATTTTGATGGGCATTGACGGTGATATTGACAGTGGCATTGGTGGGTTTATGTCTATGTGCATGGGCAGTTTGAGTATGGAAGTGATTTATTTGAGTATAAACCATACCCATCGAAGAATGTCAATCGCAAACAAAAACCAACCCAATCATACACTACACATACACATAAACATCGAACAAGTACACCCTAAACACAAACGATAAAATAAAACATACCTGTACTTCATCACGTCATCGCGTCCCCTGATCTCGAACACCGCGTCGGCGTGCTGGTCCGCGTTCATGGGAACGAAGGAGAGCCGCGCGGTTTGGAAGGGTGGTGGGAAGGACATTTTTCTTTTGATCTCCGTTTGATTGTGGGTGTGGTTTGAAGTTGTGGATTATCGGTTGGTAGACAGATGGATGGACGGATGACGAGGAGAATTGGTGTTTTAGAGAGAGAGGGTTTAATTGAGGAGAATATGATTAGGGACGGAGGGAGAGAGCTTGAAGAATGAGGAGAGTTGGATTGCGGTTGCAACTTCAAGTTCAATTGGATTGGATGTGGACAACGAGAGAGAAGAAGGGAGTGAAGAGATGTTTTATATACAGCTACAAGTCTAGATGTTGGTTCTATCGCCTAGACTCTGACTCATTTGGTGGGGGGCTGATCCTGTCGGAGATAAGGAATTGTTTGACTGGGATTCTTGAAATTATGGCTATGGACAATGATTCTATCTCTATTCCGTCTAGTTTACTTTTCTTCTGGATGGATTCTATCCACCATATATACCCCTCATATAACCTTACATCTCTCCCACACAAGAAGTCCCCCCTTTACATCCCCCGGTTAAACTCCACCTGTCCATCCTTCCCTCCCCGGCCATGGAACTCATCCTCCAACGACTGCGCACTGATCGCCTGCCTCTGCGGGAACGCGCCCAGTGCCAACGGCAACGCAAACAGCGACGTCGTCAACACCAGTCCCAGATTCAACGGCATGATCATGCGCGGCCGCGCCTTCAACCACGCCGTCTTCTCCAACTTGACCAGGATCAGCGGCGGCAGGACCATGATCGGCGTAGCGTTCAACACACGACTGATGGCCGTCTCGCCGACTGCCAGCGTCGCCGCCTTCTTGCTCTTGCCGAGGCTCTGCACCGCCTCGCCCGTCTCCTCGCGCTTGGCCTTCTCCGCCTCCGACAGCACCGGGTACACGTCGATACCCTGGCGGATCTCCTCGCCGCGCATCAGGAACACGTTCAGGGCGCTGGCGCTGGCCACAGCGGCGAACGGCACCAGACGGCCGAGGATGAGCTTCGTGTTGGGCGAGATGCCCTTGAGACGGGGCACGAGGGCATTGAGACCCAGCGCGACGGAGCACGACGCCGACACGGCCATGAGGTAGGATTTGGTCATCTGGGAGACGGAGAGGGGGGTGGATTTGTTGGCGTTGGCGTTGTTGATGGCGACGTTGAGGGACTGGTTGGCGATTTGCCACATGAGGGTGCCGGTGGCCTAAGATATTACCATCAGCTGCTGCCCTGAGGGTGTACCTCCTATTTGGAGGGGGGGAGGCTCACCTGAAGACCCGGGGTAAGCATTCCCGCCGTGACCACCAGGTTAGAAAGAACGTAGCACGACATGCGGAAAGGCAGGAAGACGGGCTCGCCGGTGTCTGGACTCGTCAGTGCCACTCAATTGCCGACTATACCGTTCAACTCACCCGGATGCAGCGTCGCATCGACCACCTTCTTGGCGCGCCACAGGTCCGGCGTCATGGCAGGGACATGGCTCTGCTTGTAGGACGAGACCAGAAGCTTGGCCTGCTCGAGACCCGACGAAGAGACAAACAGCGTCCTGTATGCGGGTCAATTCAATGGACTCCTGGCTTTCTCAATTGCTCCGCGCCGACTTCGGCGGCTGACTTACCTGGGGTCCGAGATGTCGGCCGCATGACAAACGCGGCCCCAGTACGTGCTCAGATCATACTGGGAGGGAGGCAGGTCCCGATTGCCAGGCAGTGAGGTAGACATGAGGAGAGGTAAGGAGAGGAGAGGAGGGGTGAGGGGAGAGGGGAGTAGAGAAGAAGAAGAATAGAAAAAAGAGATGCGCAGACACCAGGAGGAAGGCAGAAAAGAGCCGAGACAAAGCGAAAATCCGTCACAGGAACCGCACGTGCTATCGGAGGCGGTGAGCCGATAAGCTTCCGGTCTGCCAATCGGACGAGGCCAATTGCAACGGACCCACCCGCGGGGAACCTCAGGCTGCCTCACCGCCCGGCTCGGGGGCCGGCAGTCTCCACCGCCCGGATTTGTCACCGGAAGGCGCTTGTGTTGGGGGGAGGGCGCAGTGTAGGAGGATACTAGGGTATATTATGATTTACTGGGTATATCTACGACTCTGAGAGAAGGATGCAGCATCTGCCAATCATGAATTACAAAGTACATCAAGAGGTATCATTCAGACTTCGTTCGTCTGCCAATTATTACAAGTAGGAAATCACGCCGGTCGGTCCCAGCAGCCACGGGTACAAAACATGCATGTTTCAAAATCAAGAAACAGTGGGGTATGTCTAAAAGATATCGCGGAACAAAGGAGATCCATACACAGGTTACAAGAAGGTGGGCAAAGAAATAGAAGGAATGACAGGTTCGACCGCGGGGACCGGATGGAAGGAAAAGAGTATGTAAGTCGTGGTCATAATCTCCATGAGGTTTAGAGTGGATAGCGAAAAGAGGAATTCTTCTCATCGGAAGCGATAGGACTTGTGTGCCAATGGCGACGTAGGCGCCAGTCCAAGGCTGCCGAGAGGCGTGCGGGTGCGGTTGCGACGGGTAGGAGTCTGCGCGCAGAAGATGCACACATACACCGACGGCAAGTGGGATCGCTCCAGTCCCACACATTTGGTGTGTAGCCAGTGGCTGCAGGATTCGCTGCTCCGAGTTAGTCTGGACCGGGCAGGACGAGAGTAGAATAAAACTTACCATTGAATCATCAAGTGGCCGCCGTTGTCCATCGAATTGCAAACACACCGAGTCCCGTTGCTGGGATTGCTGTATCGGTCGGTACTGGGCGTGGCCAGGTCTGGATCCGTCATGGTCGTGGGCGACGTGTTGGGGTCGCGGCCGTTGAGATCGAGTTCAACTCCAAACCGCGGTGGTGACGATCGAAGGTGTGCCAAAGATCGGGACGAATTGCTGGACCGTGAGCCGTAGCCCACGGTGTGAGGTCGAGGAATACGGCCCCGGTCCTGAAGCACTTTTCGCAGGGCATGCTGCGCATCGCCGCTATCGTCCTCCGGTTCCGGTGGAGGCCTCGACACGGAACTGGCGCTACGGTAAGACAGATCAGAGTGAATCATGGACTGCCGCTTTGGCGTCCGATTCCAGTCCTCGCCGATCTGCCTGTACTGCGGCCTTCTTGATATCGGTTGGGAGGCCCCGCCCCAAGGAGACATGCGTCCTGATTGGGAAGATGCCGCCGTGGAGCTGTACGACCCCTTGGATTGGGGACGCGAGCCCGAGTCGCTGCGGGCCAGCATGGATCTCCCCGCATCCGAGAAGGTGAACGACAGATTCCGGCTGGGGAAGGTTGGATACTCGGCATATTCCGGCGAGTCATACTCGCTTTCGGTTGCGGAGCCGTTCAGGTCCATTCCCATAACGGGGTCTGTCAAGCCGGTGGGCGTTTCAGCAACGGTCTGCATCTCCGCCTTGGCTCTGCCATCCCGGCCGATCTTCAGAACCACGGATTGGGACCGCCTGGGAAGCACGGTGGCAGTCGCCGAGGCAGCCCGGGACAATGGTTGCCGCAAAGGCTTGGTGGGGGAAGAACGGCCCTTGGAGGGGCTTTTGCGAATACCGTTGGCAGAGCTCATCCCGCCGCCGATTCCCGGACGCTGGGAAGAGCTTGTCACGGCCGTATGCGTCAGGCTGCGAGTCAACGAGGGCCGTGTCTGTCGAGGGGTGAAGCCGTCCTCGTCGTCGTCATCCTCGTCGTATCCGGGGAGCTGACAGTTCACACTCTGAGCCCGACGCAGCTCTTCTCGTTTGGATTCTTCGGTCTGATGGTGGTACGGCTGACGGGTCGTGGGCCGGGAGAATAGTCGCTTATCGGGAGTTGGCTGAGGGCCGCCAAAACGGCGGGCAGGGGAGCTGAGGAACATGGCCGGATCCTCCGCCTTGGCCACTGGCCGTCGAGGGGAGGTCGAAAAAGGGGCGGGAAAAAGGGCGGCATCGGTTCCCGAGGAGAGGCCGTAGGCATTGCCGTTAAACTCGGGCAGCTCCAAGTTGCTTTCAATGGAGGGCAATTGGGGGATGTGGGAGTCGTGCAAGGGGTTTTGATTCACATTAAATGCACTCGGCAGGTGTGAAGTGAACAGGTTGGTATCGTCCCCCGACAGGCCCATACCGCCTCCGTGTTGGCCCAAGTCATTTTCCCAAAAGAGTCGCTGCTGGGGGAAGAAAGGCGACGCCGATGGGTCGATCGAACCCAGCTGGAAAGGGTCCGGAGAAGTTTGAAGGTCTCCGAACAGCCGCGGGGAAGCACCCATCATCCGGCTGGGCGTCTCCAGATGGTCACCCACGGCACTGGAACCGGACATTCGCCGGCCCGTCTCGTTGAGGCTTCCAAATTCCGCTACCTTTCTCCTCGAAGCGCTACTCGGCGGAGGGGTCTGCATTGAGGCGGCAGACTTGGCCGAGTCCACCGTCCGAGGTGCATCTTCCCCTGCGTTGCCATTGGGTCTCGACGCACGAATCCGTTTAGCCGTATCGCTCTGGTGATCTCCTGCTTTTGCACTCCGCAAACCGGGGGCCTCCTGACCGGCAGTTCGATCTGGGCTTGTCTCCGGTAACCGTAGGGAATTGGTGTTGCCGTTATTCACATGGGTGCTCAACCCAAATCTTTGGGGCGTTTTGAGGAATTCCGGGCTGGAGGCATACGGATCGGAGGTATCCCAAGTGACCCGGGGATCGAAGAAACTGGATTCGAGTTTGGGGGTTTGGAAAGCGGAATCGCCAAAGACGTTTGTCGGGGGGGTCCTCGTCGGGGTCTGAGGTTCACCGTTTGGATAGCTGAAGCTAAACATGAGCGGAAGCTCCGTTAGCATCATTTTTTCAACCTCGATATGGAGCTCGGGGAGAGCTCCGTGTCAACCAATTCCCGGATTCGAAAGAACAAAGAACCTGGAAGTCTGGCAAAGACAGGATGATATGGGTAAAATCTGACTCAAAGAAGGGATTTCAAAGGAGGGCAGCAAGTACAAAAAAAGTGGTAGAGACAACCCCGCCTGGGCTCAAGGGAGATAGGGAAAAACCAGGACGGTTAACGAACATACCTGTGGACAGGGTGATCCCAACTCATGTCAGCAACGGTATGATCCTAGCAACCATTCAACGCAAGCTGCCAGGCAACCCTCTCTGGTGAAAGAGGCGTCTAGATACTTGGGAGGCCGTCAGGAATGCCGGGTGGAGGGGTTCGGCAGGGATCGATGAGCCCACGAATGTACAACGCCTCCACACGGGTTCATTGAAATTCCCAGCGGGTAGGCTAAGAAAGAAAGAGAGAGAAGAAAGGACCGGATTGAACGATTGAAACCCCTCGGAAGGAATGAAAGGGAAGGACAGCCAAGAGACCGAATCTAGCACATAGTCTCAAAGCAGTTTAATTACTCTGGGGAGAGAAACTAGTTGGTTGAGGTTGTAGATCAAGGACGAGAACAGGCGTGGGCGAAGGAGAGGGAGGAGGGAGGATCGAGGGAGTCGAAGGTTGGCAGGAAGGTTCCAACGAAGCTCTCCTGAACAAAGGGAGACGCGGAGGAATGCGATCGGGGGGGGGGGTTCACTGCCGACAGGATCCTTTATCTTTGTCTGGGAGCGAGAACAGACCAATGCGGCGAGCGAAGGCTGACAGGGAGAAAGGAAGGAGAAGAACGACGAAAGGTTGCAAGAGGGGGATTTTTTGTGTTTTCCTTTTGCTCTGTTTGTAATTTAGTCAGGATTTGACAGTTTTTTTTTTTTTTTTTTTTTTTTTTTTACATACACCCGCAGATCCACTGCCGGGACCTTTTTTATTATTTAATTTTAATAATAAGTACGAAATCAAGATAGAACAAGATCCAAGACTGGCAGGGAAAAAATAGGCCAGAAGCCGAATGGTTACCCAGAAAACAGGCGTCCCATTAATCAAAACCGAGGTCTTAGCCCGATCGTCCTCCACTTCACTAAGGCTGGTGTCTCGTTGGAGTGGAGCCAATCACCTCCGTGGGAGAGGGGGGAACGAACTCTCGTTTGTTGAACAAAGGAGGAAGAGGAATTGATCTGCAATCTACGGCTCTTCAGGGATATATTTCATAAGATGTACGGAGGAGAGAAGGTGAAATGGGTTCAATTGAAAGGGGTTCATACTTCGAATGCTTCTCTGACCAACACCACTACGGAGTAGTGTGCGCTAGACTCTTTCCGGTCCGTTATGTAAGAGCCCCGTCGTGAGTAGATACGGAGTACTAGTTACGGAGTCGTACTTCTGCTGGATACTGGATGATACATTCTGTGTGTTTGGTCTGCACCGAAGAGAGGAGAGGATACTTAGGATCTCAACAATACTGGTGATGCAGATGGAACAAATGACAATTCACATCGGATAGATTCACTCCGTCGAATGCCTCAGCCGGTCATCGCCTGTTTGCGCGGCGTCATTGGTTCCGAGCACAAGGAACGGCGGCCCATTTCCGTGGATCGGCTCCATCGTCATCTCCAGCACGATCTATTCGCTATGCTGTTGGCCGGCTGACGTCCGTGGTCAACCTCCGTCTCGCTTCGGCTGGCCTGTAGGTATCCTGTTGAAAGTATAAACAGTATGGTTGTTACTGTCAAGGGATTTGTTTAGAGTATAGATACCTTCAGGTAGTCTTGAACGAAGATCGAGTCCCTCCGACGCAAACGCCGATCCCGTCCGCATTGGACCGGCAACGAGATGGACCCTGCAAAGGATGCAAACACCCTCTTTCCCCGGTCTTATTAGACATTAACCGCCAGCTAAGAGCAAGTTAGCAGGTTAGCAACTCCTAATCTTAGCCCGTCCTTTAGCCCCAGCCAAGGGCCCTTTTTTTCAGCTGGCGCCTCGATCGGGCTTCTTTCCCCCCACGATTTGGCCGACCAGGGAAGGGAATTGCATGACGGCATCCTGTACCCAGCATCTTTTACGGTTTTACCCCCGGAGCTCGACTCTTGACTTCTGACTTCGAGATAGTCCGTCTCCATCCTACTACCGAGCTATTGACAGAAAACGACCCAACGTACCCATCCAAGCCAAGCCGTTGTTCCTCTCAGATCGGAGGATTTCTCTGCAAATCATATCCGCCCGGAGTCGCTCTGCCCTCGTCCCTAGCTAGATAGCTAGCGGCGTTGGGCGACGAAGCGGACGATCCGACCGTGAGGCGAAGTCTAGACTGTCTCAGGCCAGGCGCCTGGCCCCTTGTGATTGGCGGAAAGTCGGGGAAAGGGGATCATTCATAATGATATTAATATTGGCGGGCTGCCGACAATCACCCCGGTCGTAGACTGTACAGTACATACAGTGGACACCGTAGTTCCCTAGCAGGTATCACCTGGTGACGAGACCGGACTGGTCATGCACGCGAGCAACTGGACCTGCATCGGACTAGCGGCGCTGCTGTGCAATGCCGCAGGACGCACATCCTTAGCACCTACAGGGCCCGAGTACAGTAAATAATGTCCACGCCCCCTGACATGGCGTCGTTTGTCGCCGGGACAAATCCCTGGGTTGCACCCCTCAAAGGCTCACCCGGAGCGACCAGGTTCGATTTGCCTGGTTTTTAAAGTTGGTCACCGCAGCAAGGAGGGGCGTCTGTCAAGCTTGGAGTGACTCCCTTGTCCTCCGTCAGGACTTGATTGATAGATCTGTCCGCTCTGGGCAGGAGATACAGCTCTCCAGACTATCTACAGACTAACACCGCAGGGAGTCTTGTGTACCCACCCGACCTGCCTGCCTTGAAACGGCCCCAATTCCTTATGATGAATCACCTATCTAAATGGTGCTTCCCGCAAACGCTGCCTACTGGAATCATGTTCTGGTCAGGCAACAACCATGTGCAGCCTAGTTGAAGAACCTCAGTGCTGCATGTGGGAGAGCTTTCCTACCATTATTAGTTTATGCAGTGCTCAATTCTATCTCGGAATGACCAGTTGTTCGCTATGGCAGACCAAGTATTGCAGATTACCTACAAGCCATCCTTTCTGTACTTGGGTTGCATACTAATATAGAGAATTCTGGCATTCAAGGACTTGTGGCATGTCCAGTGACAGGTATACCGGATAACTGGACCGTACTTCTGCCTGGACCCTCAGGCAGAAAGGCACCACGCCCAACCCCGCCGTGGGAAAGTCTGACCGCCCAAAGGGAATCAGGAACCAAAAGGACGTCTTCGGGCAGAAAAGGTTCCCTTTGGCTTCTCGATTCATTCATTGTGCATGCAGGGCCCCAGTCACGAGATCTTCCATTAGAAATGCATCGGTAAAGAGGCACGACGTGTCTCCTCCTTCACCATGGACTCCGCGGTTGGGCTCTTTGTGATGCTACCCCTCTTTGTCTATCCATTACTCATTGTCGGTTGGTGAATAACACCTGCAACACTTTCTTCTGTATGATTCACTGTTGGGCCTGGGGTTTCGTCTTTACTTCTTCAATGCACTTGCCAGTCTCTACCTCTCTAGTTTCTAATTTCTTCCAATCCCATCCAATCGTGGGCTCCAAAATGGCATCAACTCCGAATACGCTGCGGAGAAAAGTCTCCAAGAAACGAGCAGCGGTCAAAAAGTCCCGACCAGCTCGACGACAGACCACCCTGGGATCTCCGCGGACCAAACTCACGCGAAAGGCGGGTATCTCCAAGCGCAAAGGTCGGAGCAAGAATCCCAAACGCCAGGACGCTCGGCGCGCTTTGAAGTATGCTAAGCTTGGGATTCTCCCGCCTCCAACGAAGCCATTTGAAGAGGTGTGTGTTTTGGGCGTTTACCGTCGCTACCCCTTGCTTTGCCTGCAGCTTTCCACCCCACGGTCAACTATTTGCATGGGTCGTTTGCTAACTTGACCCGGTAGAATTGCTTCCAACGAACGCCCGTCCCGGAAGAGTATGTCTTCGTGCCCAAGGGAGACGTCTACATCACTCGCCATTGCCGGAGCAAGACTAAGGAATCTGAACGCACTGTATATGTAGTTTATGTAAGGCTCTTCCCCTTTATCAACCCCCCACCTTCCCCCTTATCGATTGACACGGGTTCCTGACAAGCACAGGACAACGAGGGGAAATACCCCCTTGGTCTGCGCGTCCCTTCCGACATCCACTCCGCCGTCCTGGAGTCCGCCGCCGCAACGGCCGATTCCCGCGCCAGCGCCGTCAAGCTGCGTGACGAGAAAGAGCTGGCGCACTCGCGAAAGGTCCTGCGTAGCGAATTTCCGCTGATGCCGGTCGAGTCTCTCAACACCATCCTGGATCACGCGTTTCGTAAGGGCTCAGGTCGGGTAGGCCGTACGTCGCAGATCGAGGATGAAAGTAAAGCTGCCATGGCGGTCGAGGCGCATATTCGACACACCCATACGCCGTACGAGGAACTGCTGCGTACGGGTACGAACCGCGACGTTGCCCGGCGGCAGGTCTGGGACAAGGTTCATACGATCATGGAGGCTTGGAAGGGGTGCGGCAAACAGCAGTCGACGAGCGCCCTGACTCTGCGGAGCCGGAAGGCGAAATAAGTCCATCTTATCTGGTATGCTCGACGAAAATTCATGCCGGACCTAGATTAGGTTCCGTCTTCCTGGCCTCTCACCGCCATGCGCTGTCGAAGAAAATTGTCTGCCTTGTCAAATCGGGTTAGGGATGCCACCGTATGCATTGAGAGTGGAAGGTCGAGCAGACGCGGACACGACTTTTATGATTATGACGACTGTGAGAGATACACATAGAATCGGTCTTAATAGATCTCAATGGGAGGACTCCCTCTATCGAGGTAGATACCATCACAAGCTGACTTCAACAACGTGTCAGTTGACCACTTTCTGGCTCAAGCGAATCAACACAATATCCAAAGTGCTTGACAGCAGCATTTACAATTATAACGTACGAATTTTTACACATTACAATGGGAAAGGAAAGCAACGTTCATAGAGCAAACTAAAATCGATTTCTCCTATTTTCAATTTAAGACAATCTCAATAACACAACTCCAAAACGCCAATGAAAGAGACACTTCGATTGAGCATTCTGGCCATCATCATTCTCACACCGATCAACTCCCCATCCAACCACATAATGTTCTCTGCGAACACCATCACGGAGCAGAACCCATAGCCTTGAGCCCTGTCAAACAAATCAATCCTCTTGAATAGGTTGATCCTCCAACTTATTCAAGAGGAATTTTATGTCGACAATTTTTTCAGTCTCCCCGAATTTAATGATCACATCCAAGATATCCCCGAGATGGACCGCCTCGTCCTCGAAGACAGGCCTGTCCGGATCATCGCTTTCGATGAAGTCATTCACAATATGCATCAATTCCTCAAAGGTTTCAGCGTCTCCAGGGTCCTGGTCCTTGGTCTCCATCCAGAAGCGCACACGGAGGGCATCCTTGGCATTTTCGCCGTAAGGGTTCCCCATTCGGTCTTCCTCGTGGCGGTGGAAAAGCTCCATGTAGGCTTTTTGAAACACCCCTTCACGGTGCTGAGCTCGGTTTCGGTGAGATTAACGAGGTCCGCGAGAACCACTGAATAGCGTTTGCGGCCTGCGTTCAGCACGTCCTTAGCCCTTCTGGTTCCTCGACCCACCAGAGCATCGGCACGTGCGTCGCGCTCCTGCCGCAAAAGGGTAGAAGAGTTACGGGATGGCGAGCTCTGGGAGTCCATTTTTCCTGTTTATGTTGAAGTGCTTCGCTAAGTGGGATGAGCGGGAATCTCACAGTAGTCTTGATAGTCTGGTGTTTGGGAGACTTGGTTTTTGGTATCCGATAGACTGTTCTGCTAGGAGAAAGTTGATAGACGAATTTGATGGTGATAATCCTAATCGAATGCAATCGCTTCGACGGTATTCATACCCGCCATCTGCTAGATACTCATTGTATTCGATAACTGACGATCTCCATTCCTGTGTATAGTAAGGGCCATCATGGCGGAAATGAGCGAGTGAAGATCATTGTTCAATGCGATTACAATGTCACAGCCAGAGTAGAGAACCTAGAGTCAAAAGAAAAGACACTAAGAACATCCAGTTCCACTACGGATGGTTGTACAGTTCATGCAGGTGACTTTCGACTATATCCAGAAACCCCAGAATGGCTTTGCCTACCGACAGAAAAACAGCGGGAAACTTTCCATATATGCGCCCCTTCAAAGAATCTTCAAAGAATTACTCGTGGAATCATCCATCGAACCCACCCACAAGACAGACCAGAATAGACCAGATCATCGAGGGAATCAGTCAACTACGTTAGAACCACCCCACCCTAATTTGGAAAATGGTGTCTCCAGTAATAGTGATAGCTGACAGATTAGATTAAAATTAAAAATGACTGCTGCGTGCTGATGTCTCAAGCCTCAACGCTCAGGTACCTCCGACTGCAGTTCCAGGACGACCACGAAACCAATTAAATCCAGCCTCAGCAGACCCACGTTAAATTTAGGCAAGATTTTCAGGGTTCCATGTCTTAAACCATCCACCAGGAAGGCTTAGCGCTGACGATCTCCAGTTTTTTTCTCGGGTAGTGGTCCACCCAACTTCCAGCACAATTCGCAGCCCGCCAAGTTGATACTGGGAGCTGCAGCGCATTTGCTGGATTCGGTCGTCGATGGGGCTTCTGTTGTCTGTGTCCCGTAGGAACGCGAGGCAATCTACAGTCTGTTCCGTCGGAACTCGGAGTACGGTGGATGGTGCTTTGTTGCTTGGGTCTTGGGATTTAGCGTAGTGGGTTGTCGCACGCCTTCGTTAAGGCTTTTTGTCACTGCCACCATGGGGGCAATACATCATAGCCCTTTTTTCCCTTTCTTTCTTTTCCCCTAGGTGAGGAGTATTCTTATTTGATCAATCTGTTCTTGGCTTCGCTCTCTCATTTTTGACTATTTATTCTTTCTCTATCCTATGTAAATAATTATCCTAAACCCGGCCGGCCATGTTCTCCAAGAACCATCGAAGGCTCGCCTATCGCACAATCGCCCGTCGACGCTTTCTTTTCTTTGTTCTCGCCGTCTTCTCATTCGTCCTGTATCACAATCTCCCACTGATCCAGGGAAAAGGCCGGAATCATGCTGGTCGCCGAACGCCCACGTACGACGTCGACGAGGTGCCGCATTTTCTCCACCGTTCGACCTTTCGCGTCGATCCGGATCTTGAGTACGAAGAGCGCGTGTCGGAGGCCTTGCGCAATATCGAACGTGCGGTCTTGCATGAGAATGGAGGGGACTATTCTGCGCGCGACAGGATCTGGCAGATCATGTTGGGGAAGAAGCGTGAGCGGAGTGAGGATTCGTTGGCGTTCGAGGATGTGAATGACGAGTGGGAGTATTCGGTATGATTGCTGCATCTATAATGGAAGATGATGAACGAACTGACCTGTTTGAATCAAAGTTGGTCACCACCGACATGGCGAACGCCTTCATCAACAACGTCTTCTTAACCGTCCCCGACCTCAAAGATCTCTATACATCCTACCCCATCGAGGTCCTCCGCGCCGACCTCCTCCGCTACCTCCTCCTCTGGTATCACGGCGGCTACTACGCCGACACAGACGTCTACCCCCGACGTTCCATAAAGGACTGTCCCTCGCTGGACCCCATCTTCCCTGATCCGCACCACCGCCCAGCCAACAACATCTCCCTCGTCGTCGGCATCGAACTCGACGAACCAAAGGCCTCATCCCACCTCATGCGCCAGTGGCGCTGGACCCGCCGCTACGGATTCATCCAATACACGCTCTACGCGCCTCGTCGCTTCAGCCCTATCCTCCGCGAAACCATCGTCCGAGTCCTCTCACACACCCGTCAACATATCCACCGCCACGGCCGTCTTCTTCCCCTCCCTTGGACCCCGCGATACACCGAGAACGCAATCCTCGAGATCAGCGGACCCGGCGTCTTCACAGACGCCGTACTAGACACGTTATCGGCTACATTGCCCGCTACGAGCCCCCTCGTGCAGCAGTCCGTCGGTGCGGACCTGGGCGTCGGTGATCTAGTGCTGCAGCGATCAGGCGTGACACAGCGTCGGGTCACTTGGGCGCCGTTCTTCGGCATCCAGAACCCGGTGTGTGTGGATGCGATGGAGGCGTCGAGTGTGGCCGAGGAGCCGATGGGTGGGCTCTGCGTGCTGCCGGTCAATGCGTGGGGGAATGGCCAGAGACATAGTGGGTCAGAGAGCTTTGGGAGTGAGCATGCGTGCGTGAATCATCGGTTCAAGGGGAGTTGGAAGCCGTGGAAGATGTCTTGGAGGGAGTATTTGTTTGGATAGGTGTATGATTCTTGGTTTACTACATTGGGGTTTTTGGTTGTTTTGAGCGTGTACAGACATACATAGTTGGTAAGGGCTTTTATGAATAACGAACTTTGGTTATTTTTTATGTTGGCTGGGCTGGGGTCACTAGACATGGTGTTTCAGGGTTTGAGGTAGGGTCTATACGGTTATAGTCGAGTGCAACAAGGCTATCGATTGATGGATGAAGTGAAGTAAAGACCCGGCCAAGATGCCATGGTCCTTGGCATGCATTAGCAGAGGTCCAAGATTCGATAGACTTCATCCCGCGATGGAGGAATGACTCGGCGGCTTGTAGATGCTACAAGGAACGAATTATTTAGATCAAACGAGGTAGTCCAAGAATCAGAATTTCGGCAGTGTCTATCCATCCTGCAAGGTCATGATATTCTGCGGAGCTCTAAAGTAGTTGTTGTAGCAGACTCCATGTTGATTCATCTGCGAGATACAGAGATAGGTTACTGAATCGGTATGAACGAAGTCAGTCTAGTAGTCCTATTTTGATTAGAAAGATTTAAAACAGGTCATCAGCCCTCAGTAGCAAGGAAGTGGAACATGCTCACTCCTATACTCCGTCCTCCGTACTCCATACTTCCCAAAAAGGGAATTAGGGCTAGGGCTACGCTATCCGCGCCGCAAACCCAACTGCATCAGTCTCCGATCTCCACCTCCAACATCAGCTGCACTCGCCCCGATTCCCTCGCAACTCACCCTCCCCATTCATATATCCGCAATGGAAGGCGCCGAGCACGTTGAATCGCCGCGCAAGCGGTTGAAGACCGACAATGCTTCTTCTGCCGAAGAAGTCGTACTCCAAGCTCCCGTCGCGGAGCCCGTCGCGGCCAAAATCTCCGAAAGCGACGCCCAGGCTAAGAAGGAGCTGGATGTAGGCATCACGCAGTTTGTCAGCGCAGATAATGAGGGTTTCTCGGGAATGTTGAAGAAGAGGTATGAGCTTTTCTCTGGATAGAGGGTTGTTTCGGTGGTTAATCTTTTTTGTTTTTTTCTTTTTCTAGGTATACCGATTTCCTGGTCAACGAGATTGTTCCCTCCGGCGAAGTGTTGCATCTGCGAAATTTGATCACCGAGACCCCGTCTACGAACGAGAAAGAAGAGGGTGCCGCAAAGCCGACTACGGAAGAATCCGGAGAGAAGAAGGAAGAGCAGAAACCGAACCCGGAACCCGTAGCGGAGGCGCCCAAGAAATCGTTCGAGCTGTCGGAGGAAGACAAAACCCTGATGGTGGAATTGTTCGGTGAACAGTCCACCAAGAAGATTGTGGCACTGCACAACCGCGCCCAGGGTAACGAGAAGGCCCGGCCCAGCGAACTCGGCAAGATCCCGACCCTCGTCGTCAATGACCGCGACCTGCGCATCAAGATGCATCAGACGATTCGCCGCATCTTCCGCTCGCAGATTGAATCCTCCACAGACGGCGACGGCATGATGACCATCTCGGTTGCTGCAAACCGGAACAAGCGCAGTGCAAAGGCTGGCCCTGCAGGCCCCAGTCGGGACCGTGGTCGTGTCAACTGGGACGAGCTGGGTGGACCGTATCTGCATTTCACCATTTACAAGGAGAACAAGGATACCATGGAGGTTATTTCGTTCATCTCTCGCCAGCTGCGCATGAACCCCAAGAGCTTCCAGTTTGCCGGCACCAAGGACCGCCGCGGAGTGACGGTGCAGAGGGCGTGCGCGCACCGCGTGCAGGCCGATCGTCTGAACAAGCTGAATAACTGTCTGCGCAATGCCACCATCGGCGATTTCGAGTATCGGCAGCACGGCCTCGAGCTCGGCGATCTCAACGGAAACGAGTTCGTCGTCACGCTCCGTGAATGCGATATTCCCGGCCTTGACCTTGAGAACCGCGAGACGGCCGTCGCCAGAGCCTCGGATCTCGTGGGCTCCGCTTTGCGCAATCTCCGCGAACGAGGCTACTTCAACTACTACGGTCTGCAGCGGTTCGGAACGTTCGCGACGCGCACGGACACCGTCGGAGTGAAAATGCTGCAGAGCGATTTCAAGGGCGCAGTCGATGCCATCTTGGACTACGGTTCCGAGTCACTGGCGGCCGCCGAAGCCGGTGAAAACTCCAACAGCCTGATCAGCGCCGACGACAAGGCCCGCGCAAAGGCCATCCATATGTTCCGCACGAGCACCCAAGGCGCCGAAGCCCTGGACATCCTGCCCCGCAAATTCTCCGCTGAATCCAATCTGATCCGCCATCTCAGCCGCTCCCGCAACGACTGCCGCGGAGCCCTGCAGACCATCCCGCGGAACCTGCGACTGATGTACGTCCACGCGTACCAATCGCTGGTGTGGAACTTTGCCGCCGGTGAGCGCTGGCGTCTCTACGGCGACAAAGTCGTCGAGGGTGACCTCGTGCTCATCCACGAACATACCGACAAGGAGGATGGCCACACCGCGGCATCCAATGTCGACGCTGATGGCGAAGTCATCATCGCGCCCAGCGCCACCGACAGCTCTTTTGTCGACTACACGCGCGCTCGCGCCCTGACGGCTGACGAAGCCGCCAGCGGCAAGTACTCCGTCTTCGACATCGTCCTGCCCCTTCCCGGCTTCGACGTCCTGTACCCGGCCAACGCCATGACCGAATTCTACAAGCAGTTCATGGCCAGCGAGCAAGGCGGCGGTCTCGACCCGTTCGACATGCGTCGGCAGTGGAAGGACATCTCTCTCAGCGGAAGCTATCGCAAACTCCTCAGTCGGATGGGTCCTGACTACTCGTGCCAGGTGCACCTGTACGAGCAGGATGACGAGCAGTTCATTCAGACCGACTTGCAGAAGCTGCAGCAGGCTAAGACGGAGGAGGTTCCCGCCGAGTCTAAGGGTACTGGGGATAAGATCGCTGTGGTTCTGAAGTTCCAGTTGGGCTCGAGTCAATATGCTACTATGGCTTTGAGGGAGTTGATGAAGGGTAAGGTTCAGACGTATAAGCCGGATTTTTCGGGCCGTGCTTGATCGGGATATTTGCATGTGTGTATATATAAAAAGTGTAGATACTAGGTGCCAGGGGTAGGCTGCCGATGTATCAAGAAATCGATTGAACTAATTGAAATCGACCAAGATGAAGATAATTAACTATCTAGGGGTTAAAGAAGACCCTTTTATCTTTATTCCCACGTGATCTTCATAGCTGATTTTATAGACTCTTCCGCTTCATATAAAGATCTTTGGAACTTGCTTTTAATAAAGGTTTGGTGGATCATCTAAGACATCTAGATCTTTTCCACACTATCCCGAAAGCGTTAAGAACACAAAAAGTGGCATTAGTTTCCAATGTTCTGCATACAAATCACAAGGCTTTTTCGGAAATGTTTCAATCGTTTGTTTGATTCCCTGTGATTATAAAATGACAACGACTTGGAGCCGTTGGTGCGCGTTTGCCCAAGGTGGATCCCAATCTAGTGATTGTCGGGGACCATGTTTGTCGCCTCCACCTCTCCCATCATCTGTCCTGGCAAGATCCCTATTGCATATCCCCTGTGATACACACTTGAAAAGGCAGCCTGGTCCCTACCCGACTCTTTAGATCGCCCAGCTCTATGGGCCACACAAAATTCGGCACCTGGATCTCCACCATGGACCTCAACAGATACGCCACTGCGTCCAGGTCCGGGCGGTCGTGGAATGGTCGCTTATTGCTAAAGGAGACCCGGATGTTGCGCAACGATGTCATCGCCGAGATGGCCCTCCAGGCATCCTTCCAGTATAAAGGCATGTCGAGCGGATAGATCCCCCCGCCGCCCTAGAGCCCGTTATTATTCAGGTATAGCTCGAGCGGCACGGTTAAATGAAGCGAGCGAATGTCGCGCCAGCGCTGCGGCAGGACGGTACGCTGGAGATCAACGATCGTTCGCGTCTGGCGGAAGCAGAGAACGGGGTTGGATTCTGAGTACCTGTGGGCCTCGTTAGGAACGGATGGCTTTATAAATCAAATGAATAGGGTTGCCCCGAATACAGACATGTGTCGACATGAGCGCAGCAGGCCCATCCGAGTCGCGTACGGAGACTCGTCCTCGGCCTCATATCGCCCTGTGGATGGATTCGGGGCCGTGGTACCGCCTCGAAGCAGACAGTTGGCCCACCAGCACGCGTGGTTCCAACCCCCTGCACCGCAGGTCTCCTCTACGCAGCGTCAACTCAGTAATCGTCCATCGCCACTAGCTACATGCAGCTCCGGCCGGTCCGCGGGGGCAAGGACCTCGCGGTAGACGCGATGCCGAATCTCCGGGGGTAGTTTGGTGAAGAAAGCGGATTGCTGCTGGTGGTGAAGTGTAGGCCGAGCCCAAATGGCCCGCCTGGCTGCGGCGTTGCGGACGGGCTGAAGGGGATCCGGACGGGCGCCCGAGGTCTTACGCCTCAGACTAAACGAAAAGAACCTTCTGAGGAATCGCATGGCGGTTAGGTACCGCTGGGCCAGGAGCTTGCGAGAGAAACGGAACATTATATACTAAATCTATTCAACGCCCGCGAGGCTGAACGTCATGTCAGCCTTGCTCTTGGCATATTTTCTAGTCTATTGTAGGGCCTCCTGCCCTTCGTATGTTCAATCGCTAACTGGAGAGAGGCAATTATTTCCGATGAAATCAGTCATAAACCAGGTTGGCCCTCAGGTATATCTGTGGGTGCTGTTGTGGGAGTGCGCCCCTGGCAGTCCCGAATGGGCATCTGATGTGCGATACTGGCTCAGATATATGATCATTGAATTAACAATCCTATTCTCCGTATCTCACCCTCACTATCTGCTATTACACGTTCCCGTTAATACATAAATCAATAAACATCGAATAGAGGATATTATAATAAAATAAAATAAAAAACATTCCAGTCAATCAATCCCCAGCTCCAAGATTCAACCAAACTCCAATAAATCACTCAGTAAATCAATTACCTCCGCGAATGATTATCCTCATTATCACTAACTGAGGAAACCGACGAAACCGACGAAATCGATCCTCGATCACCAATACCCCGATAATGTCCCTGCGCTGCTGTCCCATGGCCTCCGTACAGCGTGTTCCGGTGTCCACTGAAGCGCGAGATCTCAGATACTGCGTCGTCTAGCGGAGGGTCATGGTTGAATGAGGAGTGGGGGCGTGGTCGGTGAAGGTTGTTGGTGTCGGGGTCTGGGGTTCGGCTGCGACTGCTTCGTTGAAGTGAATCTTGATGTCCAGGCTCTGGTGTGGTGGTGCGCGCCAGTCCAATCGATCCTCTTGGTGTTCCTCCTCCACCTCCTAGCCCTAATGGGGGTGCAGGAGCATCATCTCTAGTCGGCGTATTAGGATGCGAATGCAACGGATCCGGAATAAACCCATCAGAGACGATCAACGAAGGACGATGGAACCCGCGATGCAGATTAGGTGTACTTGCTCGCGCATCCGTGCTCTCTGCCCCTTCCCCTTGCGGGGTGTAGTGTGGGTGGTAGCGTGGATTCGGATTCGTGACATCGTAAGCGCTCACATTCCTCTCTGATGCAGTTCTGATACTTCGATTACTGGCCCCTATCGCTCCGGGAGTACCGCCCATGAACCATAGGTTCTGAGACATCGAGTCCCATGGGTTCTGGGAGGGCTGTCCGCCGTGAGAGTCGGAGTGGGAGTGTGACGGGATGTTCCTTGACGGGTTTTCTCGGATGTCCATGTATGGACCGGATCTTGGGGATTTGTGGCGGCGGCGACGGCGGAATAGGAAGAAGAGGAGGGCAGCGAGGAGAGCCGTGCCGACTATGGAGATGGGGACGGCGATGGCGATTTTGGTTTTCGTGGAGAGGCCGGAATTGGAGCTGTTGGGGGTGTTTGTTGCTGTTGCTGTTGATGTTGAGGTTGCGGAGGTCGTTGAGGATGTGGTTGTGGTAGTGGTGTCTGTTGTTGTTGATGAGGTCTCTGATGATTTTGTTGTAGTGCTGAAGGATAATGTAGTTGTTGCTGTGTCTGTAGACTGAGTCTGGCTGGTGCTAGCGTCGCTGGTAACCTGCGAAGCCCAAGACTCCGTAGCTGTTGCTGCTGCAGTCGTCCATACATCGGTCGTCCACTGGCCTTCGTTCGTAGGCTGCGGACCATTCTCTGCCACCGTATGCGGCATGCCCTCTAGATCCCAGGTAGTGTGGACCTGTCCGGGGGGATTCGCATAGGGATCCCAGTAGTTCGGGTTGCCGTCATTGTTCGCCATGTTGGCTGGCTATGACTGGGACTGCAACAGGTGGATTGTAGTACTTGCTCAACAGACAAGGCTACTAGATAGTGCAGTAGTCGGGAAGTAGCGTTGAAGAACAGCGAGAGTCGGCCATATGTCTTATTGAATGAAGCCCTGGTGCAATTTCAAGTGATGACGTGAGAGAATATTTCCCTATCCTGCTTCTTAGTCGCATGTTTTTGGGGGGGTTCAAGTATGAATGAAGTAAATTATACGCACCATATCTACTATGACACATTCACCCTCGAGAAGAGATCATGATCTACTCAGATCCATGCATCAGACCATTACCAACGTTCTTTGGATATCAACAATCAGATCGAAATAAATGTCAAAGCAAGAACTAGACCAAGACCAGCAAGGTGCAAGACAAGAAGTAAAGAAAGGCAGAAACAAACAAAGCCTAAAAATCAAAAAGATATGCCAAAAACAAGACGAAGAGAAATGAAGGGACCTTCCGCCATAAAGAGTGAATTAAAAGCCCTAACAGTCGAAACGAAGCAAATGCCCCAACGGGACAAAGACTGACTGCATGGCGCAGCAATCATGATCCATCCAACGATTCCTCTGAAAACCAACAAGGAGGGTCCTTGTCTGCCAATCAACAGACGCCCAGAATACGCTGCGTAGCCCCCATGCTGCTGCCCTGTTACATGTAGGGGTCTGTCAGCGGATTATCTGATTTTGGGGGTCTTTTGGGGCGGCGGATGCGGAAAGGTTCTACAAGTGAGGAAGGGGGATTTTTAGCTTTGTGCCTTTGTTTCGAAGATGCATCTTATTATGCATGGAATAGGACTGTGTGTAGCTTACTAGCAGGGGCTGCTTTTAGTGCCTGTTTAGCGTCGCTACTTAGTTACGTAGCTATTGACGGAAGAGGTCTGGCGAACGCGGTTTATTTCCACGGCCTATTGTGGATCCCGTCTTCCTTCGAGCACCGGAGCCTTACCTTGAGTATTCATATATGACCAGGATTCAAGCTAATTATATCTTGAACTGAGAATCCCTACTGAGTAGATCATGTTGGAGATCAGAGTGGTCAGGTGGGGTCGCTAAGCCACGAGCATCTTACACCGATATTTTCAATTCCTCAGTTTAGTGGCTTTCTCCAGAAAACTGACGCAGTTTGTTTTGAATATTCTTATTTGGACTTCGGAATATAATTACGGTGCCGAGTCCAGAGGTGTCAGACTTCATAAATCATCCTCCTGCCTCTATGTCACGGATGAATGGACCCTTATAAGTAGGGAGCAATCTTGTTATTCATCTTATATCCGCATAAGTACCCAAATTGATAGAGCACAATTATGATGCACAGAGAATGATTTGACCCATTCACAAGTTGATATGTTGAATATCATACCCGTGTTTCATATAGCTAGCTACACAATAACCAGACACTTCCCGGATGTACTCTCCGCAACTCACTCTCGCCAGCTGCAGGCTTGGCCTTCGAGAACACCTCAAGGCCCCCTCTAGCTACATCGACAAGTTTCTGTTTCTATTAATATCAAAATGACATTTGTTTCCATCTTTGGAACACTAGATGGAGTCAGAAATTGAGAACAACCAGGACGGGCAACTTCAATCACCTTGACCAGGCACGTGCAGTGCTCAGTCTTGCCGTTTGCTATAAACAGGCAGTCATTGTTCTTAGACCGAGTATACTAGAACAGGTGGGATAAGCAGATGATCTCGTACACGTGCAGACAGCAGGACAAACCCAGTGCATTGCTCTGGACCCAATCAACCAAAATATATTTTTAGTCTTCGAACATGCCAGCAGTCTGACTTGGACCTTGGAAAGTTGACGGCCTCTGGTTTGATCCGTACACTAGTTGTAGATTCTGGTACGATGGCCCCATTGGGTGGCAGTTGGGGGCCAAATGCAAAACAGCAAGTTATTCCATGACATGTCACATAGCTTTTACTAGGATTCGGCTGATATGCTGCTTCCTAGTTTCCAGTACCTCACTGCAGGGATGAATCTGACGAGCAGGATGAACCGTGATGTGTCACAAGGTGGAGAGCAGAGACTATCACCACGTGACAGTCAACGGAGATTGGAGATAAGCTACATCAACTCTAACCCGACCTGGCTAGCGCCACTCCGGCATAACAACGGCGGGGCGGTGATGGAGGATTACGAACGTCTCGTCATCTCCCGGCCTGTTGGATCGGCATCATACTCCTGACTTTATTGACTTTCCTGTGAGGATCATCCAGGCGAGAGTGCCTCACCGCAAGCATGAGTGGAATGGGAAAGGTTTTCAAGGATGGCTGGCACCCGAAGAGCCGCGAGGGGGGAAAGGAAAGCTGGCGCGGCGACTTCAAGGGCATCAACCAAGTGGTCTGTTCATCCCCATCTGCAACAGTGTTGTTGACGAATGATTGGCTGATTTTTCGTGTCTACCCTATAGGCAGGATGGATGGGCAAGGGCAAGGAAAAAGACACCGAACGCGAGGAACACGTTTCCCGCCCTCTTTCGTCGCTCAAAGATCCCTCGGCGTTTGGGCCGCCACCGAAGCATGTCAAATATCACGGCGCGGCCGCACTGCCGAATGAAACGACGCCCGATCGAAACGGCCTAGGTGCCCCATTGTCGCATGAACAGATAAATTACCAGCAGGAACAGGAACAAGCGGAGCTCCAGGCCCAGGAACAAGAGGCGCAGAGACCGGCACCTCCTCCGCTTCCCTACCGGGCGAATCGAACCGGCATCGACCCGAGTACTCTCCCACCACCTCCTGCGCGACGGATGGGCTCGCCGGCCGACCCTGCCATCCCGACGAGCACAAGACCCAAGCCAAACGTTCCGCCTCGAGTTCCTCCCCGGACCAATTCCACTCCCGTGTCGCACCCGCCGTCTCCACCTCCTGCCTACTCACCGAGACCGGCTGAAACCCCTTCGGATCCGTATATCAACCAGGCCGCGACGTCTCGTCTCGCTCAATCGGGGGTCTCGGTATCGGCACTCGGAATTGGCAATGGGGCAAGTCAGTGGCGAAGGGACAGCAATTCTCCGGGATCTGCCTCGCCAGCCCCTACCGGCTCCGTTGGCCAAGCTCCATTCAACGAGCTGCAGAGCCGATTCTCTCAGATGAGAACCAACTCCACAAGAGAGGCGCCCCCTCCGCCGCTGTCGCGAGGATCGTACGGTAACGAGCAAGCGTCGCAATCACCTGCCCCGGCATCAAGCACCAGCAGCGCTCAAGCACATTTCAACGACTTTCGCGAGAAACACAGCGACAAGATCGATGCTGGCAAACAGAAGCTGTCCGGTTTCAACGAGAAGTACGGGATCAAGGATCGCATGAACGGTTTTCTAGGCGATAAGAAATCTCCTTCGCCGGGAACCTCAGGCCCGCCACCTCCTGTTCCCCGGCATCCCAGTGCGGTCCAACCGCCGCCTCCTCCTTCAGCCAGCTCCGAGTCCTTGGGCCAACGGAAGGCTCCGCCACTGCCGCCTCCTAAGAAATCGGGGATGCGGTCAACTCCTGTCCCGTCGGCGTCGACACCACCACCGATTCCATTGGGCACGAAACCTCGCTGATAGCCGGCTGTCAATTAGTCTTCTGTTGTTGTTGATTTAACCTGAGATACATACTGAATTTCGGAGGTCTTCATTGCGCAGCAAGTGTATCATTACATGACGGTGTTGTTATCTGGTGTTGCCTTTCTTTTTATATTTTCTTTGCTTTTGTCAGGTATTCCAAGCATTCACAATACAATTGCCATTACAATGAAATGGACTTGAGAAATATATCAAATTAACAATCTGTACATGTACACTTCCCGCGCTCCACTGCTTAACCTCAGGCACATTACAAATTCCTCTTCCCGCTTGAGAAATATATCCAGTTGACTACCTATATATACACTTGTCGCAATCCACCACTTAAATTATAGCACATTGCAATCTACCCTCCTGCTTTTCTTGTCCATTTTACGCATCATTCTCAGCATGAGTCAGAGTCTCCCATCCGATGAACAACTTATCAGTCCCTGCAGGACGTCGCTCAAGAGTATACTTATCCGTGTTGGTCATGGTATGGTTTCCTCGGAACGAGAGCCCATTGAACGCCACCTCAGTCACTGCATGGAGTTAGTCCAACACAATCATGGAAACAGGCCAAGAAGGCCGACATGAACTTTTCTTTTTTTCTTTTGTTTTTCAAGTGGAGGCCGTGGGAAAAGAAAGAAGAACTTACCATCACCCAACTCCCTCTTCAAATCTCCTCCACAGATATTCCCAGGCAAGGATCCCTGCAGCTGATACTTCGTGTGAAAGCCCAGCGCATACCGCAATCTCTCGCCCGTGTCTTCCTCGTAGAGGTCGCGGCCCTGGATACGGGATGTCTCGGCGACGTGTGCGATCGACGCGATGCCGTACCCTGTGTGCGCGAAGTCGCGGCATGTTTCCTGGGAAATGCCGTTCTCGGGAAAGGTCGATTGGCCTTGCCAGAAGTCGATGATCGAGGATGAGGAGGATTTGTTGTCTTCGGGACTGGTTTTCGGGAGTTTGCCGTCTCTGGAGGATATGTTAGTTGTTTCGTTGGTGGGATGGAGGGGGGTGTACTGACTTGGTGAGATAGATGTATGCTGGGACTCGAGCCAGGAATGTCTTCATGGCTTTGTCGTAGCTTTCGCGGTCGTTGATGAAGACGGAGATACCGAGTGCCGCTTCCATCATGACTATACATTTGTGGAATGGTTAGTTCCTTCTCCTCCCTCAATTCCAACAGAAATCTGAAAAGGGAAAAGGAGAAAACCAACCAAGTTCCCAATTTCCATTCTTTCCCGGCGCCCCATCAATAATCTCCGGCAAATACACATCCCTCAACATGCCCTCAAACTGCTTAACGTCGCTGTCCTTCCATCCAGCCTTACTATACCTGATGATCTCGCCAGCCCTGGCCCACGACGCAGCAGACCAGGCCGCCTGCAACGGCGCATTCGAATTACTATGTCCCTCGATAGTCCCAGACCAGGCATTCATGAACTCGATCGCGCGGTCCGCGTACTTCTTCGTCCCTGTGATCACCCACGCCAGGGCGTTCAGGTACGCCGTCAGCGCGTCCTCGCGCTCCTCGTGACAGCCCACGTCCGGCGTGGAGGTCGGACCGCATTCGACCGTCGCGAATGGCGAGGGCTCCGTGCGGGAAGCGAACTCGTGGTCCATCATTGCGTCGTAGGCGGCTGCCTGGGGATCCTTCTTGGCTGAGACGCGGGAAGCGATGAGCTTGAGTTGTGCGGAGTCGAGGAAGACGCCGGGGTGTGTGAATTCGGTGGTTTTGCTAGGCGTGTTGGAGTTGCTGGTGCTGCTGTCTTTGGGTGCGGCTGTTGCGGTGGAGGCGAGGCCTAGGCCGAGAAGGCCTAGGGAGAGGAGGTTGGGGAGATGCATACTGGACTTGGGATGTGGTACTCTCTGGATGGTATTTGGGCTGGAGGGGTAAGGGTTTGAGAGGCTGGTGGTGATGGAGTGTTTACGGGTTTGTCCGACATCAACCCTTTTATATACGAACACTTCATAGTTAGACTCCCTGGGTATGTACCAGACACTATACTAGCAGTACCTGCACAAGCGAGCGGATCACCGGGCCCAGCCAAAACACTAAACACCTTCTTCGCACCAACTTGAAACACAGACCAAGCCTAAAAATATAAGCGACCCTGGATCCCAAGCATGGAATACGAGAAATGACATCGAAGTGGGGTGTGAACTCCCCAGTGCTGTCAAGATCATCACCCAAAGTGACAAAAAGCGTTGCTTAGCGCCGGTCCCTGGGGGCCGTTTCTCGTCAGGATCAGCGCCCTAGGGCCTAGGGGAAATCGCTGCAGGAACCATTTCCCGTAAGCTGACAAGACCACGCTTCGAAAAACAGGGGCCTGCATCCTGCGTGTTGCCGTTTTAGGAATTTGGTGTTGAGGGTTTGGGGGAGGTGGTTGATATGAAGACTAAGCGTGGAGCTTGTGTCATGAGGGATTGGAGGAAGGGTTTGTTTGCTTTAGATTAAACATGGGGGTGACGCTTGTCGATATAGGGGAGGGAATGGGGCCGAAAGGGTTTGACTTCTAAAATTGTTCTGTGAATGGCACCATTTACTTTAGAAGTAGGTACTAGGCGTCCTTTTTAACAGAGATATTGGAAACATAGTGTACACACAGGTAGAATCCCGGAAATAATCATGGATCGACTCCCTCCCATCTAACGCACCTGCAAAATCATTCCGTCCTTGAGCCCATCGATCGCCTTCTTACTGAAACAGTCCTTGTTATTGAAGCTTTTCTTCTTACGTTCGGCACTGCTCCATGTAGTCAAATCCAGATTGTCGCCGCCCATGTCTGCCAATTTGCCGACATGGTCTTTCGCGTACTTCTTCAGTCCGTCGGCCCAGTTCCAGGGATCCTTCGCGGAAGCAGCCGGCAAGCGGATCTTCTCCTCCTGCTCGGCCTCAACCTCCTCCACGAGCTCGTCGATGTCGGCCGGGCCTCGTAGCTTAATTCCATGCTTCTTCGCATACGCAAGGATATGCAGGGGGGCCTGGTCGAACTGGAACTTCTTGGCCGCAGTGACATCACTGAGCTCGTTCGCCTCGCTGTGGATGTACTTCATGTAGACGGCCATGATGACGCCGAGGTTCTTGACCTCCGACTCGGGTTTCAGAGCATCTTGCGCTTCTAGTTTGGCCAAAATGGTGAGGAACATGCGCGCGATGAGCGTATGCACATGAGACACTCTTTCGCCGTCGTCCGCCCTGATCAAATTGCATTAGCGTGTATCTTCAGGTAATCAATCAGGGTATAAGAAAGAACATACATTTTCATAGGATCCGCCTCACCACACAACAGAAAGAGCACCGCAGCCTCGCACATCGCCCACTGCTCCTTCCAGTCCTCCTTGGCCTCGTCGAAGTCCAGGATCAGGTTCTCGACGACCTCCATGATGCCGTAGCTATGGTGGTCGTTGAACGTGTACATATCGTAAAAGTCCGGGCAGCGCAGATCCCCACACAGACGCAAGTCAATGAACTTGCTCAGGCCCGCGTGAGTGAAAGCCCACGGATGGTCGGGATGCTCTGCCACGGGCTTCTTGCACAGGCAGGTCTTGCCGCCGTCGCAGCGGGGTTTGGCCGGTGGGTTTTCCCCGGTCGCAGTTTCTTTGTCGTTGGCATTGGTCTTGTTGTCGTGCTCGCTGTCTGAGCAACCCTCGTTTAAGGAACCTTCCTCGTCGGACTCGTAGTCGCCGTCCGGGAACGGAGGTCGACAGAGGCACTTGTATGCATACCTGCCCTCGGGGTCCTTGGCCATCTGCTCGATGTAGCCAGCGTAGATGTTTCCCGTGCCGGAGACGGCAGCCCAGCGATGGTTCGTGGCAACCACGCTGGTGGTGGGGGTGGTTTTCTGGCGTTTAGAAGCGGCCGTGGAGCCCGCGGCGGCACGTTTGGGGGGCATGGTTCGAATGACAGGTTGGAGCAACGATAGGGTTCAAGTTAAGGAGAGATGCAAGGGGACGTTGGAGAGCGAGGGTCAAAAAGAGAGAAGAAGGGAAGAGACTGGGCGCGTTGTCGTTGTCGTTGTCGTTGTTTGTTGTTGATAGATTCATCCCCTATGACGTATCTCGTAGTACGCGATGCGTTTGTGATTATTTCGTCTAATTGCTCATAATTTACAGGGATCGGGATCATGAATTTAGATGTGTCTACGGAGTACAACTTAATAGATATTCCAGAGAATCTGTCTCAGTATAGAGTCCTTACTTGAAAACTACAGAACTCCGTATGCAGCTACTAGGGAGTAAGGAGTCTGGAGGCGCCCCGTCGATTAAGCTCACCGAGGGCCATGCTGGGGTCTGACCATCTGAGTAGACTCTTAGTTAGTCTCTTAGTAGTTATGAAAGTAATCCACCGTTGGTTCCCCGCATTACAGATTCAAGTCACAATGGCTTGTTCATGGCATTATTCATTAGTGCGTGTGGAATGTATCATGGATAAGACATGCCTAGGCGCTACGCTGGACGTGGAATGACGACCGAGGCATTATGAAATCCGTTGGGGTGGACAAGACCGCGTCCATCCGGATCGGTGCAGCTGAACGCGAGGAGCTGAACGCGAGGAGCTGACGGTAGGCCGAAAGACTGATAAGCAGGCCATGACGTGTTTTGAGGGGAAGGCAGCGGTTGGGAACTGGAGAAGAGAGGGGATTGATTGTCCAAGGGAAGGAAAGGAAAAGAAAGAAGACAGGAGGGATCTGCTGGAAGACGGAGGCCCGTGATTCAGCATTGGGACTGCCTGAGGCATCACAGACCAACGGCTGAGTCAGCCTGTGCGGAATTGGGATCCACCCGACATTCCGACACACTCTCACTCTGACGAGGAACTACTGGGATAAGGTGAGGGATCGACCTCTACGTTGCCTCAAGCAGCAGGTGAGGAAGACCGATGGATCCATCTATTTCCTAGAGGCTTGCTTAGGTTCTAGAGTACGGAGTATAGCTGACAGTGTTAACCATTACTATTACTATTACTATTCTCTGTATTCCCATTGTAAACACCCCAACCGGTAAGTTTCTAGAACACTGGGGATGCTTCCATTGTGTCCATGACTTGCAGGGCCTGACCCTCTGTACTCGTCAGGATCTACGGATGTACAAGTCATGCTGTGCATCGCTATCTACAATAGGATGTCCATCTCTCAATCAATAAGATAAGAATTCACAAGAATTGGCAATTGTTGGGCCTCGGCTTCCCCCCAGCTCGCCGCAGGAAAATCCCAACAAAATGCAGCGGCGGCTCCACTCCGCGACTTTTGGTTTGTTGCCCGCGCTCGAACTACCGGTACAAGTCGATCCTTTTTCTTTTCCTTCTTGTGAATCGCCTCAATTCTTGGTCTTTCTGCTCTTTAAAGACCTCCGCGGATTCCGGTCTCTCTTTCCATCTTTCCATCTTTTCTCTACGTTGAGAATTCTCTCCCTGCCGCCATCCGTGTTGGTTGAGCCCGGTCCGGCTGCAGTTTGCGCCTCTCGCTCTCCTACTTGACAAAGAGTTTGTGGCTGACGAGTCCGCTTCTTAATTGTCTCTACTATCCTCTCTCAATTCGCTGGGGGACCATTGAGTCGCCCCGATCATTCCGTCATGTACGACATCAACGTCGACACCGCGTCAGGCCCGGCCGTGGTCCGCATCGGACTGCCGCCCGCCTCCTTGTTGAAATTCCCGCCGGACGCTCTCCCAACGACCCTCCCTGCGCCTCAGATCGCCGAGCCGACCTGGGCCCAACCGTTCAACATTCCTCCCGCTCTGTACAACCAGCTGCTGGATGTGCGCGTTCCCATCACCATCGCCAGTGTCTACGCCGTTACCGTCGTCCTGGTCAATCGCATCAACAAGAGTCGCGGCTACAAACCCTGGGCCCTGAGCCACACCCGCCTCTTCAAGCTATTCGTTATCCTGCATAATGTCTTCCTGGCTGTCTACTCCGCCTGGACCTTCGCCGGCATGTTCAACGCCTTCCGAGACGCTTGGCCCGCTCGGAACGACCCTAACGGCCTAGTAGGCGTGGCCGATGCTCTGTGCAAGATCAACGGTCCCCGGGGATACGGCAACGCGGCCACCTACGACCCTTCTATCAACCAATGGACCCTACGCAACCCCGAATTCCAACTGGCCGAAGGGGGCGTGCCCGACCCGACCGACGTTGGTCGCACGTGGAACGGTGGCCTGGCCTACCTGGGTTGGATCTTCTACTTGTCCAAGTTCTACGAGGTGCTTGATACCGCCATCATTCTCGCCAAGGGCAAGAAGAGCTCGACGCTGCAGACCTACCACCACGCCGGTGCCATGATGTGCATGTGGGCCGGTATTCGCTACATCGCGCCTCCCATTTGGATCTTCACTCTGGTTAACTCGGCGATCCATGCGATGATGGTATGTACAACTAATCGGATCTCGGAAAGAACCAGTTACTAACGTGCGATTCTTGCAGTACACCTACTACACCCTCACGGCCCTCCGTATCCGCGTCCCCCAGCTCATCAAGCGCTCCTTGACCTCCATGCAGATCATGCAATTCCTCCTCGGAACCACCATGGCCGCCTCTTACCTCTTCGTTCACTACACTCTACCTTCGTTCCAGTCCGAGACCGCCGTTCCCGACGTTCGGTCGACCGCCGCTGCTACCGCCGCCGCGGGAGCCGGTCTGGTCCCCTGGTTGAAGCAGGTTGCCCTGCGCGCCGCCGGTGCCGAGGGGATCGCCGAAAATGTTGGCGCTCCTGAAACCCCCAGCGCTGCCCAGAACCCCGCCCTTGGACCTATGACTACTTGCATGGACACCAGCGGACAAGGCTTCGCCATCTGGCTGAACGTCTCCTACCTCCTCCCCCTAACCTACCTCTTCGTCCGCTTCTTCGTCCGCTCATACCTGCACCGCAAGGACCCCAACCCTCGTAACCCGACGCACATGAACGCTGCCGAGAAGGCGGGCCTGGACGCCCTGAAGGGCGTCAGCCGCGAGATCCAGAAGTCGGTGGAGATGAACGGTGAAACGAGCGGTGACACGAGTGAAACCACCGAGGACGAAGCCACCAAGACGACCCAGGCGCCGCCGCCCAGCGTGAAGAAGACCCAGGAGCCCGTGGTCGCTCATGACTCCCCCATCCGGACGCGCGCTTCCGCCAAACAGAAAGCCCGCGCCGCCGCCAACGAGCCTCAGCAGGGTTTCTCCCCTGTCTCATCGAAGAAGGGTGCCAAGAAGGTTACCCAGGACGAGCTGGAGAGCGCTGCCACCATTGATCCTAAAGGCAGCAATCCTTTCGAGGTGCTGGATAACAACGCCTAGACGAGTGTTTCTCGTTAAACTGCACCTTTTCTCCACCAACAACCTCCCACCCAATCGATAGAGCCATTAAGGATACGAGTCTATCCTACGGTATATACTCCGTATGCCGGCTCGCTGTGTTCAATCCGCACCCCGTTGTCGATCAGGCTCGCTCAGCCACCTGGGACAGATTGGTTGGGGAGCATTCCATGCTCATCCATCCGCTAGCGCCCACGGGTGATATCATCCGACCGCAGATCCCACGCCACCGGGGATTGCGCTTCTGCGAACTTGCGGTTATACATGGGTCCATCATCATACGGAGTACTTTTGGACTTTATTCTTTGATTTTCTTTCCCCTTCGAAAGATTACCCTTTTTGTTATGTAAATATGTTAACATTGTAAGTCTACCTGGGCCGCGCTCATGGGTAGCCGGAAAAAAGCATTGTGTTTATTTTGATGTGTTGATTAGCTTGGAATGAATGATAATATTTAATGAGTATGATGTATTGAATGGGCTCGTACGGAGTACAGAGTAGATATTTACCGTTCGTAGAGAGACAGGTTTGTTGCTCTGATCATGTGAGGCAAGGCACTTTCTTCCTTCGCCCATTTGCAGTTCATCGCTTTCCTCCTTTCTCCATCCCAACTCCAACGGCCGAGCGATTGTCACATCTCTACTCTTTTCTTATTCTCTCCTTTCTACTAGTCTGGATCATCATATGCTCGAAATTTTAGGGTCCAAGTAGGATTTTAATCCACTCGCGAACTCGACCTGTCAAACAGGTTGAATCTTGTTCCTGAAATCCCCCAACGGGAAAATTTCCTCCGTGCGAGCCGGTGTATTCCCGGCGCACGCAGATGGTTCTTTCTTGCCACGCACTTGATGATGATCTCTAACTACTCAGTACGTATTGCTTATTCTTTATATTAGTTTATGTTTTCTTTACTATTTCTTTGCATATGACTCTGGTAGTCATTGCTCATTGACGTTATTTATACAGTTAGACTTTCGTAAATCAGAGACAATGACAATACTATTGGGTCTAAATCACGGCCCATGTGGCGTGCATGCAGACGGTGTGATCAGTGGTGGGCGGCGGCCATGTGGACTGTTATATGATAGCGATTCTGGAGAAACTGCTCGTTATTACTCGTCTCACTCCGGGTACTGCTTGCCCTTGAAGATCTCACGAATGAATTCGTTCATGAGATGCAAACTATCACAGCCGTTGCCTATATCATTGGAGTTTGAATAGGCTACGGGCCTTGAGTGAAAGACACCTTCTATCCTGGAGCCCGGTCTCGCCTTCCCAATGACAACATTTATACCCTGCCTACCGCGCTGTGGCCGAGTTGGAAAGACATGTCTTCTTCCGGAGGCATTACAACGGCGCATCTGTGTGAAGACGGGCAATCCTACGCAGACCCTCCACAGGACGTGCTCTGATCAAACCTGGAAAGCTTCTCGGTCCATAAGCACACGCCTTCGATATCCCGTTTACTATCCCCTGCTACATTGCATATAGCATCGGCCTAGATGGGTCCCGAGGATCATGCCGATCACCTGCAGAAGCAATCACCCCATGTCGGACGCGATCACCGAGGATCCTCTCGACCTGCGTGCCGGATAGAACACCACCGAGCCCTAGCACTTGCGTCTTGTGGATCATATCCCGGCTGAGTGCGCGGGGGCTATATAGGCCGGCTTCTACCGCGATTGGGATGACCTGCAGGTCATTCCGGCATGTACTGGATGGGAGCTACTTAGCACGTTCGATTATCCGTATGTCTAGGCCATCGCTGAGACATAATTCCCTCGAATCGCTGGGTAATAATTCGCAGACTTCTATTCGTCCATCGACTTGTATGAGATGTTCTAAAACATCTGTTGAGTTCGCTGGCCCCGCGCTTCTCGACCCCAGTCCGTAATGTTCAACAGCCGCAAAGCTTCATCTACCTCCATCTCCTCAACAAACCCATTGAATCATATCTCAACCCAAGCAAACACTTCTCCAGAAATGATCTAGGCATGTTCAAATGTATCGTGGCTTACTCCATATCTTGGCTACAACGGAAATGCTCCACCTCCGAGCAATCCGCACGCACCGGCGCCGCTCTTCCACAATCCGGGGCTCCACGACTGCAATATCCTTTCCCCACTCAATCCCGCACCGATGGAGCCGATTCATCAGACCATGCCATTCATTGATCAAAAATCCGGTCCAAGGCTCCAAGCAGCGGGGTTCGATGTTTGCTGCAGGCTAAGGGTCTTGTAGCGCAGCGCACTATACCAGGCATTCCCATTTCCCGGCGGGAGGTGCTTGTCCGGCTTTACTTAGAGCCCTGTTAACGACCCCAGCATGCGGGTCAAATATCGCCGTCATTTCTTTTAGCCCTGGAGGATCTATTGCCTTCATACCGATTGGCTGCTCGGTATATTGCCAATATACGGCCATGTCATCGGTTCGGAGTCGGATGAGGCTTTTTTTTTTTCGCACTCTCGGCTGCCTAGTCTGCCCGGCGTGCTATAAATTGGTTGTCATGTCCCGGCATTGGAGCTTTGGTCTTCAAAGCTGTCTCTTTCGAATTCTCTTGTGTGAGAAATTCCTAGAGACAGCTCACCATGACGCGCATCATGCATCTTGCCGTGCTGCTTCTTTCCAGCATCGGACTTCTGGCTGCTGCCCAGAATCAGTCCGACTCTGACTGGCCTCTGCACGACAACGGTCTGAACACTGCCGTGCAATGGGACCACTACAGCTTCCATGTTCACGGACAGCGCATCTTCATCTTCTCCGGCGAGTTCCACTACTGGCGTATTCCCGTCCCCGAACTCTGGCGCGACATCCTCGAGAAGGTCAAAGCCACCGGCTTCACCGCGTTTGCCTTCTACTCTAGCTGGGCGTACCATGCGCCTAACAACCACACGGTGGACTTCCACACCGGCGCGCGTGACATCACGCCCATCTTCGAGCTCGCCAAGGAGCTGGGCATGTATATGATCGTGCGGCCCGGGCCGTATGTCAATGCCGAGGCCAGCGCTGGTGGCTTTCCGCTATGGGCGACCACCGGTGCCTATGGGTCGATGCGCAACGACGACCCCAGGTATACTGCGGCGTGGAAGCCTTACTTTGAGAAGATGTCGCAGATCACCAGCAAGTACCAGCTCACGGATGGGCAGAATACTTTCTGCTATCAGATCGAGAACGAGTATGGTCAGCAGTGGATTGGGGATCCCAGTGATAGGAACCCTAATAAAACTGCGGTCGCCTATATGGAACTGCTCGAGAAGAGTGCGCGTGAGAATGGTATCGTCGTGCCGCTGACGGCCAACGATCCCAACCTGAACACCAAATCTTGGGGAAATGACTGGTCCAACGCTGGAGGAAATGTTGACGCTCCTGGTGTGGATTCGTATCCCTCGGTGAGTTATCTGAATTATATCTAGTTTATGGAAGTTACTAATAATTACAGTGCTGGACTTGTGACGTTTCTCAATGCACCTCCACCAATGGAGAGTACGTTCCTTACAAAGTGATTCCCTACTACGACTACTTCCAGGAGGTCCAGCCCTCGATGCCTGCCTTCATGCCTGAGTTCCAGGGTGGATCTTACAACCCCTGGGCCGGTCCCGAAGGTGGATGTCCCGAGGATACCGGAGCGGACTTCGCCAACCTGTTCTATCGGTGGAACATCGCCCAGCGAGTGACCGCCATGAGTTTGTACATGGTGTTTGGCGGAACCAACTGGGGCTCGCTGGCTGCCCCTGTCACGGCCACCAGCTACGACTACTCCTCCCCGATTGCCGAGGACCGCTCGATTGGTGACAAGTACCACGAGACCAAGCTGCTTTCCCTGTTCACTCGTAGCGCCAAGGACCTCACCATGACCGACCTCATCGGCAACGGCACCAAGTACACCGACAACGCTGCCGTCAGCGCTTACGAACTCCGAAACCCCGAGACCAACGGTGCCTTCTACGTCACCATCCACAAGGATACCACCATCGGCTCGGACGAGTCCTTCAAGCTCCACGTGAACACCTCCGCCGGCGCTCTGACGATCCCAAGTGAGCAGGGCAAGATCCGCCTGAACGGTCATCAGTCCAAGATCATCGTGACTGATTTCGCCTTCGGCTCCAAGACCCTCCTGTACTCCACCGCTGAGGTGTTGACCTATGCGGTCATCGACGACCACCCGACTCTGGTGCTTTGGGTGCCCACGGGAGAATCCGGCGAGTTCGCCATCAAGGGCACTAAGTCTGGCAAGGTGGCGAGCTGCAACGGCTGCTCCAGCGTCAAGTTCAACGGCAAGAAGGACCATGTTGTTGTCGGGTTCACTCAAGCCAAGGGAATGAGTGTGCTTCAGCTGGATGATGATGTCCGTGTCGTTGTTCTCGACAGGTCGTCTGCTTATCATTTCTGGGCCCCTACCTTGACTGATGATCCGATTGCCCCGGAGGATGAACTTGGTCTGTTCTTACCCGTATCCATTACATGACTGAATGCTAATATCATATAAGTCCTGGTCGAAGGCCCCTACCTCGTCCGTGCGGCCAGCGTCTCGGGATCTACCTTGGCTCTCCGCGGTGACTCAACCGACAAGACGAACCTGGAAGTTTTCGCTCCTAAGGACGTCAAGGCGATCACCTGGAACGGCAAGCAGGTCAAGTCTTCCGAGACCCCCTACGGCAGTCTCAAGGCCACGCTCGCCGCGCCGCCCTCGATTAAGCTCCCCTCTTTCGGCTCGTGGCGGTCGAACGACAGCTTGCCGGAACGCTTGGAGTCGTACGATGACTCTGGACCGGCCTGGGTTGATGCCAACCATGAAACCACGCTGAACCCGCATCCCCCTGTCACCTCTCCTGTCTTGTACGCCAACGAATACGGTATGCATTTTTACGGCCCTCAAATTGTAGTCTCATGCTCATCCACCTACAGGATTCCACAACGGTGTCCGCCTCTGGCGCGGCTACTTCAACGGAACCGCCTCCGGCGTCTTCCTGAACATCCAAGGTGGCGCTGCATTGTAAGCACATCCTACCTTCCAACATACACCATCCAACTAACCAAACCAGCGGCTGGTCTGCCTATCTGAATGGCCACTTCCTCGGCTCTTACCTCGGCAACGCCACCATCGAGCAGGCCAACAAAACCCTCACCTTCGCCAACAACACGCTCCACACTCGCTCAGGCTCCCGGAACACCCTCCTCGTCATCCACGACGACACTGGCCACGACATGACCACCGGCGTGCTCAACCCGCGCGGCATCATCGAAGCCCGACTCCTCGGCTCCTCCGCCCCCAACTTCACCCATTGGCGTCTCGCTGGTACCGCCGGCGGTGAATCTAACCTCGACCCCGTCCGCGGCGTCTACAACGAAGACGGCCTCCACGCTGAGCGCGTCGGCTGGCATCTTCCTGGCTTCGACGACAGCGCCTGGTCTGTCGACAAGAGCACCAACCACTCCTCCAGCTCCGTTTCCAAATTATCCTTCTCCGGCGCCACCGTCCGCTTCTTCCGCACCACCGTCCCCCTTAACATCCCTTCGGGTCTGGACGTCTCCATCTCCTTCATCCTCGGCACCCCGGCCGGCACAAGCAAGGCGTACCGCGCCCAGCTCTTCGTCAACGGATACCAGTACGGCCGGTACCATCCACACATCGGAAACCAGGTCGTGTATCCCGTCCCCGCAGGTATCTTGGACTACCGCGGTGAGAACACCATTGGTTTAGCGGTTTGGGCGCAGAGTGAAGATGGTGCGGCCATTACTGTCGATTGGAGGGTGAATTACGTGGCGGATAGTTCATTGGATGTGGCGAATATTGATGAGGAGAAGTTGAGGCCCGGGTGGGAGAAGGAGAGAGAGAAGTTTGCTTAAGTTAGAGGCGTTGAGAATTGGGGGTCGGTTGATGAGCGATATGTAAAATTTATGTGATGGAATGGGGATGATTGTTAGTGTAGTTAGCGATATGATTAAATTGAATGAATCTAGGTATAGTACCACTCCACTCACTGTAGGTATCTATGTCTATATTTATGTCTATGTCTCTGTCAGTGTAAGGTGGATGCTCTGTCTAGAACAGGTAGGTAGATAGGTAGAGATTCTACCATAAATTAATCAAATTAATCAAATTCGTCAACCAGTTCACGCAGCCAATAAATCAGGAGGACCTACATACATCGAACTACCAAATACAAAGGAAAGGAAAGCAAAAATCCACCAGGACAGACAACTCCAGCACTGCATGTCTCTCCCTCCCTCTGCTTCTGTGGATATGGATGTGTATGTGTATGAGTGAGTACAAACTTACCCACACAATCTAGGCAACGCATCCAAAGTCTCAAACAGAATTTCCCCTAGATCCCTAATACCCTTCTTTTGACTGCGCCTGGGCCTGGGCCTGTAAATGTGCCTGCGAACGCGAACAAGAACGCGAATGATCCTGATCCCGATCCCGTTTCCGCTTCCTCTCGCCACTCAAACTCAAACTCGTAGATACGTTCTTGCTCGACGTCGACTGCGTCATTATGGGTGTCCTATTCGACTGGACCGGGCCACGCTGGGGCGTTATCGGCATGGGCATCCCCATCATCATAGGGACAGGGTCAAAGCCGAGGCCAGGAATAGGGCCAGGATTAGGAATGATTCCAGGCCCAGGGGCAGGGGCAGGAGCAGACATATGGATATGGTCCTGAGACGGAAAACCGCCAACCATCAACGCACAAGAATCGACAGGACCATGAGCCTGCATGATAGTTGCCCTTATCATTGGCGCTTTTCCTTTGTCTGTGTCTCTTGCCTTACCTTTAGCGTTGGTTATGCTTGTACCTGTGCCTGAGACTGTACGTCTTCTTCTGCGGGTAGACGGCGAAGCACTCGAGCTATCAGTCTCGCTATCCGTATTCCCATCCTCCATATCCACGTCCGAACTCGTACCAGTAGTACCCATAACTGGAGTAGAGAATGTCTTTTTCTCAGGTGTCTCATACATCTTTATCGCGGGGGTTCCTGGGTTGCAGGGCAAAGGCGTCAGATAGCGCTTGCTGGGTGGGCCGTGAGAGCGGAATAGGTTGCTGCCACTGAGGCGTGGTTTTCTGGCGATGGCTTTTTTGGGGGAGGGTGAGGTAATTGAGGTTTTGACCTGGACTTGGTGGTTTGGTTGTACTTGTGCTTGTGATTGCAGTTGCTGCTGTTGTGGTGGGCGGAGATTTTGATAGGTGAGTGTCTGGGCTTGTATATGAGCTTGTGCTTGGCACATAGGAATCGACGCCGAGAGGAACTGGTGTGAACTTCCGTATCCGAAAGGATTCTGGGTCGGAACTGGCTGTTCCTGCTTCTGTTGCTGCTGTTGCTGCTGTTGCTGCTGCTGCTGCTGCTGCTGCTGCTCCGTCGGGCAACGCTGAGGGGACATCGGGCTCATGTTGGTGCTGGCGTTGCTGGATATCGGTCTGGGGGTGGTGTATCCGTATCCGAATGGAAGCATATCGCATGCGAGGGGTGCGGGTAGCGAGATATCAGGGGCTTGGATGGGATTGCCTGCAGGGTAGGAGATATTGACACCGTTAGCGGTTCCAGAGTAGATGGGGTTAAGTTCGGTAGCTGTTGCTGTCGCTGTCCCTGTCATTTGGTAGTCGACGGGGTTCTGGATCACGGGGCCTCCAGGCATGGGGGTTCCCATATGAGTCTTCTGGGCGGCTGAGCACGGATCCGGCAACACGATGTCGTTCGCACTGTATGCATCGAAACCGAAGAGACTTTCGGATGTGGAAGGGCCCTGTGCTTCACCTCCAGGCGGGTGGCTGTTGTTCTGCCACTGCATCCAGGCTGGTACGCTGTCGCAAAAAGTGGGGACATGGCTCTGTGCAGCTGGGGCGAAGGTCCTGTCGGGGAAAGAAGCGCTCCAGGTGTTGTTGGTCTGGCATAGAGATAGGGATATCTGTTGGTTTTATTAGGAGCTGCTTGGAAGTCATGCAATGCCAATGACCCATCATGCCACTGACTCCCACGGAGAGAAATCCAGACTTACAGCACTTTGAGAAGGCCCAGACGAGGTCGAAAGCATCGAGCCAGCTGTGGCAGACTGCGGCGCGAACTGACACCCATAAATCTCTTCCCCATCACACGCAGTCATCTTCAGCACCCCCTGCTCCCCCACCGACGGCAAGAGCTTCAGCATCGTCGAAGCCGAATAAAACACCATACTCGGCTCCCTCCACCCTCTGAGCGGCCAAAACAGCGGCTTATAATTCTCCACATCAAAGCGCTTCGCCAACGCAATCTCCAAATCAAACATCAACCCCGGTTTCATCAGAACCGCTCTCTCCCCGCGCTCCGCCAGCGCAATCTCCAGCTCCAAGCTCTCGATATAAGAGTCCTTCTGGGTGTACTTCGCCTTGTTTTCGCCCGGTTGGCCCCAGCGCTTATGGTCGCCTCGCGCGTAGAAGCCCGCGACTCGAGGGAGGAAGTCACGCTCGTAGGACGAGACGTTGAGGATGAATTCCATCTGCTCCACGGTGAGGATGGCGGATCGGACGCGGGAGACTTTTTCCCATTGGGCGTGGTGGGGGCCTTGCTTGCAAAGCCAGCATGGGTAGTCGACGAGCGCGGTGGTGGTGGTTTCTTCTTCGTGCGTGGTCGCGCCGTCGAAGGGGCATTTCATGGTCGAGAGGATCAGGTGGCTGCAGATGTGCCAGAAGACGATCAGTTGGCACATTGTGACGGGGGAGGGGTGGGTGTTTGGGATGGGATTCAAGGATAGGAGACTCGACTGTAGGTGAGCGAGCGGTAGAGGGTATTGAGAGGTTGGATTGCCTTGACGGTCCTGTCTGGATAGATGTGTTTGAGAGAAGAAAGGAAGGAAGTGAGAAAGAGAAAGCGCCTATTCACTTCCATGGTCTTTACACTGTGTGACAGGGCAACTCAGTGAATGGGCAGGCGAGAGGCGGCTCCCAGCTAGGTACTGAAGCTGGCAAAATCTCTAGCAATTGATTGGGTGACCCGTCGATACCAACACTTGCCCAATCGGGACATCATGACGCTGAAACTGCAAAGGCATTGCAGTAAATTTGAAGGCATTCCTTTGGTCCTCTTCTTTGTAGAGTGCAAGTACTGATGGGATTTCCATATCAGAATAGTTGCCGGCCATAGGGACATGGTGAAGTCTAGTTCTATGAAAGTTGTCATTGATTTTGTGAAAACTAGACGTTGATTGGATATTTGAGGCCGGTAGGAGTACTGTTGATTGCTGTGGTAGGTTTCACTTTGATTTGCAGCTCTCTTGATATCTCATACACTGGTCTCATGGTATAGAGTCATATGTTTTGGCAGAATAAACGTATCTGTCGAATTGATGAGTCAATCCAACTGTGTTCATCATATACCAGTCAAAGAAATAGCAGTCACCATCACTATCCATTCTCCATTGATACTGTAGATAGACCGACCGCCTAGCTACCTAGTAGCAACCCTCTTGAAGAGATGAACAATGTCGCTCCGCCACCAAGTACGGCTTCACCAGCTAAGAACCCAGTACGTTTCCTAAATCGTAAGCATGACCGCTGATGTCCTAACAACCACGCCAAACCAGGTCCATATCTCCAAATGCATGCCAGCTGATCGCTCCGACCACACAATAAGGTTAAACGCCTCGGCCTGGAACAAACCGGCTCATCTTGCAGAAGCGCCAGAGGACACGCAATTGACGCGACCTTTTTTATGCAAGGACTCGGTGTAGATCAGTGACCTTCTGGATGAGACATCAGGGTCAGGTTGGGTAGAGGGTCCGATCTCATGGCGAGATTTGCGGGTGCGATGAGATATCGGGTCTGGTTGGTTTCTTGTATTTCTTTAATATTATTGTTGTTGTCGAATTGTGGGAAGGGTGGTTGGGGTCTATTATTGCTAGGGAATACTATAAGAAATGCATAATGAGGTAATCTGTTTATTTCTATAACTACGATAACGTGGTCGTCATTTAGGTGTATGTAGGTCTACAGGGCAACTTACGGAGTAATCAGTCGTCGATCCCAGTCCTCCGTACATGTGCAAATTGATTGACTTCGCGATGTAACTTCCCATTCTGGCTAACCACCTTTGACTCCGTCATTCTTCATATCCTCACATGGGTGGGGCATGAATCGGCCAAGGTGTAATCCTTCCGGTATCAACTGCACTCTGCTTATTCCCCTATTCAAGCTCAACGGTTGATTCTACTCCGTTGTATGGATCTGAACAGAGTATAACATAGGCAGTACTCAGCCCGATCGCAGTCTAGCCAAGCCACATGCCAACCCGCCGCATTCCACATGCCGCATCTTATCAGGCGTACACTACACAGGAATACTCAATAGTACTATGAAATATTGTGACTCGACCCCGCTTGGTGGTTTCCGATTGCAGCGACCTGCAGAAATGCCGCTAACCCATTTGCCCGGAGGCACACCAATCGGGGTCCGTGGCCACCCTCTCTGCAAGGCCATCTTGGCTGGTGCCATTGTAGATGCCTACAGTAGTAACTACGGTATACGAGGCATGTACATACTACGGTACATCAACAGCTGACGCTGGCTGCTCCATGCATCTCCCCGTCGGAATCCAGGGGTCCCATCAACCATCCAAACGGATGATTCTATCCAGGTCCAGCACAAGGAAGAGCAATGGTGGCGGCCTTTCACGTCAGCCTTGATCTTAAGCTCTCGTTATCTATGTACAACTAGTATACATAGAGGGGCCGGGAGGAGAGAGGACAAGAGAGGGGAATCGATCTGAAACCAGGCTGCACTGACATGCTCTCTACGTCAGGTCACGTCAGGTCAGCCAATAATTGACCATGTTTTGATTGTCGCCGGGAATATATCTCATTGGTTTGTTTGTTTGTTTTGTTATTTCGATGGATGAGATTAAGGTCGTACGAGAGGGGAGCCTGGGCACTTTGTTTGCCCACTAACTTCACCCCGAGGCATTTCATCATTCCATGTGTTGTCGCCTGAGACTCGAATGCGGGGAAGTGTATGGCATCTTGACCGTCCTGTCCAGGGGATGATGTATCGACTTTTCTTTTTTTCTAATTTCGAGGGCCTAAGTTCTTTGATCTTGGCCTAAATTATGAGATGGCATAATCTCGGTTCCTGGGCGGGGAAAAGAATCCAGCGATGGGTTTACTCGAGCATGTGCATAGAGTACTTCATCTACTCGATCAATTGTCAGGTCCTGTACACTGTGTACACACTACTCCGTACACAGTACACAGTACGAAGTGTAGGGTCATCACGATGCCAGCGGTGCCCCCTCGCCTCGCTAACTCGGCTGCTGTACTCCACATTTTGGTTTCCCCGGATATGGGCGCGCAATGGTATCCAGCACGATACGGAGTGTGTTGACGTGACTCGTTCCTTTCCCCTTTTTCTTCTTGATCAGGTCTAGTCGGGCTTGGCCGGGGTTATCATCGGTGATCTCTGATCTCTGATCACCCTTTGGTTACTTCGGTTCCTGCCCTGGTCACCCGGACCAGGGCAATTTTAATTAATTAATTAATTGACAGTTACTCTAGAGGCCTTGTCCGGATTCCAGTTGGGAGGAGAAGAAGAAGAAACCAAGGGGAGTGGCTTCTGGCTAATAAAATTACTGGTTCGGAAACCAGGTTTATGAAATTAATCCGATTCAGACGAGGCGAGTATTTTTGGACCCTTAGTGGTCCCTCAATTAGATGAACCGCGGAGATTGCATTAATCAACGAACAGATGCACTAACTGGTTGGCTAATCTCTCAGACTAGACTAAGACCCCGAACAGATTAACTGAAATTTGTAAATCAAAGTCAAACCGCCCATGCTCGTTGACCGGGAGTCCGGGGTTCCTGAATAATTGGCATGAGATTGGATTATCTGCGAAGGGGAAGGGGGATGAGGGATGAGGGAACGTGCGACCCTTTTTTTTTGTCTTGGTTCAGGATTGCATCCTCCCTGGGGTTCTTTTAGATAACATGTCATACACTATATTATGTTCCAGGTGTTGTTTAATATGGCCTCCTGATGATCGTCATCTCGGGGGACCTGTCATTGTTATCGGGAGGCATCATTCAGAACTCAGGAGAGAGAGATGATCATCGAGGGGGTTCATGCCATTCGTCATCTACTGTGGACGGAGTACTCCGTAGATTTGTCGGCAAAGGAGGATGACAGGAGGGGAGCATTCCTATCTGGTCTGATTATTCCTGATTTTCAGAGATGCTCGAACGCAGTCATATCATAGAGGAGGGGGGAACTTTCTCAGTTCCGCATCGTTGTAAATTCGCTCGTGCTGAACTACTAGAAAAAAAAAAACGCCTTACACAGTTGACTTACGGTGTACAATTTCATGCCCGCTGACGACGCGTTGACAACGCGATCTTACTGAACTACGGAGTTAGCGAGCGGGTTCATTTAAGCTCCTCCCCCCTTTGGAGGCGTTCGGATGCATATCACCGTTGGCGACGGGGTCAGTCCAATGCTCCGTAGGTTGGTATTTCATGAATACTGGATGATTACCGTGTACGCACTACACACGTGTAATTACTTAGGTGGACTAGGCAGGTAATTTTCTAATTCAACCGAGGGGAAGGCAGACAGAAAGAAGTCTCGGAGAAAGGAGAATTTTTCCATATTCCCAGTCCACTTAGTCCACCTCGTATCTTCTCCGGGCCGCAATTGCTCTCTTTCCTTCTCCCTTACCCACCGACTGCCGTCTGGGAGGGTTCCATTCTCCATGCTAAAATCTGTCGGTGGAGCCCTGGAGCCATGTAGATGATGTTCGGGTGAGCATCTCCGCACCGTATGATACTTCTCCAGTGACAATCACGTAAGACTGTTACAATGTAACAATAGTCAACTGGTTAGGAGGAGAGGTCGAATTACTTGCAAAGTATCTACACAATAAACACCGTGGTAGAGGTTAAATCAGGTTAAAATGAAAACTTCTCGCGGTGAGGGAACTTAGAGAAAGAAACAGAAAAAAAATTCAATCTCACTCACCAGACCCAATTTTATGTACTTCGTACTGTGTACGTTGCATGCTCAACCCTGAATATATTCGCTACTCGCTTGCCTTCTACCCGTCTCCGCTTCCCTATGGTGTAGTAGTAATTTTTCCTTTCGATTTTCCACGGTGGAGATCCAGGAATGAGAAACGCATGAAGCTATTGGCCATCCCCCGCGAGAAGCATCCATTCTTCCTCCTCCCGTCGAATGAGCATGTTTCCGAACTCGAATTCGGCCCCCTTGTCCTAGTTAAAACTAACTCTTCTGGAGCGGAGTCCTTGGATGTCCCGTCCCGTCTTGAACTGAACTATCTGCGATGTGCATGCTCCGTACTACAGTATAGACATCCTGCGTTATTTAGTCTTTACCTACAGAGAGACATACATATGCATTATTACGCAGCGGTGGATGCTTTCTACCTACTTAGTAGGTACTTGCTTACATACATGCGGTGTACAGAATGAACGGTTAATATCTATTATCTATTATCTACGGTGTGCTCATGCTCAGGTTGTTGGATTGGATTGCCCCGCTCTGATAAGACAGGATTGGCAATGCGAACACAGATCACCCTTCATTCTTCAGTCTGCCATTTTCAATGCCAACAGAATTACGAGTCAGCTCTGCCGTAGAAAGAGGAGTGAGTAGTCAATCAGTTGATTAGGTTGGCTAGTTAGTTACCGCGACAGTGGAAAAGCACG